CGGTTGTAGTGTGTATGAGTGGGGATAATGAAAAGTGTGATAGGGCAAATCTAAAAGACAGGGTAGGTAAGGGCGAACAAGTAAGGTCGGGTAGGGTAAAAAAGTAGGATAGGATTTAGTAAAAAAAGTTGAGTACGGCAGGATAAAAAGTGAAGCAGGGCAGGATAAAAAGCAGGGTGATGACAAAAAGTAAAGTAGAGGCAAAAAACTAGGTTAGGACAGGGTAGAAAGTAAAACTGGCATGGATAGAAAAATAGGGTAGGGCAGGACAATCAAGCAGGTTAGGAAAGGGTAAAAAAGGTATGATAAGGAAATGGCAAGAAGTAGGGTAAGGCAAGGTAAAAAGTAGGGTAGAGCAGGTTAAAAAACAAAAGTAGGGGTTTGTTGAATGAATCTTTTGGTCGAAACGTTTATAGGATTTTCATATGATTTTAGAAACTAAAACTGCATTTTATGTTATAAGTTACACTTTAAAGCCTGAAATGTCATTTTAAAGCCTAAGAGCTGCAAAAAATAAATGTTAGGTTTAAAATTTTAATGAGTACAAAACTAACAGTTCTAGTACTGTAAATCTTTTTTAATTTTGTTGATAAAGGGCAATTGTGCACGTAATTTTAAAGATTTTGATAAAAATATTTAATTTAGCTAATGGATTTCCAATAAAAACATAAGTTGTATTAAACGGCTTATATTAATACTGTAACTGCACTTACAGTTCGTAGGGTCTGAGTTTAGTTAAAATATTGAAAATTGGGTAAATTTTATACAGTTTAAGTTTATGGAGGGATTGGAATTGTGTTGGATAATGTGAAATACCTTGTAGGGTAGGGTAGGGTAGAAAACAATCAAAATTTTAAAGTTTTTTAAGAGGGGCGGTGGAGTGGGGAGAGAAATAAAAATGTCTTTTAATGTAAAGCGGGGGAGAGATGAAAAGAAAAAATGGAATTTTTTTCTATTTACTACAACTTGTATAGAAAGTAACCAGCTCTATAATTTTTACACTTTTCGCGATGACGCTTCTAAATTACTAAATGTAAAAGCAAATACCGTGAAATTTATCCATATTTTATTAACTGAATGTCGGGTTTTAACATTTATAATTGTGTTAAAGTACAACTGTTTATTGATTTCGATACTTATTTCTGTGTTTTTTGCTCATATCATTGAGATGCGTTGAGTTTTGTTTTCATTTTCAGGGTTCTTTGATAAAACCTAGTGTGAAGTTTGTCTACCTCAATGTGGTCTATCTATAGCTAGCTCTACTCAAAATTTTAAAAAGTTTGGTAGGCTAGATGTAAGGTAATATAACGTTAAAGTGGCGCAAACACCATATGTTTTTACTTTTCTTTGCTAATGCCGAGAGGGTGATGCTAGTGCCAAAAAGGGGAGAGGAAGGGGGTAGAGGAAAGGTCTAGGTATAGTAGGATAGAGAGGGGGTTGGGTACTTTAAAAAAAATTTTTTTAAGGTTAACATTTGTTTTTTGAAAAAAAACCCTATCCTACGATACATTACCTAACCGTACCCTAACCTTCTCTATCCTACTCTACCTTCCTTTTTTACTACATCCCTTCAATGTTCTATCTCACCCCCACAACTTTTCATATACCAAGCCTTTTCCCTACCCCACTCTTTCTCCCCTCCCACCCAAGTTAAGGCCGGTGAAGACCCAAAAGCGGCATCATGCCTATATTATACACCGCGTACACTTTGCTATTCAGAAGTGCGACGATATCCGGTTGTTTGGCCCACAATTTCGAAGATACATTGAATGGAAATGTTTTTTTTTGTGAACAGGAACCGTCCTGCTTCTCGTATACAAAACTTCTATGGCCCCACTAAGCCAGAGCGTAGTATAGGTGGGGACAGCGTTTATACACCGCCGGCGGGCGGATATTTTCGGGGTTTGAGAGCGTTAAGATGGGTTGAAGTGAGTAGGGTTACGGTAAATGGGTACGAGATTATAGGTTTTCGAAGGTGTTAAGCTGTTTTTGATCTCAATTATTAACTTACTGATAGTTGTTAATCAATGTTGGGGTTTTGGGTTAGGTCTTAGTTGTGGATTTTAGGCTTAAAGTATAATTAAGGAAAGTGAAATTTTGGGTTTAAAAAAGAGTTTTAGGCTTAAACATGAATATCAGGCTTACAAATGGATTTTACGCTTAAAAATCATTTTTAAGCTTGAAAATTTAGGCTTAAAAGTGAATTTTAGGTTTAAAAATGAATTCTAGACTTAGAAATCAGTTTTAGGATTAAAGTAAATTCTTGGCTTAAAAATGAAATTTTAGGCTAAACATAAAACTATAGTTTTAAAAATTGAACTTTAAGCTAAAAACGAATTTTGATCCTTAGAATAAATTTCATGCCTAAAAATGAGCAGCAGGTTAAAAGCAATTCTATGACCTAAAAGCAAGATTTGGCTAAAAACGAAAATAGTGAGTGGTTTCAAAACTTGAATTTTAGAGCTTAAAAAATTACTTTGAAAACTCTTGTGAAACGTATAAATTTATATACTCTTAGGTATTTGTTATAAAAGGGTCCGGGGCAGGGCAGGGACTTTTGGCCTGGGGGCGGGGTCAAAAAAATCGGCACAGGTAGGTAGACCTGTGCCAATTTTTCTAAAAATTTTTTAAAAAATCTACAATAGGGACCACGTCCAACTTTTTTCAAGGTGTCCAACTGTACTGTTTTATGTTTTTACGTTAAAATCACGCCTTTTTTAAAAAAATCATTTTAAAAGTTCTCAAGAAACCCTACCTCCTTCCATCCCGACGAATTGCAACTTTTTTTTCTTTCATAACGCTTTTTTTCGTTAAAATCGATAAAAATCAAATTATTTTAACATTTACAATCGCGATTCTGGTAAACATGACATGACTTTTATTGCTTAAACCAAAAAGAACTTTTTTGTCATAAGATGACATGAAAATAGAGCTGAAGACATTAACACTGACGGTTGATTTAAAGCGATATAAATTAATTTACATCTCCGGCGCTAAATTTTATTGTTTTTTCGGCCGTTTTTATGCCTGTTTTTCTTTGCGCCTCAGAACATTTACCATCAGAAAATAGGCAAAAGCAACAGTGTTTTCATTAGACATCAAAGCGTACGAAAATAATTCTTTTTTGAATTTATTTTTAAGCCTAATTTCGATTTGAAGGTCTCTTAGTTTTTCTAATTTTTAAGCCTACTTTGCTTTGAACGCTTATTATTTTTTTCTTATCTTTTATTTCTAAGCCTAACTTTTTTAAGTTCACGGTTTTTTAGGCTAATAGTAAAAATTAAAAAGCTAGTTTAAGGATATGGTTAGGATTAATGTTAGGGTTAGAAATAGTGTTAGAATTAACAGGGTTAGGGCTTTTGTTAGGGCTAAGCTTAGAAAAAAAATTGGTTTTGAGTCTAAATTGTATCTGTTTTAGAAGTTTTTTTATAAATTAAAATGCTTTTTTAGGCTTAAGACCTCATTTTTACAATTTGATGCTTAACTTCATATTTTTAGACATAAAATGTAATTCTGAAGCTTAGGAATCATTTTAAGTATAAGTATTAATTTTTTAGCATTAGCATTTATTTTTAAACTTTAAACATCACTTTTAAGCCTAAAACTTCATTTTTAAGTTTAAGTTTATATTTTTAAGGCTAAGCGCCTAGTATTCTATTTATAAGCTTCAAAACTTATGTTAAAGCCTAAATGCTTATTTTTTATCATAAAATTCGGTTGTATACCCAGAATTCATTTGTAAGCCTAAAAGTATATTTTTAAGCCGAAAATTTATTTTTAATCTTAAAAGTTCCTTTTTAAACCTAAAATTCATTTTTATGTAAAAATTTAAGTCCTAGTTTTAAATTACTCTTACTTTATGGAAACTAGCTATACAAAAGTAACCATGCCTCCATTAGTAGCCAATCTGTTTGTTATAAAAATGTCATAATTCTTTCCGATGCCGTGCTGCGATGACATGAATATTTCAGGTCTGGCGCTGCTTTCCCTGAGAGATTACACTTATTTTGTGGGCTTAACTTGAAGTGACAATAATATTGTTTTGATATGTTCATTTTGCTTTACTATTGCAAATATACTCTTAGGTTTTTGCTTTTTCTTTGCCTGGTTTTTATATATTTTGACATTTTTTGGGACATTTTGGGTATAAAATTTTGTTTTTTAAATTTTCTGTTGTACTTGAGGTATATTTGAGTTGTTGAAGAAAAGAGATAAGTCAGAGTTTTGTTTTATAAAATTGTAAGGGCATAGTGAAGACAGGGTAAAAGCAGAAGTTTCGAAACTGGTAGGGGAAGATTTGGATAGAGGACGTGGCATAAAGTTAAAGCCATACTAGTCTCTAGCTAAACCTAGGCTATAGTAAAGCTTTTTTAAGAGTTAGAGCTAGAGCTAGAGCTAGAGCTAGAGCTAGAGCTAGAGCTAGAGCTAGAGCTAGAGCTAGAGCTAGAACTTGAACTTGAACTAGAGCTAGATCAAGGTCTAGAGCTAGAGCTAGGGCTCAGAAAATATTTGTAACGCGTTTATATTATCTATAAGTTTATCGTGATTACTTTTTTTACATTCAACATTATTTTAAACCCGATGTTAATAAAAAATGGCATTTTTTTTCAGGCCTCAACGACTATTTTTTCATTATTTTTTCTCTCTACGAACTTTCGAAAAACCACATTTTGATAATACTACAAGTATTACTACTGTAATCTACTTTTACATTCTAAATTTCTTCCTCTCTTGTTACCTACAACAATATCCTTCAAAACCCAAAATTTAAATTTTTGAAAATTTCAAAAAATTTCAAAAATTGGTGTCTTTAAATTCCGGTTTTCGCGCCTTTAAGGCAGCGCGGAAATGCTCGACCAAAGTGTGCATGTAGATCGACCGAGTACGTCGGCTGAACCAAATTTACCCTTAAACTGTACCAGAGTACCAGACCAACTAGTACTCACAAAAAGACGGTCAAGTCTTAGCGGCGGCGCTTTTTGCGCCACCCGTTTTGAACGATGGCACCAGGCGGTGGAATGGCCCCAAACTGGGGGAATCGAGTTAATAGTACCAGTCCGAGTACCATACTGGAGGACTACCATGAACTGGTTGGTACTGTGGCAAAAGTTATTACCTCAACATTATCTACTCAGGAAGGCTTTGGCAGTACGGGTTATGACAGTGGTACCAACTTGCCAAGTGGTACCAATTTGCAAACTGGTACCGGTTTTGATGCTGGTACCGATTTTGGCACTGGTGCAAAAAATGGTCTTAATATACCGACTTTTGGCTTTACTACACCAGGTTATGGTACAGACAACTTTGGTACTATTGATACACAAGCTTTTGACTTATCTACTCCTGGTTTCGAATTTACCACGCCCGGACCACCGGTGGTCGAACGCACTGCCGCAATGTTTGTCTATGCATTGTTTTTGGTGTTGATACCTACTGCCACTATTCTGGGCAATGTTCTGGTCATTTTGAGTGTTCTCAGGTTCAAAGCTCTACATTCTGCCATCAACTTCCTGATCTTGGGTCTGGCTGTGGCCGATCTGTTTGTGGCTGTTTTTGTTATGCCATACGCCGTTTATGTCTATGTAAGTGTCATTTTCCAAATTTAAAAAAAAATTTTTTATTTTTGTACCGTACCTACTCTACCTTACCCTACCCTATCCTACCATACCCTATAAAACAATTTTTTAGATCCAAGGTGGTAACTGGTTCCTGGGCAACTTGATGTGTGATATCTACAGTGCTTGTGATGTAGCCTGCAGTACAGCATCGATTTTCCTTCTCGCTGTGATTAGTTTTGATCGATATCGAGCTGTCAGTAAGCCTATCCAATACTCAAGACAATCTCAAAACATTCGGAGAGTTGTGCTCATATTGGTCATGATATGGGTGGCATCGTTGGCTTTGGCTAGTCCAATTGTTCTTGGTAAGTTGGTTGCTATAGGTTATTTTAGTCAGCGGGTTGAACTGAAATTTTAGGCTTGAATATAAGGTTTTAGGATTGGAAATAAAAGTTTAGGCTTAGATATGAAATTTTAGGCTGAAAATAAAGTTTTAGGCTTAAATATGAAGTTTTAGGCTTAAAAAGAAAGTTTAGGCGTAAGAATGAAATTTTAGGCTTAAAAATAAACTTGAGGTTTAAAAATGAACTTTAGCTTAAAAAGAAATTTTAGGCTTAAAAATGAGATTTAGACTTAAGAATATTAGGCTTAAATATAACCTTTAATCTCAAATTTTTTAATTATTATTATTATTATTTTAGGACTAAACCACCGGCCAGAAGACGCCTCCCCCTACGAATGTCGTTTCTACAACGCCGAGTTCACTTTGGTCTCATCAATAGTGTCATTCGTAATTCCTTGTTTTATTGTTTTATTTGTTTACATTCGAATTATGATGGCATTACGAAAGCGGGAAAAGGCGGCCAAATTACGACGACTGGCTAATCAACAACAAGATCAGTAAGTTCAACATGTTTTTTGTTAAAATTTTAAAGTTTGAGCTGAAAATTAAGGAAAAATGGTTGTTTTGTTATCTAAAACTATGGAAAAATGGACTTTTGTTACCTAAAAATAAGGAAAAGGGTTGTTTTGTTACCTAAAAGTAAGAAACCCAAAGATTTTTTGATAGTTTGTTACCTAAAAATTAATTTCTATCAAATTCCCTTTGGGCACTTAAACTTAAAAGGGGCCCAGTAGCCCCATTTCAAGCCTAGCTCACTGCCGTTTTTGATATTATCTTTATTTGAAAGTTAATGCCATTTTCAATGTTACATTACCTTCTTTCAGCAAACGAGACGGGTCCCTGGACGAAGTAGATGCTGGGCAAATTGTGGCTGCGCCAGGTAGGCCAAACTGTCCACGTTTTTTTTAATCATTTTTTTTCTCCTCTTGTTCGAACAGTTTTTGAAAATTTGAAGACCGTTTTGATTGTCTGAAGTGTCTTTTGATTGTTTTTTTCATTTTATGTCACTACAATGGCACTGTGATCATTAGTAGCACGTTTAGAGAAAAAATCATTTTTATGGCAAAAAACGCGATTTTCTAGGCTTTTTGTGTTAGCAAAATGATTTAATTGTATTTTGCTTTCATTTCAATATTTTTTTTTAAATTTCATATTTATAAAGGTTTAAAAATGGCAGTTACTTGCCGCGCGTCAAAAAGAATTAGGCGATTTCGCTATATAGCGTAATCGAAAAGAGGCCAATTCTTTCTGACGCGCTTTTTGAATTTATGTTTTTATTAGTCAATAACTATAAAAATAATTTAAACAATATTAATTTGTATTTTCAAACTGAAAAACAGATTTTTTTCAAAATTTTTCAAAAAATTTCGAAATTTTTTAAAAAATTTTGAAATTTCAAAAATTTTTAAAAACGACTTTTCCAATTAAAAAACTAAACACAACGTTATACTAACATCACGTCGCCATTGTTGTCCATTATTTTTTCGTTTTTTAATTGCCGTGTTTTACACGTTTTTCTGCACCATTTTGATTGAAGTAAGACCGTTTTATTGATAGCTTTTTACCCACAAACACCTATTTCTGCACCGTTTTTTGCATGTTCTATTGGTATTTAGGTAACAAATTGTGATTTTTTTGATATTTAGGTAACAAAATATTTGTTAAGATAGAAATTGCAGTGATAAGACATTAGCTTATGCAGTGCGCTCAATCTTGAGAAATTTCCAAGGCTTTGCAGTAATTTAGTTAAAAACGGTAATTTAGGTACAATTTTTTAAAAATCTTGTCTTATTAAGCCTAAAACATTTTACAAACTTAATCACAAGCTTTAAATTTTATAGACAATGCTTTAGCTTTATTATCCTTATATACACAAACTTGTAGTCTATGTCAAACTAACCCAAGTTATCCACCTTGAGCCAATGCCAGATATCAATATAGTCTCACTACTCATAACATCCATTAGGTTGTTCAAATAGTCGTGGCTTCCTCTTAAAGTCATTTTTAACGTCAAGGGGCACATAATTATTTGAACAACTTAATGTTAAAGCTATGATCTCACCACTCCTAACCCCATTATATCTATAGTCTCGGCACAATAAACGTTTTTCTAGCGGTGAACGTGTTGATGTTGGCCCTACCATCGATGCAACAGCGGATGCGTCGCTTCGAACGTCATCGGAATGCGCTACAACAAGCAGGCGAGTTGTTCAAGGTTCAGGCCTGGATGCGGCCAATGGGGCGTCGGCATAAAAAAGGCGATCTGCGTCATGCCGACGCGCCGTCGGTTGATATAGCTAGTCGGGCCGAGCCGCCCACTTTGTCTCTTCCGGCCCAAGTCCCAGTTAAAAAGTTGTCTAATCGCGCGATGGTACCGGCACGCGTTGGCTCCAATCGCGCGCCCAATTTGTCCAGCCAAAGTGCGCTGATGCAGATGGCGGAGATGTCGACGAATGCGGTGGGTGTAGCGACATTGGATCCGGAGGCTGCGAGTCAACAACACTCGATTCGAAGGTGTAGATTTGCTGAAGAACAAAGTGTTAAAGAGTACGAGGTCGAGGATGCGTATGAGCATGAAGAGAACGAAGAAGAGGAAACGGATGAGGATGAAGATACAGAATCCGACGATTCAAGTGAAGAGTTTCATGCTTCCGCCAAGAACTTGTTTGCTCGTGTCGGTTGTGGTGTTGCCAACATGTCTCGGTTGACAGATGCAGCGATTAGTGTGATTGGAGCACGTCCACGTCTATCACTGGCTGAGCCTACACTTCGGAAACTGTTACCTCCATCCAAGCGACCGGCTAATATACCGGACACTCCCAACCGAAGAAAGTCTGGTATACCACAATTGGAAACTGTTGAAGTGTGTAGCCCGCAGACGTTAGGTTTAGCTTCTTTGATGCCTCTGTTGGCTACAGGCTCTCTTCGACGATGTAGCGACTCAGTTTCACAAATGAGGACGAATTCTTGTCGGATGGCTAGCAATCAGTCTTTAAGCCCAAACGCCTTTGATGTGAAGAAACATTCATTAAGGCCGTCTAGTGCAAATATGATGGGTCAGACATTTGGTTCTCCGATGACACCACGTGCTACGCCTACAACAAGCTTCACATCTCCTGAAGGGTCGTGTAATGAACTGACTGATCGACCTTGTGTTGTTGATGAACATGTGGTTGATCATGAGAATTTTCATTTGTCTAGTAATCAGGAAAAAAGTCCAGAGTATTTGTGCTCTGACTATGTGCCTTTACAGGATTATGAAGAGGAATCAACCGATGTGACTGAGGTTTCAAAGGGTGAGGAAGGAGAAGCAAAGAGTGAGAAAGGTGAAGCTACGGCTAAGGAAGGTGATGCAAAGCAACAAGCTTTTATTAAAGAGTCTACAGACCTAGTACATTATAGTCAATCCAGTCCATTAGATGAAACACAACATGGGGAAAGCATATCAGCTAACTCCTTACTAAAAGACGCTCCAGAAGGTGAAGCACACAAGCTAGAAGCTACTGTGATGAAGGCTAACACTACTTTGGAAACGGCAATGGAAGGCATGACTGCTTCAGAAACTGCCCAACTGGAAGATGAAATAATGCGTTCATTCACCGACCCGAGGGTTAAACGACATATCGATGATGATAAGAAGAATAGTGTTAGTAGTCAGTCCAATCAACTCTACTTTTCAACTCCACAAACTCCAGTTGATACAAAGAAGTCTAGTCAGAGAACTGATAGAGTGTCTGATGAGGGGGAGAGACTTGGAGATGGCAACGAGCATAGTCAAGTAAGGACAATGACAAAGAAAAATGATGACAAAAAGGATGATGATGAGATGGATCATGATTGTGATGGTAAAGCAAAAGGTATGGCTGTGAAAGCGGAAACTAGAGTTGATAAGGCTAAGACTTCACTGAGTTCCTCCGAAGGTATCAACAGCAGCAATAATGCCCCAGTAAAAAGGCTCCACACGGAAGCAATACACGGTCAAGATCAACAAGCAATTAACCCTGACGATGCATCAACAACAGCTGTCAAAAACACACGTAGTATGTCAAATGAGATCCTCATGAGCTATCAACAACCCTCTTACACTATGTCCCACTCCACATCCAAAGATCCCCCAACCTCGGAAACCCACTCCGACTACGAATCCGACCGTAAAGAGATAATCGACGAAGAAACCGGCCTGAAGATAAGTGCCCGTTCCGCTCAAAAGCACCGTGAAGAGATCTGGGAAGCGCGGATGAAGTTCTTCCAGACCGGTCCTCAACCCGTACTCAGCTCGCGAAGCCCATTGATGCTGAGGCGTTTTGTGTGTGATCCAATCAACGATCCGGAGAATAAAACACTACAAACGATTGAACAGTTACCACCGTTCCGCGGCTCGGTGAAACGTCGTTCCAAACGACGTTACAAACGTATGTCCCGGCTTCATCGGCGTCTCGTATCATTCGTCATTTAACTGCCAACTGTAGCCTGTGCATAACATGAGTATTGTATTGAGGGTGCGTTTGTGGACTGTGTACTGGGAAGGGGGTTTATGGTGGGGGGGGGGGGGAATTATAGAAGATATGTGATGCTTACATAACGTTACAGTAGGGATTTTTTGGGTATGAGCTGTTTATGGTAGGGGGTGTTTAGTTATTAGATTACGAGTAGAGCGTTTTTCTTTATGATAAGGGTGTTTTCAAATGAGGAAGTACATTAGGGGGGGGTGTTTATGGTGAGATTTAGCTCTACGAATGTTTCGGATAGTAAAAGGCTTAGCGGTTGTTATGACAAGTATTTTTCGATAACTAAGTGTTTAAGAGGTTTTAGAGGTGGTGTTATAAAAAAATGGTCACATTGACCCCCCCCCCTTCCCTTCCACACTCAAAAATAGTTTTCCCTCCCTTTTTCCCCTTCTATCCCCCCCCCCTTCTTTCTCGCTTCAAACTACAAGATAACAGAACATTTTAAGCCCGTTTAAGCCTCCTTCCATTCAAAACAACATGTACACGGTACACAAACGCTCTTCTTATCGTATAAGCTTAACAGAAAAAACCAAAAACAATCCTAAGTTGTCGCTATTCTTATGAATCGTTGTCGCTTAACGCCTCAATAAATCAATGTTACTAAAACTGCGAATAAGCTTAACCTACATATAAAGCACATTGTGTAACGTGAACTACATTTTAAGCACATTGTGTAACGTGAAAGTCAGTTTGTGTTTTGTCGTACTAATTTCAAAAAATGAAGCACAAATTCAATAAGTTTGCTTGAAGGGGTTGTACAGTATGTTAATGTGAGATTACGATGTGTCAAGGCTATACGGTACGATTAAGGCATAACGTAAAGAGTTGTGGCTAAAGCATACTGTCAAGAGATAAGGATGATGGTAAAGCAAAAGTTAAAGATGGTGATCCAGAAAGACGTTCAAGAACAACGGTACTAGAATTGTATGGCTTTGTTTACGTAAAGGCTACCACGCATATAAACGCAAAACTACAGTACTCTTCATACTAAAGTTTTTTGCTTTAAATCTACAGTAGTGCCTTGTATGATAATGAAATCCCAATCTACAGTAACCCTTGTATTAAAAATCATGCTTTGGGACTACAACTTGTAGTAACATACAGTGCTTCAACATACCGATTGTAGTACTACGTATCAACTTTACAGTAATTCGTCCAACTATATAAGCGAAGCTTCAATGCTACAGTAGCCCGTCGTATTTGAATGGTTTGCTTGTTGTTTTTAACCCTGATTTTGCTCGTTTGTTCCCCCTATGTTGCGGTTTGGCGTGATTATCACTCACACAACTAACACACTGTGGCCAGATGTAATTGCGATGTAGTGTAGTTATATGAAAGTTTTTTTGATTTTAATACAAAAGTTTTAGATGATCATGACGCGAATTCATCAAGCCCAATCAGCTCGAGTGATTCATTGTCAGACAACCTTCATGTTGTCACCAACGACTTTGTTTCCGAGGCTCCTACTTCTATGTCACGGTAGGCTGTTATGCTTTTTGTAGGGCAGGGTAGGATAAAGTAGGATACAGTACAGTACTGTACAGTACGGTAGGGTAATTTACAGCAATGTATGAAAAGGTATGATGATATTAGAGTAGGGCATGTTAGGGTAATTTTTAATGATATTGATAAAAAAATTTTCAGTAAGTCAAGTGAATACGATTCTCAACAAACCAACGGTACTAACAATCCCACACAAACATATCATAGTCGTAACCGACGCTTGTCTAGGGAATCTTCTTTGCTCAGGTAGGCTTTAAAAATGAACATAAGGCTTAAGTAAAGTACTCTCTCCATATAAGTAATCTCCATGAATCGGCTTTTTGTGTATATATAAAATTTCTATGTACCGTAAGCTCTAATTATCATCCATTTTATTTCCATGACTTATTAAAATTCAAAAACTATTCATTTGAAACTCTTTTGAGTACCATATCACTCCTAAACATCCATTTTCCTTTCAGAAACCCAATGAAACGCTTCAAAAGTCTCCACGTTTCACCGCGCAACATTGCCCTGCCCAACATGGACATTGCCCGACCAGGTGACATCTGGAGACACTTTTCTCGTCGATCACCCAGAATCTTTGGTCCACCAACCATACCCAGTCCGAAACTCCAAAAGAAGTATTCGTATGCAGAAGAGGCGGTCTTCACCACAACAACTCCATTGTTAGACGCGAATCGACGCAAAAGTGACAGTTCTGCCTTTGCCACGACTCCACCTAATGAGTTACAACTTAAAGATGGCATTGATACATGGCCAGTTGATAGTGATATGCAGCAAGAACGAAATGACATTCAACAACTAATCACTGAGATCAATACGCATTCAAATCAGAAGCTGAATTTGATGGGGAATGAGATGAGAATGAAGAGTTTTGAGAATGATAAGATCAATGCTAAGGATGGCAGAAATATGGCTCAAAATGAAGTAAAAATGGCCCAAAATGAAATGAAAATGGCCCAAAATGAAATGAAAATGAACATATTAGAAAATGAAAGAAAGATCAGTATGATTGACAATGAAATGTCTCCAAAATCGCCCAGTCGAAGGTTTGAAGGCGCCTTAACATCGGCCGTCTTGGGCGAAGAGATGGACTATGTTGATGTAGATTCAATGCACGGAAGCCAAACCGCAAAACAAACGATTATCATCTATTCCGAAGAAAATACCTCATCCGTTACGGACCTCAGGTAAAAATGGTTTTCAATTTTTTGACATTTTTGGCGGGAAATTCAAAAATGTTTTGAAAAAAAGTGAATTATTGCTCAAAATGTTAAATTGGTCATAACTTTTTTAAACAAATAGGTAACAAAGCAAAAACTAGACATTATATAGACCATTATCTTGGCTATAATATCCAAAAAATAAATTTAAAAATTTTTAAAAACGTTAAAGTTACAGTAACTTTACTGTACCCACTTTCAGAGATGAAAAGTCTCCAAAACCGACGGAAGAAGAAGCCTTAAACCTGCAGACCTCGCTGAATATTATGACCGTGTCTAGTGATGATCACAGCGTGACCAATGAAGCCACAATTGCCACGGATTCTGGATTTGGTCCCGACTCCAAAGAACATAATGAGATTGTCATTACGAATCTTTGTGCCAAGGAGACCAGTGATACGCCGAGGAAGATCTCCAAGGGAAGGAGATGTGATGATGTAAGTTTGGGTTTTAGAGTAGTAATAGATAGAAAATAAAATAAAAAACATAGACTTTTTGACCGTATTGTAAAATTCTGTAATTTTTTCAATTTTAAAATTAAAAATTTTAAAATTTTCAAAAAAAAAAATTTTTAAATTTCCAAAACTTTTAGACCTTTTGCCCAAAATTAAAATTTTCTAAGAACTTATTGACCAAAATACAAAATTTTACATTTTCAGGCCGGTTCCCCAACTGTAACCTTTAAAATCCCTGGTAAAAAGCACGATAAACATCGACCAGACAGGCCCATCAAGCGACTCTCCTCAGCCGCTCAAATCTATGAGAACAAACGTGCTGTGGACAAAAATGGAGTTACAGGTAGGGTAATTTTAATTGTTTTTATTAATTTTATTATTATTTTTATATTTTTAAAATTTATAATGAAAAAAAAAATTTTTTTGAATTTTTGATACAAAATCGGAAATTAGATAACTACGGTAAAGTTACTGTAACTTTTGCATTTTTTATAATTTGAAAAAGGTTTAAAAATGGCTAGTTGAGAAAGGTTATTACCTAAATTCACTAAAAATTTCAAGTTTCTACCGACTTTTTAAAAAAAGTTACAAAGAAAAGAAAACAAAAGACTCATACCTACTACAACATCAAGTATTGAACAAAAAACAATTAAATTTATATACTATTTTCCCCAAACTAATTTCGAATACTCAAGAACCTCATTTCAGACCCAAATGACCCAAAACACAAGCGCAGCTTCTCTCAGCGTCTGCGTGGTTCACTTGGTGCTGTGGTAGGACCAACCAACTCGAGGTCAGAACACTCCATGGATAGTTGTTACTCCTCGGGTCAGTCACAAGGTACCAATACGACAGTTGGTGCTGGGAACTCAAGTGGTTCGAAAGACTCGAAAAAAGGTCGAATTTTATCGAATTCGAAGATTAATGGCAGTACAACTGAGCTGGCAGTTCGTATGGTAAAGAAGGCTATCAATCGAAAGGAGTCGAGCTTGAAAAGAAAGGTGAACAAGGCTCAACGGAAAGAGAAACGGGCTACTAAAACATTGGGGATTGTCGTTGGTGAGTTTTTTGAATACTTTAGGGCTTAACGTAGACCTGTGATGGCTCTACCTGATCCTAACCTAACGTAATGTACCGTACTCTATCCTATCCTAACCTACCGTATCATACCTTACTGTACCCTAACTTTTAATACCCTACCTTATCTTAACCTACCATTATACATCTTATTATACCAAAACCCAACTTCAGGTATCTTCCTGGTGTGCTGGGTCCCCTTCTTCTTCATCAACATCCTCACCGGCATCTGCACGAAACTGGACATAGAAGCGTGCCAAATTGGGTTTGGCCCCTTCTTCTACGCCACCTGGATCGGCTACATGAACTCGTTCATGAATCCGGTCATCTACACTATCTTCAACACCGAATTCCGTCGCGCCTTCAAGTCGTTGTTGTTGGGTAAAAGCACGAATCGCCGGAATCGCGGGCACCCGGTGTGAGGATGAAGGTGTAAACAAAGTTTTCGTCAAATTGTAAATAACTTTAATTGAAAAATTTAACCTTTCAGGCTTATTTTGAGTATGAATAAGCCGTTTTTTGTCTGACTTTATCAAAATTTTGTGGTTTTTATCATATTTTATCGATTTTTTGTAAATTTTTAGTGATTTTGGTCGCTTTTTTGATTGAAAAAGGTCATTTTTAAACTTGAAAATCATTTTTTAAAACTTTTAACTTGAAAATGATTTATGGTCATTTTGAATTAAAAAAGGCCTTTTTCTTTTTTGGTCCGTTTTTCTTTATCATTCACCTCTCTTTTTTACATACTTCCTATCCAAAACTGACCATTGCTTTCTCTCCATATTCTAATGGGTCTCAAGTCCGAATCGAAACAAAAAAACTCAGCTATTTAAAATGTGTTGAACAAAACATTACTATACGATGTCATTAATAAACTTTTATCATGTTTGTGGAGAGTTAAATACACCCTATATCTAAAAGCTACAGGTCCAAAACCATTCAAGAACATTAATATTTACTTTGACCAACGTTAACAATATCATTTCTAAAATACGGTAGGTTAATCTCTAGATTCTCTTTGAAGATACTGTTCATCGCCTGCGTGGGCTGTTGCTTCTCGACCGGTATTTTCTTCTTTTCGAATTGTAGTCATCTTCTGACGATGAGCTTCTGGATCGTTTTTCATATCGACTTCTTCTCCTTCTGTCGTACCTGGAACGGCTACTAGACCCCTCATCGTACCTGGACCGGCTACTAGATCTCTTATCGTACCTTGAACGACTGCTAGATCTCTTATCGTTCCGTAAACTGTTAGATCTTGACCTTCTTGAGCTCCTGTGAGTAGATGAGCTTCTTGATCTTCTCCTCGAGCCTCTTCTTCCACATGAACTTCTTGATCTACGTCTTCTACGTTCTACAGACCTCGAACGATGTATTCTGCCTTCCGAGCTTCTAGATCTATGCCTTCTTATTGAAGAACTTCGATCCCGATGCCTGCTTGTAGATGTACTTCCAGATCTTTCTCTTCTACCCGTACTTCTTGACCTATCTCTTCTTCTTTCTCTCCTTTTAGGCCTATCTTTCGTTATAGAAGACCTTGATCCTGGCCTTCTTTCGACGTCAGAAACTCTTTCAGAATCCTTTCCTTCAATTTTATGTTTTTCCACAGCTTCTACCATACCTAATCCTTCCGGTTTTTCGGTTAAAACAAGTTGTTCTACTTGGTTTTTGACCAAATTCGTAATCAATGAAGGTAAGACCTTTTCTGCTGGTATTAATGAAGAAGTTCTGTCATTGTCTTCTTGTGTTTGGTCTTCTACATCATAATTTTTAGCTTTACATCCACTTTTCATTGCTTCCACTTCATTATTCAGTCCTTCCTCACCAATTTGACCTTCCTCTTCTTCATCATCATCATTTGCAAAGACTTCTTTAACAGATTTTTCAATCTCGAGTCCTTTTCTACCTCCCTTTTCAGCTTCAAGCCCTTCTTTAACATCTCTTCCACCTTCCAACGCATCCTTAACGTTCTCAACCTTATCAACCGGTCGTTCTTCCTTATTTTCCCGTTTTCTTTTCAACAGATCCGCCATAAATTGTCTTGCCTTTTCTCGTCGAATTTGTTTCACCTTCTCATCGGCAATGACTTCGGCTTCGTCCGTCGGCCATTCCCGGGTTTCTGGAGGTTCTGGTGCTTTCGGTATTGTACTGGAAAACCCATTTTTCGATGAAAAATCTATAGAATTATTTTTCACACCACTGCCTATAGTGTTTTCCGTGTAATTTTGGTTTGAAACGTCATTTCTTAAACTTGAATTCAAATTTTGATACCCCTGATTATATGGTTCACCACGATACGTTGAGGTTGGACCATTACTGGATCCTTCATATTGTCCATGACGATTTACATTGCCATAATCTTGTTGTACATGAGCAGTCGTAACATTTTGTTGACCATAGTTGTCATTACCAGATGCTTCTGTAGGCGATTCCAAGGCTTCAAAGTACTTGCTTCTAACAAATGGTGATGCGTACGGATTAAGTTTATATTGACATTGGCGTATTCTGGTGTGATAAACAATGTTATATGGGTTGTCCGGGTAGAGGAACGTAAGTTTTGAACGGTTTTGCTCTGGAATGGAAAGGATTATATTATAGTAAACATAAAATATTTTTTTGATTTAAAATAATTAAAATATTTTTAAAAAATGACAAAAAATTAATAGTTTGGCCTGAGAGCCGAGCACAAACTAAAGCCTAGCCCAACCTCTTTACAGCTCCATCCCAATAACACCCACCCAACAATCTATTTTCGGCGAACGCTCCATTAGCTGCCACATATCTCGCTGCCAGATCAATCTGTTCCCATGTTTCTTGATCTGGCCTAACCGGCACTAGAGGTGGGTTCGGGCAGTTAGGCGTTGGTCTTTGAAAGAAGTTCTGATGCCAAGTGTTGTAATTATGAATCTCAGTCGGATCGGTTTCGTAGCTAAATTGAGGTTCTGAGGTTGAAGGTTCTGGCTTTGGTTCCGGCGGAGGTTCTGGGGGTTTTACCGCGTGAATCGCGTACAATGATGAATATGGATTGTCCTGAAGGTAGCAGGGTTTAGGAAAGTCAAAATGGTTTTAAAATGTCATAAAATTTCAAAAAATGTCAAAAATCCAAATTTTTTTTAAATTTCAAAAAATTCAAAAAAAAATTGCCTTCAAAACTCCTTACATTTCCATTCTTATTCAAACTACTAGGTAACGGTGGTAATTTAATCGGACTTTTTTCCGTCTTCTTGTCCACACTACTGCCTCCAGCCAATAGTGGATGCAGGTAATCACCATCACTGTCCGAATCCGACTCTTCCTCTTCCTTCACATAATTCTCCGGCTTTTGGTGAACAAACGATTCGCCTGGCTTTGGCTGATGCTTCGGCGGTGCCGGAGTGTACTTCTTTTCTCGGATCAGCTTGCACATAAACTTGTAGAAGGAGAATAAGATGTTGTCAAAATTGAGAAAGTCGAAGCTTTGATTTTGGTCTCGAGAATGTTTGGCTTTAATGATTACCTCCATTTGTGGGCCGTTTTGGACGACAAAGTTGGCTGTGCGCTCGATTAGGTGACCGTGCTTTTGGGTTTCTGGCTGAAATTGATTTTGTTAATGATGATATATTAGAAAAAGGAAGTCCAAGAAATAAAAAAAATCATTTTTAGGTAATGAAAACTTGACGAAACTTCAAAAAATTGCATTTTGTGGTCAAAATTTTAACTTAATTTTACCCTCCCCTAACCTATTTTAAACTTTACCCAGCCTACAACTTCCAATAACCTACCAAAACCAAACCAGTAGGCATCTTAATCCCTTCTGGCGACTGATAAGGCTGGTTTGCCTCCTCATCATCGCTCTCCTCCAACTCGTCCTCACTATTATTATTCTCTTCAGCATAATTGAAGGCAATCTCAGCTCTCTTCCTTCTCTCCTCCCTCTCGTCTTCTTTTATTCGTTTTTCTAGGTCTTTGTATCGTTCTTGTTCACACAGTTCCTCTTCTACTTTGTCATACTCTTCTTCCGCCAGTTTTCCCGCTTCACCGATGGTTTTTGAGCTCAAATCCAATAGATATAGACGGCAGTCGTATCTGAAATAAGTTTTAGTAAAGCAATGTTAAGTTATAGATTGCGGAAATGTCAAAGTTAATGAAATATTGTACATGATATTCATGTACCGCGCCAAGTTTACCCCAGTGACTTACGAATTGTAGAGTAAAACTTGTGTTTTGACAGAGTTTTTATAGCCAATCCATCATCTAAAATTGAGAAATTAGTGAATATAGCTAATTAATGAAATATTGCACATACTTTTTAAAAAATTCATTCTAAAATACGCCTTAAAAAAAAGTACATAAAAGACTTAAAATTTGCTTTTAAAACTTAAAAATTCAATTTTAAACGTCCTCGTTATTCCAAAAAAAAAAATAGTAAAAAACCTAAAATAGTAAAATAATATTAATAAAATTCCGTTTTAAAGTAATAACTATCAAAAAATAAACCTAGATCAATAATATTTTATAAACGTATAAAGCAATATTGTTAGCGGTAAAAAGGAAATCCAAATCTTTTCAGAAACGTGGGTATCTGACTATCCTGGTAAGTGTCACTGAATATTGATACACTTCTATACCTTGAAAAGCTATAAAATGCCCGTAGATCAACAAAAAATCACTATAGCCCTTTTATATCAGCTAAAACGATCAAAAAGTATCAAATATCAAAAAAATCCAAAAACTTCAAAACAAACTTACTCCGTAAACCAAAGCGATCACTGGCTCGTTGATCTAAAACATCGCGATACCCCATTAACATCCCATTAAAAGGCAATAAGTAATTAACAAAGTTAGCATTATAGCACATAGACAATACTAAGTCTATAGCAGATCATACTGTCTATATAAACTTTATACTAGAGCAAGTATAAAGTTTATACTAGGGCAAGTATAAAGTTTACACTAGAGCAAGTGTAATGTTTGTCCTATTGTCAAACCTTCGTACCGATCAATCAACAGCTCCTCATCGTCATTCCACGGAATTAGAAGGTCTTGATCCGACCGGAACTTGACTGAATCTTGAGGAAACAACCGCGATTCGTAGCCACGTACACACAAATCGTCGTTCTCCTAAAATTTTTATTTTATTCACCTTCAAAGAATACTTATAACGTTCGTAAGAAGCCAAGCCAAGTAAAGCGGCTAGTTTAAAAAATTATGCCCGGCTGCTTATATCTACTTATAAAATGTTGTGGTATTTTCTAAATATCAAAATAATGAAAGACAAACTTACTTCATCTGAAGACATTTATAACGACCAAACAAAGAGTTGTGCTCAAGCTCCGCCAACCAGTCTACAAACAGAACATCAGCAACAATATAATTACAGCAATAATAAAATCAAAAAAATTTCCAAAAAACGTTTCCACGATATTATAGTAGACTCAACTACAAGTCAATCACAAGTAAATGACTTTGAAAACCACAATATTCTTTATTTCGCATAATTAAACAGTAAAAGAGTTCAACAAATAAATTATTAACAGATCATTGAGTAAATTCAGTCTAAAAAATAGATAATTATCACCAGAAGACAGACTTCCAAAGATTAGTCGGCCCCAACAAACTTTGAGAGCAATGCTTGTTTCTTCCGTTCTACTATCATTTCTTCAATGTCCTTTTGAGAAGGTACCATAACATGTTTGATTATCATTTCACGACCATCGTCTCCTAATACCACTGATTCTTTTACATCAATTGGTTCGGCTTCTCCATCAGAATCCTGAAATAATTTTTTAAAAAGAATGTTAATATAAAATATCGGTTTGACATTAAAGTAGAATCTACTACAATATAAACACTCAATAGTTTCCGAATTGTGAACTTAAACTTTAGAAACTCAAAAGTATTAACTAATGTGTCATTTTATGTTGTAGTAGATGATATAATACCTAAAAATAAAACATCAAAAAAAATAAAAATTTACTTACATCTTCCACTTGGTAGATATTATCATCCAAATCCTTAATTTTATTCATTTCCGGCCCTTTTTTCTGAAACTCTTCTTCCAATTTCTGTTTAGCTATAACTTCTTCAGGTTTTTCCAATGGTATCAACCACCCATCGTCCTCATCCATGTATCCATAATAATGCGCATCTACATTCTTCAATAACTGTTTCCTTGTGGCTCGTTTCTGAACTTCTTCATCATCAATTTCACGTTGAAACAGCTCTCTAACACCGGGTAAATCCTTTGCTGCTCCAAAATATTTATATCCTCGGTTACTTTGAACTTCACGGCCGTCTTTGTCCAATTCTCGTGGTGCTACTTTCCTTAAAAAGTGAGTTATCAATGTTTAGACAAAAATAGGTAATAAATCGTTAAAATAGAACTATAGCCAGGTTTTTCAGTATAAATTATTAAGCAAAATAGTAAAACCATCAAAAGTTAAAGCTTGTTATATATTTCAAATAGTTCACGTCGTCTTACTTATAGTCAGGTCCTCCAAGTTCAAGTATCCTCCTCTCCCATGCGTTTTTCACTTTGAGCATCTTGTTTATGTCGTCATTGAGATCACGTATCTTAAACTCGCCTAATCCCGGATTCTAAAACAACAAATCAACGTTAACATTCATAAAAAGCTACTTTTAAAGTTTGAAATTTACGCATTCGGAAACGTAAAAGTTAAGCCAGTTTTAACAACACCATCTTTTGGATTGCCATTTTAGATCAATTCTAACATCTAAAACCAAAAGAAAAACAGTAAAAAACATACCTGAATATTGGCAATCTTTCTAGCCACATCTGCCAAAACTTCTCGACGATATCGCTCTGCATCGACAAGTTTATCACAAAGTCTAACATCGTTCGGCCGCTTCTCCATCGGCCCTTTTTCCTCTTCTTCCTTCATTCTTCGCCATCTAGCTAATGCTGTCATTGCTTTCTCTGAGTTTCTAGCCTGAAAATTGACATAGAAATAATAAAAAGTGTATTATATTATATATCTTACTTTTAACCATTTTTTTAGCTAACATATACTTTGAAACAGTTAAAAACGTTATTTACAACATTTAAAACACCAAAACCTTTAAAATCTTACCATTTTGATGAATTTTAATCCAAAATTGTACTAAAAACGAAGGTTATAAAGGTTATTCAAAAATATTTCTAAATTTATAGAAAGAAAAACAATTGCGCCAAAAATAATATTTTCTTTGGCATTTCGCCTTAGCTTTTTTGTTTTCGTGTCAGGACCTAATTGCTCTTACAATGTAATGACAACGGTAAGTAAACCCATAAAAAAAAAGTTATAAAAGTTAATAACCACCCTTGCTGTTATAAAATTGTTATTAAAAATCGTAGTGAAGCGGGTAATTACAGGTGGACTAATCTGTTTGTTAACTATTTACCTATAATGTCAACAAACAGTCGTATTCGACTCTAATTTGTATGCAAAACCACCTCAACTGCAGGTTTGTGTTATGAAAAACCTTTTTTTACATTATTGACTTGTGTCGGCTATGTTTCAAGTATAAATTAACATGGATTTTGACACCATTTACGGCGCTGGCTACAATAAATCAACGTTTTATGGTCTTCAGGTAGGGGTTTGGGTATTACGGAGAAGTTGTTTGTTGTTGAAGATAAGGGAAGGTATTTATTTGTTGTTGAAGATATCGAAAAGCTTGTTTTTGAAGTTATTGATTGTTGTTTTATTGGTTTTAATAATTTTTAACGTTTTATCTTCCAGTATCAAGCTCATGATGGAGCAGAACAAACTTTGTGTTACGAAAAATTTGGCATTTTTGTAAGTTTTTGCGATATTATCATAGGAAAACACAAGGAAATTACTCAACTTCTTGTACTTACATGATTTTTCTTAATAAAAAGTTTGAAATCAATCAGAGCAGGGCTGGTTGGGCACTTTCTTTGGTAGTGTATTACCTTTTTTAGCATAACTTTTTTTAAAATGAAGGTAGAAGCTTGGAAATTTGATAGATTGTAGACCATTTTGTATACCAGTTACTGGAAAAAACAAAGTTTTAATTTTTTTAAATTTGACAAAGTTACAGTAATTTTACTGTACCTTAGTTCTTGAAACTTACATAATTTTAAAGGTTAAAAGCTATAGCTCATGACTTTACAATAAAAAATAGGTTTTAGACCTCACAATTACACCTTAAAGCCATAATTATCATCTTTTTCAGATGTTTTCAATTTTAATTTTCAACTGCGTATTGGTACTCGTAAACATTGTATTTGTAGTAATTGTTGTCATTGCCTACAAAAAAGTATTCTGTAATTGGAGGATGGATGAGGACTTTGATATTGAAAGTTTGGGTAGTAGTTTTGTGTCAGATAAAGGCAGAGGATTTAGATCAAGCTGGTTTAACAGTTTGTTGAAGAAGCCGGTGGATAAGGTAAAAATTTTAAAGTTTAATATTAGGCTTGGAAGGCATTTTTAGTAGATTTTTGTCATTTCTATGAACTTTTAGACCGCAAAAAGTTTTTTTGATAAGTTTTTTAAAAATGTGTTCTTTTTATTATCTATAATTACATTTTTCAGCCCTATGACCCAACGGCTTCACAGCGTTCCCAGCTTCGAAAGACCGTGAGTCAAGACGAGCGGCACGATCTGATTCCGGCCGTAAAGCGTCGAAATTCAATGGAACAATTGCGTTTGAAGAAATGTGTTTCTTTTGAAGACGAACCCTCTCCACGAAGGTTCAATTTGAATGTGGAAGTGCACGATGAGTTTCAGTTTGCCGATGCTGATGCCATTAAGCCGGCCGATGAATCTTCTAAAACTGCTAAACGTAGTGATTTGTAACCAATAAGGAATGTTTTAAGTGTTTTAAGAGGGCGTGGTAATTTGTAATAAGTAGTGGTTTTTTGAGAGGGCGTGGTAAAAAAATTATTAGGCAGGATAAGAGTGGTTCCTTGGAAGGCGGGGTAATAAATATTTTTAATAGGTGGGGGAGGGGGGGGATATAACGTAAATTTAATTCTGCTTTATTTTCTCTTTAGCTATGCCTTTGAGGGCGTGGTAAACATTTATTTCATTGGGGGCGTACGTTTTTTTTGTAAGGCAGGTTTAAAAAAATTATTTTAAAATTTATATTGTCATTAACCATTTGTCATATTGTCATTCATCATAAAAAAATATTTATAATTCTGTAAAAATAAATCATATCATTGTACTATTCTGTACCGTACTATTTATATTATACGTAAATCTGCAAAACTCATCAAAAATGATAAACTGTAACATAACGCTTCAAACAGGTTTTATTGTTTTAGTTTTCAGTGTTTAAAGGTTCTACAAGACAAATGTTTTTCGAGGGTGGATATTGTCATGGCTACAATATTTTCTTGTTTTTTATAAATTGAGAAACGTCGGATGACTTAAGGCTAGGAAAGTGTGATACGTTTCCGGTTGCTATGTTTATTATTTTTGCAACTTTTTTGTATTAGTAAGAGACCTATTTAGGTCTAATAATGTTTTAGGCTTAAAATAGATCTGAAAAGGGTAGTCCGAGCCAAAGCAACTTTGAAAGGGGTCTCAGCGGCACAGGTGGGCTTAAGAGCCGGGCTCAAAGCATTAAACCGGGCCCAACGAAAGGCCTGGTTTGTGGGCTTACATGCCTAATGTTAAAAATAACCTTTTATTGATGAACGGGCTGTAAGCCTTATATATATATTTTTTTAAATTTGAGGTTTACCTTTCAAACCAAAAATTTATTTTTAAGCCTAAAGTTGTTAATTTCATTTTAAGGCCTAAAATTCATTTTTAAGCCTAGAAATTATTTTATATACCTAAAAATACATTTTTGACTTAAAATTCATTTTTGTGCTTAAAGTTCATGCTTTAAACTTTTTTACAGGCTAATATTTATTATTAGACTAAAATTTAAAAAAGTTTGTTTTTTGATGTTTACAATACGTGGTAACCGATAAACCAATAAAAGATTAAATACCAAGTAATAGGTTTCCCACGGACTTTGTAAATCTCTATAAAAAGGCAAAACTGAAATTTGAAACCATTTTTGCTTTATTTATTCTTGTCAAAAAAATAACCTTCAAATTCGATAATCCGCCATTTACAGACTTTTTTAATTTGAACATGATCTTTTGGTTTGAAAGCGATTTTTAAGCCTAACAGGTGTTGAGTTAGGGCTAAGAGTAGGGGTAATTATTCGTGCTGACAAATTTAATAATACGTGTAACATCTAAATTTGATTTTTCAGGTTAAAAAATATATTTTTTATTACATTTTATTTTCTATAATATTATTGTTGTCATGGCCATATCAATCAATCAACAACTGGTATCTGTTTCTAAAATCATCATAATATTCGGACTTCTTTATCTTATTATTAGTTTTTATAGTCAAGGTAAGTCATTTTATGCTTTTTCTTGCTGTACTTCACCCTAGCCTCATTTACCCTATCCTACTGTAACTTTCTTTGCCCTACTTTATTTCACTCTACTCTACAATTACCTGTTTTTCCTGCCCTGCTCTTCAATGACTTACTTTTATCTGTCCTGCACTGCAGTGCCGTGCTTTGCTATGCCCTTTCGGGCTCTGCTTTTCCTTGTCTGGTCGTCTCCTGCCTTGTCTTGGCCTGCCCTACCAGTTGAATTAATTAGAAATATTTTCAGATTACACACCAGATGCCATAGGACAAATAGAGCAAATATCAGTTAGACTAAAGTATGTTTTCTGATTTTTAACAATTGTAAAGAAACCTATCTACTTTAAGAAGATCAGCACCGGATAAGTACATAGGACTGGCATTTGGGTCTTGCAATGGATTGGCTAATCAGGTAAAGCTAATCTACTCTACTTTACTTAACCTTACTATACCTTACCTTACTCTTTGTAGTGAATAGGCAAAAGGGGGTATGTATAACGTTATATATTGTCATTCCAGATGCAACGCCACGCATCTCTACTAGGCATAGGCAAACAGATCAATCGAACGCCGTTTATCGATGATCGTAGTGCTTGTTCTCGAGCTGTGCTACCTGAATTAGTGGCTGCAATGCCAAACTTTTACAAAGGAATCTTATTGCTACGACCAAATCAACCTAAAAAGGCGGCTGTTCCTTTCAATGTTAACATCTGTCAGTTTGTCAACGCTTCAGTGTGAGTTTGGGTTTTTAATTATACTGTAGGATAAGATACGATACGGTAATGTGGGGTGGGTTAAAGCAGCGCAGAGTAAACAAAGGCAAGGAAAGCAAAGCACGGCACGGCAAGGCAAGCCAAGCCAAGCCAAGGCAAGACAAGACAAGGCAAGGCAAGAAATGCAAGGCAAGGCAAGGAAAGGCAAGGCTGGGTAAAGTAGATTAGGGTAAAGTAGGCTAAAATAGGGTAATTAGTTTCAGTTGCAACTTAGAACATTGTTTTAGGCTAGATGGCAAGTACGAATCAGAAAAGTATGTTAAACTTCGATCCTATCTTCTGCAATCTTACAAATATTTTCATTATATGAAACCTGAAATTCGAGAAGTTTTCAAGTTTTCGGTCGAACAAAACGATTTTGTGAATCGATTTGCAATGGAACTTATGGGGTACGCTTTTAACTTTATTTTTTTATTGATATCCTTGAATAAAACTCAATTTTCTACGGATTTTTTTGACCAAAAATTGTTTTTTTTGTCTGGTTTTAGATTAAAAATTAATGTTCTATAAAGTTTTTGACTAAAAAAATGATTTTTTTATAACTTTTTGAACTAAAAATGCGTTTTTCTATGAAACTATTGACCCAAAATTTTACAACTTCAGTAACTCAACATCCCATAAGGTATGTGTTCACAGTAGGAGAGGTGACTTTGTCCACCATCCCTTCTTGTTGGCATCTAAACATTCATTTACAAATCCAGCACTCCAATTCATAACGAATCGACTAAAGAAGGAACATAAGAACCTTGGCCTAATATTGATTGGCGAAGACAAGAAGTTCGATAAGGACGTGAAGTATGATAAAAATGTAGGTTTTTATAAGATACGAATGAGAGATCATGTAAGGTAGGTTAAAGACATAGTAGAAGTAGGGACAAAGGCAGGACTAAAGCTTTGGATTAGGGCTCTGGGCTAGGGCGATGGGTTAGGGCTCTGGGCTAGGGCTTTGAGCTAGGGCTCTGGGTTAGGGCTCTGGGTTAGGGCTCTGGGCTAGGGCTTTGAGCTAGGGCTCTGGGTTAGGGCTCAGGGTTAGGGCTCTGGGCTAGGGCTCTGGGCTCAAAATTTAGTACCAGGCATATTTTTTGGTACAATCCTACATGTCTACATGTAATGATTCCAGATTTTCAAAGAAGTGTACCACCCCTCCGGCCTGAGTCGTACTCAAGACATGCTCTTCTCCTCAAAATATTGTGATACCCTACTCATAACAGCCTCGGGCTCAACGTTTGGCTGGTGGATTGGCTACTTAATGGCAGAGGAAAAACAAAAAAATATTTTTTATAATTTTGTCGCAACTAAAAATGCCAAAGATTGCCGCGACAGATACGACTTTGACACATATCCTCCGGAATGGACTCGGCTACGGCTTCAAAATGGTACTAATGGTCATGTTGTAGTGGAAAAACGATGGCACAAGGAGATTGTACAGCAAGAAAAGGCTGAAGTTTATAGGAAATGGCTCAAATTTTAGAATTTTTGTTGGTTTTACGGGTAGCTTTTAATAAAAATTGATGGTTTAATGACATTTTTTATGAATTTGTACACCAAAATATTTTCTTTTAATTTTAGGTAAAGCCTTATATTTTAGGCCTAAAAATTTTGCAAAAATTTAATAATATAACCAAAAAAAGTACAAAAAAATGTAACATTAGGTAAAAAAAATAAGATCAAACACGTTTTACAGAGGAAAATTCTGAGATTTTCAAAGGTTTTTTGAGTAAAATAGAGTTGTGCTTCTTGAATTCAACCAAACACGCCACATAATCATTGATTGAGATTGGGTATTCTTGAACAATCTTGAACTTCTTCATATCATAAATCTGAAATTTTAAAATTTTATACTCTACTTTACTCTAATCCACTCTGCTCTGCCCTACCCTGCCCTACCCTACCCTACCATACCCTACTCTACCCTACTTTACCCTACCCTAACCTACCCTACTCTACCCTACCTTACCTTACCAAACCCTACGCAACCATACCCTATCCTGCCTTTCTTGCTTTATCTTGTCTTGCCCTGCCCTACTATACCTTAGGACATCGGAGTATCGGACTAATCGTACCCATATTCTATTCGGTACCTGCCCTACTCTACCCTCATAATACCATAAATTATCCTACCCAATCAATCCTGCTTTGTCACTCATCACTAATCAACCCTGATTTCTCAAGTCCAGTACAGTCCAGTCCTGCTTGATTTTTCCCCCTTAGGCGTTAAACTGAACTCACCTGGAGACCATTGTGCCAAGTCAGCAACAAAAAGGCGGAACGACCATTATGAGCTAGTCCAATCGCGTCTCTTGGGATATTCGGAAAGTAATCAGTGATATTACCCTTGAATGTGGCTACATTCCAATATGGATCGTATGTCACAAATTTCTGGCCCTAAACACATAACAATATGACAATGTTTATCTACATTTAATCCCTCTAACACTATTTTTTAACAAACTTACATCAGATATGATGATGTTTCCATCTTTCCATTGGAACGCCAGTCTAGGTACAAAAGTGATGTTCTGGTTCAATTGTTGTGGACTGTTCCTGGCTGGCTAAAATTTGTTTTTAAATTTCATTTTCATACTCTGCCCTTGTCGGCGTGTACATATCTAAAGAAGCCGAGCCCAACTTCTAGGCCTTGCTTTGGTTTGGACCTAAGCCTATAAGCCCACATGTCCCTGCCCTGTCCAGCCCCTTTTAAATTTGCTTTGGCCCGGCCCTGTAGACCAACGTTCACGCCTACATCTTGTCCTCTAGGCGTAACCAAAAGTACCTTAACATATTATAACTAAAAGTACCAAATCATAAACCCTATCTTACCCTGAATCGCTGCACCTTGTCGCTCCATCTGAATCGATACACCTTCCTATGATCGAAAAGAACTGTCACTCCGCTCTTCAGATTTGTCATGGCCGCGTTCACTCGTCTTGGCCCATCCAAGAACAAATCACTAATCTTGTAGCCGGCCCTCTGTTGCAAGCCCTTCTCTCTCCAAATCTGATAAACATATTCACCAGCGAATATGTAGGTACGATGGTTCCTACCCTCAGTGATGGCATCAAAATGTTCTGGACAATTGTGTGGATCAGCAGACATTAACGGAGCCTTCAGAAGAGGGAATTCATGCTTGGAAGGAGTGTTTTGAATTCGCCAGGGCTTGTCAGAAAGAAGATTGAGGTCCAGCAAGGAGCGACGGGGTTTTGAAGCTGAAATATGATGAAAAATTAAATTTTAGGTTAAAAATCAAAACTAAACATCACATTTTAGGCGTAAACCTAACTTTAGGCTAAAAACAAAATTTTAGGATTAAAAATAGAATTTTAGGTTTAAAAATGAATTTTTGATTTAAAAATGAAATTTTAAGCTTAAGAAAAGTGTAGGTTTACCAGTTCGTCGCTTTCTCAAATAAGGATCAATGCCTTCCTGTCGAAGTAAAGCGTACTTTTCAATTTTCGTCAATTTTGGCAGCTTTTTTGGCACAAAGATCCGCTCTCCATCAATAACAACACTCCTGTTCTCGTCCAGCTTGCTTTCATCAATGATCTGAAACAGTTTTTATATTCCTCAGACCTGAGGCTTTACTTATCTTAATAAAAAACACCAAGAAACATATTATTTTAGGCTGTTTGGACTGTTTAAAAAAAACTAGCTTTTTAGGTACATTTTTTATTGCCAAAAGTTAAAATTTGCGAAAGTTTTTAAAAGATTATAATAATTTAGGTAACAAAAATTCACAAACTTACAATTTTAGGATGTCTCAAGCCCGATACGGGCCGCACAAAGCAGTAGATTGCCAATAACAATATTGTTGTTGTCCAAGCAAGGTGGTTTAACATTTTTGAGATCAATTCGAGCTTATTTTGCCAGCTTTTTCTGAAAAATAAATTATTTTAAGTTTAAACATAGATGATCACAAAATAGGACAACAAACGGTCAAAAAGTTTATAGAAAACACGAAAATATCAATGCGCGTCAAAAAGAATTGGTCGCTTTTCATAAGGATTTGTTAAGAAAAGGGATCAGTTCTTTTTGACGCGGACAAAACAATTTGTGAATATTGGTCAAAAAGTTCATAGAAAACACGAAATTTTTAAAATAAATATTAGGAAGACTTGGTACTTTCTAAAAATTCTTAAATTTTGTTATTTTAGGTATGAGTTTAACAAAAAATGGCAGAGTTTAATATATACTTTATTATGGCCTGAAGCTTACAGTTTATAAGCCTTTTATAGTCCAAAAATATCAAATATTAATATAAAAATGATACAAAAGCCAAACCAAGCTGAAATTAGTAATCACGTCTAGGAACATTACCCTATCATGTTTCTTACGAACAAAAAAAACTTTTCCGAAATCAAAACAAATAAAAGGTCAATTCGAATAATTCGTATTTGCTAATTCCACGAAAATACACGCTTTCAATTTGAATGGACTAAGTTGACGATTAGCCGAGTTACGTTACCATGGGCTTAGGAGTGGTATTGGGAATACATACATTGGAGTAAAACATCAATTTTTTTTTAAAGTTGGTTATCATGCTTAAAATTGAAGTTTAGCCCTGAAATTTCATTTTTATGATTCAAGTTCATTTTTAAGACTAGAACTTATTATTAAGCCTAAAATTTTATTTTTAAGCTTAGAATTATTTTTTAGGTTCAAAATCTCATTTTTAAGCCTAGAAATTATTTGTAAGCCTAATATTTGAGTTTTAAGCCTAAAATTCATATTAAAGACTGAAATTCATTATCAAGCCAAAAATTCATATCTAAGCCTAAAATTCATGTTTAAGCCTATAAATATATGTGTATGCTTAAACTTCATTTTAAGCCTAGAATTCATTTTTATGCTTTAAATGTAATTTTAAGCCTAAAATTCCATTTTCATACCCTGCCCATATGTACCCAGTATACATATAAGAGCCTAAAACTTATTTTAAGCCTAGAATTCAGTTTTTTTCTAAACTTTATTTTTAAAATTCGAGCTAATTTTGAAGCTCAAAATCCATTTTAAGCCCTCACAAAGTAATATTGACCACAAACAAATGCAGGTACATTTCGATATTGACCACAACCAACTGCAGGTACAGTATAATATTCTGATTTAAAAATTAGTCACCGTTTTCCCCAAAATCTTTGTTTTTTCGGATTACACAATGAAAAACTTGATTTGAATTTCCGCTGCTTTATTTACAAAAATTCTGTTTTTAGATCAGGCGCTCTGCCAAATTTACGATTGTTTTTAGATTTTTGTAAAAACTTGGCTTTATCAATATTCAACATTACAACGTGAGAATTAAGAAAAATAGCAAAAAATACAAGTCATATTACAATTTACTAGATTTGAAAAAGACCCCACCCACTAGACCCAGCCCGGCCGGAACGGTTGACTGAAAATGAACAGTGACCGAGCTGGGCCGGATCGTGCGAACTTTAAAGACTGAGTACGGACTCGAGGGCCAAGCCTAAATAAAGGCCTCAGGAGTCCAGATTAGGTCTCGCAACAATATATTTGACTTAGAAAAAGTGCAAAACAAATTTGATGTTAAGGCTGTAAATTTGAAAAATTTATCTTTGTTTATTCTCTTTACAGATCTACTCCGTACTCGCTTGCCCAAATCCTTTTGCCCACTTCTATAAAAAAACCGTTGATACCCAAGAAATGACAATTCTGACTAACCCGGACCCAAAAATCAGTAAAAAATCAGGGTTGTACCATTCGATTTGAAACAATTACTTTTTATGTAAACTTTTTTAGATCAAAATTTGAATTGACTTGAAAAAAGGCAGTTCGTGGGAGAGATGAATTTAATCTTTTTATTTTACAAAACCAAACGTTCTGCATCAAACTTTTTGTTTCGAGTTTTAAATCGCATCAAATTTGAATTTTGTCATCATAAAACCAAATTAATGAAGAATACGTATTTTACTATGCCATCAACAGAGTTGCGTAGCATTGAAGGGTAAGAGGTGAAAAAAGGTATAATTAGAAAAGATCACCCAAAAGATAACACATAATACACAAGTATCGTAACAAAAAACATTAAAAAAATGACCAAGCTTGTTTACTTATGAAGTGTATATCATAATAGTCTCCAAATTTGAAACCATTTTTATTATGACTTTCTCGAAAAAATGCCTTTTGGCAATAAAACTACGCATAAAAACTCTATCAGAAAGCTCGCAGTGATAAAACTGTTTGACATAATATCAAAAAGATAGTCTAATTAACTTTTTTCTACCCTACCTTACCCTATCTTACTGTTTCTTCCTCAAAACTTGATGGGTAGGGTCCTCACTGTCCCTTAACATTCTGTAATTACAGTATTCCAAAGCATTCATACAATAACTCAAACTATCATAAAAATACCTCTACAGTAACCGAAAATGAATTATAAGAAAAAAGAGTAATTTCAATAAATTTTTGAGAACAAAATTAATTTCAATGAAATTTTGTGAAGAAAAAGATTTGCCAGGTTCTGGCCACAAAATTTTCGCAAAAATCGTCTGATCAAATATGCAAATGAATTTGTGCGGAAATCAAAAAAAGTAAAAAACGGTCGTCTTGTACCAACCGCCTTTCTTTAACTTTGATTTTGATAAAAAATAAATAGTAGTTTTATCTGGATTCAGTAGCTTGGTAAAAAAACAACGTTGTTTCAAAACATTTTTTAATCTTAAGTTTTTTAATTGTGCAATTTAGTTTTAAAAATTCAATTTTAGACTTAAAAATGAATTTAAAGCTTAAAATAGAAGTTCGAGTTCAAAAATGAAAGTCTACGACTTCAAAATACAACTTTGGGCTTAAAGCTAAATTTTAGGCATGAAACTAGTAATTTAGTCTTAAAAAACAATTAGAGGTCTAAAAATAGAAATTTAGGCTTAAAAATAAAAGTTTATTATATAAAATCAATTTTAGACTTAAAACGAAAATTTTGGGTTTAAAATTTGAAGTTTATCCTTTAAAGACAATTTATAACTAAAAAATTAATTTGAAGCTTGAAAATAGAATTTTAAGTTTAAACATAGAATATTAGGCTAAGAAATAAAATTTTTAATTAAAAATAAATTGTAAGCCTAAAAGTAAAGTTTCAGAGTTGAAAATGAAATTTTAAGCTTAAAAATAACAGTTTAGAATTAAAACTAGAATTCTAGACTGAAAAATCAATTTTAGGCTTAAAAACTAAATTTTAAGCATACAATTCAAATAAGGCCTAAAAATAGAACGTTAGGCTTAAAAGTATAAATTAGGCGTAAGAATGCAATTCTAAGCTGAAAAATAGAAGTTTTGCCCTAAAAGTTAAGTTAATGCTTAAAAATGAAATTGTATGCTTAGAGATCAATTTTTGTTTCAAATATTTAACTCCTTTTTTAAATAGGTTTGTGCTTACAAATAAGAATATATGTTTCTTCATCATCAAGCCGCTTTGTTAAGCCGGTTCCAATTTAAAAAACAGCGAAATCTCTCTTCTTTGTTTCATTATTTAGTCATTTTTTGCTGCGGCCAAAAACCCACTGAATTTCGAGTGAAGTGAGAGAAACGACAAAGAAGCAGACAAACAACAGCTTCCAATTCCAAGACCACACGCGTTTTTTGCATGAGAAACGGCCCCCAATTGGAACGTTCTGTGCCGTGCTTTGTGGGAATGACACGCCTCATGAGAGAGCCTGGCCAGCTCTTTACGAAAGATTAGTTTGAATCTTGTTTTTATAACTGAGAGTCTGCTGAAATAGCAGTTTTGATAGGATTTTCATGCAAATACAATGTATTTTTGATATCATTAAATAAACCGATCGTACGGTAGAACTCTTGTCCAACGAATTGCTTGAATTTAAAAGTTGTTCGTTATAAAAGGGTTTTGATATACAGGTTTTAAACTATCTTGTAGTGTTAGTTGGAGATTTATAATTTTTTTGTTATACAGCAGTTTTTTATAAAGTAATTTCGTAGCACTGTATCCAGCGTAAAGCTTCAAATAAAATAATACTGAAAAATATCCCCACCCTCCAGAAAAAAAATTTCGAAAAAAGTTGAACGTGGTCTCTTCTGTGGACTTTTGGAAAAAATTTTTTTGCAAAAAATCAGCACAGGTAGCAGACCAAAAGTCATCTCCCGTCCCTGGTTGTAAAAGAGTTTCGTTATACAGGACTTTAAAATGCACTTTTTATTGTTAGGCATTAGTTTAAAAGTTGTCCGTTATACTAGGTTTTCGTTGAGTAGTTCATTATAGAGCCGTTATGTTCTTTACCAAAAAATTTTTATCCAAACTAAAATTTGTAAGAAAAATTAAATGCTTTTAAAAAAAAAAATATTTTTTGATTTACTTAGTTTAGCTTAACGTATTTTAGACGTATAAAATCAACAATTAGAAATTTATTCTAGCTTAAAATTAAAACTGTTTGGCAAAGTTTAGAAATGATGTTGCAAAATACACTGCGGGTGGCCTTTAAACTGAACCTTTAGGTATCCAAAGCTAAAAAAATAAATTTTGACTTTAAAAGTTAATAATGTTTTAAAAATTAAAATCAAAAAATTAATTAATTTTAAAATTTAAAAATGTTTGTTAAAGTAAATCGTTGTTATTGACAAGGTATAAGTTATTTTAAGCTATCAAAATTAAGAAACTGCTTTACCAAGCGTTTTTTGTTCTTGAAACAGCGTTGTTTTTACAAGAGTTTGTTATTATATAAAGAGATTTGTTAGAAAGTACATTACTCGTCAATTTCAAAAAACTACTTTTTTACCTAAATATTGCTTTGAACACGATTTAAACATAAAAAACTCTAATATAACCTTTTTTCAGTTAAAGTCACAAACACCAATTGTGTCTACTTTTTTAATCACTTGTCTAATTAAACCTTTTTATTTTTATAATTACAAAAAAGCCATTTTACCCTTTTCGGAACACACGCAGAGTTCACGGTCAACACAACTGTGATGGGACGGTGTTTAATCACAATCCATTGTGAATTAGAGACTAAAAGTTAACATATATATCATATCATTAATGTACACAAGAAGAAACTCTCCAGTACTGTACTCACGAAAAGACTATAAAGTGCTGTACATATAAAGAAATTTCAGTACTAAGCGCTATTTTCAGAAAAACTTTACAGTACTAACTACTGTACTCAAACAGAGAGAACAGATCTACTTAAGAAGAGGCTACTGTACTAAATATGTTAGGCAGAAAAAAGGTACAGTACTAAATGTTGTACTCAAGAAGAGGCTACTATACTAATGTTGTATACTAGAAAAAACAAAATTACTAAATAGAGTGCTCAAAAAGCCAATGGAGTACTAAATAATGTCTCATAAAGAATCTACAGTACTAAATAATGTACTCATAAAGGATCTACAGTACTAAATACTGTAATCAAATAGAGGCTTTAGTATTATATAGTTCACCTACTCAGAGGCTACAGTAGTAAACACAGTACTCAAAATGAAGCTAGTATACTAAATATTGCAGTCAAGAAGAAGCTACGGTACTAATTGTTCTACTCATACAGAGACTACAGTACACTAACTATCTCACAATCTATACAGTTTTTAGTACAATCAAACTAATAGAAAATTCATTAAAAAAACAGTCAAATTACAGTAATTTTGGTTTCTTTCTACGCTTTAAAGCAAATCTTTTGCTAGCTAAACAAATGTTCTAAACAATATCTCTAAGCTGCTTATAAAGAGCGCTTCAACTATACCTAAATCCAAAAATACACCTACAATAAGGTGTTTAAAAACTTTTACTTTCCCAAGCCATTATTCCACCATTGTCAGCTAATCTTCATTAAACATTTACCGTAGTTTTTTCGTTCTTAACGAATGTCAAAATTAATCTTTAGTTATCGTAGTGTTGAGTCTTCGGCCCCTGAACGTTGCCAATAACTGCGGGTGGCCAGAGAAATGACTGTCTTTTTGAAAACAGCTCTTTTGTCAGGCTAAAACAACTGCATTCTGCTTGGCAAGAGCCTCTCAACGTGCGAAGAAACTCTCTGCTTCATGATAAATGCTCTCTCCTTGGCCAAAAAACTGTTGTCTTCATGCTAAACTGTCTCGCGTCGGTCTAAAACCCATTGTCTTTTTTAAAAAGACCTCTTTTGTCGGCTAAAAAAAAACGTTCTCCTTTTTATCACACGCTTTCTAACGATAAAAAAAAGTTGTTTTCTTGATAAGTAGTCTCTTCTCGTTCAAAGAAAACTGTTTTTTGTCTGATAAGTAGTCGAAAACCACAGGGCCAAAGAACTGTGGTTTTCTTGATAAACAGTCTATCGTCGCACGAAAAATGATTGTCTATTTGAAAAAGGCATTCTAACCACCTAAAAAACGTCTCTCTTTGTGACAAACGCTCTCTAACGTTCAAAAAATTCTGGCTTCTTATCCTTTTTGTATGTCTCTTACCATTAACATAAGTCTCTGAACAATACCATGCTTCTCTTACAACTGTTTTTGTTAACATCATATCACTGCCAAAGAACGTTTTCAAAGCCATTATATGTGCCTGAATATTTTGGACCAACGCATAGTCAAACGCACGTCAAAAGTGCATTTTGGAGCCGTTTTTTGCAGCAAATACGCAACACAGACAACTGCGTGTGGTCTTTGAAATTTTTGAAATTTTCTGTTTTTTTCTTTGCCTTACCTTCAAAATAGTATTGTCTGGCCATGCGTTGTCTAAATCTGTGTATCTCATGCAGTTTCTGTATAAAACATCTCTTACTTTGTATGTTTGTCTGCCGTATCAGCAAAAGCCACAGTCAATAGTTTATCTGACAGTTATCTCTTTAAAAACACAATATTATCTTTGTTGTATGCTGGTATAAAGTATGTTAATGTTAGTATAGTGTGCACATGCTCTCTCTCCTCTTTCTCTTGGTATTTGTTTTTTGCTGCTTGCGGCCGTTTTCAAGCCGAGTGGCTCGAAAGACTTGAAAACGGTTGGTTTTTTTGAACGAATGAAAAGAAACGAAAAACAGTCGGGGTAAGGTAGAAACGCTTGTACCTGCACGATTTTTAAGCCTAAACTTACCTTGAAAACGAAAATTTATTTTTAAGCTTAAAAGTTATTTTTAATCCGAAGATTGTATTTTAAGCCTAAAACAGTAAAAAACTTTAAAATTAGCAACCGTTTTTAAATGTTAAATTTATTTTTGAGTCAAATCTTGATTTTTTACTTTAAATTTCGAAAAGACGTGTTATATTACACTGCCCAAGTTTATTGCCACAGCAACACTTTCTTTTATTGTTATCAAAAAGCCTTTCAAGTTGTAGTAGTAGTGGTAGAAGTCGAAGCACAAACAAAGGCAGTGCCATTTGAAGTTGGTGAATACCCAGAACAACAGCTAGAGCGTGGGTACAGGCATACCATTGAGCCACAGGCTACATTTTCAAAGGCGGATCTTAAAATTAAAAAATATTTTTTTAAATCAGTTTTAGCTCAGTTTTAGTCCAGAGCCCGAACCCAAGGCTCTAGCTCAGAGCCCTAGCCCAGAGCCTTAGCTCAGAGCCTAACATACGCAGCCTTGTCTAATAAGAGTAATAACCTTACCCATCACAAGTACAATCAGTGCTTGAACATTGTCTAAATCTTTGTGTAGCTCCACACATGCCACACGTATCACTACAGCTACTATAACTTCCCCAATCACCCCATGTGCAAGTTGTAGCCAAATTTGATCCTGATGGTAATGTTAATGCAGCTGTTGTAGCTTCAGCAGTCGTAGAAGTTACAGTCAAAAGTGTTGTAGCTAGTGTGGTAGCTGCTTCTGTAACGACATCTACTATAGTAGGTACTGTGGTCAGTACGGTCGAGGTTTGGGAGGTTGGGTCCATTACAATTACAGTAGTTTTTGTTGATGCTGTAGCTGAAGCGGCTTCTGAAATTAAGTTTTTTAAAGGTTTTTAAAGGTAAAATACTATGAATTTTGTATCTTACTCTATTCTACTTTACGCGACCCTACTCTACACTACCCTGAAAAAAAACTTACCTGAACATGTTTCATCTGATGTGAATTCACCTCTAAAACAGTAAAAAAGATATAGATAATGAAAAACAAAAATGACTACAAAACAGTGGTATATTAGGTGCCAACATAAAGAATCCGCCATTTTTTACAGGAAATTACATGCAAAGATGGCGGATTCTTTATGTCGGCATCAAGTATTATACATGTGACTTACGTGCAAATGTAAGGCCCAGTAGCAATACATCCTAATGGTAGTGGATCACAATCCCGATATCGTACTTTCGCCAACGTTCCATCTGATTGATAAGCGCAATCTCCAAATAATTGCCATTCGGCCCAAACGCCAGTATTGTTACACTGCGACGTTACTGTTGGCAGTAAAAGCGTTGATATAATAAGGAAGATAAACCACATTATTGAAAACTAAAATTCTGTATAAATACACTATATACCTAGAGTTATCTTATCTCAGTGTAGCTATTTAACTCTGCTTACTATAATATAATATCAACATAAGAACGAAAAGTAAAGAAAACTAAGTTTTTTTCTTGCCTTATTACTATAAAGGTTATTATTACAATGCTATAAGTTTTAAATTAAATAATATAAGTTTGTAATTGTAAAGAATATTGTTTAAATGTTTGAAACAAAACGAAATAGCGATTTACCTAGATAATCCAGTTGAACATACCTTTTCCTTGTATTCCTATATTTTCATCACGTAAAATGTTGTAGGTAATAAATGTTTTGAAGTTTTAATGCTGATAATTGAGTTAGGCCGGTCAGAAAGAAAATAAGAGAAATATTAGTTGTGAAAAACAAGCCGGGCCAAGCCTATTTTTGCATTTTTTTAGCTCATTTATGTACCATCAATTCAAAATACCAATAAAACTTTATTAAACATTTTTGTTATATACAATGTCATCAATAGTCGGCGTAAAATGGCAGTAGGGTAGCACTGGTGACAGCACGACCAACTTCATTCTCACATAGTACTGTATAAGTACCATAGTGATAAGGTTGAACATATGGAATTGTAAGTCGACACAAATCCGAAGTATCTTCGATTACTACGTCTTCCACAGTAAGTTTTTCGTCATTGAACAGCCAAATTACCTAAAATATTAAAGCAGTACATAAAGTACGGTACAAAGAATAGTATATCTTTCTCTTACTATCTTACTCTCTCTTTCTCGTTACGTCTTTCACTCCCTCTCTCAACTTACCCTTGGTCTAGGTGACCCCAGTAGTACACAATCAAACACCGCCTTCCCACCCTCAGGTACTCTAACGTCAGTGAATACCTTAAGGAATTCTGGAGCGTAACTCCACGGATTCTTGGCATATTTGTTTTGTGGAATATGATATGCAAGTTGATCGACTTGCTTTGTTAATGGAGATCTTTGTGGAGTTGGATGATAAACGTATTTGGATGGGTCTACTGTGAGTTGAGAAAACGTGCGATCTGGGAAGGTGTTCATAGTTTATCTAAAAGCGATTTGCGATAATAGGCCTTGTAAGGCTAAAAATAAAATTTAAAATTAAAAGAACGGAAACGGCTAAAACTATAAAACTGTGTCAAAGTAATGTTTACAAAAATTAAAAAGATGGTTAAAGTTAAGGTAGGCAAAAGCTTACTTACATTTAGACTAGAGTTGAGCTAAATCAAATATTATTAAGATTAATTAAGGATAAGCCAAGCTAACACGTATTAGGACTAAAGATAAACTAGGGCAAAGCTTACATAGCCTAGAGTTAAACTAGATCAAAGCTTGTTAGAACTAGGAATAACCTTGAACAAAGCTTACCTACGCTAGATTAGCTTTTTACAAGCACTAAGGATAAGGTAGGCCAGAGCTTATTTAAAGGACCAGTTCGCCCATTCAAATATCATTGGCATTCTGTCGCAAAAATTCGACGTTCATTTTTTTTGCAAAAAACCTGAGAAGGTCGGTCCCAAATTGGAAAATTCATTTCGACATTGACCCACTCACGTTTTTTGAGAAAAATGATTTTGATTGAAATTGCCTGATTTTCGACGCTTTTTGCGACAGAATGCCAATGATATTTGAATGGGCGAACTGGTCCTTTAAGCTAAAGTTAAGCTAGACAAAAGCTTACTTTTTACTAACGTTAAAGAAGCTTATGGTAAATTAGTCTATAAAATGTTGTTGTAGAACAAGGAAGAAAGAGAAGCAGTAAAATGTACTAAAAAGACAGCTTGAATAGTGCTAGAACAGAGCTAGAGTATGGCAAAAGTAGGACTAAAGTTTAGCTGACATTTCGGGTGTAGTACTAAATTTTGGTTTTAAGTAGAGTAGAGTAGGATAGGTAAGAGTAGGCGAGGGTAAGTAAAAGTTGGGTTAAAGCTGAGAGGTGAGAGAATAAAGAACGGTAAGGTCAAGCTACGATCAAGCTAAAGTAAAGCTAGACCAAAATTTTTTTAAGAACAAATATAAAATTACCATAAGCTTTACAAAATATCAAAACAAAAAGAAAAAATATTTTCAAAACATTCTAGTTTTGCCCGAAAATGTCAAAATATATGTATATAATTTTTTAAAAAGTTCAAAATCCCTTCGAATTCACACAAAAATCAAGTCCATGTGTTCTCAAAACGTTGAAAAACAGCTAAAATTCTTAACTCGCGGGTCCCCGCAGAGATCAAGAAAAGTCAGATGAGGTCGCGCGTGGGTATAACAAACAAATCTCTCCGACGTCCCCAAAAGTTTTTGTTGTCCTAGCAAATAAGTTTGGATCAAATTGATGTTAGCTATATTGAAAAGGGAGCTATAGCTTAAAGAAATAGAGGAAGATGATGAGTAATTGTTGATATAACAAGATTTGATGACAAAAACATTTATAGACTACGACTAGGGCTTTGGGCTAGGACTCTGGGCTAGGACTCTGGGCTAGGATTCTGGGCTAGGGCTCTGGGCTAGGGCTCTGGGCTAGAGCTTTGGACTAGGGCTCTGAGCTAGGGTTCTGGGCTAGGGCTCTGGGCTAGGGCTCTGGGTTAGGGCTCTGGGCTAGGGCTCTGGGCTAGGGCTCCAGGCTAGGGCGCTGGGCTAGGGCGCTGGGCTAGGGCGCTGGGCTAGGGCGCTGGGCTAGAAAAATTAAAAAAATGTTTTTCAGTTTCAAGTGGCTTCAAAGTATCCAGTAAAATAAAAAAAGCAAGTCAAATGACTTTACAGTGTAAAAATCCAAGAGCTCTGCTTCAAGTGCTAATGGTCTTCCACTTCTAAACAAATGTCCTGATCACGTGTTAATAAACGCAGCTGAATCTTGTTATGCAAAGACTATTCTTTATGGATAACCGTTTTTTTAGTTTTGAATAAGTAGTGAAAAAGAAGATATTTATATTGTACAAGTATTGTTTATTGTAAATCATCAAAAAAAGTTATTGCTAATCAAAAATGAGCAAAGTTTTACATCTTCATATCAATACAGTTACAAATAATACCTTAATAACATACAAACCATCCCTACACAAACTGTTATTTACATACAATCAAAGTCGAGCAGAAGCTTTTTTTCTGGTATTAGTTCACTTAATTCTGCGCGCCTTCTGAAAGCTCATTTGTGGGGTACGGGAGCGCAGAATTATGTGAACAACCTAGATGAAATTAGGGACCGACTTTTAGTAGAGAGGTGTAAATTTCTGATGAGATGGAGTGGGATCAATTTCTGACCCGGGCGAATGGCGCCAGTTTCAGCTTTAATAGGAGGGGAGAGTCATCATATTGCACATGTAAAATTCATGTTATAATTTCTTGAAAAGATCATTTAAAGTCCGTTGCGTCTTTTTACCATTGATTCCCACAGTAGGGTACACCCAGACACCCCCCGGTCGAGTTTTGCCCTTGGCTATACAGTAGTCTGAGAAGAAATCAACTGCGTCTTTCTCTGATGAACCTGAAAACAAGTTTAGGCATAGAATGAGACTTTAGGCTTAAAAGTGAAATTTTAGATTAAAAATGAAATTTAGGCTTAAAAGAAAGTTTAGGCTTAAAAATAAAACATTAAGCAAAAAATTGAATTTGAAGTTATTAAACCTTGAAAGGCCTAAATTTAATCATCAAAATAAAGCATGAGTTAAAAAAATGTATAATAAGTTTAGGCTTACCATTATAATCAGGGAAGTAAGCCTTCAACTCCAGCCGCTCCATTTTCTCAGCCAAAACGTCAGTTTCATTTAAAAACACATAAATCGGCACGTTCTTAACCTTCTCCTCATTACAGACTTGTTCAAACATGTCCAACGCATACTGTAATTTTGAATGTTTTCCACTTGAATCTTCAAAACGCTGATCAAACTCCGATATGGCTATACTATAGAAAATGGCATCAAAAGTGTCATATAATGACAACCAACGCTTCCGCTCCATTAATCGACCAGAAAAGTCGTATATTCTGAAAAAATGTAAAAAAATTTTTAAATTTAAAATTTTACTCTTAAAAAATAAAAATTGAAACAATTTCTAAACCTAAGACTAAACACTAGGCTTAAGAAACATTTTCTAATAACAAAGCAAAATTATAAGCCTAAGGTTGTACAGTAGACTTAAAACTTTAAAATAAAAAAAATGAAATTGACTTACAAAAATGACTGGTTATTGACTTCTAGGCTTTCTTGTCGTACTCCAACTGTTGGCACGTATAACATAACTAAGTCTTCTTGTGATGGCACAAAATTTAAATCAGCAAATCTGTGAATGTTGTTAAAGAAGCTGAAAGTACGCTTTTTATTCAACATTGTTAATGGGATAGCTTTATATTTCTCATAGGATTAAAATAGTCATTTTCCTAGCCTTGTCATTCCTATACCACCAGTTTCCTAGCCTAGCTATGCCTATGCTATCACTTTATTAGCCTTAATGTAAACACCGTAGGCTAGCCATGTCTTTATCGTTCTTCAATCATCTTCTGACATATTTTTTTATCATGCACTATACCAAGTTTATGTATCGTAACTTACTACTTCACAGAGTCGTTCATATTGACTTCAGCCCTTCGAATGTAAGCATTCTGTATCGTTTCTTCTTGCCATAGCTTTTCAAACGCTTCTTTTTCTTCTTTTCGAATCAACAGTCCAGCACTGTTGTCATTGTTTTCTATTAAGTCAACGTACTTCTAAAAGTCATCCAATACTATTGTTATTTTTAACATGATGTACATATATACAAATTTAAAAATTTTTTTATTTTAAAAAATCGATCTCACCCTAAATTTCAAAAAAATAAAAGTTCAAGCTTACTTGACATTCCACTGGAATTGTGTACCCAATCTTTTTCGTGTGTTCCAATAAACATGTCATTGCAGTGAACAGTAGTTGTCGTATGTAAGCTGGCCTATGTCGTAGTTCCATTTCGTGAGGGGCTGCTTTTGTTAATAACCTGAAAGTTCAGTTTTTAATCGACATACGGCCCTAAATGCCAATTTGATGCTTAAAAATGAGCCAAAACATCAGTTTTGAGCCCAATATTACTATCATTTAAACTTAACACACAATAAGCTTTTAAGCCCTAAGTTTTTTAAGCCTAAATTTAGTTTTAATCCTAAAAAACTTAATAAAGCATTATAAAAGTGTATGCCTCTTACCGTGCTTGCTGACATATCGTGCTCTTTCCGCTTTCACAAGTACCTAAAAACCATTTATTAAACATAACTAATAATTAAATTCGCTTTTTTTTGTAAATTAATTTATAAATCCTGTAATTTGTAAACAAAGTTAATAACATAACATTAAAGTGCACAATAACACCCTACTTATTTTTTTACAAAAGACTACTGAAATTTCAAAAAAGTCAGCTAAATAAAAAAAACGCTAAAAAATTGAAAAAAATTAAAAAATGTTACCTAAAAATCCGATTTTGATAGTTTTTGGAATATTCGAAGCAGTGATAATGACATTATTTCCATTATTTTCACCATCTGGTCGTGTAGAATTCTTTAGGATTGGCGTTGGAGCTCTTATGGGTGCAACTGGCGCATTTTCTTTGTTTTCTGTTTGAGGCGTTTCGGTGGCTTTGATCTAAAATAATATAAGCCTTAATATTAAAAAAACTAAAATTTATTTTAAGCTTAAAATTTTATTTTTAAGCTTGATATTTTATATTTGTGCTTAAGTTTCATTCTAAGCAAAAAATCCAGTTTTAAGCCTAAAATTTTGTTTGTAAGTCTAAAATATAACTTTAAGTTTAAAATTTTATTTGTAAGCCTAAAGTTCAATTTTTAAGCATAAAATATAATTTTAAGCCCAAAATTTCGATTGTAAACCTAAAATTTTAGTTTTAAGCCTAAAATGTCATTTTGCACCTAAAATTCAATCCTAAAGCCTAAAATTTAGTTTTAGTTTTAAGCCTAAACTTCATTTTTAGGTCTATAATTTTTTTAGCCGTGATTTCCCTCTCATATAGTACTATCTTTGCACTTACCGGCTGTTTATCTTGTCCAATATTGTTATTCGCGTTATTATTAACGGGCGACACTTGGGCCGGCTTTTTCGATGTTTTCGAACAAACGAGACCCATATTAAGAGTGCTGTGGGAATTACCTTTTGGGTGTCTGCTTATTATGCCGTTTTCTTAGACAGACAATCAGAATAACCTGAAAATTAGAAGTTTAACTTAAAACATTTCAAAAATAAAAAAAATCATTTTTGTAATAGTTACGGCACACAGTAACATATCATACAATAATGTATTAGTACGTACACAAGAAATTGTAAAATAACCCTAGCCCTAGCTCACTGCGCCATAGCCCAGAGCACTAGCCCAGACCACTAGCCCAGAGCCCTAGCCCAGAGCCCTAGCCCAGAGCTTTAGCCCAGAGCCTCCGCTTTTCTAAGCAAAACTCTTACTTATTCCTCCTTTATTTTTCCTTAAGAAAATTGTACTTTACATTTATTTTTGACTAACCATAAATTTTTATATAACAATAAATCTGAAATGTACAATTTAAAAATACATGACTACATTTCGATTTCTTTACAATGTTAAAATATTAAAAACGGTTTGAATTTCAACAGAAACTTAGAAATTCTGAATTATTAAAATCGGCATGTGACCAAAGTAAAAAAAAACATTGGTTTCATAGCGTGTTATCATTTATCAATTTAAAATTTTGAAAATCATAATAATTGCTAAAAAAAATTAACATTTATTGGTTCTTATATGAACCAACAAGTACTATATAGTATCAGTTAAGTAAAAACGCAGCTAATAAGGAACTCTAAATATGATTAATACAAACCCAAAACAGTAACATTTAAAGTCACACCCCTAGCCAAAGATACCTTGCCCTAATTTATAAAATGGCACCAGTAAAAAATTAAAAATTGCTAATTTTTTTCAAAACTAAACGCCAAAAGTAAATAACAATATGTCATTGCTACAATTTAAAATGTAATTACCCTCATGACATGTTATCATGTCATAATAACAACGTTAGTGCAAGATGACAACAGAACATAAAAAAGAAAATATTATTGCAATTCCTTTTGTAAAGACCTTATATTATTCGGTAAAACAAGTATAATATAGCACGAAATTTGTGCCAAAATCCAGGTTTAGCGTAAAACACATTTATAAGCCTAAATTTAGTTTAACCTTAATACTCTGTTTTACATAAGCCTAAAATTTATTTTTTACTCAAAAATTACTGATAAGCCTAAAGTTCCTTTTTGAGTCGAATGTTATACTTTTAAGTCTGAAGTTTCTGTTTTAAGCTTAAAATTTATTTTTAAGCCTAAAATTCAGTTTTAAACCTAAAATTCATTATTCAGTGTAAATAACAGCTTTTAATCTTAAGTTTCATTTATATGCTTGTAACTCGGTTTTACGCCTAAAGGTACACATTTAAACCAAAAATTAATTTTTAAGCCTAAAATTCATTTTTAAACCTAAAATTCAATTATTCGCCCAAAACTTAATTTTAAGCCTAACACACATACCTCAAACCCCCAAAGTTTAAACAACGCCAAACGCCATAACTAGACAAAACTGTCACACTTTCTCAACCCTCAGGCATTGTGAGTTGAAAAAGCCACACCTCAAGGTAATATCGAACAAAACCGCGGTAAATAGCCAAGTGTGTGAAATGAGAATGTCTTGAAAGTAAGTGAAAAACACGAATCTAGCGTGCCCAAAGTGTGTAAATTTTTACATTTCCTATGAATGTGACGTTGTTTTTTTTTGCGTAAACGCCATTTTCAAACCGGTTTATTTTTGGAAGTTTACAGGGTTTTTAATTACACTGCAGTTGTAAAACCACATTTATTTGCGTAACATCAAATTTTGATTTGGAAACGGAAGTTCTATTTTTAGGCTTATACTTTACAAGGGGGTTGCAACAAATATCACCCCTCCCCCCGGGATTTAAAACAAGACTATATAAGATATAAGAGCATACAAAGTTACCAAACAAACCGTTTTTTAAAACTGCTAAAGGCCTTTAAATAGAAGTTTACAGTGAGCTTAATATTCTTATGTGATTAGAAGGTATAGCTTTAAAATTCGAAAAATGACATATTTTGACAAATATTTTTTTCTAAACTAGTTAAAGGCAGAAATTAGTACTAAAAACTATTTTTAATTAAAGTATTGTTTGGCTAGCCAAAACATCTTTTCATAATGGCAAAACGCCAATGTTAATGCCTTAATCCATTGATTTTGCTCAAGACGAATAAGAAGTGCCAAATAGAAAATCCCGTGTAAATTCTTCGGCTTTTAGTATCACGCTAGCCAAGGCTAAATAGCAGTTTTTAAAACGAGTTTTCATGGGGAATTGCATGCTTTCAATCCTATATAAGGATATTAAACCTTAATAATTTTTGGCGCAACTCCCTTAAACAATTTAAAACAACCAAAGTGTTTGATTACAAAAATGAATGAGAGGTTTTGACATTAAACTTTAGACTTAAAAGTAAAACTTTTTTGCTTAAAAATAAATTTTAGACTTAGAAACCCTCAAAGTGAAATTCAGTAATAATTACAAAAAAGCAGTAAAAAACTAAAATATGTGACAAATGGCACTAATATTCTTTTATTGAGTAAAAATTCCAATTCTCCTCAAGTACGGGCTAAATTAATCCGGTAACTACAAGACGATTACTTAATCGGTATTATATTCAGTAATCTTTTAATTTAACCGCCCTGCAGGTATGTTTTGTGGCTTTATCTTAACCCACATAGACATATTCCGGGCAATTAATATTCTGCTTTAGCCTACTCTACTTTATTCCTTCTTTAACCTTACGCCAGCTTCTCTTTTTTAGCCATTTTTATAATAAAAAATGATATTTTACCCTGCCCTTAAACCTCTTCTGCAGCTTTTTTCTACGACACGCTGACCAGCAAATAACAATATGACAATTAAAACCCACACAAACACACAAATGTCTCACTAGAGACAAATAACATAAGTTAAATTACTCAATAATATTACCTTTTATATTGCTATACTGCAAAAATTGCCCTTTATGCTAATAAAGGTAATGGCAAGGTTATATGCCTACCTTTTTGCCTTGCCTTGCCTTGCCTTGCCTTGCCTTGCCTTGCCTTGCCTTGCCTTGCCTTGCCTTGCCTTTTTATCCTACCCTACTTTATCATATCCTACCCAATCGACCCTTCATCACATTACTCGGTCATAAGCTATCTTAACCCTATCCTACCTACCCTGTCTTCTTCACCTGATTCTTCTGTACTCGATATTATGCCACGTTTTGTTACCCTATCTTACCCTACTCTGTACTAAAAGTAAAATAAAACAAAATTCCTATACCAAACGTATTATATTACCCCTGTAACAAAGATATTAAAATTTGAAAGTAAAGTCAAAAACTACTACAATCCTTTACTTTCAGGTACGAATGTGTAATCCTCTAATTGAAATTGCTTTTTCGAAAACGTTTTCGAATACGTTTAAATTACTTTTTATGTTGATTCTTTAAATAGAGGGTGAAATTATATGTCGCGTTGGTATTGAATGGAGCTAGCAAAAGTACTTTGCAGTAACAAAATCTAAAACACAAAGAGATTGTCAGGTTGAACCTTCAAATGCATTTTCTGAAACGAAAAAGAATATTGAATGGAAATAAGATTTTTAACAAAAAAAAATAAATGCTAGGCTTAAAAATAAAGTTTAGGCTTAAAAATGAAACTTTAGGTTTAAAGACAAAATTTAAGCTAAAAAATGAAATTATAGGCTTAAAAATCAAGCTTAGGCTTAAAAATATTATTACAGGTTTATAAATGAAATTTTAGGCTTAAAAACAAAATTTAGGCTCGAAACTCAATTTTAGTCTTAAGAACGCATTTTGGTATTAAGAAATTAATTTTAGGCTTAAAAATGGAGTTATGAAATTAAAAATGAACTTTAGCCTTAAAAATGAATTTTAGCTACAAAAATAGAGCCTTAGGCTTAAAATAAAAATTTAAGCACAAAGCTAAATTTTACGCTTAAAAACGAAATTTTAGGCTTAAAATGCAGTTTTAAACATAAAAATAAAATTTTAGGCTTTAAAATTGATATATAGGCTAAAAAACAAAACTTAAACTTAAAAATAAAATCTCAAAATTAAAACTAAAATTTTAGGCTTAAAAATTTAACTTTAGGCTTAACCAATCTAACCAGACATTTTCCAAAACTTCAAAAAACCGACCGATTTCCTCGTAAATTTTCACAATTTCCCTCTTTTTACGTCAAATTCTACCAATTTTATGCAAATTTTCGCCCTTTTTCACGTTCTCGAAATGGGCATATAAAAGCCGCCTTCCCAAGCGCAGATCCCATCATATTCGGCTGTGCTCGATTCAAGACTCGTCGTTCGTTCCGTTCCTCTCGTTCGTTCCGAAAACAATGTCAGGCGGATACACTGGTGCTGGTAGGTCATGATTTTTAGAGGTTTTTTTTGAGTTTTGGGAGTGTTTTTGAAAATTTTTTTGAAGTTTTGATAGATTTAAAAACTTCATAAAATTTTTTGGATCTTTTTTTGATTTATGAAATTTTGATCAAATTTTAAACTTTTTTTTTTAAATTTTTTAAAAGTTTTATAATGTTTTTTGGATATTTTTAAAAATTTTTTTGGATTTTTTGAACTTTTTTGATCTTAATTTATGAAATTTTCAATATTTTTAATTTTTGGAAATTTATAATTATTTTTTTATTTCAAATTTTAACTTCACCCTTTCAGGACTCGTTCCCTCCAATGGCGAATTCTACGGTTCAGGCTACGGTGAGCGCGTGTTGGCCCCACCAGAGATTCAACAGAAATATGCTGGCAAGCCCGCCTTCTTCGACGCTGACCATGGCGTTCTCTTCGATGGTGAATATGCCTACATTTACCAAGCCCAACCAGAGCAAGCTCAAGGTCTTTCGCTGGAGAATGAAGTCAACACCGGTCTCGAGAAGAGCTTCCATCTAGGCAATGGTACCGAAGGTGACGTAGAGGAGCACCGCAACGCCCTCTCTTCGACCTATCTGTTGGACTCGCCCGCTGGAGCCGTCTACCAATAAACCGATATCTAAGTCTAATCTAAGATAAATAAACTTTTTAAACTTTTTTTCTGGTTTATGTTTTTATTTTTTTTTTGATTTTTGTTGAGATGCTTTTTTGTATGAGAGTAGGACTAGAGAAAGGACTAGGCTTAGAGAAAAAGATAGGCTTAAAACTAGAGTTAAAACTCGGCCTAAAGTAAGGTTTCAAACTAGAGAAAGATCTAGAGTTAAGCCTCATTTAAGTATAGGCGTAGAGTTAAGGCTAGCGTAATTTCTAAGACTAGAGTTAAGGCTATGACTAGAGTTAGGGCTAGAACTAGAGTACTAGTGCATTAGGCTTATAATTAAGTAAGAGTTAAGCCTGAAATTAGGGGTAGGCTTAAAATGAAAATTATGAATAGAGTAAAAGCTAGAGCTAAGTTTAAGAATAAAGAGTGAGGGCTAAGCCGAAAATTAAAGATAGGCTGTTCGTTGTCGTGGCGGGAGCAAACGGGTGCAGTCGTGTTAAGTCCAACTAGTCAGGGCTAGAGTAATTTCTAAAACTAGAACAAAGATCAAAGTAAGAGTTAGGCTTAAGACTAAAGTAAGGGCTACGTCTAGAGAAAGAGTTAAGCTTAGGACTAGAGTGAGAACTAAGCTTAAATTAAAGGCTAAGACTAGAGTAAGGTCTAGGACAGAGTCAGGCTTAAGACTAGAGTAAAGGCTAAGACTAGACCAAGAGCTAGAGCTAGGCCAAAGACTAGATTAAGAGCTAAGGTTGGACTAGAGTTTTTAATCTCCAAGCGATTTCTTAAGCAATGGTTTTACTAAACAGTTCTCGTGAGTTTCAATTCATTTTTCGTTTGTAAAATACGCCTTCACTTCTTTATGGTTAACTTAAATTTTATTACTTTACCAAAACTATGAACTACCCATTTCAAAAAAACCGTTTTCTATTTATCTACGCATCCATGTAATCTGGCACGATACATGGGTTTTTGTTATCAATATTCTTCATGATATCACAGTGTCGTGCTGGTGCGTACTCGTACATCTGGTTGCCTTGTTGTAGACGTTGGAACATGACACAAGATGGGAAGCATTGTTCGTACTTCTCCAACGACTCTTCGATGCAGCCTTGAGGCCGCTGAGAGCGGACCTTCTTTCTCGAACATTCCATCGCTTTTTCGATTCGGATTTGAGGTGGAATGGCAATGGAGCGGAGCATTTTGACACATTGACGACGACAAGTTCGAGACTCTAGTAGCCAGCAACAGTTTTCAGCTGAAATATTTGAATATCATTTTTGTTAGGCTAGTTTTTCGTTAGCTGAAAAATTAATTTTAGGCTTAAAAATAAAATTTTAGACTTGAAAGTGAAAGGTTTAAAAAAACTTTTTGCTTAAAAATGAGTTTAAGACTAAAGGAGTTTTAAGCTACTTTTAAAGGTGTAACCTACTTTTCACAGCCAAAAGTGACTCTTTATGTAGCTCCATCTCCATGCATATCGTATGGTTTTTGAAAGCTTTACAGTCATCATTCGTTTCGCCCTTATTCAACTGTTGTAGGCAACATTGTTCTGATTCTGCCGTGCAACACTTTTTTACTACTGAAAAAAAGAGAGTTACAGAAAATTATTTTAAAAAAACTTTTAATCAGGATGAGGTAAAGGAAAGACAAATGTGATGTTAGGTTAAGTAAAGCAGGATAAGGTAAGACCAAGGCAGGCTACAGAGGTAAGAATAGGTTAAGACTAGTGTATGCCTGTGGTGGGACAAAAGCTGAAGCAAGTGTAAAGAAAGAGTAAGGCAAGAAGATAAAAGAGTTTGAGTAGGCCGCGCTGGAGTGAGAGCCAGAGCAAAAGTTAAGATTAAACTTAAGGCTATATTAAGAGCTGAGACTAGAAGAAAGGCTAAGAATTAAGATAAGACTAGGAGCTACAACTATAATTAAAAACTAGGGCTACAGAAAGAGCTAAGAATAGCGTTAGGACTATCTAGAGTAAGCAATGGGACTAGAGTAAAGGATACGTCTAGGATAAGAGTCAGGCATAGGGTAAAGGCTAGAGCCCAATCCATAACTCTAGCTGTAAGCCTAGAGTTAAAGATTGGGCTAGAGCAATGACTAGGGCAGGAGTATGAGCTAGCAGCAGAACTGGGGTTAAGACTAAAGTAAGGACTATCACTGCAGGTAAGACTAAGGCAATTGAGGAGAAAGGAACTTACATTGATCAGCATTGAAAGCCGTCGCATAACCCGTAAGAACAGCGCATCCAACCAACAGTGCGCTAATGTGTATACAGTACATGATCAAACGTTGATATCAAATTGACTGTTGAAAGACTAGAATGTTTTGACTCAACCACGACGTCAAACAAGCCAATTAAATTTTTTAAAAATTCAAATTCTATGGAATTTTTCTCGTTATCAATAAATCAATAGTAGACACTTCGTTCCAAAAACTCAGTTTTCCGAATAAGCAGTTCAATATTCAAATTGTTTCAAAAACGCCTCCAAAAAGTGTCAAATCTCCTTCAATCCACTTCCGCCGTCACCACCCAACACGAATCGACCTGAAAGAGGTTGAGTTGAAGGCTGTAGGAGGACCCGATATTTTTATGGACACTTTTTCATAACGCACTGTCACAAATTTTATGGGCAAAAGTTGCACATTCGAATGAGTGCAAACAGCTCGATACATTTGGGAAGGGAAAGTTAGTTTTTTTAGTTTGGTCAGAGATCTATATTGTTACACTGCAGAGCACTAGTAGATATAAATATGAATTGTTTGTTGGTCTTTAGACCTGAAACGGTGCATCAATAAGTCAAGCTTGGCTAAAGAAAATTTGAAAAGGGCCAAACTGGTATATATAAGCCCAAGGGGTGGGGCTCCAAACCAACCCCCGCCCCAGCCCTGTATAGGTCTACTTGCTTTTAAAAATTTTACCTGCTCTAACCCTATTTTATCCTGCTAAACTCTACTCTACTCTACTACACTGTACCTTACAGTGCACTCCTTTTCTGTACTCTACTGTACATTAATGTGCTGTACCTTACTCTGCTCTACTACACTGTGCCCAATTTACCCTAATATAATGTATCTTTCTCTACTTTACTATACTGCACCAAATCCCTTTATAATAAACCTTATTGTACTCTACTCTACTACAGTGTATCCTATCCTACCCTACTATACTGTACCCTAACCTACTATAATGTATTTTATTCTACTCTAATATACTGTACCCTACCATAGTATACTGTACCCTAACCTACTATAATGTATCTTATCCTGTTCTACTATACTATAACTTACCGTACTCTACGTTACTCTGTTTCAACCTAGCTTCACCCAGCCTAGCACTGCTTTGCTTTTAAAAAAAGTTTCCTTACCCAATCCTGCCTATTCCTCATTACAAGAATTATACAGTGCTTTACGATTCACTCGGTAAAACAATATGATATAAACCTATAAAATAAACTGAACTCCACAAATCAACCCAATACTTCTAGCTTTATATACCTTCCCAACTCCCACCCACCATATTATAATGTATAATGTTTCAAAATGTCAAAAATTGTAAATTTAGCAAAACCCTATTTCGAGGCGTGTAACTTATAATGTAAAAACAATTTCGGTATAAAATAAGACACGCCAACGCCCTTCATTAACATTAGACATCACGCAATGGTAACATCGGAACCGGACAACGCCTATTACTGTTCTTCAGCCTATGGTAATGTAAAAAAAGCAATGTGTACATGTGAAAGAAAATAAATTTACTGTAAAAAGTAGATTGATGTAAAAAGTGTTTAGTGTAAAGACAAAAAATTACATTTTAGATAAATAAAAACGACGGAATTAATCAAATCTGTACTCCTAACAGTGCATAAAAAACAAATTTTGAGACAGAAAAAACGAAAAAAGTTCACACCTACCTTCAGGATGTTACAACTTTTGTGGCGGACACTAATTTAGTAACCGCGATGAAAAAATGATTATTTTTGAAAATGGCAATTACTTTTTTTATGTTCTTCAGCAGGCTACAGTTTTGAGAATTGCACGTATGCAAGGAGGTCTCTAGGAGGGATGAGTGAGAAAAATGGGATAAGAAAGAGGAGCTAATGGTGGGGAATAGATAGGTACCATACTTGTAGAAAAGTTAAAAAAATTTTTTTTTGAAAAATAAGTTCTTACTAGGAAGTACCCTACCTGCCCCGCTCAGAATCATCTCAAAATTTTTATGTAAACTCCTTGTACCACCAATAGTACTCATAAAAAATTTTAGCTCGCGCTTTTGAGTTTTAAGTTTAAATTATGTGGGTTTCCCGCCAATTAGGCAAATTTGGCATTGTGTTTCAAGCACTTTTTTTGACTTTCCAGCCGAGCTACACTTACAATTTTAAAAATGTAGGTTCATTTAAAGATATTTTATTAGTGTATCAAAGAAAAATTTCTAATAGTGAAAAAATGACAGAGTTATAAGCTTGAAACACAATACCTTTTGTCTTTACAAGCGGGAAATTCAAAACGTAATTTTTTGATCTCGATTATCTTGAGATTTACTGTAAAGCGCAATTTAGTACTTTGCTGAAGATCTTATATTTACATGATCTTCCTAAATAAAACATTTCAAGTCTATGTAGTAATCTTTTTGCACGTATGGTAGAGTACAGTAAGATACTACTTTCTTGTCTAGCACTGCCTTGCTTTTCATAAATTTTTATGAGAAGTAGACCATTTTCTTTTATACTCACCATATCAATAATATACAAAAATGTTGCAAAGATGATTGTCAAGTCAAGCGCGCATAATTTAAATTCATAAGGATGTTGCTTAAAGATAAATTTTAGGCTAAAAAATGAATTTTCGGTTTAAACATCAATTTTAGGCTTAAAAATTTAATTTTTAAGATCAGAAACAGTTTTCAGGTTTAAAAATATTATAGTAAACTTAAAAACAAATTTTAAGCTTAAAAACTGAATTTTAAGCACAAAAAATGAACCTCAAGCTTCAATATAAAGTTGAAACTTAAAAATAAAACTTAGGCCTAAAAATGAATTTTAGGCTTAAAAATAAACTTTAAACGTATAATTGTACTTTGCACTTTAAAATAACTCCCAAGCTTATAAGACAAAACTATAATGACCTTTATTACTAACCCCCACTCAGACCTTGCTTGTTTGTATTCCAAATTCAAAATATTACACAGTTTGAAAAGAGCAACAATTTGGCCACATTTTATACCTAATTTGAAATTTCAAAAAAAATGTTTTAATTTCCGGAATTTTGAGAAGTGATCTTTAAATCGTCGTCCATTTCCATTTTTAGCCTTCAAACATTTCGAATCAAGATTTTTGTAATTTAAATTTAAACAAAAAGCTTAGAAATTTGGGAAATTTTAATTGTAAAGTAACCGTTCACAGATTATTTTTAAAGTAAAAAAAATTTTTTAAACATAAAAATTAAATTTTAGGCTTACTAAATACATTTTAGGCTTATAATGGAGTTTAGTTTTGGAAATTAACTTTCGACTTAAAATTGCAGTTTAGGCTTAAAAATTAAATTTTAAGCTTAAAAAATGTATTTTAGGTTTAAAAAATACCTTTTAGGCTTCAAAATAAATTTAGGCCTAAATAATGACCTTTAGACTCACAAAATACATTTTAAGTTTACAAAACGGATTTTTAGTTTTGAATGAACTTTTAGGCTTAAAAATGAAATTCAAGCTTAAAACTTAATTTTGAGCGTAGAAATGAACAGGCTTAAATAAGGGCCTTTAGACATACAAAATAAATTTTAGATTTAAAAAATAAATTTTAGGCTTGACTCTTAGTTTTAAGCTTAAAATAGAATTTTAGTTATAAAAAATCAACTTTTAGTTTTAAAATGTATTTTAGGTTTACGAAGCAAAACTTAGGCTTTAAAATGAACATCTGGCTTAAAACGTGAATTTCAAGCTGTTTAAATTTTAATCCACAAACTTTATAAAAAATATATTATGTAGATGAGTTAACCTTATTTTACAAAAGTAAATACAAACTGTAAAACACAGAGAGTAGAGAAATTCCAATGCTAGTCGAACTTGCATCATTACAGTTGTCCCCTCTACAACAATGAAAATGCAACCCTGTATGATAAACCAAGGTGAAGTGACCTTCTTCTGAACACATTTTTGGCGGTGCACATGCTCTGAAATTTTTTAATTTTTTTTTATATTTGTTTGGCTTTGACATGCAAGTCCTTAACACAAGCCCTAACTCTCGGCTTAGTCCTAGCTTTGCCTTAGTCATAGCCTTGACCGTAGACTGTTGTTAAGATGGGTTTCGTACCTATATATCTCTGGAGTTTGCTCTGTGTTATCATTTATCAGCTTTGCACAAAACTCTGAACTTTCTTCACAATCTCTTTCTTCATATCCACCTTCATCTGATAGTTTATCTAAAACAATATGATACTATATATGACATTATATATGTTCTTGTTACCTTTTCTAACATAAAGTTCAGAAAATAACTTCAAATTACTAAAAAATTACATTAAAATCTACCTTCATAGCATCGTAATCCATGACCAACAATTACCAGAATAAATAGTACAGTAAAGCAAAATATTTTGTTGATATTGTTCATTTTAAACCGCCAACAATGTATGATTAATGATTTTGAAGTTTTGAAAAGATTTCTCCTTCATAAAACTAGGAGTGTTACTGGGAGAAGCAACACTGATAAGCAAATAATGCACTTTATAACAGATTTAATGGTAAAAACTATGTTTTACGCATAATCTTTCTATTTTTTGAATTTTTAAAATTAACATGTTTAGAGTAAAACATTTTTAGGTTTTTTATTTTGTTTCATATTCTAACTAACTGTATTTTACATTAAAAACGCTAACAACAGTAAAGTCTTTAAGTCCCACCACGCAAACAAGTAATTGCCAAAACTACATGGCATTCCGCTGCAATTGAAAATAATAATTATTTGTTTATTCGAAATTGTGCTTTTATCAAAATCGGAAAGATTAGATAAGTTTAATGCTGAACTTTATTACAAATGCCACTAATTGACTCATCGGCGAATATAATTGGTCAAAATGACATTAGGTAAGAGGTATACATTGCTATTTTGCCTAAAATAAGGTAAAAAATGTTGTTTTTGTTCGAACTTTTGGCAGTTTTTAGATGGAAATGATAGTTTTTGATACAGTGCTTTGTGTTTTAGATTTTTTATGGTTAATAAATGTGTTTTATGATGTAAAAATAATTTTTATTGGTTTAGGAAGATCCAGATTTATTCAAATTGCAAGTTTCCATTCACTCCAGTGACAAAAGTAGCGATATGTCCGCTTGGAGGGCCGATTGGTATGCTTTTACTTTTTTTTTTGGTTTTTAGGTATTATGAAAGAATTTGCAAAAAAAATTTGTGTTTAAAGAACGAAATAGGCATTACAACTCCAGCAGCAAATACAATATCAGCTAAAACTCAAACTTTTTAGCGGTCGCCGGAGCAAAAGACTATCAAAATGAGAAGAATGTGTCAGTTCGTATTTTGAAAGCGAATGGCGAGTTTATATCTCAAGTTGAAGTCACCCATTTGCTGGATTTGTACTGGACAATGGCTCAAAAACTGGTACTGTTGTGCAAGAATGGTCGTGTTCTGGTGTATACAGCAGCTGGGTTGTCGCATAAAATATTTTTCATGGACAATAAGACCGAGTCGTTGGACATAGCAAGTGCACGGATTTTTCATACTCGAAATGCGATTACTGGGTTGGCTTGTCTTAAATCGACCGGTCAATTGTTTGCGGTTAATGATGTGGAATCACATTTGTTGTGGAGGATTTCGGATGTTTCTAGTAAGGTTTTTGATGGTTTTTAGGGGGAAACTTGAAGTTTATCACTTCTTTTTGGGCTAGATTTTAAAGTTTAGGTACTTTTTTGACCTTCTTTGGACAATAAATGATGTTTTATATTAAAAAATGTGTTATATTAAGAAATACAAGAACTTAAATTTAACGCTAAAGTTTTGTTGGTGGTTTAAAGTTCATCTTCAGAATCTCAAAACCTGCCAACCGTTTGGTTGATGGTACCGTCTTCGGAAGGACCTATGATGGTTTGGTATGCTGGGAAAGGAAGGTTCTTTACAGCTGGGCAAGGAAAACCGCCATTATTGAAGGTTCGTCTAATTTTAATTTTTTTTTTGAATTTTTAGGATTTTGGAAGATTGATTAACAAGATTTTGGACTTTAAGGCTTGATCAATAAGCTATTAAAAGTCGAAGGTCTGATCAATAAGTTTATGACTAACTTAGTTAATCTTACAAGGGAATGTTACAAACTGCCCATTCGATTTTTAAAAGTGAATGGTACCATTTGAAAGAGCGTAAAAAGTTGACCAGATTTCTATTTTCAAAAATTGCTAATTTTTCCTTACAAGCCCGCAAGCGAGATTTTAAAATTATTAGTGAAAGGGCCTTATAAGTTGTTATTCTTTCTTTTGGATTATTGTATTTTTAAAAACCTTAGGTTTTACTTTTTTTATGTTTTATTAGATGTAAGAAGCCATTATCAACAAAAAAAAATTTTTTTTTGAATATTATACTTAATTAACTTTTAAATAAAAAAGAATACCAATCAATTACCCAAAAGGAGAATCGAACCTAAAGTCCATTGATTGCGCAATCACGGCGCCTTTGACCACTCAGCCATCCGAACACGTTTACTTTCCCCTTTTTTGAAAGAAGCCAAAAGAAAGTGGGTTTAAAAAATCCGTTTTGATAGTAAAAATTTTAAAAGCTCGCTAGCGGGCTTGTAAAGCAAAATTAGCAGTTTTTGAAAATAGGTTTCTAGTCAACTTTTTACGCTCTTTCACATGGTACCATTCATTTTTAAAAAGCGAATGGGCAGTTTGTAACATTCCCTTGTTAGCCAACGTTTTGCTTAATTTTAAAGTTCTGATCTAAAATTTTTATTTAGCAATTAGAATGGGCGCAAGGAGATTATACTGACATTCAAATCGACTACAACAATGAAAAGCTGGCGATATTGAATAATCAGGGACATCTACAGATCGTTTCCACTGATTTGGAAGAAGAATATCTATCAATACAGCCGGAGGGCGCTACTTTAATCGATTCGGATATATTATGGTAAGAAAAATTTTTTTAATTTGAATAAAAAACTTAAAATTACTTTTTAAATTATATTTTTTTTAAACTATAATTTGAAAAAAACTCGATTAATAGTGATTTTTAAAGATTTTTTTTAGGTTTCAAGACGATATTATCTTGCTGAAGTCAGGTACTAACAAGATATATAGTGTTAACAAGGATGGTGAAACTAAAGAGTAAGTTAGTTTCAGTGGGTAGGAATAAAAAATTTATTTTAAGCTTACAATTCATTTTTAAGATTTTTTCTAATTTTAACTTTTTTTTGGCTTTAGTTTTCGTTTTTGAGCCTAAATCTTGTTTTCTAGGGATGCAATTATAATTTAACCTAATATAAGCAAGTATAATATAATATATGTTTTCAGCTTTGCCTTTTCATCAGAAGTCTACACAGTTCAAGAACCAGATGGAATCAATGTCTACACCACAGACGCGGTTCATTCTCTACATCCAGTATACAAATCAACACGAAAAGTCTTATCAATGGCATCACAAGCCCCAGGCGCTTTCCTCTACGAATCTCTATTGAAATTTCGCAAATCAGACCCTCAAGTAACTGAATATGTCCAACAGATTGGTGACAATGTAAACGAAGCTGTCAAAGATTGTTTCGAAGCTGCGAAGGAAGTTAGAACGGCTCAGGAGGAGGAAAACTTATTGGCCGCCGCCGCTTTCGGCCAATCGTTGAAGAGAATCACATTGGCCAGTGATAGGATCGAGTTTGCGGATCAGTGCACTATCTTTAGGGTGATAAGGTTCTTGTATGATCGAGGAATACCGCTGAGTTGTAAACAGTTGGACGTGCTGGGGATTAGGGCGGTAGGTGTTGTTTATAGAATTGGTAGCTGGCCAGCTTGAATTATAATTACCCTTTAGGCGTTGTAACTAGCCAAAAACGTGATTATAAGCCTTAGAATAACCTTAAACTTCCCTTGCATAAATAAAAACTAATTTTCAACTTTTCAGGTACTAGACCGCCTCATAGAGCTCCGACTTTTCGCAGCCGCCGACCTAATAGCAACTCAAATGTGCCCCGAAGCTAGGTCTCGAATCATCGCTCATTGGGCACTGGACTCGATGGATAAGGTATCAAATGGTCTAGCCGAAGAGAATGTGTTATGCGAAAGAATAATCAAACGTTTCAAAGGACAAAAACACGTGTCCTTTGCTGAAACGGCGTTAGTAGCACACGAAAAAGGCTTACAAAGATTGGCAACAAAGCTGCTGGACTTGGAGACGGATGTCAGCAAACAAGTCCAGACCTACTTGAAGCTGAAGAAACAGGAAAAAGCATTGGAGATTTGCTCCAAATGCAACGATCCCGATTTGTGTGGGTTTTTGAATTGAAGTATTAGTAGTTTGAGTAGATTTTTGAATTTTTCTTTTAATTTTTTTGGTTTTTAGTGTACCTGGTGATAAGACACTTGAAAACGGACAGAAATCCAAGAGAATTGGAACTGATTTTGCAAAAAGTACCAAATGTGTTTCAAATGTACAAGGTAAGAAAATAATGGAAGACTTAATAGGATTCTCACATCGTTAACCTTTTTTAGCTTGTAATTTCATTGATAGGCCTAAAAATTCATTTTTAAGCCTAAAATGAATTTTTAAGCTTAAATTTTATTTTTAAATCTAAAATTTAATTTCTAAACCTAAGATTCATTTTTAAGCCTAAATTTCATTTTTAAAACTACAATTAGTTTTTAAGCCTAAAATTGATTTTTTGAGCTTAAAATTTATTTTCATGTCTATAATTAATTTTTAAGCCTAAATTTTATTTTTAAGCCTAAACTTTAATTTCTAGACTTAAAATTTATTTTTAAACTTAAACTTTCATTTTTAAGCTTAAACTTTTATTTTTAAATTTAATATCAGGTTTAAGCCTAAAATTGATTTTTCACACTTTAATTTTTAGGAAATGACAAAAGACGAGAACCCAACCCGCCTATTAGCTTTATACAAACAAAGTGACGACTTCCGACGACAATCTCTATATTACCTACATTCCGCCGCCGATAACAGCGTTTTTGACGCCGAAAAGCTGGCCGAAAACTTATCAAAAGCTCAGGAAACTCTACAATCAGGTGGTCATACCTACTTAGCCGGCCTGACAAAACAACATCAACAATTAGTGGCGGATAATGCGGTTCTGGAAGAGAAATATCATACGAGTTTGGTGGACAAAAGCTTGAAACAAACCTTTCAATGGGCTGTTTTGGAGGTGAGAATGAGGGTTTTGAGTGGGGTATAGATAACGTGAAGTGTTGGTTTATTACAAATTTAGAAGTTGCTTTTTAAGACTAAATGAAGGTTTTTTTAGGCTTGTGTTTTATTTTTAGAGCATGTTTAGGAAACTTACTTTTAGGCTTGGATGGGCGTTTTATTTCCTTAAACGACATTTTTAAGCTTAAGATGAAATTTTTAGGCTTTAAAGCTAATTTTATACCTAAAAATCCAGTTAATTTGATTGCGGCCTACACTTTTATTTTTATGCATAAAGTGCCATTTTAAGCCTAGAATTTCGTTTTTAGCCTGGTATTTATTTTTAAGGCTAAACTTTATTTTTTAGTTCAAAATGAAGTTTTTAGGCTTAAAAGTTCATTTTTAATCTCAAAATTCACGGTAAAAATCATTTTGAGGCCTAAATTTTTATTTTGAATTTTTGGCATATGCTTCTTTTTGAGCATAAAATGACGTTTTTAGGTTTAAAGTTTCATTTTTAAGCGTAAGTTTCTTTTTTAGCTCAATGTTTTAAAATGTTAACGTTATTTTTAAGTTTAAAATGCTAATTTTAAATAATATTTTCATAAATAGCATTATTTTTAACCTCAAAATCATTTTAGCGCCCTCAACAAGCCGACGTTCTCCGCAAGAAACACAAACTCACAGACTTTCAATATTGGCTATGGACATTGGAAACATTGGCCGCTAACGATCAATGGCAGAGGTTCGAACACTTTGCCAGAGAACACAAACCGCCAAAGGGCTTCTTCCCTTTGATTGAGATCTTGGCCAAGTACAAGAGGAGCGACTTGGCCACAAAGTTTGTGGAAAGTGTTTCAGCTCAGGATAAGCCTAAAGCTTACGCTATTTTAGGGTAAGGAGGTTTGAATTGTTTTTTTTTGGGGAAGGGCTTACTTTTGAGTCAGAAGAGGGCAGGCGTACTTAGTGCTATACCTCAAAGCATACTTAGGCCTATGGTTCAAAGCAAGCCTAGTACTAAACCTCAAATCATGCTTCGTAATAAAACTCAATATTGATACCTAAAATTTCAGAATGTATGAAAAGTCATGTCGCGCCGCAATGGAACGTGAAGATTTCGAATTCCTACATCAGTTAAAGCTCCAACAGCCTGAGGAATCAAGTGAATATAGGGAAATTCAACGAATTGTCGATGGATTAACAGCTCAACCTTCAACTTCTGCCTAGAACAAAGTCATATCATATTGTCAGTAGGCCTGAAAGTGGGTGCACTAGGCTCGGTTGTGGGTCGAGCCTAAACAAGTTTTGAAAGGACGGACCGTCCGGGCCCGGCCCCTTTACTGGTCTAATTGTCAGGGTCATGTCAATATAAACAGGTTGATTTATAAGGAGTAAGTGCTTTTTGAAGTTTTTGGATCAAAAAAGCTTAGAAGGTGATTTAATTTGCGTAAAAAACAACAAATTAAGTCATGTTCTCTAGTCACTTTTTATCTGTTTTTATGTAATTCATCAAATTAATAGCGGGTTCTGTATATTTTTTGACTATTTTTGAAGTTTTGTGAAGCCTTAAAAGGCACGGAGCTTGTTTATATTGACCTGTAGAATTATTTATTGTGATTATCTTATCATATTTTGTCAATTTTTTAAATTATTTTAATTTGTTAATAAGAATAAATTATAAATTTTTAATACTATGGACTAAAAGTTCTTGGAATTTGGAAGCTTTGTTTTAAAAATTTTTAGAATTTTGAATTATGGTCTAAAAGTCCTTAGATTTTTATAGTTTGGCCAAAAATTTTGTGGAGTTTTTGAGTTTGGTCCAAAAGTCCTTGGAATTTTAATTTTTTTTGTCCAAAAGTTCTTGGAATTTTAAGATTTGGTCCAAAAGTTCTTAGAATTGTGAATAATGGTCCGTAATTTTTGGTATTTTAAAATTTGGTTTAGAAGTTCTTGGAATTTTAGCTTTTGCTCTAAAAGGTCTTAAAATTTTAAAATTTGGTCCAGACGTTCTTGGGATTTTAAACCTTTGGTCCAAAAGTTTATCGAATTTTGAAGTTTGGATCAAAAGTTTTTGGTATTTGGAATGTTGGTCCAAAAGTTCTTCAAATTTCAACGTTTGGCCCAAAAGCTTATGAAATTTTGAGTTATAGTCCAAAAGTTCCTAACGAAAATCCCGTATAACAAAAAACTTTTAAATCCCCGTCTACTATTACACAGTGCATTTAAAACTACTGTACAACGAAACTTCTTTATAACGAACAAATTTCAAGTCTCCAAGCGATTCGTTATACAGGAGATCTACTGTATTTAGTAATCTTTTTAACTTTTTTCTTTATGGCCAAAATTGGCGTTCTACCCTTCTTGACGGTTCTTTTGTATCTTAATGTCTGATTTCCATTTGAAAGCGGCTTTTACGTTATGGTTTCATTTTGAAGTTTTAATAGTCGTAGCAAAAACGGTTATGATTCATAACCGATTTCGCTTGTTTTTTTTTGTTTCAAACCGAAACTACATTATACATAATGGCTACAATAGCCGTGTGAACAATATGTTAATTTAGGATTGTATGATTGAAGAAAATAGAAAGTATTGTTTACAATTCCCTACGGAAGGAAATTTTGAGTGTAACGTTCATGGTTTAACATTGTTTAAGTACGAGAGTGACATATAGGCCTAAAATTCATTTCTAAGCATAAAATCACTTTATTGTGCTTAAATTTTAGTTTTAAGCCTAAAACTATTTTTAAGCTTAAGATCTAAGTTTTAAGGCTAAAGCTACATTTTTAAGCCTAAAATTCATTTTTAAACCTAAAATTCATTGCTAAGTCTAAAATTCATTGCTAAGCCTAAAATTTATTTCTAACCTTACAATTTTATTTTTAAGCCTAAAACTCTGTTTTTAATCTTAAAGCCTATTTCTAAGCCTAAAATTCTATTTTAAGTCTAAAATTCAATTCCTAAGCCTGAATTTTACTTCTAAGCCTAAAATTCCATTTTAAGCTTAAAATTTTATTTCAAGGCTTAACTTTTATTTTAAGGCAAAATTTACTTTTTTAAGCCTAAGCTTCTATTCTGAAGCCTAAAATTTGTTTCTAAGCCTACACTGCTATATTTAAGTCTAAAATCTAAAGCATTACTTAAAACTATATGTTTTTACACGTACAGTAAAAGACTATTTTTATTGTTAATGTTAAATTGTTAATGTATGTTAAAATGGCAGCTACAAGAGCCAAACGGCATATTTCGGTAAGGCTTTTTAATTTTTTTAGGTATTGGCAAAAGTTAAACAATAAAACTTCTGTATAACAAATTATTGGGAGAACTAATTTGAAAACCAGATTTAGGCCAAACATGAACCTTTAGGTCTTAAAATACATTTTAGGCTACAATTAAGCCTAAAATGAATTTTTAAACCCAAAGATTTTATTTTAGGCTTAAAACTTCCTTAAAAACTCAAAAATGCTCACTTAGGCTTAAAAAAAGTTGTTTCTTATACGGAGTTTTTGTTATAGAAAAGTTCGTTGTAATGTACAGGGGTGTCCCACTGTATTTAAAAACTTCTTTTGCTTAACATTTTTAAAAGAACAACCGATTCAATTGAAAATTATTTCCTTTCCCCTAAAATGACACATTGGATCTTCTTATTCCAAAAACGGCTCAGTTCTTATGAATTTGTACAACAGCTTATGTTATTCTTGGTGATAAAGCTGTCGAAAAATGAGCGTATATTTATGAATTTGTACTTTTTCACTTTCCTTTGTGCAGTCTCCTTATCTCACTTATGTTGCACGTTTTCTAAGGTTAATATTTTGTTGTGATGGCTAGAAAGTCAACTTATCAGGTATTATTATAAGCTATTAAAACATACATTTTTGGATTTTGTTTTGGTTTTTAAGTCAAATTGCTTTACTTTTAAGCTTACTTTTAGATTTTTAACCAAGTTTTATTTATTTTAACTACTGTGTGATACCTGTATAAAGAACAAAATTAAAGTCCCCAAGCGATTTGTTATGCAGAAGTTTCACTGTAGTTACTTTAAGCCAAGAATAAACTTTTTGTCGAACATTTTTAACTTTTTAATGTTTTAAATTTAAGCTTAAAACTTATATTTTATTTTTTAAGCCTAAAACTCTGTTTTTAATCTTAAAACCCTATTTTTAAGCTTAAAATTCATTTTTAAGCCTAAAATTTATTTTTAAGCTTAAAATACATTTTTAAGCCTAAAATTTAGTTTTAAGCCTTAAATTCGATTTTTAAGCCTAAAATTTATTTCTAAGCCTAAAATTCATTTTTAACCCTAAAATTTGTTTTTAAACCTTAAATGTCATTTTTAAGCCTAAAATTTATTTGTAAGCTTCAAATTTCATTTTTATCCCTAAAATTAAGCTTTAAGCCTAAAATTCATTTTTAAATTTCAAATTTCATTTTTAAGCCTAACAATTGTAATATGTTGTAAAGCATATTTTAATAGTGCCTAAAATTTATCTTTTTCAGATACCCTACACCCAACTGAACCATTTGGTAGAACCAAGATCATTCTTGTCCCTCCTAAAATCTTTCTTTTTGGCCATATTTGGGATTGTTTTACTACTTGGCTGTACCTACCTAATACGGCCGAACGTTGTCACATTAGTACAGCCAGATGTGATCAAATACACGTTTCGAAACGAAGAGAACCCATTTGAATGGAAAAGATACAACAAGTCTATACTGGTGTCGGCAGGCGATTGTGCTGGGATGGGCAATGTGGTAAGTATAATAGTAACATTTTGTGGTAAGGCCATTTTTAAAGTTTTAAATTTTTTATTGACTTGAGGGTGGGATTTAAATTAAAAAATGAATTTTAGGCTTATAAAATGGAGTTAGGCTATTAAAATTCGGATTTAGGCTTAAAAATGAAATGTAGAATTAAAAGTAAAATTTAGGCTTAGAAACTATAATTTAGGCTTAAAAATGGAATTTAAACTTAAAAAATTAATATTAAGTTTAAAAATGAAATTTAGGTTTAAAAAATTAAATTAAGCTTAAAAACTTAATTTTAGCTTTGAAAAATGAAAAAAAATGAAATCGAGTAATAAAATTTAGGATTAAAAATAAAATATAGACTTAAAAAATTAATTTAAGCTTAAAAATTAAATTTTTTGGGTTTAAAGGTTAAATTGTAAGCTAAAAATTAATTTTTAAGCTCATTTTTTGATTTTAGATATTTCGCTTGGCTTTTGTGTACGCTATGGGTCGACGTTTCCATCGAACACCAATTATGTCCTATGGAAAGAACATTGAGTGCAAACGAAAAGACAAATTAGAGCTCTACTCTTACTTTCCTAACATTATAGGGCCGGCTTTTGACGTAAGTCTGACCTTTTTCTGTTTCAGAACTTTGAAATTTTTTAAGTTTAACAGTTGAAAATTAATGACAAATAAATTTTATGTTTTTGTAAATTAGGTATTAAAATGAAAGGCGCTAGAACAAATGCGGTTTTTAAAAACTTGCGGATCTTCGGTTTATGGACACTTGCGGATTTTTTAAAAGTTTTTTTTAAAATTTTTAGTTAATTTAGTTGTAGTATGGTACTAAATGGTACTAAAGCTTAAATTGGTACTGTTTTAATATGTTTTAGTGCTAAATAGTAATAAATTTTAAATTGGTACTGTTTTATATTTTTTTTGACTGAGTGGTACTAAAAGCCCAAAATGCTACTGTTATGTTAAAACCGTACCAATTTACATTTTAGTACTATTTAGTACCATACTACAACTAAATTAACTAAAAAAACCCTTTAAAAAATCCGCAAGTGTCCAAAAACCGCATTTGTTCTAGCGCCAAATGAAAAAATAAGGCTTAAAATAGATTTTTGTTTTAAATTTATTTGTATTGAAAATAAAGAGAATTAGATAGTAACGACAGTGTTATAGGAACCCGAGCCTGAAAGTTCCAAAGCGATCAATTTTGGCGGCGGAACTTGGAAATCAGACGATTTTTCAAAGTAAAAAAGTTAAACAAGTTATTATATGTACATACATACAGATAGATACAGAAAAGTTATGTAGGAGAGATTAGATTCAGTTCTTGTATATGAGCTTTGAAGCTGGGGGCGAAGTTTAATTTGATTAAGAATGTCGGAACTGGAGCTAGAATTTTCAAAAAAGCAAACGCTGCTTAGTAACTTATATTAAAGTATAGCATGGTATGATAGAGAAAAGTAGTGCAGGGTGGCATACAGTAAGGTTGGGATAAGTGAACTAGCGTTGAGTAGGAAAAAGTAACTTAAGGCACAGTAAGGTAAATAAGCCTAGGATAAGACAAAGTAGGGTGAGTAGAGCAAAGTTGGTACAGTATGGTAGGGTAGGGTAGGGTAGGGCAGGGTAGTGTGTGAAAAAGTATGTTATACTTTTAATTAGGCTAAAGCGATGAATGCTATAGACCTTGATAAGTAAACTAATATCACTTTTCTAGGCTAGACATACCAGATGCTGTAATACGTCCAACGGGTCTATATCTACAGTCTTTCTTGTACTTTAATGAATACCGCGATGAAATCCGAACCATGATGAAGCCATCGCCAGGTGTTGTGTCATTTGTCGACCGATATATCAAAAATGTATGGCCAGATCTGCCGAAGCACAAGATGTGTATTCATTTAAGGAGCTTTCCTAGTAATCATCCTACTGTTTCTACTAATATCACGTTTGCTACAGAATCCATTCGATTTGTGGCAAATTATTTGAGAGAAAGTGAAAATATCTCCGATATTGGACTGATCATCTTTACTGAAAAGAACGACTGGATTAAGACCGTTAAGGAGGCAATAAAAGTAAGAGTTTTGTTATCTTTTTTTTGAAATAAGTAAGGGTTTGAGTAGAGCTACGGCAGGGCTACGTGGAGCGTTAACCATGGTAGTTGCTTCAAATTAGAAGTGAGAAATGGGTTGGGCGGGGCTTACTTTTGAGGCCCGGTCCTGGCCCGGGGCTCAACGTTTAGGTCTGGCTTGGTCTTTGTTTTTCAGGATGTCTCGACCCGGTTGAAAAAATGCTAGGCTTGGTCAGGCCTGGCGCGTTTCTTACCCCTATTCCAAATATCTCAACCTTTGTTTAATTTATAATAGTTCACCAAATATCCTTCGGGTTCTATAGCAAGTCTTATATAGGATGAAAGAGCATAAAAAGTTGTCATGAAAGCCATCTTTAAAAACTGCTAAATTGCCTTGGCTAGCGAGTTATGTATAAGCAGCCAAAAATTTAAATATTATGTCTTTAGTGCAAATATCTTTTTTAAGCCTTAAATTATTGTTTTGTTGAGGTTAATTTAAAGTTAAGGTATTTTAAAGTAGGGCTAATGTGGGGCCAGTTTACTGTTGCGATAAGTCTAGTTTTTGGTTATAATAAAGCTAGGTTACGACTACAATAATTTAGAAGTTAATGAGGCAGAGCTATGCTATTTAAGCAAGTTCAAAAAACTGAGTTTTCAGAACGAAACAGATATTGAAAAGCACCACTCCCCTAGGCTGTTGGTTCGAGCTCAAGAATGGGCCTTAGCTCAACAACATTGTGATTCCTTTATCATAACTACGATCGGCTCAACTTATTCATGGTGGATGGCATACCTGATGAAGGAAGAAGCTCAAAAAAGAATATTTTACAAAGATGAGATGTTTCTTGTAAGTTGGTTTATATTAGGTTGTTCTAAAAAGAATGGCCAATTTTACCTTGGTCTCTCCGCCAAAATCGGCCACTTTTTTTGAAGCAAACTAATATTTCTTTAAAGTTGTCTTTTAAATTCAGTATTGAACTTTATTTTAAAATATTAGGTTGTTCAACTAACTCTGAGCTTCTCATACTCTAAAATGTGCTTTGAGAAGAGGCAAAAAATTTTTTGAATAACGTGTTAGGTTTAAAATTTAATTGTTCAGCCTTTTAAGTTTTGAATGACTTTTAAGTCTGTTAAGTCTAATTTAAATTCATTTTTAGCCTAACCACGAGAACAAGAAAACTAGTTTTGTAGCAAATGAATTTTTACCGCCAAATTGGAATGAACTTGATTGGGTTAATGGAACACTCCAACTGAAACCGAGATCTCTATAGCTTCTTCTACAGATATGCTTATACATATCTTTGTTAGGAAACTAAATAAAATTACTTTATATACATACATATGTTGACATTGGTTTTACTTGACCTTAGAGTACCAGCCCAATGCCCACATCCTTAGCCTAAAGCTTCAGCTCAGAGCCCTAACCCAAAAGTCCAGCCCCAGTCTTAGCCCTATTCAAGCCTTAGCTAACTATGATACGAAATACAAAATAGACGGCTAAAAAGTACATTAATAAGTAATATGACGCTTTTGTCTCTTGTTTTGAGTAGGTGAGATGAGTTCTTTTTTCACTTTGAAAGTTGCAAAGGAAACTGTTTCGAAAAGCCTGTATTGTTTTAGTTTGAAACACTCATTTTTGTGGTTTTTGGTGTTTCTTCTTTGTTGTTACCTACTTTTTTGAAACTATTTTGTGAAAATTTTGTTCAGAGCTGAATTTCATGCAAGACGGGCAGTTTTGGGCTAGGGGGTCAAAGTCAAAAAAAAAAATGAATTGAAAGGCTTGCAATTTTACATTTTTTTTATGTTTGACAGCAGGTCCGTTAGAGCCTAGTAAGCTTTGCTTTCAAGCCAGTCTAATTTTTTTTATCTTATCAGGTCATATCTGTAAAAATTCCTGGCTTAATCTTTCGTCTGGGTCTTTGGGCCCACGTGGGCCGGCTCGGTTTGGTCTTTTTCAAAACTTCTTTAGTCTTGGCCCACTAGGTCCTCTTGATTTCAAGTCCACATGAGGCTGATGATGTTTCAATATGTAAATTTGTTTTGTTTGAGTCGAATAAGAAGAGTCAATTAGGATATGAATTTTTTGGCCGCTAATTTAACGCTAGCCGAGGCAATTCAGCAGTTTTTGAAAATAGCGTTTAAAATTACAGTTTTTGAAAATAATGTTATAGGTTACTTTTTGTGCTGTTTCTGCCTTAATAGGTCTCGTTCTAAGACATAAGGGATGTAATTGACACAACTTGATTGTTAATGAATTGATAGGGTGCTTTGCTTGTTTTATCATCTTATTTTTATAAACTTTACTTTTAGCCTTAGCCTTCTTTCCAGTGTTTGACTTGTATAATGTTAATGTGTCGACGAAGATTTACATTGCCTACTTCTTTTCTACTGTTAACTTCTTTACTGCTTGTTACTGCTATTGTTATTCTTACTAGAGAGTCATATTGTAAGTTCAAACCAAGATTTAAAATATTTTTAAAATTTTTTAGAAAATTACGATTTTTTAAAATTTTTCGTATTTTAGCCGCGGTAGATCAAGATTTTTTCATTTTGGACAGCAATAGTAGTGTTCAAACTATAATCAGAGATAGTAAGACAGAAAATGATAGCAATAGTAGCGACAGCATGTGGAAGAATTTTACTAGAGAAGTTACTGTGGATTCAGATGCTTGTGGTGGATTGGCTAATATGGTATGTATGTACTTTTTAGTAGGCTAGTTTCTAAAATTGAGTAAAACTCTTGTATAACGAATTGCTGAAGGATTTCATCAATTTTTTAGATTTTTCGAATAGCGTCTTTGTATGGAATCAGTAGAAAATTAGAAAGAACTCCGTTCTTATGGAATGAATGTGCTCTCGAGTATCAATTGGAACTGAATGCGTATTTTCCTAACACAGCTGGGCTAGAATTCAGGGTAATATATTTGTTTTTTGGTTCTTATTTACTAAATTTTAGACTAGTTTAACAAATTTCACACCGGTTTCATTTGGAAATCAAGATTGGACTAAAGATAATTATAGAAAGTAAGTTTTCAAAATTAGGTTTTTTACCCTTTGCTTTGCCCTACCTTCCCTTACTTGAGTTATATTATTGCATTACTTTAGTCTTGCTAAGTTTTGATCTAGTCTTATCCTAGTTCACGTTTTAGCTCGTGATCTCGAGGTCTAGCCAGGCCTACACAGTCCATTTCTTACCATGCTTAGCAGTTTGTTTCCTACCTTAAGCCCTAGTTTGATCAAACTTGAAAATTTTAAGTCTACAGAATGTGTCATCAGAGCCTTCGATTCAAATATCCGGTATGTATCTACAGTCTTTCAAGTATTTCGACCAGTATAAAGACGAAATTCGAAAAATATTCGACGGATCAGAAGACATGAAGAACTTTTTAAAATCATATTTGGAAAAGGTGTTTCCAAACATAACGTCACATAAGTTATGTGTTCATGCAAGGCGAGGATTTGATGGTCACTATATGATTAGTACTGAACCTCATTTTACTTTACAGGTCGGTTTTGAAAACTTGAATTTGAGGTTTTAGGCCCAGAAAACTATGTATTTTAAAGCACATTTTAGAGTTTTTTAATATTTTTATTAAAAAAATAAAGTTTTGGCTTGGCGCTAAGACAAATGCGGTTTTTGGACATTTGCGGATCTGCGGTTTTTAAACACTTGCAGATCTTCGGTTTTTGGACACTTGCGGATTTTGGACATTTGCGGATTTTTTAAAGGTTTTTTTAAATTTTTTAATTAATTTAGTTGTATTATGGTACTAAAGTTTGAATTGGTACAGTTTTAACATAACAGTACCTTTTTGGGCTTTTAGTACTATTTAGTACCAAAAATATAAAACAGTACCGATTAAAAATTTAGTACTATTTAACATTAAGAAATATTAAGACAGTGCCAATTTAAACTTTAGTACAATTTCGTACCATACTACAACAAAATTAACTAAAAAATAAAAAAAAACCTCTTTAAAAAATCCGCAAATGTCCAAAAACCGCATTTGTAATTTTCAACAAAAAGTCTAAAAATTAAAATTTCAGGCTACAAAAAAGATATCAGAATACCTACTAGAATCTCTAAAACTCACCCAAATTGACGCTATTATATTCTCAGACGATAGAGACTTCGCAACATTGGCCAGCGACATTATTATGGCACGTTTTAGTTTTTTTTTTGAAATTTTTGAAAATTGGAGATTGAGTTAACTGTTTTTTGAGCCTTATATCTCATACATATTTTGTAAAGAAGTTGCATCAAATATTCCACTGGTTTTAGAACGAGATCTACGTAGGATAAAAGCATAAAAATTAACGAGAAAAATTTTCAAATACTGCTAAATGGCATTGGCTAGCGAGACAGTTATAAGTACATGTTTGAACCAGCTTCTTGAGTGTCATGCTACAGAGTTTTGACTGTAAAAGCAAAAAATATGCCCAAAAAATTTTATCAATAAATATTGTTTTGGCTAGCCAAAACATCTTGGCAAAATACAAAGACTGTTGTTTCAATTAATTTGTTTTGCTCAAGGCGAATAAAAAGCGTCAAATAGGACACCCTATATAAATTCTTTTGCTGCTAATATCTCGCTCGCCAAGGTGACTTAGCGGTTTCTGAAAACAGTGTTTTAGATAGCTTTTTATGCTGTTTTATCTTGTACAGATGGGGTTACAGAACCTGAAGGATATTTTGTGTAAATCGTTTTGTAAGCAGAAGGGTTAGAGAAGGATTAGAACGACAAGAATGAAGTAGATGGTAGTAAATCCTTTTTTTCTAACTTTATTTTTTGAAGAATCGAACAAGAATTGAGAAAGTCCACGCTTCTGTGCTACTAAACAGAGCTGAAGAGATGATAATGGCTCACAACTTTTGCGATTCGTTTATACTCACATCTACTGGCTCGACTTTTGGTTGGTGGATGGCTTACTTGATGAGAGAGAAGGCTCAAAAGAGGGTGTTCTACAATGGATTGATCTTTAAGGTAAGGTGCTTTTTCTAGCTTTTGGAACAGGGAAAAGCCATTTTTAAACAAAGGAGGGAGTAAGAAGGGGTGAGGGTAAAATTTTCAGTAAGTTGAGGATGAAGTAGACATGAAAGTGGTCGTCTTCCCTGTTAAAGTCATTGTTCTAGCCAGCAGCTCGCCATTATATGGAACAAAACTTCGTTGAACAAGACTATGTACCTCCTCATTGGACTAGAATACAAGAGTTCAATCATGAGGTCTACTTTTATGACAGACGATTGCCGTCAATATTGTTTTAGGCTTATTATCATCACTAGTTCACAAGGAAAGTGCTCGATCTGCCCTGCTTTGACTGAGTTCAAACTTGTTATGTAGTAAGATCATGTAAATATAAAACCTTTAGTAACGTACTAAATCGCACTTTTTAAGAAATCTTAAGAAAATTGAGATTAAGAAATTACGTTTGAATTTCCCGCCACATTGGCTTTGTGTTTCAATTGTTTCAAAGACAGGGATTCAAAAGTTGTTCGTTATACGGGGTTTATTGAGTTCCACTGTAATTTTCTTTGATATACTAGTAGAAAATCTCAAATTTTTTGAGTTAATTCCGAGCAGGCAATTTCTTTTCTTGTCAGTATAATATAGGGTTCTAACGTATCATAATAAATAGAGCTCGGACATATTATAGTCAAAACAGTTTTATAATGTCATAGTAGAAAGAGCTCAGACATATCACATTGTTCTTCAAGTATCATTGGTCTTCAGTATATCATGATAAATTGAATTTTTGTATTACTACTGTTTCTTCGTCACTTATCTTATCGACTGTACTTATATTTTTTAATGTACAGCATAATATTGTTTAATGTAATTATAAATTTTGTTTTACATGTTGTTTGTGGGACAAGTAAATTAAAATTTATTCAAAAAGCACGACAAACTTTTTGAAGCGTTTGCGCTTGTGCCAAACCGCAAAGGGGGAGGGGACAGTTTGAAACCGATTGACTATGTTATAACTGGTACTATATGTTAATATTGTTAGTTGTTTTTTTTATTTATACTTGTTGTTATGTAAAATAAATATTTGATTAAAAAACGGTATAACAGAACTTTTGGCGCACTTGCACAAAAAAGTTAAAAAATTTAGAAAATGTGTTTTAGGCTCGGGCTTACTTTTCAAACTCAGCCAGTTTCAAAATTTACCTCAAGGCCGGCCTGATCCGGCAAAGCGAGTTTTAAAAAGTCAGGCCGGTTTAATGAAGCCGGGCTAGTCTCTATACAGATTTATCCACAAAGAAAAAATCTTAAGGAACCCAAGCCAAATCAAATTTTAAAAGGCCAAGACAGGTTTGCACCGGTAATGCCTAAAGGCCGGGCTAAAAAATAGCTCGGTCGGCCCTTTACCGGCTTAATCAACATAAATACAGTGGAAGTCTAAAAGAACCGTGGTCGATACTCAAATTAGCTGAAGAGCTATTTTTTGCTTGTTTTCACAAGTTTTTTAATCTACTTTTTGCTCGAGGCCGGAAGGAAATGAGAGATGATGCGAGGGAGAAGAATTCGGGTCGCGAATCGGGAACGGTCATCTTCATCACACAAAGCCTATTTTTGTTTGTCCTCACTTTGTCGTGGTTCTGTTTTAATCAAATTGAAATTGTCACTTTTCATTTTTTCAAGTTTTTTAAAAAATTTTTTGTATTTTTGTGGTTTTTATTAACAAGGAAAGTAATTGCTCCGCTTGATTGACTTCAAACTTTTTATATAGGAAGATCATGTAAATATAAAACCTTCAGCAAAGTACTAAATCGCGCTTTCCAGTCAATTTCGAGAAAATCGAGGTCAAAAAACAGCGGTTTGAATTTCCCGCCAAATTGGCATTGTGTTTCAAGCTTATAACTCAACCATGTGACGTTTAAAAATTTTTCTTTGATATACTAGTAGAATACCTAAAACTAAACTTTTAGATTTGCAAGTGTAGCTTGTCTGGAAAGTCAAAAAAAGTGGTTGAAACACTATGCCAAATTTGCCAAATTGACGGAAACCAAAATAATTCAAATTTAAAACTCAAAAGCGCGAGCTAAAAATTTTTATAGGTGCTATTGATACTACAAAAAATTCATATAAAAAATTTGAGCTGGTTCAGGTAGGGTAGTTTTTCTGCAAGTATTACGTTTTAACTTACCAGGAAGGTACCAACCTGCAACTCTCATAATTAGCTCAAAAGTTTTATGCATCTTTTTTGTAGTAGCATATATAAAAAAATATTAGCTTGCTGTTTTAAATTTTAAAAATTAACATATTTACATTTCGCCAATTCGGCAAATTTGGCATTGTGTTGCAAGCACTTTTTTGATGTTCTAGATAAGATAGGCTTGCAACTTTAAAATTACAGGTTTGTTTGAAGTTTTTCTATCATTATTTAAAGACAAATAGTTAAAAGTCAAACAATGAGAAAGTTACAGTACTCTCTCTATATCAACCTGAAAGGACCGACAATTTGTGTTTACTATAAGAAGTGTTGTCTTTACAAAGAGACTTTTTAGTGCAAGTTGACTTGACGGGGCCAAATTTCTTGTTTACTATAAGGAGAGTTGCTTATACAGATGGTCCACTATTTACAAACCATTGCAAAAGCTTAAAACACTATGCCAATTTGGCGGGATTCAAAACGCAACTTTCTGATATTGATTTTCTCAAGTCTGGCCTCAAGCCGCAATTTAAAACTTTGGATAAGGTCTTACATTTACGTTCTCTTTCAATAAATAAAATTTGAAAGAAATCTGAGCGTTGCAGGTTGGGTATCTTCTTTGTTAATTTTATCATTTTTTAGGTTTAGCAAAATCGTTGACTTTGAAATACAGTATCCTCAATGTATCAATGTTACAGGTAAGGTCGGGCATACTACGGAAGTTTTGGAAAAGTGAATTTGAATTTATTCGTTTGATTATGAAACTTTCTTTTTAAGCCTTAAATTTTACTTTTAATCTTAAAATTTTGTTTTTAAACTGAAGTTTTTAAGCCTAAAACTTTGGTTTTTAGTCTAAATTTTTATATTTAAGCTTAAAATTTTACTTTCAAGTCTAAAGTTTCCGAAAATTCCCTTACACAATTATCGAACTGTTCACGATTCTCATACTAACCTTACAACTCTTATTACCTACTCAATACCTAACCCTATAACCCCTATCACATCAGTCATACCTACTCTTTTAGCCCTTATCACCTTGCTAATACCTACTCTTTTGGTCCTTATCCACATACTTAATCATATAACCCCTATCATCCTACTCATACCTACCCTTTTAGCCCCTATCACACCACTTATACCTACTCTTACAGGTTTTGCCATTTCTTTTGTTGACGCACAATATAAACCAAAACAATTGCATTGGTCCATGTTTTAACAGTGCGTGTCCGCCGAAGATGCAATGCATTAATGGGGAGTGTTGTGATGATCCATTCAATGTTACCCTGCCCAACATTGTCACCACCGACCGGTCGACAAGTTCCCTCACGGTCGATTACAACCGAAGCGGGGTGAAGCCGACCAGTGAAAAGCCCTTCATGACTTGTAAGTTGGGGTGAGAAATGGCATTTTTTAACGTTTCTTTAAACTGTTTAGCTGAAACTTGATTTTCTATGAACTTTTGGACCAAACACCACATTTTCTATAAACTTTCTAACCGTTTTTTAAAAATAATTACTTTAAATGAACGAAACATGGTACTAAAATATTATTTAAGGCGGTGACACAAGTTCCTCATGCCGAGTAATGATGCACTTGTGTGTGAATGCCGTTTACGAAGTGATGATGGAACGACATTGTACTAGAACTTGCAACAAATGCTCTCTAAAACCACGGACTCCAAAGCTACGTTCTCGACATTGTAAGCCTAATTGATTTTTAACTACTTAAGCCTAAATTAACCTTAAACTTAATTTTCTTTTTAAGCCTAAAATTCATTTTAAACTTAAAATTAATTTTTTAAGCCTGAATTTCATTTTCAAGCTTTTTTAAGCCTAGACCACCACTTTTTAATTTAGGCAGGGATTTGGGTTCAAATTGTCCACGACTTCAGCCATATTGCCAATCAACCGCGTATTCTGCGATGCTACGTACTTATTGCCCAAAAACATGTCATTTGTGTTAATAACTTTGAAAAATAAATTAATAATATTAGTGACTCATGATAAAGCTACCCTACCCTACCCTACCCTACGATATTTTGTCCAATTCCCTAGTTAGCTTTAGGCTACTATCATTAAATACTATCATTTACTTCCACTATACCAATAACATTAATTTTCACTTCCGTCAAGACTACATGAGATCCAAAAGTGTATAATTGTATTGTCCGCAGACAATAAAGCCCAACAAATTGGAAGTGCAAAACCATGAAACAAAGGCCTAGGCTTCGTAAATCTCTTTTTTGTCCGTGAGAATCCAGAATGATTTTGCGCCGTGTACGCAAATAAAGGCTGTTTAATCAGGCCACAACTGGGAGTGGACAAAATAACACGGGGATTTAAAAGGCCTGGGGGTTGGCGTATTGACCATCAGTTTTTTCTGGCTTGCCTTCAGGGGTTTTGGAGACAGGATACTGTATATTTAAAAGTTTTAGTAGATACATTGGGATTCAGCGGAAAGTTGGTGGAGAGTTAGGGAAGGGTCGGTGGAAGGTCGGCGGAGGGTCGGCAGAGAGTTGAAGAAGAGTTAGAGAAGAGTCAGTGAAGAGTCGGGAATCCGCAGGCGATTAGCAGAGCTTCGACAGAAGATCGGCGAACGGTTGGCAAAGCGTCGGCAGAGAATCAACGCAAAGTCAAAATGATTTAGCTAAAGTTTGGAAAAAATTTTGGCCTTTCAGTAGAAACTTGATCCAAAAAATTGCTTTTCTATGTACTTTTTGACCAAAACTTAAACTTTCTATGCACTTTTTGACCTAAATATTCTATTTTCTATACACTTTTTATCCTAACAATTCAATTTCCCATAAAGATTTTGCTACATTTATAGTTTTCAAAGCGCGTCAAAAAGAATTAAACTTTTTACATAGCAAATCATTAACAAAACAGTCCAATTCTTTTTGGCGCGGTTTAAAAACTTATTGCCATTATTAAATCAACGTGTATTACCATGTATAAGCTTGAACATTTGAGCTACACTAAACTTATTTTAACTGATACGGTAATTTGTAATAATTGTTTCAATCTAGATAGACAAAAGATGCTTGCCAACATTGTTGTTGTACTCATGATGACAATGTTTTATGTGGATGGCCAAGGAACTACAGCTCAATGTCCTCAACGTAAGTTTATATTCTAGTAAAATGAAAGTTAGAAAACCTCGAGTTTATTTTAAAATAGAAATTTTAACATTTAAGATTTTTTTGAAGTTACAGTAACCCTACAGTAACCCCAAAAAATATTTTTTTTGCAAGTTTATAAAATACGTTTTGTAAAGAATCAAAAATGATGATTTGTCCCAAAATTTTATGTTGATATGGTCAAAAATGGCAAAGTTACACTGCTTTGAAAATGTCAAAAATCAAAAAAGTTCGAATCCGCTTAGATGCTTTCGTAAAAAAATTGTAAAAAATAAAAGAAAACCACAGTAAAACGATTTTCAGAACCCTTAATGGTAAATGGAATGAACTTGTGTGGAGAAGGTCAAGTTTATGACGCCACACAACAATTATGTTGTTTTACCAACACTAATACCAACACCAATACTCAAACTACACAAGAGTACTGTGAAAGTACGTTTATTTATTTTATCATTAGGTGTCATTCTTTGACTGCTTTTTATTTGTTATCTAAAAATCAAAATTTGTAGTTATAATGGCTTTTTTGATCTTTTGTTACCTAAAAAAAATTTTTTTCAAAAAGTCAAATTCTTCCAAAAAAATTTCATTTTCAGCGCCCCTAATCGTGAACGGTATGTCAATCTGTCCGCCCACTCACCCGCTGAACCAGGCCAAGGGTCAGTGTTGTGGCTCCACGCCAATCAATGGTAATAGTGCCAATGGAAATTGTGTTGACCTGTCGATTACCGGTCGGCCGAACGATTGTGTTCAGAACGCCAATTTGTGTAACAATACCGTCTACTACGACTTGATGACACAACAATGCCCAAAGACTTGTAACCGGTGCTCGGCGAGTACGAGTACTCAGAATGGGAATGCCATTCCCGGCTGTGTGGACGGTACGAACGCGAAGGGAGTGTCGGAGTGTCCCGACAACAAGGCCAAGTGTGATTTGCCGTTGTGGCGTGAGTTCATGACCAAGGAGTGTCCTGCCACTTGTAATCGTTGCAACACTAATCCGGTACCAGTTATTCCACCCAGTGGTGGTGCTACGACTACTAGTACTACTACAACTACCACTACTACTACGGTTCCTCCTGGACGTTAAACTGGCACTGTTTTTGATCGGGCTTTAGTGGTACCACTGGGACTATTTTAAATGTTTTACGTAGTACTTATGGTACTATTTTTAAGTTTTCTTTAAGTATTACTTTTAGTACTGTTAGTACTAATTTTAAATATTTTATGAAAGTAATTTTAGTACTATTGGTAATATTTTATAAATAGCACTTTTAGTCCTTTTGGTACTATTTTACAGTATTTTATAAACGGTGCTACTGGTATCATTGGTACAATTTTTAATAATGAGCAAGTGGTACTACTAGTTATAAAATATTAAATATAGTACTAATATTAAAAAACGTTGTAAGATAGTACTACTGGTACTATTGGTACTGTTTTTAAATTTTGAGAGTAATGTTAATAGTACTATATAAATTATTTTAAAAATAGCTATGTAATAGTATTAGTACTAATAATTTTAGTACCATTACTATATTTTTTTGTCTTTAAACTTGCTCTAGACCCTATAATAATCTTGTACATACTTTTTTCTATATTTATAATCATTCAAAACGGATTCCATAACTGACACATGGCTTGGTGAAGGTGTATTACTATACTAATATCTTTGATAATATTCGAAATTTTTAATAAATTTATTATTATTAATATTATTAACAATTAATTTTAAAATAAAAAAAATTATTAAAATGAGGTTTTTTGAAGAAAAAAAAGCCAATATTGTACTATAATATACAACACAAACTATACTATAGTTCATAGTGTACTATAATAAGACTGTGATAATGTAATACACGCTCTATTGTAGTGTATATTGTACTACAACATAGAGACGATATAAGCGCTATATAGTACAATATTAGTACTGGAGGCTAAGACAATACTAATATGCCGTAGACAATACTAACACGACGTAGGACCATTAGGACAGCCATTACATGAAGCATAAGTGACTTGAGGATAACTTGGATCCGTGACCGGCTTGTAATCCAATGTTGTTGGATCGACTTGAGCTGAACCAGTTACTACTGGACCTCCATTCGAAGGCTGTAGTCCAGCCGAGTCGTCTTGGGTTACTATCATAACATAGACAGCACATGAGGCACCTATAACAACATTTTGTAAGTTTTAGGTGGAGTAGGGTAGGGTAGGGTAAAATATAATGTTTCAAAAACTCCTTACCATCACAGTAAGGATACAGTACCACATTGACGTTCTGAGTACTCCTAGTGTAACAAGTACCGTCAGCTGAGCATACGCACAAGTTGGCACAGTTAGCAGGACCATTACCCGAAGCACCAATGGCTTTCTGTTCACTGGCTACAATGTTCGGATCTCCGGAATCGGGATAGTACTTGGCAGTACCAGCGGCACAAGTAGTACACGTACTAATCGGTGCAACTTCACCATAGAACGACGACGAAGATACAAAGTCTCCAGCTAACAGTACTTCACCTGGCACTGCGGGACAACCGCTTGTTGAGCCACCACCTCCTCCAGACTGCATACAACCTGAGGTCAGAAGTGGTAGTATTAAGAAGAAAGCCAGGTGTTTGTTGGCCATGGTGCTGAATCTACTATTATATATATATTATACTGTATATAGTGAGATAGTATTTAAAATAACAGAGCAAAAATATTAAAAATCTTAATATAGGTGTAAAATGCTATAAAGTACGATTTAATGAAAATATTGATGACAAATTAAATACTTTGGTCGATAAAAACTGATAATTTCCTCAAATAAGCATGAACCTTGAGATTCCAAGAAAGTCTTTGATTCAAGTACTAATGCTGCTTTACCATAACTAGTCAAGCCAGACCGTAAATAATGCTGATCTACCCTATTTAGTGCTAATCTGCTTTATTTAAGTTGGCCTACTCTAGCTATAGGTGGCATGCCGTACTTAATGCTGACCTACTTTATCTTGTCGGACACGGCCGTATCTAATGCTGACTTGTTCTACGTAACGCTAGCCTAAACTGTCTAATGCTGATTTACTCAATTTAATGATGGTCTGCCATATCTTATGATATGCTTTGCGCTTCCTGCCTTGTCGCAGTTTTTTTAAATCTAAAAGCAGCTCTATTTTTTACAAAACAAAAAAAATCTCGTTTAATATCATTCAAATTTTTAAAAAAAATTAATTTAAAAATTATCTTCAGCGCTGAATGAAATTACCTCAAACATGACCCAAACACAAAAGTGCAAGCTACCAAAAACCCACGCCTATACTATAACAAAAATACGGAACCTATACCATTATGTTTTTCAAATACTTCTGCGCCCGCTAACTCCAAAGATTTGCTTAGAGAAGGACTACAGAGTTAATTGAACCATTTTCACACTGTGAAACTTCTGTACAAGAAAAATGTCTTATAACAATTTTAAAGGCTCCAAGCGATTCGTTATACAGAAGTTACACGGTATTATACTATTACAAAACAACATCTAAAAGGTAATTCGGTACTGAACTGCAACATTTTATCCTGAATTTATTTAAAATACAACCCCTACGCTGACCCTACATAAAATGTAACACCCTACGCAAATCCTGCCTTCACTACAACTTCATACGCAAATCCAGCGTAAAATGCAACAGCCAAACCCCCATCCCAGCCCACGCAACCTTTGAAACAGTTTTGACGAACAATAAAAATGTTTTAGCGAAGTATACATCCTGACATTAGCTTTTGAACTTTTCCTTCTTGATTCCGGAACGAAGCGGTAGTGGCGTTATCAGTGGGGCTGCCAGCGAAAAACCGGCTGATCCGCCCATCCTTCTTGCGATCATGTCGCGTGGAGGGTTCCGGGTTTCACTTTCGACAACCGGTTCCAATTAACCGGCAATTCTGGGGCTGAACTTGACTGTTTGTAAACATATTATACCATACTATACTTATATTCAAATTTTTTGTTAGGTAGGACAGGGTGAAGAAGGAAACAATAAAAAGAAGAAATGCAAAGTGAAGCCCAAAAAGATGATAAAAAGAGAAGAAAAGTAAAGAAGGATGACAAAGTGGAGGAAACGGGCATGTACAGAGGGAAGACAGGATATAGATGAGAACAAGGTAGAAAAGGAAGGTACGATGAAGAGAGAAATCAAGGTGGAAATAGAAGCCAAGGTGGAGAAGGCATGATGTAAAGTGAGGGCAGGGTAAAAGGCGTGAGCAAGGTGGAGGAGGCGGGCAGGGTCGAAAGACAGAGGACAAGATGCAGAAGAAGCACAGAGCAGAGAGTCCCCCAATCACCTTTCCTTTTTTTAGTACCAGCCCTATAGAAAAATACACAAAATTTTAACGGTAAAAAACAATTTATTTATCAATTCGAGATCATCAAAATATCAAACATATACAAATGTATCATCTAAAATGGCACAAACATAACTGTCAATCTCTTAACAACAACAACTTTTTAGTATTTTTGGCATTTTTAATTTCAAATTTCAACAAAATGACGTTTCTTAACTTTAACTTTCCAAAATCGTCCATTAGCTAACAACCAACATTATTCGTCATCCTGTTCAGTTTTGACATTCCACTCGTTACCTCCAATGATACCACTAGTACTCGGTGCGAGAGCATCTTCATTCACTGACGTTTCATCGACTTCTTGTTTAGGTAACAGTCGAAGCTCTTCTTCGTACTCGCTATTCGCCAGAATCGACTTTAAATACTCGTTGAATTCACCGGCCATTCCATTAACATCTGGGATGTTGTAGTCTTCTTCATCCATTTCTTCTTCTTGTTCGTCTTCTTGGTCTTCATTGTCTTCTTGATCATCTCGGTCGAAGCCGTCTTCTCGGGCTTTTGCTGCTTCTATCTCGAACATTTCTAAAAAACAGCAATAATGAAGCACGGTTCGGCACAGTAAGACACAGTAGAAACAAGAATAAGGATAGAAGTAGGCGATATCTAATAAAAACAAGTCAATGACTATAGTATAAGTTACTCTAACACAATCTCACCTTCAGTATATTCATCACCATCCCCTTGACCTTCATTATCCTCATCTTCGTCACCTTGATCATCACTCTCTTCCTCATAATAGTACCTCCGCCTTTTGTACCTGAACTTATCATTGTTTTTCATTCGAATTGAGTACTCCGGTGGGTCATGCATGCCAACATAATCATCATTTTTGCCATCAATATTACCCATCTCACCACTAGTACCCGGACCTCCACTACCATCAGCATATATCTCTCCAGTATCAATGTCTATATCACCAAGGGTACCAATAACATTCATAGCGCCAATGGCAGCCTCATTTTGTTCGAACTGATCTTGTAGTAGTAGTTTTCGCAGCTTCATGGCTTGTACGATAAGTTGTTTCCAAATGCGATGCCATCTCTTGATGGCGATACATTCATGTTGGGTTGGGAAGTAGGCCTGGACGATGCATTGAAGTTCGTGTATCTTGGCTGGGTCCCGCCATCTGGTTTTAGTGATTTTGTCTTTCGCCGATGGGAAGAGTTTGGCCCATAATTTCTTGGCAAAAACAAATGGATTTCGATGCTTTGATGCCAATTTGTCAACTTGATCTCGTGATACGTGATGAAACTTGGCTAAAAGATTATTATTAAGCCTTGAAAAATTAATATTTTTTGAGTTTAAGCCTAAAACTTAATCTTTAAGCTTAAATTTCATTTTTAAGCCTGAAACTTCATTTTTAAGTCTAAAACTTCATTTTTAAGCCTAAAATTCAGTTTTAAGCCTAAAATTCATTTTTAAACCTAATATTCTATTCATAAGCCTAAAATTTCATTTTTAAGACTAAAACCCTATTTAAAAACCCATATTTAATTCTAGCCCCAAAAACTCACGCTGGAACTTGTTGATAACGGGTTGAGGTGCAATATAGTACTGTTTGATCCTTCGATTCAACCTGCCAATCTGTGTCCACATGGCCTTCTTTTCTCTCCTTAACGTTGCCAATTCTGATGTGTTTCGATTCAAAACAGTGATTATTTGCTTCATGAGACATTGTTCACTTTGGCAACAGGAGCGGGCTTTTTGAATGACTAAAAAATCAACAAAAACTGAATTTTTGGTCGAAAAATGTATAGAAAAATTAATTTTTTACTCAAAAAGTCTTAGAAAAAACATATTTAATGTAAAACATCAATAGAGAAACTAATTTACAGCCTTACTTTCAGTTTCAGCCATGATTCGTTCCACTACATCCTCCGACAACAACTCCCCGTCCTCTTCCTCGATCTGTCTGTAGCATGCTGGCCGTTCTGGATTCACCAAAGGATAGTATGCATCTCCTTTCACATCCATATTGTAGTTCTTTTTTCTAAAAATTGTGTTTTTATCATTAGTTTTAACGGTGTTTATTCAATTTTGAAAGATTAAAAAAAAGTATTACGATAAAATTACTGTAACTTCTTTGTTTTTGCAAATTTTATAAATTCTTTTCGACGATATTTGGCAATATAAATCTACAATAACACAAATTTTAAATTTTCTACCTATTTTTTAAAACAAGTTACAATTAAAAGAAAAAACCTACTATAAGGTCCAAGCGCGTCAAAAAGAATTGGACATTTTGCACAGTGATTCACTATGAAAATCGTCCAATTCTTTTTGACCCGCTTCAACTTTCATCTAACTTCTAAAGTTGTTCACTATTATTTAGATATATTCACATCAAACATATAAACCCACATTTTTCTAGGCCTAAGCCTGGGTCTTCCTATTGGATTAGTCCTAGTCTTGGCATCCACATCCATGGCGGCTAGATCAATTTGATATTCTTCACAGAGCTTAATCATCAACTCGAGGGCTTCGTTTCGATCGTTGAATATTCCTTTTACAATTCCTTTTGTTTTTTCGTATACCAACGATGCAAATTCGCATTTTTCGTCGATTTTACACTTCCCTTCTCTGAATATTAAAGAAGATCTTACAAAAACTTTGACGAATTCGTTGTTTACTTCTGCTACCACTATGTAGGATTGAGCCTAAATGATTATTTTAAACGTAAAATTGATTTTCAAGCCTAGAGTTAAACTTTAAGCTTAAATTTGCATTGTTATGCCTAAACATCATTGTTAAGCCTAAAACTTCATACTTAAACCTAAATAAAATGTTAAACATAAACCGTCATTCTTAACCTTAAAACATCTTTAACTTCAAATCTTACCGTTTCCGCATCCTCAACTTCAATCCTCGGATGATTATGTTGTTGTACTAGAATAAAATCCTTGCTTGTTCTTAATATCATCGCTCCTTCACAATCTTGCTGAATACAAGCAAATTTGATGTTTGGGCCGCTGCTCTCGACTCTTTCATATTGAAATCCGTAAAAATATTGGAAAGTTCCTTCCATTCAATATACCTACAACTTTTTTTAAAATTTAAAATCTGTATCTTAATTTAGGCATTGGAAGTATAAAATCAAGCATAAAATGAAATTTAAAACAAAGCATCATTAACTGTTCAGCTCAAAAATAGCATAAAAACCAAAATCTTTACGAGCGTCAAAAAGAATTGTACTTTTTCTTATTATTTACAATGATAATTCGTCCAATTCGTTTTGACGCATCTTAATCATCTTTTAATCTTCCTCTTTCATCATTTTTCTACCACAAAATATCAAAATATAGTCCGTTAAAACGTAAAATAAGCCAAAACACCATGTTATCCATGTTCAAATCATTATTTATTAAGTAAAACTGTTAAGTCTACTCGTCGTGGCCGGCACGTGAAATAAATACAGTAAATACAAAGACTTAAAACATTAAATGCGCAAAGTCTATTTGAAAAAAAAATTACAAAAAAGTCTAATCTAGCCAAAACTGTCATGAACAACATCGCTATGATTCTCTTCTTCTGCCAATAACATTACTGCTCCTTCCTAGCCAACAAAAATGTCATCAAGGCTGATTTGTCATCAACAGTGTCGCTACTGATTGTCATCCAACTCAAATTGTCACTGTTCGTCGAAAAAGTTTTTTCACAAATCGCTCAAAGCGTTCTGATGGCGCAGTAGATGGGAAGTAGTGGTTCAAGATGCTTTCGACCGCTGATTTCCGTTCTTCTGACCTGTCGGACCAATCCACATCCTTTTCTTCCTCAAAAACATATCTACATACTAGCTGGAAGAAGCCTAGAGGATTGTGGCTTGCGTTCATGTACAAAGAGTCCAGTTTGTGCTTTGTTATTCCAAGATCTACTGCTGAAATGTCGTTTTTTATTAGATAAAACATAGAAAAAGCTTTAAAACCATTGATAGTTAGTTGCAAAAATGTATTAGATATAATAATAACAACTGTCTAAGCTACTAGATTCATTATAACAAAAGTTATAGCATGTTCAACATAAATTAGACTAATATCTTCATGCTAAATTATAATTTTTGCCCTTTATTACCTAAAAATCAAGAAAAAACAACTAACTCCTTACCACTATAATCAAGCCTATCCGTATTTTTCTTGTTGATCAATCCAGACTGTTCCAGCTCTCCAAACAAGTCCACAACATCCGCTACAGACTTTTGAAGTCCATCATGTTCAGAGCGAAGATCTTCCACTATTCTCCCTTGTTTTTCGATTGTTGAAAGGATTTTAGGTAATAAAGCCATCGACATTGAACAAATATCACTCGAACTAAATGATGGATGTTCTTTTCGTTCGTAGTTTGGAGTTTCATCTAAAATAGCATTGTTTTCACATTTTTAATATTTTCTTTTAAAATTAGTAAAAAATGTTAGTTATAATGTAAAAAAATATTGAAAATGCGCAAAATATGTTCTTTTATCTTCATTTTTCACTAAACATACCATTAGAATTGTCTGAAACCCAATCAGGCGACGAATTCGAAGGGTTCGAAGCTTCAGATAGTCCTGAATCCAATTCTGTCAATCCACTCAAATCGTATGTCATTTCACGTCGTGGCTGGACTACTTTTTCTGGTGTTTTCGCTAAAATTAATACAAAGTAACATCAAAACTGTGAAAAACATCGAAGTAATTTTAAAAAATTTAAATTTTAGTAAAGTAGGGTTGCAACCGGGTTGAGTAAATCGACAGTACCATAGAAATTACGCAAAATTTTAAAAATCCCTTCTTTGGCCTAGTTAGCAAAAAGAGTAATCTACAAACAATAAAATTTTCAAGTGCCTAACTATCCTTTAAAAAAAAGTTACAATCAAAGCCATCCCACATACTCTTATATCATAATATCCGCATATATAATACCTAAAATAAAAAAAAACCAAAATCAAAATTTACCTTTAACAACCTTCTTCTTTGGCGGATTACTTTTCCTTCTAACTTTAACTTCTTTTTCATCTTCTTTTGTATCTCTTCCCAAGAGTTTTTGAAGATTTTCGCTAAAATCTTGGGTCATTTTCGTATTACTTCGCTTTCTTTCTTTAATAAGGACCGGAACTTGTCGATTATGAACTACTTTGACTAGGTTATCCATATTTGTACATATAATCGACTCGGAAAGACCTTTAGATTGGCAAATGTTGGTTCGATTTGGTGCTGAAGTAGACGCTTCAGAAGAAATCGTCGGAGGCTTTTCAACTACTCTCGTTGTTGTTGTGAATCCCCATGACTAAAATATGTTTTATTAAGTTGAAAAAGATGTTGAAGAACATGTTTAAGCTTTTTTACGAAAAGATATTCACGTTTCTGTATCAAAATCTTATTTCCTATCCGAAAAAGTAAAAATAACTAATTTCCAAGATTTTCCAAAGTTCATTGCCTCAAAACCCACGCCTAAACATTAAAAAGCTAAATAATTTCAAGCTTCTCACCTGTTTGGCAGTATTTATGTTGTTCAGATATGTTTTTGCGTCCGAACTTGTCGTAAATGTCCTCACAATCTTGGCATTCCTTGGACAACCATCATGAACAATCAATTTGCACGTTGCACCATTAGCAAAAGCGTTCATCCTTAATTGACGTTTCTTCACAATCTTTACTTCACTACCTTCTTCCAAACGAATTACCGCATAATTGTGCGGTACACACACTATCGACATACCTAAAATAATGTTTTAGCTGAGGTTGAATAGTTAATCTTTAAAATATACAAAAAATTGACAAAATAAAAGCAAATAAGTTAAATTAAAAGTTAGATAATGGTCTTATTTACCTAATCATCAAAACTATACGTCAGGTATGTGAAAAAACAACAAAATTCGGTCGAAAAATAAAACGACAAACAAAGAGAAACACCTCACCAATAAATTAATGGACGAGTCAAGTTTTTTCTTTCACTGTTCTTTGACGAAAAGTTAAACAGGAGACATTTTAGGTTTGAGTAGAGTAAAATACGTCGAAGGTAGCCGAGAAAATGGTTTAAAAACCTTGACTTTATTTAAAAATTTTATAGCTAGGTCTAATGTCAGAGTTTTTCGTCGGTTTTCTCCCAAAAATCATTGGGAAAGGCCGTTTCTAGGAGGTATACCTTGTTTTTTCCTCAAAAACGTAGATTTTTTAGTCGAAACAAGACAAGATTTAAGAAAATAGACTGTAATAATCTTTAAGTTTATGATAGATTAAAACAATGGTTCTCTTTGGATCTGCGCGAAGTCTGACATCGAAAAGAGTCGTTGTTTCAAAGATTTCATTAGTGAAAATCCGTCGGAAAAATCATTATTTGAAATATAAAAACCAGTCAATCGATGGTTTAATATCAACAAACAATTTACTACAAGATGGAGTTTTTTTTTTAAATTACAACACAATTTGTCATTTTTACTGAAAAAACGTAGAATAAGGTAAAAGGGCGCTACAAATGCGGTTTTTGGACATTTGCGGATCTGCGGTTTTTAGACACTTGCGGATCTTCGGTTTTTGGACACTTGCGGATTTTGGACATTTGCGGATTTTTTTAAAGGTTTTTTTTAAATTTTTTTAGTTAATTTAGTTGTAGTATGGTACTAAATTGTACTAAAGTTTAAATTGGTGCGGTTTTAACATAACAGTACCTTTTTGGGCTTTTAGTACCATTCAGTACCAAAAAATATAAAACAGTACCAATTTAAAATTTAGTACTATTTAGCACTAAAACATATTAAAACAGTACCAATTTACACTTTAGTACCATTTAGTACCATAATACAACTAAATTAACTAAAAAATAAAAAAAAACCCCCTTTAAAAAATCCGCAAATGTCCAAAATCCGCAAGTGTCCAAAAAACCGCAGATCCGCAAATGTCCAGAAACCGCATTTGTCCTAGCGCCGGTAAAAGGTCAGTAAACTTTTATTATTTTTTTTCTCATAACTTTTTTCAAGTGATTGCTAGGACTCTAAAAATCTGCGTTATTGTAGCTTGTTCATTTTTCTAACTAACGCAATTATGAAAATTTTTAAAATTCGAAAAAACGTCGAAGTTACAGTAATTTTACCGTAACACCCTCTGATAAAATCTGCTGTTTTCTTTGTTTTGTGAGTCAAAAATAAAAGTTTTAATGAAATTTTACGATTTTTTTATATGAATTATGTTTAGATCATAGAAAGTAATATATAAAATCAAAGTTTCGCATTGATACGATAAGTTTTGGCAGAGTTACAGTGGTTTGAAAAAGTCGAAAATCAAAAGAAGTTCGATTCCGGCGGGAAATTCGTAACAAAAGCTAATAAAACGTAACCAAGTCAACGCATTTATTTCCCACCATTATTGTGAGAGTTCGTATTTTACATCATGAAAACCAAATTTTAAATTAAAATTTTCAAGAAAATGATAAAAAACATTAATAAATTGTAAGAAGCGTCGTTTCTATGCAAAAAAGGGAAGAAATATGGCTTTTTCGGCTTCGATTCTAAAGGGAAAGGGCTGTGGGGAGAGAAAGCGACAGCGTGTTCGAATGGTCGAGTGGAAGTGGAGGTTGGGGAGCGGAGTTCTTTCGTGTCTGCTGCGTCACCCAAAATTCTCTCGGTTTTTTTTTCTGATTTTTCGCTGTTTTTCACAATGGATTTCGGCATTTTTCCGGTTGTTTCGAACTTTGCGTACGTTTCTAAACTATACTTTAAAGGCATGAAGATTTTAGGCTTAAAAATCACTTTTAGGCTTAAAAATGAATTTTAGTTTTAAAATTGAATTTTCGGCTTAAAAACGAATTTTGGGCTTAAAAATGAAATCTTAGCGTTTAAAAAATAATTTTAAGCTTAAAAAGTCAATTCTAGGCTCTAAAATTGAATTTAAGTTTAAAAAATGAATTTTACGCTCTCCCCTATAACGAAAATCCTGTATAGCTAACATCAAGTAAAGATCCAAAAAAGGTTAAAAAATCAGTTTATTCATTTCTTAACGTTGCCAATTTCATCAAAATCAGTTGTCGGACATGTAGAGCTTCAACCTTCCTCACCCCCGTTGTCTTCTCCTTCATCATCTAAAAAAATTACAGTTTTGATTAACTTAAAACTAACTTTTTTTAGTTTACAAAGTATCCCAAGTTAGAAAATTTTAAATTTCAAAAACAAAAAGTTGAAAAAGGCCTAACATTTCATAAAAATAGTGATAAAATTGCTAAAAATATAAAAAAATGTATTTACTGTACAACAATATTATGTAGCTGTATTGAAAACAATATACATATTATATAAACTTACTCTTTGCTTCTGATGTCGGTTGAGTGTTGTCAGTCTTCTCAGGAAACCGCTTTCGCATTTCCTGAAAAAAAACTGTACATTCGAAAATTTAAAGGTTTTTGTAAAAAGAGAATCAGTAGGACAAAAAATTTTTTAAAATTAAGTACCAGTAAGACCTTTATTAGTTTTTGACAACATTTTATCAATTTTGTCTCATTCAGGCGCGCCATATTTAAAATGTTTTAAAAATTTGAAAAAACTCAGCTTGCTCCCCCCTGTGGATTTTTTTTTCAAAAATTTTAAAACTTCAGAGCTTATTTTAAAATTTTGAAATTACAATCTCACCAATACCCAAAATACCTAAAAGCCTCCAAAAACTCACAGTGTACCAACATCGATACTCGCGGTCGGTGTTATTGATGGAGCTGGCCGGCTTAGACTGGGCCTTCTTTTCCTTTTCTTTCTTTGACTTGGAATTGGACTTTTTGTTGCCTGACTTGACGACCTTGTTGGAGTCTTTCGTAACCTTCAACGAGGCACGTTTGCTCGACTTTTTGGTCGATTTCGACTTCTCGACCTTGTCGTCGATTGGTTCGGCTGACAGTTTCTCGTTGGACCGCTTGGTCTCGGGGTCAGTTTGCTGCGTGGACTCGGTCTGAAAGTCTGGAGAAGCTTAAGGTACATAAAGATAACGTACATAAAAAAGGTATGGCAGTGTAAGATTTACCACATTTTACAAAAAAATTTAAAAAACGAGCAAAACTCACGTCCTCAGGGAATTTCTTTTTGTCCTTCTTAACCTCCAAAGGTACCATACCTTCCTTTATGCTCTCATCAGCACCCGTCGCCGGTTTGCTACAACAACACCCCATGCCAGTTTGAAATCAGTGTATCAGTGGGAATATCATTCAACAGCACCGACCGGTTCAGGTGAAAAGTGTTGACGAAAATAATTTTATTCATAGTTTGGGAAATAGTTTTTCAAATTGAATTTTTAGTTTGCGGACAAAAGTGCATTTTTAAATTTTGGATATGGCAGGGAAAGGAAGAAAAAGGTGAGTAGGATAGGGTAAAGTAAGCTATGGTAAAAAAGATGGCAAGTAGAGTAGGATAAGGAAAAGCAAGGTAGAAGAGGTCAGGGTAAGATAGATAAGATGAGGCATGGCAAGGTAGGGTAAAGTAGGGTAAGATAGTGTAAGGTAGAATAGAGTAGGGTATGGTAAGGTAAAATTAAGTAAGACAGGGTAGGAAAAGGCACATCAGGTATGGGTTAAAAGGGAAGCAAGGGGTAGGTCTAATGTAGAATAATCTAGAGTAAAGTAAGGCAATCTTAGGTAAAGTAGGGTATAGTGTGGTAAAGTAAAGTAAGTTCGGGTAAAGCAGGGTAGAATAAGGTAAGCTAGAGTAAAGTAAGGTAAATTAAGGTAGAATAGGGTAGGGTAAAGTACGGTAAAGTAGGGTATGGTCGGGTTAATCTACAATATAATCAATCGTTCGTAGAAACATTATGTTTATTGAGCTACAGTAAGTCTCATGTATCTTATAAGTATTTAGATATAAGACTCAACAAAGAGTAAGAAATTACACTTTTAACAATATACAATCAAAAGCCTTTCTTATACCTAAACTTTCATTACGAAACAAAAAAAACAAAATCAAAATTATTAAGTGAATTGTGACAGTTTGTAAGACACGTAACAATATTATAGTAAGTAAAACCTTTATAGAAATTTTCCTGATTTTTTAAATGCGTAAAAGTTAACAATTTTAAAATTAGATTCTGCTATAAAATTAAAATATAAAAAGTCATAATATTAGCTAGGTGATGACACTTGGTATCTCGAATACCGCAGCCAGTATACCATGTTGAATGTTAAGAAGAGACATGGAAACAACAGGCCTAAAATAAGGTTTATAATAGTAAAGTTTAAACAAAAGTACATATTTCGCCCTTTATTAAAAAATTTAGGCTTAAAATACATTGTAAGAACTCCCCCCCTCAGAAAAAAATTTTCAAAAAAAAGTTGAACGTCGTCCCCCCTGTGGATTTTTAGAAAAAAATTTTCGCAAAAAATTGGCACAAGTCCTGTGCCGATTTATTTGACCTCCGCCCCCAGACGAAAAGTCCCCGTCCAGTCCTGCTCCAAAAGATTCGTTATACAAGAGTTCACTGTTCCCAAAAAACGAAAAAATCAACTCACGTGACATATAATCCGCCCTCTTAGCCCTGTCATCAATTTGCATTTGTTTCAGAAACTTTTTAAACGGCGGAATTCGCTTCAACAAATTCAGAATCCAATTTCCTGATTTTTCGCTAAATCTTCGATTAAATGCGAAGTTGCCATTCGTATATGGCATGTCATGAGCTGCGTAATCGTGCACTCGGATCTGTCGTTCAACTCCTGTACCACGATAGTTCACGACGACATCAGTTAGCGGTGCTGGAGAAGATGGACGGCGACGCCATACCTCTTCGTGATATGGCTGAAAGTTTTTGGGATTAGTAGAAGTTTTAGGCTAAAAATTTAAGTTTAGGTTCGGGAAAATGAATTCTGAGATTTAAAAATTAAGTTTCAATAAAAAAAGTTTAAAATTAAAAACAAAACTTTAGGCTTAAAAATGAAATTTTAAACTTAAAAATAAAATTTTAGGCTTAAAAATAAAATTTTAGGCTTAAAATGATACTTTACACAAAAAAATAAATTTTCAGCTTATAAATATAATTTTAGGCCTTTAAAACTTAAAATTCAGACCCGCCTCGGGGTTACCTTTTAGACACCCTACCTTACCTTACCCTACACGAACCTACCATAGATACGCATAAAAATAGTAAACCTACTTTTTCAGCTCCAATCAGCGGTGTTGATGTTAGCCGTGGATTGCCTGACGGTGCTAAAGGCCTACTCAACTGTAGGTCAATTGGATTTCCTGCATTTGACTTTTTGTGTTTTTCTAAAATAACGATCATCATAAAGAAGCAATTTCTGTCTTGTAAAATACAAACTGTTTTCTGACATATCTATGATATTTAATTAATCGAAAAATAAATTCTAAAAATACATGGTAAAACATAGAACTTACTTCTAGCTTGATCCCTCGAAGCCATGTAAGTTACAAAAGCAAACTCTAACAGTGCCCCGAAAATGAATGTTAAACAAGCTGAAAAAAGCAAAAGTTGTGAACAAAAATAAATAGTGTTAAGCCTAAAATAAAAAAAAAGTTTTAAAAAAAATATTTTGGAGCTTGTTCATTATTGAGCCTAAACTTCATCTTTTGGCCTAAAATTCATTTTTAAGCCTAAAGTTCGTTTTTAAGCCTAAACTTTATCTTTTAGCCTAAAATTCATTTTTTAAGCCTAAAATTAATTTTTAAGCCTAAACTTCATTTTTAAGCATAAAAATTCAATTTTAAGCCTTAAGATCCCTTTCCAAAACAAAAGAAAATTCCGAAGTAAGAATGTTTTAAAATACGTCAATTCCACTTACATCCGGTCCAAATGTCAATAGCTTTACTGTATGATACAGGAGGTAGTTTTGCATTAATACCCGAGGCTTGTGTTGTCATAGTCAAAAGTGTTGTCACTCCAAGTGTAACTCTTGCTGGAACGGCAGTTCGTGGCAGCCAAAAACTTACCCAGCTTACTATTACTAACATAGTACTGAAAATGACAGTTTAAAAGATGTTCTTGATTTTACTTACCGTACCCTACCCTAGCACACTTTACTTTACCCTACCGTACCCTACTCTACATTACCCTACCCGACCCTATCCTACCATACCCCACCCTATCTTACTCTGCCTTCCCTTACCCTACCGTACCCTACCCTCCGTATCTTTTATTTACCCTGCCCTTACCTTGGTATGTACAACTGTAGCAAGTAGTAACTGAACTGTCTTTTCAATGTAAGTACCGTTCGTAGACATGAATAAGTACCAGTATTAGTCTTACTAGTACAGTATGTAGTACTAACGTTATTTAATTGAAAACTAGGTAAAGAAGATTCTAGTCCGGTTTTTAGCTGGACAGGGTCTGTAGCCTTCCATTTGTACTCTAAAATTTTAAATTTTGAAAGTTTTTTAAGCTCTTCTTAAATTTTTGGAAATTTTCCAAAAATAACAACTATAATATAAGCCTACCAATATCATCCGTAGTATAAGCATACGATGCCAAATCTATATGACAAGTCTGCACATCCATCGGGTAGTATTGTAAATGCATTGGACATGATAGTACCATACTAATCCTAACACTATACAGTATATTACCATCTTTATGTACTCGAATTAACACATTCGGCTTGTCAATCATATGCTTTTGAGCTTGCTTTTCATTTTGAAAAAACGAATCTGGCATCCAAATTTGCTGACCAGCTGATAAGATTAAAAAGTCTGGTTTACCATCCCCTGGTAGACCATAAGCTAGTCGGCCGTCTACCCAAGATTCACGGAATGTTAGTTGTACACTAGAATAATATGGCTTTTTTGTTGTTTTTTTTAAAGTTTATGTTTTTGACTTTTTTATTAATTTTTAAACTTTTTTTGGTGATTTTCAAGAATTTTTTGCGTGTTATAGAACATGAAGACCATTTTTGTAATTAAAAACGTTTTGATTTGATACTGTAACACATAATATTCAAGCTGTAACATTTTGATTGGGTTAATGTAGCCAGTGTTTTGCCGGACCGGTCCGGATGAGAATGATTTCGGTCCGGTCCAGACCAAAAAGGTCAGGTCCGGTCCGGTCCGGAAAAAAATTTTTTTTATTTTTAAAAAAAGCCAAGAGCGCTAAAACTGCTTTTTTTACGTTTAAAAACTCTTAAAAATATGTTTTATTTGCAATTTTTAAAACAGTTTTATTAAAATTAAAAAAATTTTTTTTCCGGACCGGTCCGGAACTTTTCTTTCGGTCCGGTCCGGACCTCGGTCCGTACCGGAAAGGTCCGGCAAAACACTGAATGTAACACAGTATTCAAGCTTTTTCTTCAAAAAAACCTATTTTTCAAATTCAAAGGCTCTGGTCGTTTTTGATTACATACCAAGATTCATTAAAACCATAACAATATGGAAATTTAGAAAAGTATGTTATATACCATAACAATCATTTTGTAAGTGGCATTTTCTGTTTGGATAACTGTAACACAACGTAAATTTAATTTTTTGTTAAAAAAGTTATTTTTTTGCAAAAACTTTGGTTTTTTAGTTTTTTTTTAAAAAGCGGGTATTTTTGGACTTATTACTTAACATATTGAAAATCCTCAGCAAATTTAGTATCATAAAGACTATTAGCTTTTGTCATATGCATTAGTTTTGGCAAAGGTATGGTGGTTTTTCCATAACCCACTCAGTTTACCTGGGGTCCGAGCGGGCCACGGTTTGGGCCTCCCAAAACCTGCGCGGACCTCCATCGGACCCACATGTGGCGGCCCAGACTTGACCTTTTCTATTTGCATCGGCCTAGCCCGAGCCTAGTAGGCCCTCTTTCAGGCTTAAATCAATACGTATTTCCAAAAATTTTTCAAAAACTCTAATACTAAGCGCATGCACGTACTTTTAAGAACCACTTGAACACTTTTCAAAACCCGAACTAACATGTCATATTGTTACTCTTTTTTGCTGTTATTAGTTTACTGTGTTCTTCAGACAAACATTCTTCAAAATGGGTCGTTTGCGTGTCAACTGCTTGTTTATCGCCGTTTAACAATAAGCCTTTTTAAATTGTCGTAACAAGATGACAAAAAGGAATATTTTCGTACTATTTTGAAAAAATGTTCGCTTGGTCAAGGGTTTTTAAATGGAATTCGCAAAATTTTGATATTTTTTGTGTTTTGGTGCAAAAGTTTTGAGAAAATGAAAAAAATTTGAAAGTTTTTTGGTTTTGAAGCTTCCGCCACCGTCATATTCTTATATCTAGTAATAGCTAAGATACCCTAGCATTACTACAATCCAGTCCTATTCTTAGTCTAACCTGCTTATCTCTATAATATATGACCACTACTTAACCAAATTCAAAAATTTTTAAATTTTCAAAAAAAAATTTTTTTAATTTTAATTTTTTTTGAAATTTTTACTTTTGACCCTTGAGAAAACAAGTACTTTGACTTGGCCCAAGACCAGAATGCCAGAATAATTCAAAACAATGACCTCTAGCAGATTCTCATTGTTTATGTTGCAAAGATGCAAGAGATAATGCTCACTCACCTGTACTCCATGTTGACGTCGTCGATCTTGGAAATACTAAAAAAATAAGGAAATTAGTATAGGTTTAAACCTAGAACTTTACCGTTAAGCCTAAAATTAAAGTTTTAGCCTAAACCTTCAGTTTTAAGTTTAAAACCTAATTTTTAAGCCTGGAACTTCATTTTAAAGCCTAAAATTTGATTGTAAGCCTAAAATATGTTTCTTAAGCTTAAAATTTCATTTTTTAGCAAAGATTTTATTTTTTGAGCCAAGAATTTCATCTTTAAGCCTAAATTTTATACTTAAGCCTAGAATTTTGTTTTAAGCCTCAACTTAATTTTAATCCGATACTTTTTTTCATAAGCCTAAAATTAAATTTTTAAACATAAAATTTGTTACCTAAATTTAAATCATTACGCCTAAAGATGAACTTTTATGCCTAAAGTTCACTTTTCATATCTAAAATTAGTTTTTTTCGTCGTCAAAAGCAGCATAATACTTTTGGTACGTCACATGCAAATGAGATATCAAAAAATATGTCGCGCATTGTGTCTCTAATGTATAAGTTCGTCCTCATTAGTAATGTCAGTTCCAAAATGACCTAATTCACTTCATTTTGAACCCTAAAGTATATTTTAAAAATTCTTTTTTAAAATAATTTTAAAATACGTCCACACACTCTAGCCTTGAAAAGTTGTCGGGCCCAAAAAATAGGTATAAAACGTGTCCCCGTAAGCCGGCCCGGCCCTTTTTAGCTTTAATATACTCTTTCCAAACTAAAAATTTCCCTTCAAAGTTAAAAACTTTAAAAATCTTACCTCCTAATCAGCATGTTGACATTGACAACCACAGGTCCATGAACACCTAAAGATGGAAAATATAAAAAAGATTCTTTAAACAAATTTCTTATTGCATTGTAAATAGACCTGTAAAAGAGCCATTCCTAGTAGGTCACTTTACATATCTAAAGCCTGTCCTAGTGATATACTTTACAAGTCTCATTTTAAACACAGTAAAACTCTTGCATAACGAATTCCTCTATAACAAGAACCCCGCATAAAAAAAGTGTTCTCTTACCTGGTAATGACAGATTAGTTCCGGGTGGTCGTACCCTCCAATCATAACCTCGATTCAACAATTTGTTGATGATTTCTGTGTCTGTGTTTGCTTCGGATCTAAAAGTATGGCTATACTGATAAAAATTGCATTTTTAAAACTTTTTTATCTGTGTCATTTTTTTATTAGCTACAGCAAGGGCGTCGCTAAAGACTTTTTCGGATTGAGGGAGGGGAAAGAGGTAAAAGATTTTTTTTGTCCACGGGTACGTTATTTCAGGAAAGTTGTCTTCTCATTTTTCAACTACAGGTATTTACCAGCCCCATTTAAACCCCACCCTTAGCGAAACCCCTGAGCTACAGTAATATTCACCAAAACTACTGTAATTCGTAATTTTTAAGTTTTATCTCATAATTATCATTTTGTTTTCATTTTACAGAATTTTTACAGAAACTCAGGATAACTTACTGTAAAATGACTGTCATTACAAAAACGACAGTAATGTATAACAATGGCATGGTAAAACAATAAACTTTTAAAAAGCCGATATGTGTGATTTCAAAGTGAAAAGAGCGGAATCGTTAGGTTGGAAAACGACGAAATTTGGTGTTCATGGACTAGCTGACAAATTTTTTAAATTTAGTATTTAGAAAAGCGGCAAAAGCACGAAAATATCAAAAGACATGAAGTAATACATATACCGTAATTATTTTTAAAATTAACGCTAAAAAATTGAATAATGAGCTTAAAAAAGAAATTGCAGGCTTAAAAAGAAATATTAGGCTTAAAACAAAACTTAGGCTTACAAATGAGATCTTAAGCCTTAAAATGAATTATTAGGCTAAAAAACTTTCGCCTTAGGCATGAAAATGAGTTTTAGGCTTAAAAAATAAACTTTAAATTAAAAATCAATTTTAGGCTTAAACAAAGAATTTTTCGCTTAAAAATAAAGTTTAGGCTTAAAAAGAAGATTTTAAACTTATAAATCAACCCTAAGGATTAAAATCAAACGTTTAATATTAAAATAGCTTTAAAATGCATTTTATATTCAAAAATAAGCCCCATAAACAAGTAAGTAAAAAATAAAACTTGGCTAAAAATTCAAATTTTAAGCAAAAAACATGTTGCCAAATCCAAGTGCATATTAGTACGAGTAAAAAAAGTGTGGTTATTAAAAAATGGAGCACAACTTCCGTACATTGATTTTCGGCGAAATGAAATTTAATTGGCTCAATTCTTGAAAGAAAAACTGGAAATGTTGTTTGGACTATTAATAATTCTAGACTGGAACTGGGGTACGTTCATTTGGTCAAAATACATGTTTTTTTAGACATTTTTTGCAAAATTTTAGTTTTAGGATTAAAGTTTGATTTTTTAAATTAAATTTACGTTTTTAAGCCTAAAATTCAATTTTAAACCTTGAACTCATTTTTAGGCGTAAAATTCAGTTTTAATTTTAAAATTCATTTTTCAATTTAAAGTTAATTTTTTAAACCTAGAAATCATTTTCATGCTTAAAATTTTAATTCTAAGCCTGAAATTCATTTTTAAACCTAAATTTGGTGTTTAAGCCTAAAATTCACATTTCAACGTAAAATTGTACTGTTATGCCTAAAATTATACTGTTATGCCTAAAATTCACCCTTTATGTTTAAAGTTCATTTTTAAGCCTAAACTTATGATTTTTAAATTAAAATTTTAAGCCTTTGCCAACTCTAAACCTTTTTAAAACCAAAATTTGCCATAAAAACGTGAAAATCATAATGACCTAACAAGTAACTACCACACCAAAAAATAAAAGTAAATGTCTAGCCATAGTGGGAAGCTCTACCCACGCCAGATTACTATATTTTATTGTTGACACATCAGAAAACGCTGTATTGGCACTGATATTACAGTTTTCACCAATTATTTTTTGTCACATAAACAACTCACGAGAACTTTATGTACTTATGTGACATGACCAGACTAGAAAACAAAGTTTAATCCAGTTTGTTACAGTACAATTTATTGGCTTTCAATTAAGCCTAAAGTTAGAAAGCAAACCTTAACTTTGTGTTTTAGGTAACTATTTATCTTCAGGCCTAAAAACCACTTTTAAGCCTAAAAACCGTTCTTAAAATTATTTTCTTTCGTTTTTGAGCTTAGGACTCATGCTAAAACTTAGAACTCATTTTGAGTTTAAAATTTATTTGCAAGCTTAAAATTTACTTTTTAAGACTAAAAGCTTTTTTTTCAAACCTAAAATCACATTTTATACCAAAAATTAAACTTTAAGCATAAAATTCATTTTTTAATCTTCAAATGCATTTTTAAGTCTCAAATTAAATTGTTAAACTTTAAATAGACGTTTAAGCCTAAAGTTGATTTTCAAGCCTAAAATTCATTTGCAAACTTAAAATTCAAATTTTTACTTATAAGCTTAAAAATCGTTAGCCCTGAACAGAAAGGTAAGTAGGCTTAAACTTTCGCGGGCACCTGAGGTCCTCATTTAAACCCAGGCTTAAGCCCCGCACAATCCGGACCGGCCCCTTTCAAATTTTTACGGCTGGCAGTCAACTTTTTAGTAGACATTGGTAATGGGTCGGGCCAGTCTTTTCCGGGACTTTCAGGCTTGGCCCGACTTAAATTTTGCTCAGGCCCGTTTACCATGTCTACCGTTCAGGTCTTGTTCCATCCCCCTTTTTCCCCACCTTTCAAATCAATTACGTAAACTTTCATTTTCAACTTATAATTAAAAATTTTGTCAAAAACCTCCCCCTTGTAAAATAGTCAAGCCTAGACTTGTAAAATTTTGACTACAACTGAAAAATTGAAAAGTGGGCGTGGCCAACCTTACGGCCAAACGTAAAAAATCTGGCGGTGAAAATTCGCGCTTTATTGTCTTTGGCGGCCCAAAACTTGGCCCCAAAAAGGGGCTTTATAAAGAAAAAATATTCTTTTCGTTACTTATATTCATTAAAATGTGGAATTCCGAATTTGTGTCTGGTTTTGACATATCAGCTCTTTTTTGACACGAATAAGGCAAAGTCAATTTGAAAAACGACAAAGAATAAACAAAATGGAACGAAATTACAAGTAACGTAATAAAAGTTGAAGCCAGACTATACGACAACGTGTTGATGTTTTATTGGGTTTAGAGCTACAGTGTTAAGCCTGAACTTTATTTTTAACATTGCAATTTAGGTGTTAAGCCTAACTTACACAACATAATTTTCATTTTTCTAAGCCTAAGATTACTTTCTAAGCCTAAAATACATTTTTCAGGCTAAATATGAGTTTTTAAACCAAAATTTCATTTCCAAGCCTAAAATTCATCTTTAACTCTAAAATTTAGTTTTTAAGCCTAAAGTTTCATTCTAAGCCTAAAACTTCATTTTTGAATCTGTAACCCCATTTTTAAGCCTAAAACTTTAGTTCCAATGTTAAACGTTCATGTTCAAGCTTAAAACTTCATTTTTGGGTCTGTAACTTCATGTTTAAGCCTACAACTTCATATTGTAGTATAAAACTTCATTTTATAATCTAAAACGTAATTTTGAACCTAAAACTTCATTTTCAAGCCTAAAATCATACAGTAACTTTACTAATCCAATAAAATTTACAACAGTAATCCCCCCTCGTCCTTTACCGTTCCCTACACCAACAACTTAAGCTCAAAAAAACAAACAAACGTGATGTTCATTTAGTGTTTCGCCAGGAAAACTTGCGCAGATTAATAATATGCTCAAACAAAAAACATTTGATACCGATATGTTTCTAGGCCAACTTTTTGTGGGCAAATATTGCGGCCAAGCCTTGAGTTTGTTTTTCAGGTAAGCTTTGTGCTTGTGTTCCCACGAATTAAGCAATGTCTATGATGCCAATGGCTACTTTTATTTTAAAAAGACAGAATGGCCAAAGTACTTTTTTAATTTTGAAAAAAATTTATGATAAGTTTGATCGCCTTAAGATAAGGTTAAATTTAAAAAGAAAAAATCTTGGTTTAAAAAATAGAAATTTAGACATAAAAATAAAATTTTAGGTTTAGTTATTCAATTTTAAGTTTAAAAATAATATTAAGATTTAAAATTAAAGTTTATGCTTAAAAATAAAGTTTAAAATTAAAAATAAATTCTTAACGTTTAGAAATGAAGTTCAGACATTAAAATGAAGTTTAACTTTCAAAAAGAAATTTTTAAGCGTAAACATGAACGTTAGAAAACTTAGAAACAAGCCTAACTGGCCATAAAAATTAGTTTAACAATAAAAAAAACCCAGTTTAAACCTTAACTTCTATTTTTATTCTCCCAAAAACTCCAAGTTAAGTGTTTTATTTTGCCCTTTAACTCCATTTTTCAAACTTTATAAACCTCTTTTCTCAAAAAAAAACTTACAACACTACCTTCACAGCCAACATGAATATAAGAAGCCAAATTTGCATAAGTTAAATACTAGGTCAGCATTGAAATAGCACTAGATCTCTGTCTACTAACAATAAGACGGTTTAAAAGCTTCGCTCAATCTAAATCCGATTTCCGCTAATGCCAAAACATGACGACGGCCGAAGGGGATTCTGGAGAAGAATTCAACAAGGGGAGAATTTGAAGAGGTTAAAGAGCAGGTTGTTACAAAAAAAGGTTTAAAGTGAGAAAATTTTAGTTTTTTGTTTGAAAAGTGAATTTTAAGGTTTAATGTGATACTTTAGGCTTGAGAATTTGCATAAATAATTTAATTTAAAGCTTGAGAACTAAATATTTGGCATAAAAATGAATTTTAGGCTTAAAAATCAATTCTAGGCTTAAAAATGAATCTTACAAAAATAAATCTTAAGCCTAAAACATTTCAAGGTTGAATTTAAATCAATCCTTAAGCCTAAAACATCAATCCTTAAGCTTAAAAATGTAGACAAAAAGAATGAGTATTAGGCTTACAAATAAGATTAAACTTACAAATAAAAATATATTTTGAACTAAAATACAACAGCGCATGCAAAATTGCACCAAAATTCGGTTCTAACCCTATATTTTTTATTTTAAATAAGCTTAACTTTACCGCCAGGACGAGTTGACATAAGACCTGAAAGGACCCAGTTCCAATTTTTAGCCTCTCTTTCGTAATGTGCTAGCCCGGCACAGGGTCATGCCTAATAGACCTAATAGGAAGGTCCAACTTCTCATTTATAGTACATTCCTTAGTTGTAAAATTATAAAAATATTTTTTTTCGCACTTTTTCCTATATTTTCCAATTATAAAAGAAAGAAAACACTCACAATTCCGGATCGACTGTGCTTTCTTCAGCATGCTCTTCTTCTGATAAAGCGCTGTCCTTTAGATAATTGTGATTTGGACGAACCTCTTCATTTTCGTAGTCGTTTTCGTAAGATTCCTAAAAATTTTAACGTTTTAAAATGTTCTATAATTCCATATTATCCTCCACCTTAACCCAAATACAGTGGAACTACTGTATACCAACGTTTTTTAACGCACAAAATTGAAATCCCCAGGCGATTCGTTATATAATAGTCCCGCTGTACATAAGTGTTTGATTAAACAACTAAGAATTATAAAACTTACATGCTCATTGCTACCAAAAATAGGTATCTTTGTGTTCAGATGTTTTTCGAATTCTTTGTTTGGAAATCGAAAAACGGCTGCTCGATCGGAAAACAACTCGGCTGAACCACGCAATTTCTCCCTAGATTTCCATCGTAATGGCGAGGTAGTTGTGCTGATGGCAAAACTGAAAAAACAACTAACGTTATTTTTAAAATGTCATTTTTATGTTTAAATTTGAATTTTATTGAAAAGCAAATATTTTTTTTTTGTTTAATGGTCCTTCCAGATCGGCTCCGGAGAGGAGGAAAGAGGGGGTGAGTCCACTCCTACCCATGTGTAACGGGCCGGCCCATTTTTCAAGCCCGGCCCGACAAAAACTTTGCTCAGAGCCGGTCCGCCCGTTCCTCATGCCTATCCATTCCCATCTAACCACCCCTTGTTGACCTTCCCCTAGCAAAATTGAGCATATATTTTTAAACCTAAAAAAATCATAAGCCTAGAAATCAACTTCCAAACCTAAAAATTCCCTTATTAGCCTAAAATATCGTTAACAACATAAAAAAAATAATTTACAACCTTAAAATTCATGCACAAGCCTAAAATCCCATTTTCAACTCTCAAAATGCACTATTAAGCCTAAAATCATTTTTAAAATCCCCGTCCTTGACCATCTCCAACAGAACATTTTGCTACTTTTTCGCCAAATTCGACATTTCGGCCTAGATTTGTTAAAGTAACTCTATTTCTCTTACCTCATATAACATCCGAGATTGAGAAGCAGCGCCAACCGCACGCCGTCTGGCATTGAAGCCGTGAAGCCGGTCGGATGCCTTTGAAAAGGCCCTATCTAAAAACAGTCGAAAAGTAAATTTGTATCACATATCCACAAGCGTCATTATTATTTGACACTTTTTAGCGAAGAAAAAATGATTATGTTATAAATAAAATAAAGTTAACTTTTGGAATGAACAATAGTGTAAAAAATAAAACTTTAGGCTTAAAAAAAGCTTAAGCCTAATATTTAATTATAAACCTAATATTCACTTCCCAACTAAAAATGCCTTATCTTCTGGCGACTATGCTTAACTAGGAAGTTGCACCAAATATCTCTCGGGTTGTAGAACGAAACCTATCTAGGATGAAATAGCATAAAAAATTACCAAAACAATTATTTTCAAAAACTGCTAAACAGTCAGGCCTAGCGAGTTACAGTAAGCTCAATTTTCTTATATTTTTTATTTATGGCTTCAAAATTCGAAAAATATAATTTTTTGATAAATATTTTTTTTCTAAAAGTGACTAAAACAAAAATTTTGATTAAAATATTTTTTAATCAAAATATCGTTTGGCTAGCCAAAACTCCAGGTCATAATAACATTTTTAAGGGATCTAACCTTAAGCCCAAAATCTAACCTCATTTTATAATAATAAGCCAGCCATACATTAAATTTAAAAAATAAAATACGTCTATATGTAAAGGTTTATTTTAAGCCCAAATTTCATTTTTAAGCCTAAATTTAGTTTTAAGCCTAAAAAACCTTTTAAAACTAAACATTTATTGTTAAGCCTAAAATTTATATAAGCTTGTATTTCATCCTTAAGCATAATTTTTAACAAAACAGTTGAATGCCTCATGCCAACATCTACATATTAGGATGAGCGAATATACACCAATAAAATTCCAAATACAAAATTCATTTTCAAAACCCAAAGAATAATGTTAACCATACAGTTGAACCCAAACCCCCTCTAACAATAACTCTCATTTGGAATTCTAGTGCTTCCTCAAAAGTACAAAACTAATCATAAAATTATTTTGTTTCGAGAAAAACGAAATTAATAACGAATATCAATGACACAAACCCACTAATTATAATCCAATGCACTGAAAAAAGACACGCAATGCGGCTTCAACTACTTTTCATTAAATTCTTTTGGCGTTTCAATCAAGTTATTTAGTATAACATAAGCGTATATGAGTATAAAAAGCAAATTTCGGCTTGCAAGTTAAATTTTTAGAACAAAAATGACTTTTAGGCTTAAAAGTAAAATTTAGGCTTATAACTAAAATTTTAGGCATAAAAATAAAAATTTAAACTCAAAAATTAAATTTTAAGCTTAAAAATGTAATTTGGGCTTATAACAAATTTTAAGCTTATATTAAGTGCCGACATAAAGAACCTGCCATTTTTTACAAGAAATCACAGGGAAAGTATGGCGGATTCTTTATGACGGCATCTAATATCTGAAACACTACTTAAAAATAAAGCTATAGGCTTGTGGCTAAAACTAGGCTTAAAAATAAAATTTGACTTAAAGATGAAATATTAAGCTTGCAAACGAAAGTTGGGCTTAAAAATGAAATTTATAGTTAAAAATGAAACTTAAGCTTAATAATGAAATTTAGGCTTAGAAATGAAATTTTAGCTTTAAACGCAAAGTCTAAGCATAAAAATCAAGATTTAGGCTTGAAAATAATCTTTACACTTAAAAATGACTTAATAGTTTATATTTCAACAAAAAATATATAAAAATAGATAAAACCGCTGCAAAAGGTAAGAATTATATCAATTTAACCCCAATAATAACATAGTAAACCCCTCATTTTTGACGTGGCCCAAAAACAACAAAATGATGAACAGAAGTAAATTGTGGCTTAACAAAATAACAGCGCTCAAGAAAAAGATTAAATCCCTATTTTTTAGCAATTTCCCTGAGGAGCTTTCGGATTATTTAAACTAAATTTTGGTCTACATACATTATGTTGTCGATTCGACGTCAACAGTGTATGAAAAGTAAAGTAAAAGACTTATTGTTTTATGGTGAATTCAAAAGATTTGTAAAAGACGAACAAATTCTTTACAGTTGATAACAAATGTGTAACGAATAGCTCGAGGATTTTAAATTCGTTAGTTACAGACAGGTTTCAATACACAAGAGCCTTAAATGCACTGTGAAACGTCGGCTGGGTATTTGAAAGTTGTTCGTTGTCCAGAAGTTTTACTGAATATTTATGCCAATGTGGCACGTAAAAAATAAAGCTTCAATTTTTAAAAAAAAATTTAGGCCTAAAGAAAAGTTCAAGCTTATAAATAAAATTTTAGGCTTAAAAATTGAGTGTTCGTTTCAAAAAATAGACTTTAAGCTTAAAATGAATTACCAGGCTTTTACCAAAAGTTTTAGACTAAATTTTGGTTTAAAAATAAAATTTATTCTTAAAAAGGAATTTAAAATTAAAGTTAGTTTAAAAATAAACCTTCAAGCCGACAAAACAAACTTAGAGCTTAATATAAAAAATTAAGCTTAGAACTAGCTTTAGGTTTAAAAATAAAATTTAAGGTCCAAAACTCAAAAATCAAACTTAAAAGCTACCTTGCAGACTTTAAAAATATTATTTAGCCTTAAAATAGCACAAGAAAACCCTTAAAAATGTCCAGAATATAAGATTCCTTCGAAACGTTTGATTTACGCAAAAAGAGAGTCCAAACAAATAATTAATGAGACTTTTCTGATCGAGCATCCAATTGTTTTTTATTACATACTTGTTTCATTAGTTCAGGAAGATGAAGATGACTGTCATTTTAAGTTTACCTTTATGCCTAAAAGTAATTTAAAAAACATTTTGCATTAAAAGTTAGTTTTAAACCTATAATTGCATATATACACCTAAAGTTCTGCTTAAAGCGTGAAGTTCTATTTTTAAGCCTAAAATTAAGTTCAAAGCTCAGAATTCTACGTTTAAGCCTAAAATTCATGTTTTTAGCTTAAACATAATTTTTTAATATAAAATTTATTTTTAAGCCTAAAATTCGTTTTAAACCTAAAAATCTTTTTTAAACCTAAAAATCATGTTTGCTTAAACTTCAACTTTTAAGCCTTTCAAATTTTAACCTTAACATTGAATCTTAAAACAAAAAACCCCGTTTTTAAGCCTAACATTCTTTTTTTAAACTTAAAATTGGATCTTAAAACCATAAGCCCCGTTATTAAGCCTAAAAACCCTCTACAAACATTTACATACGATAATGATACAAACCTAGTATCAAACCCAAAAAAAAACAAAAAGGACGGTTTAAAATTCTGTCTGAGACACATTAGTAAAAGAATTGCTGGTAAACAAGATTATTATTCGAATGATGCGGCTAATTGACTGATTAATGTCACTTAAACTGAAAACCTACTCCTAATTGACGGTCGACTGTGAAAACAACGGTAATTTATTCGTGAATTTTAATGAACAATATCATCGCTGCCAAATACAGTTTTTTAGACAAAAATACAGATGGTTAGATATACAGTGACCACTGCGGTGGAACCAGTGTTCTTAAGGGCTCCAGAGTTGGCCTCTGCTCCGAGGCAGCTCCGACTCTAGAGACATTTAGAATATAAAAAAAAGCTAAGCCGGAGCTAAAACCGGAGTAGGAGCTTATAATTTTGTGAACTCCGAGTGAAACTCTGTATAACGAATAACCCGAAGACTTAAAATTTGACCGTTATCCAGAGGTTTTTAATTCGCTGTGTAGAGTCAACCAGGTATTGAAAATTTTTTCGTTATACGAAGCTTTTGTTATGCAGGATTATCGTTACACTGTCATTCAATTATAACAGTAAAAAGCAATAAAAGACGTAAAAAAGTAATACATAATTTTTCAAAATAATACCATTTTTACGACAAAGATCATCAAGACCCAAGTTAGATTTTTAAGCATAAAAATTACTTTTTAAACCTCAGATTTGATTATTAAGTCTAGAATATGTTCTTGAGGCTTGAAATTTAATTAATAAACCTAGATTCATAATTAAGCCTAAAATTTCACTTTTTAAGCGTGATATTTCATTTTAATCCTAAAATTTCGCTTTAAGCATAAAATTTCAGTTTTTAACCTAATATTTCGTTTTTAAGCCTAAAATTTCAGATTAAGCTTAATATTTAATTTTAATTCTGAAATTTCAGTGTGAGCCTAATATTTCATTTTTAAGCCTAAAATTTCAGTTTTCAGCCTAAAATGTCATTTTTCAGGCCTATGGCTTAATTTTTAAGTTTTAATTTGGTTTTTAAGCCTGAACTATTATTTTTTAGAACAAAATGCATTTTCATGCTTAAAATTTATTTTAATTTCAATTGTTGTTTCCAAACCGAACTTTTTAATTTACAAACAAAATTCTTAAAAAATCTCAAAATTTAGCTAATAAAAGTTTGTTACAAAATCATTCCACTATCATTTAACCCATAAGCATCTACAGCAACAAGAACATTAGTTTATTAAGGATTTGTGTTCGTCCTAATGACGTCCACAGTAAAAACAATAAAAAACGATAATAAAGCAACAATAAAAACCATTGTCTTTTGAAGCCGTTCTTAAACAGTTTTCGAAAATAAAGAGTTGTAAACTCCGATTTCAAGTGGCCTTACTATCTATTTGACCAGACTTTGCAAAGGAAAACGTTTTTGCGTATGAAATTTGGAAAATGTATATTAGGCTTAAAAAATAAGGTATAACATTTTAAGCTTAAAAATGAATTTTGGGCTTAAAAACAATTTCAGAAATCAAAAGCAAAATTTTAGGCTTATGATCAAAAGATTCAGTAAATAAATAAAATTTAAGGCCTAAAAATGAATTTTAGGCTTTAAAAACAAATCTTAAATTTAAAAATGAATTTTAGGCTTAAAAACAAATATGAGGCTGAAAAATGAACTTCAGACTTAAAAAACGAAATTTAAGCAAAACTCAGGATTTTTGGCTTAAAACTAGAATTTTAAGCTTAAAAATGGCTTTTTAAGCGTAATCAATAACATTCAAAGTTTAAAAATAAATTTTAGGCTTAAAAATAAGTTTTAGGCTTAACATGATTTCAGTCTCAAAAATCAAAACTTATAGCCAAAAGTTCAATTTTAATTTAAAAAACAGCTCCTTTTAGCTGAAAAACGCCCAAACCCAAGTTAATTAGACATGAAAACGACACATTTTTCCGGTTTTGAAGACGTTCAGAACTCAACGGAATGAGGCTTATGAATTCTGAAACTGTTTTTCTATGACAACCAAGAAGTTTGCTTTTACTGTCATATGCAAGGTTTGAATTTTACAAAATTTGCATAAAAATAGCCTAAACTATGCAAAAAATCTTCTTTGTAGGTACCCCCATCGCCGAGAACGGACTTTACTGTTGAGTTTTGACAGTAAATAATTAACCTTGTCTATTACAACCTACATTTTAATTTCCAAAACAACCAAAAACTGTAACATATAACAACGGTCAAAAACCTTAGTTCAAAGAAAAGAAATCCCGATTATTACAATAAAATTTATCAAAACAGTCAATGAAAATATACAAAAATAAAAATAAGAATGATATCGGATATTATATTCACCATGATGAACTGAATTCCAAAATATGCCAATTATGAGATGACTAAACTGGAATGGAAGCATGCACATAAGTCTTCCATCTCTCTCAAACGGTCCTCAAATTCTGATCTCTTTGCCATAGGGTTATTGTCGAGCCATTCAAGTGTTCTGTGACATTTGCCCATAATCTCTCCGTTCTCCGATTGATCTCCAGCATCCTAAAAGTTTGGTTTTATCAACATTAAAAAACTATAATTGGGATTCAAAGATAGGATGTTCATTTCATGGACAATATGCATAGTTACGTTTAATATCAAAAAAACTAGACTTACACGAAGTTTTAGCTCCCTCAACTGATCAAAACAGAACTTCTCCAAGGTATGTCTTGCATCCTGGGTCTGACGCGATTCGTGCTTCTCTCGTTTGTAGATTTCTTCGTTGTCCTTCAACTTCTGAACCTCCTCTTTCGACAAAAACATATTGAAGTCAGTGATAGTGACACTAGCTGTAATGCCAGTTTTAGAATCAAAAGCAGTCACTTTCAATACTCCATCTTCGTTAATATCGAACGTGACAATAACAGGATAGCCACGAGGTACAGACGGAAGACCATCCAAGTCAAACGCTTTCAGAAGATGATTATCCTTTACCATAGCCCGTTCTCCTTCATACACAATAATGGACACCTTTGTGCAATTGTCCACTGGAGTATTAAAACAATGAGAAATTTTAACAGGAATTGGCGTATTTCCCTTGATTACAGTAGACATGTGTCCGCCCCGAACCTCAATACCCAAAGACATTGGTGTAACATCAATAATCTTGAACTTCTTCAGGTCCGCGGATTGATCCCCAGCCAGAATAGCCGCCTGAACCGCAGCTCCGTAAGCAACAGCTTCATCTGGATGGACGGATTTGTTCAGTTCCTTTCCTTCGAACATCCGGGACAACATTTGCTGTGACATTGGAATTCTTGAGGAGCCACCGACAAGGATCACATCATCAATCTCGCGCTTATTCATCTTGGCATCCCTCAAAACATTTTCAACGATCTTCATACTGTCTTCAAGTCGATTCACAATGAGATTTTCGAATTTGGCACGACTAATGGTAGTGTCGAGGTCTTCACCATCAAAAATTGAAGGAAGGTCAAATCTAAAACATGTTTTTTAAAGATAAATATTGTGCATGTATGAATAGAAAAGACAACTACAAAACAAAGTCTAACACAGTACTTTTTACTAATTTTTGACTATTCAGCTTCTATATTACTCAAAAATTCAATAATAACAGATTATAACTAACAACATACCCTACTTTAGTCGCGAAGGATAGTTGCCTCTTGGCACGTTCACATTCCCGTTTCAGACGGCTCATAGATCGTTTGTTCGGAGTCATGTCCATGTTGTATTTTGCTTTAAATTCATCAACCATGTAGTTCATCAAATCAATATCAAAGTCTTCCCCGCCTAGATGGGTGTGTCCACCCACCGCTCTCACTTGATAAGTCTTGTCTCTGATCGTCACAATAGAAACATCAAACGTTCCACCACCCAGATCATAAACCAGAACGTTCTTCGTGCCACTCACATTCTGTTCATGGCCAAAAGCAATCGCTGCAGCTGTCGGTTCGTTGATAATGCGGAGAACGTTCAATCCAGCAATCTCGGCCGCCGTCCTTGTGCATTCACGTTGAGCATCGTTGAAGTAGGCTGGTACTTTGATTACAACTCCAGTTAAAGCACCACCCAAGCAGTCTTCAGCTAATTGCTTCATTTCTCCCAAAACCATCGCTGAAATCTGTTCCGGAGAATATGTATTGATCTCGTTCTTGTACTTGACTTGGAACTTGGGATTGCCATTGTCATTGATCACCTTGTACGGCCAGTTTTTGATGTCTGATTGAACCGTGGAATCGGAGAATTTGCGGCCAATAAGACGTTTGGCATCTAAATATAAAAATAAGTAAAATAAACCTTCAAAAAGAATATAAACAGCCTAAAATAAAGTTCAATCTATCCAAAAAACAGAAAATAATATGAATTTTTAGACCAAATCGCCAAAATATTATACTTCTCCAACAAAAACTTACTGAACACAGTATTCTCATAATTCCGAGTAGTCATTTCATACGCCGCTTCTCCTGCTAAGCGATCGCTGTCCGTGAACGACGCACAAGATGGTAAAGTTTGGTTACCATAGCCGTTTGCCAAGATCTTGACTTTACCATGTTGGTACACACCGACGCACGAGTACGTGGTACCCAAATCGAACCCAGCAACACGTGCCATAAATATCCTGAAAAGTATAGATTAATATTGAAAATACATTTAAAAAACGTCAAAAAATGCAAATATAGGCTTGAAAATAGCTAAAACCTTTAGAAAACGTAAATATAAAAAGAAAAATCTTACAATTTTGTCAATTTTTGTAACTTTTGCAGGTTTTATACAGTTACGCGCAAAGTTGTTTCAAAAATATATTTAAAAATTCGGAATAGCCGCAAGCAGTCTTTTGCTTTTGAGTCCTGCCACGGAACCAAAAGGCGCTAAAGAATGGTTGGCATTTCGTTTCTTGCCGTCAAAAACCGAACGAACAGCTTTAAAAAAAGTTTTGTTTGGTATACATCTTTGCTTTTATTGAAAGGTTCATTGTTACTTTTTAAATACTGCTAAAGGTAGTATAATTTTAAATATTGTTATTTAATAAGTTGATTTTTTAATAAACTGTTGTTCAAAATGGAAGAACCATCTACTAAGAAGAACAGACTACCAAAGAAAGCCGTGAAGGTCCAGAACAAGGTAAGGATAAATCTATAAATTGTTTTGGTTTCAATATTTAGGCTGCCTCTTCAAATCACTGCAGAACAACTTTTGAGAGAAGCCAAAGAAGGAGAGTTGGAAATAATTCCACAACCACCCAATGTTAATGTCACAGATCCAGAGGAGTTGGCCGGGTCCCAGAGAAAAAAGAGGAAGGAGTTTGAGGATAATATTAGAAAGAATCGTATGCAAATTGCAAATTGGGTGAACTATGCAGAACGGGAAGAAAGTATTGGCGAGATTCAACGAAGACGATTCGTGTTTGAACGTGGGTTGGATGTAGATCATCGTAGTATCACTTTTTGGCTTCAATACGCTGAAATGGAAGTGCGGTAAAGATTTTATTGGTTTTTAATTTTTAGAACCAGTAACTTGCGTAGTGTTATGTTACCCAGGTGGCAGTAGTTGGCTGAAAAATTGTTAAAATACGAAACGCAGTTAATGTATGTTATAATGTAACATTTACTTTAGGAATCGCCAAATTAATCATGCAAGGAACATTTGGGATTGTGCTGTGACGATTCTGTCTCGAGCTACACAGTTCTGGCTTAAGTATTCTTATATGGAAGAGCTGGTGGAGAATATAACCGGAGCTAGACAAGTCTTCGATCGATGGATGGAATGGGTGCCGAACGAGCAGGGATGGAGAACATACATCAGCTTTGAGCAAAGACATAAGGAAGTTGACCGAGCCAATGACATCTATCTACGCTTTCTACATGGTCATGACTTTAACAACTGGATTGCTTATCCCAAGTTTGAAGAACGGTTTGACTACATCGAGAACTCTAGAAGTGTAAGTTATATTATTTTTGGTTTTGTATTTAGGCAGACAAGAAACTTTGTCTTTAACAAATTTATTACTTAAAGACTAAGTTTAAATGTGTTGTTAGTAGTGTACATTTATATATATATGGGCGAAGAATAATTATTATTTTACTGGTATTATTTTGTATTTTTAATGACTTAACAAGTGTAATTTTGGTTTTTTTAAGGAGATCATCAAAGGTTCTATGCAAGTCCAAACACATCGTAATCAACTGGCTTTACAAGGTTAATTATGTGTTACTGGAGCTCATTTAACCAGTTTTTGTTGATGATCTTCGATAGGCTGGGAAGTGCGATTTAGTGCTTTGCTGAAGGGGTTATATTTATATTTCTTTCTATATAAAAAGTTGGGAGTCAACCAGAGCGAGGCAGGTCGGGCACTTTCCTTGTAAGCCGGTTGGCATGACTACTTAATGATGAACATAAACAGTACTTTTCAGTGTAATTTAATAATTTTTTTAAGATATTAGGATAATTTGCTAAATTTCTTTTATTTAAAATAATATAAACAAAGAGATCGTATATTTATCAATTTACATCTTACAATCCATTTTATAAGCAATTATAGAAATCAGTTGTTATTCCCGTTCACTCATTTACTTCTATTTCGTTGTCTGGCCCTAATCTACCTACTATTTCATCGGTGAATGTGCATGATACATCCAAAGTGGTACGCGTATCGTTACGAACATCCTTGACCTCTAGGTTCCATGAATTCGGAAAAATGCTAAATTTGCGAGACTCTGATAAGCCACGCAAATCGTTAATAAAATCTCCTTCGCGAGTATTTTCCTAAAAGAAACGTTGAAATATGGCAGTTTAGTAAAAGTAAACCATAAAAAATATTTCTGTATTATATTAGGTTGTTTAAATAATCCTGTGCCCTCTCACCCCGAAAAAATAATTTGAGAGGTAAAGAATTATTTAAATTTAAATAAAGATGTCAAGGGGCACAGAGTTATTTTAATTTTAATAAGGGTTTATAAACTTACCGCTACTGGTAGTGTGATGTAAACGTCCCCTGTAAATTTCACAAACATATAAGCAGCCACCACCTGCTTCATTTTGTTAAGTGCTTTGCAAAGCTTTTGAAGGGTAGATCTTTGTCGTACTCAATTGCAACTATGTACAATTTTGCTTTAAAAATTAGCTTCTTCACACAAACTCTTTCAAAGTCACTTAGAATTGTCCTGTAGATGTCAAAAATGGCATCATCAAGCATATCGTACATTCGGAGAACACAGTAAAATTCTTTATCTTGAACTTGTGGAGGTAGTCTAAACATTTTCGGAATTTCAATAACTTTATAAAAACGTATCTGTTAACAAAACTGTTACACAATTGTCGTTTTTTACAAACACAATGCACTTGATAAACAGGATGCAATGCCACATCAAATGTTTAACTAAGTTTCGGCAAATAAAGAAAATTGGCTTATGGTTAGCGGTGTGCAGGGCAGGGCAGGGCAGGGCATAGGGCATGGTTTGAAATTTTTTTACAGGGCAGGGCATGCCATATGCCCTGTGATGCCCTGCAAATGCCCTGTTCTTTCCAAAAATTTTCTTTTTGATTCGGCGGAGACTTTAGAGGATTCGGCGGAGACTTTAGAGGGTTCTGCGGAGGGTCGGCGGAGACTTTAGTATTTGGCGGAGGATTGGCGGAGGCTTTAGGCAATTTGACGAAGAGTTTGAGGTATCAATTCGACCCTACCCTTGACCTGTTTAACCCTATCCCACTTTTATCTTAATATAACGTATCATATTATACCATACCATATCAAACTGTACTATACCTTACCTTATTCAATCTTATACGACACTACTGTGTACTATCCATGGGTATGGTAGAATAGGTAAGTAAAACGGTATAATATAGTCAAGTATAGTTTGGCATAGTATGGTATAATATGATACGTTATATTAAGATGTGGTATGATAGATAGGATAGTTTATGGTAGGGTATGGTATATTAGGCAACATGGGTATGGTATAGTAGGTTAGGATTAAAAAGGTCAAAAGTAGGGTCGGGTAGGCTAAAAAGGCCAGGGGTAAGATGGGATAGCGCTAAAAGGTCAAGGGTGGGGTCGAATAAATAGAATTCCCTAAAGCCTCCGCCGACCCTCCGCCGAATACCCTAAAGTCTCTGCCGACCGTACAATTTAGCACCATACAATGTCAAAAAGAATAAAATTTAGAAAAATTAGTACCATACAGTACCAAAACCTTACTGCTACTTGCTAAATCAATTTGAAGTTACAGAGAACAGGAGAATTTAGGGTTACAGATTTATTACTTATAATTAATGTTTAAAATTTTAAAAAATTGTTGCTTTTTTTGTTATTAATAATATTTAAATGTTAAATAACTTGTTTTTAAGTTGTGTAATTCATTATTTGTGACTATATAATGTTTAATGAATTTATTAGTACTATTATACTTAATGCCCTGTAATGCCCTGTAAATGCCCTGATGCCCTGCAGGGCAAGGGCACAGGGCAGGGCATGGAAATTTGCCAATGCCCTGCCCTGTGTCCAAGCCTGGGTATATATCAAATTAAATAGCAGAAAATTCTAAGATATGTGGTCAAGTTACCTAAGCTGCCAACAATCTCGAAACCAAAATTTACAGTAACCTAAAGATTTTTAGTGGTATGCAATTTTGAACACCTGAGCATTTAAATTAAAATTTAAATATACCAGTTGAAAACGTAGATCAAAAAACGTTACTGTGAAAGTTTTGACACATATTGGATACAGTAGTGGGAACGATGATTTACAGGTTACACTGTTACAGTAATTTTCTCAGAACAAGTTCTTCAAAAGTAAAAAAAACTTACGGAAGGTAATGATAAAAGGTCAAAAAGTTGATGGAATGCAAAAACGCTGTAGCAAACTGAGTGTCAAATAATTCGGCCAAGTCTAAAATTTTTCGAATTAATCAACAATTAAAGAGTTACGAATAGAAAGCATGAACACGTTTTTAGTAAGCACCAATATTAATCATAAACACTTCTTATGTCTAACACCAACATTTGTAAAAACTTACAGGCATCGGCAATTGCCAAATCACGCGGTTTTCTACTAAACCATAGTTGCAACTCTACATTATAAAACACTTTGTTCTTCCACAATTGATCGGCTATATTGATAGTATTGGACTTTTTCTGCTTTACTAATGGTACTCCGTAAAATTTCCAGTCATCTCCCATTTCACACTCTGGTGTTGTAATCTGATAATGTATTTGATATTTGACTTCGGCTAGAACTTGCTGTACTACACGAGTGTGAAGGCAAACAGAAAACCATAATTTAACGTTCAATTCTAAAATTACTTTTATTATTGCAATAATGTACATTATTGCTTTGTATTCTAAAATTTACTTTAGTACAAAAGGCTACGGAAAATTGAACAGAACGTATTTTAACTTTAAACTACCTTAAAAAACATACTTTTTGCTTTGTAGATCATCTCAATCACATATCTTTGTGCCGGACCATTTATTTGTTCCGATATTTGCAGGTAGGCATCCTTTGGAGCATAAAGTTGAAGGCAACAATTTGACTAGGTTTCTTAGTATAAAACACAAACTTTCGGCCATACGACGCGACTTCACCGTCCACAATTCTGCAATGTCCAGCACCACACATGAAACAGTTCAGTATTCTTCTAGATGTCAACTAAAAATGTTAAATTTATACTGTGACAATGAATAAAATGCGATTATAGCCTCCGGGCTTTTTAGTTCAATCTCTTGGTTTCATAGTGCAGAGGTTTGACTGTAAATGCCCGAGGCTTTGCACAAGGCAGGACATGAAAATTAGCAATGCTCTATCCAAAACAATATCGTATCGAAATAAATGAAGCCCGAAAGCAATATCCCAAAATAAAATAAAAGTACTCACCAAAAGTTGACAAACTTTGCCATTATACCTAGTACGCTTTCCAGAAGTTCTGAATTCCAAACCTGTCAATAATGTAGTATGTGTCAAATAATAATTCAAACAGCTTTTATTCAAGACTTTGACTTCAGTACCTTTTTTATGAAAAAGCATAGATTCTTCTTGAGATTCGTGAGCATAAACATTGGACACCATTTTTAATAAAACTAGTAAAGGAAAAAAGAAATCTTCAAGCTTTTTTGAAGCTTTTAGACCGTTTGAAGATTTGTATCAAAGCCAAGAGGATTACGTTCAAGTCAACTGCGTACAAAACTTTCACGGCTTTGTAACTATTATAATATAAGCGCAGTTTTGGCGCTTAAACGTAAAGCCAAAGCTAATATTTTTAAAAAGATTCATGGACTACAAAAGGTCTTCGCAAAAGGTTGGCATTCTGCGTAAAAAAGCATGTCGCACGCACACCTAAAAATTACAAAAAAGCAGTTTATTTGACAAGCCAATATTTTGTTTATCTATTTACTCATGCATTGTACGGCATCTTTCAATCTTTCCACTACGTCTTCTTCAAAGTGGTACACAACCTGTAGATTGGCGTCGTCACTTTACCCGGCAAACCTCCATTCATATGGAGAGAGTTGGAAGTCGCGGCGTTCCGAGAATCCACAAAAATCTCTGATGAAATTGTACTCACCGTCATTGTTCTTTTCTTAATGAAACATATCATCTAGGACACAATTCGCGACATATTTTTTGGCATCTTATTTACGGCGCTAGGACAAATGCGGTTTTTGGACATTTGCGGATCTGCGGTTTTTAGACACTTGCGGATTTTGGACATTTGCGGATTTTTTAAAGGGGTTTTTTTTATTTTTTATTTAATTTAGTTATAGTATGGTACTTAATGGTACTAAAGTTTAAATTGGCACTGTCTGAATATTTCTTAATGTTAAATAGTACTAAATTTCTAATCGGTACTGTTTTTTATATTTTTGGTACTAAATAGTACTAAAAGCCCAAAAAGGTACTGTTATGTTAAAATCGTACCAATTCAAATTTTAATACAATTTAGTACCATACTACAACTAAATTAACTAAAAAATAAAAAAAACCTTTAAAAAATCCGCAAATGTCCAAAAACCGCATTTGTCCTAGCGCCCTTATTTACATGTGTGACGTATCAAATGTATTGTCAGTTTTTTGAAGAAAAATACTAATTTTAGATATGAAAAGAAAACGTTATTTAAGCTTAAAACAAAATTCTAGGCTTTAGGATAAAATTTAGGTTAAAAGATAAAATTTTGGCTTAAAAAATGGAATTTTTGCTTAAAAATGAAAATTTAAGCTTAAGAATCATATTTTAAGCTTTGAAGTGAAATTCTAGGCTTAAAAATTAGATTTTAAACTTAAAAATAAAAGTTTAGACTAAAACTTTACTTTTAGGCTTAAGATTGAATTGATAGGCTAAAACCTGTACTAATGTTCTTATTTTTCAGTATTTCCAAGAAATCAAAAAATCTCGTTTTGAATTTCCCGTTAAATTGGCATAGTGTTTCAAGCTTATAACTTCCTCATTGTTTAACTTTTAACTATTTTTCTTTAATATAATGACCAGACCAACGGAGGCCCTACGGGCCTCCTATGGTCTGGACATTGCAATTTTATTTTATTTACAATTTACTTTTATTTTATGATTTAAAAAAAGGCCTCGGGCCTTCGGCCCTCGGCATGGTACAGTCATACTTGCATCGTATCTTCACACACATCGTATCTATAAAATATTTCATAAAACCGACCGCTCTTTTTTCAAAAATGTTTTGATTTTTTCACCGATTTTCACATAATTTTCATTTTGAAAATGATTTATTTTGAAAATTTGCATGGCTCTCCCACTTAGTACAGATGCACTCTTACAGCGGCCTCAGACATCCACCGCGTCTCCGTTTATATACGGGGATAGAAAAGCTTCAAATAAACCTGCAATTTTAAAATTGCAAGTCTAACTTATCTGGAACATCAAAAAAGTGATTGAAACAGAATGCCAAATTTGTCAAATTGGCGGGAAATTTAAATATATTATTTTTAAAACTTAAAACCGCAAACTAAGATTTTTTATATTGCTACTGGTATTACACGAAATCCGTTTAAAAATTTTGAGCTAATTCTTGGAGTTGCAGGTTGGGTACTTTCCTGGTAAGGGTTTTGAAACGCCAGTTGGCAATAGCACAATGGTGTCCGTGGTCACGTTCGATATTAACGAAGATGGAGTATTGAAAGTAAATGCTTTTGATCCTAAAACTTTAAAAACGGCTGGTGTCACTACCACTGACTTTAACACGTTTTTGTCAAAGGAAGAGATTCAGAAGTTGAAGGATAATGAAGAAATCTACAAGCGAGAGAAGCAAGAATCGCGTCAGACCCAGAATGCAAAACATACCTTGGAGAAGTTCTGTTTTGATTAGTTGAGGGAGCTAAAACTTCGTGTAAGTCTTATTTTTTGACATTAAACGTTACTGAGAATATTGCTTATGATACGAATACTTATTTATGAAACAGTTCGTTTCTGAATAAACTTTTAACTGCCTATAAAACTAGGCTTCAGGATTCTGAAGATCAATGGGAGGACGATGAGAGCATGGCCAAATGTCGTGAAACACTCGAACGGCTGAAAAATAATCCTATGGCAAAGAGATCAGAATTCGAGGACCGTTTGAGAGAGATGGAGGACTTATGTGCATGCGTGAATTCGAGTTTAGTCATCGTATATTTGGCATATTTTGTAAAAAATCATCGACTAATGTAATCCATATATCCCGAATCGTAATTTTAGACACTTGAAGCATGTAAAGTAAGGGAATAAAAAAAAAAGTTTGTAATGGTGGATATACTAAATAATATAATTTGTCATTTATATTTTTGTATTGTTGTATATTGGAATATATGCTTTTTGTTGAATTTTGTTTTTACAGGGTGTCTCAATTTTAAATAGTCTGGTTTTTGTTTGAGGAAAAAATTTAAGAACAAAACGAGTTATGGCCTTAGCCGAAAAGACGTCTCTCTGCCGAATTTTTTTTAAAAAGAAATTTTTTTTAAGAATTAGTATCTTTGTAATGGCCTTAGCCGATAAAACGGTGGCGTCTGCCAGCGCGGAAAAAAACTGTATTTTGTAGTCTTGTGTTAATAAGTTTATTCTTTTTATAACTTAACAGTATGTACAAACAAACAGTACTGAGAGGACAATGTGCACCAATTATTACATAAAGATGAAATTTAGAATAAAATAAGTATAATAACATCTAGAGAGCGAAAAGCAACAAATCCGTTTTTAAACCGCAGTTTTGCCGTAAACCTGATGACGATACAAGGGAGCCAACTCGCGAATAGGCAGTTCGTCATCTTCATCATCACGTCTCAATGACTGGTAAGCAATAATGACACTCAATACGAACACAAAGAAGTGCAATATAACACCAGCAGAGTAGAAGTAGAATGCTGAGCCGATGGTTTGTTCGTATGTTGCTACCAAGCCTTGTACGAATCGTGAATCAACGCGATGGGCCGCGAAGAAGAAAATGCCGACGGCGCAGGCTCCGGTGAACCCTAAAATACGGTGTTTTAAAATTTTTAAGTTTATTTTGATCAAATTTTTCAAAATTTTTAAATTAATTTTAATTTTTTGACCAAAAAGTAATATTTAAAGTCAAAAAAAGTGATTTTAAACTAGTTTTAGGCCTTTAAAATGTGAAAAAATCAGAAAAATGTAACGATTTACTCTGTAAAACTAGAGTTTTACACTTACAAGTAGTAAAGTTCAAGAAAGCATAGATCATGGCATAAGCTGGTGCACAAGGAGAGCAAAACCCAACCATTACTGATAAGCAACCAGCTCCAAAAGAGAGGATGATGAACAGCAACACGGCCTTGTGCCAACCTAAAAAATCATTTTTATTTGGTGTATACAAAAATAATATTAGTTGATGTATCACATTGAGTAGTGCATAAGACATGCTTTAGTCTTGATTTAGTCTTGATAATACACTACGGTAAATAGTAGCTCAAAAATATATAATAGTTGTTACAAAATTACCATAGAAATGATGGTGTTCAGCCTCGGCGGCTGATGAGTGAGCATCTGCGTCCATTTGACTTTCATCCAAAACTTGAGCGGCGTTTTGATCAAACTTGTATGTACAGTGTAGGGGACTCTTGTCAACTAGTCGATTTGGAGATAAAAATGCTCTGTCTGCTCGGGTACAGTCCAGCCATAGGCCGTGCTGAAAGAAATTATAACCATTTTGGTTTTCATTTTAGTTTACAATGCGGTAGGATAAGGCAATGTAGGGTAGAGTAAGGTAGGATAGGGTAGGGCCAATCAGGTCAGGACAGTGTAGTATAAGGTATGTAGGTTAGGATAGGACACGATAAGTTAAAAAGCTCATGGGTATAGAAAGATAGTAAAAGGTCGGGAAAAATACGAATGGGCCAAGCTCAAGTAACATAGTTTTAGGCCAATATCAACCATATATCTGTTAACTTACATGATGCTCAGCTTGAAACTCTCTTATGTCCACCACCTGCCATGACGGGTTCAATCCTCCAATTGCATTCAAAATTAAACCAGTAACAAGTAGAAACAATGATACCACAACTATTATCACTCGTGTTAGTCGTGCTGCACTGCCCATTTCTGTATTATAATTCAGCTGTTATACTGTCTTGAACTTGATTTACAGCTGATTTCTATCAATAAGGTCTTGCACTTGATTTAGATCTATATTCTTGAAATGGCAACAACTTTACACTATAGTTTTAGGTAATAAATACTGTATTCAAACTGTTGACTGTAGACGGTGATTTACCAAAATAAGAATACGCTACTTGGCACCAACTTGAGATCAAAAGGCTATGACACTACCCTAAAATTTTTAATTTTGTTTTTATTTTAAATCGTAATGAATAGATGAAAAGAACATAAATATGTATTTTACAGTCAATTGAAAAGCACGGAAGTGTAATACATTCAACAAAATTTAAAAATAAACTAAGAATGGGGTTAGGACAAATGAATGTACATAAAGTAAAGACGAAGACTTGAAAAAGTCATCCTTTGATTAAAATATTCAAAATATGCCCAAGAAATGACTCTCTTAACAGACTTTGTTTTAAATCCCTACTCTTCTCTACTCTACTGTACTGTACTCTACCCTACCGTACTCTACCCTACCCTACCCTACCCTAACCTATACCCTATTCTGCCCTACATTACCCTAAACTATTCTACCATTGCAAAATATTATGTCTTAATTGCCTTTTTGGGGTAAATAGTAAAGAAAGACATAAGTCATTTTTAGGTATGGCAACTCATAAAAAGTAATTTTAAAAATAATGTACATTATTTATGACTGCGGTCAACAAGTCAATTCTCTGTTTTACTTACCTATCTATAACTATACTATTACCTACAACACGGTCAGATTTGTCTCTGTTTAACTCATAACGCTTGTAAAGCTAGATTAGAGTAGGGTAAGGTAAAATAGGGTAGAGTAGGATAGGATAGGATAGGATAAGGTAGGGTAGAGGAAGACTTGTGAAATTATTTTCAGAAAATGAACTTTAAGTCATTCACTTCATTTTTTAAATTTGTGCCATTCACGAAATCTTGTTTTTGTAACAAAAAGAGACAAAAACAGGCCAGACTACGCCTTTTTAGCTAGAAAACAAACCCGGCCAACTAAAAAACCTTTAATGAAATAAAACGTCTCATTACTTTTTGAAAGTACATAAGCAAAGCAGTACTCTTCACATTGCATGTAAACGTACGTTTTGAACTTAGAAAGTCGTAATTGAGATGTCTTAAAGTTTAGGCTTAAAAAGAAATTTTTGACTTTAATATAAATTTTAGGCTTAGTGAAAAATTGTCTGCTTAATATATAACTATTAGGCTTAAAAAATGACTTGTAGGCTTAATAACTAAATTTCAGGCAACAAAGTGAAAAGCGCAAAAACTTCATTTTAGGCTAACAATAGACATAAAAATCAAAATCTTAAGCTTAAAACAATGTTTTCACCTTCAAAATTTTAAAACAAAAACAAATTGTGAACCCTAAAAACAACAAACTAATCCCCCCCCTCCAATTTACTACAAAAACACAAAAAACGACAAACCCAAAAAGGGTATGTGTTTTTTCGACCGTTCGTTTTGGGAGCAGCAAAAGTATTGGTGTTGTCGCTAAAAGATTCGATCGGCATGAAGCTGTTCAAGGTCGTTTTGCGACGCCGCTGGAAAAAGGAGCCCTAGCTAGAGGAAGGTAGGAAAAGAAATGTCAGTTACGACGAGAGGAAAATAATTAGTTTACACAGAGGTTTGGGTAATGTTGTGATAGTTAAAAGTTTGTTAGTGTAGGCTTAAAAACAAATTTTAGGCTTAAAAATAGATCAATAGGCTTAAAAATGAATTTTAGGATCAGAAAATGGTCTTAGGCTTAAAAACAAATTTTAGGCTTAAAAACAGGACTTTAGGCTTAAAAATGAATTTTAGAGTTTAAACGTGAATTTTAGGCATAAAAAATGAATTTTAGGCTTAAAATTTAATTTTAAGCTTAAAACGAAACTCTAGGCTTAAACATAAATTTTAGGCTTTAAAAATGACTTTTAAGCTTAAGAATAAACAAAATCTTTTAAACAATTTAAATGATCATCTGAATGCCACTGAACACAAGAAAACACAGCCAACACACGTAACATTGCGTGGTTGTTGTTTTGTATCTAAATATTTTAATTAAATTTCGAAAAAAAACAAAATATTCCTAAAAAACAGATAAACAAGCATTCGAAAAACGTCGAAAGTATGACAATATCATTGTTTTGTTATTTCGGCAGTGGCGTCACAAAAAATAAGGATTTGAAGTAACTGCCTTTAGTTTGGCTCTAGGCTTAGTTTCAGCTCAGACACTAAGTCCTAGCCTCAGCCCAAGCCTAAGCTATAGTTTAAGCCATAGCCTAAGCTCTAGTCATTGTTATAACCATAGCTCTAGCCTAGCCCTCACATTCCTATAAAAACACAAAGTAAAGTAAAGTAAATCGCCAAAGTTTATATCCAGAAAGTTGATTTTGCGCACACGGAAATGCTCTTAAGTGACCATTCGAACCCTTCGCTTACAAAAAGAAAGACAAATCAAGGTCATCGAGTATAGGTCTTGGGAATATTCATATAGATCAGAAGTGCCCTCTTTCATGAGAAGTGGGCGTAGTATGCAAATGAGATATATCTTGAAATACCCTTCCTTGCCCTGTCCTACCCTACGTTACTTTACCTCACCTTACCTAAACTTATCTTACCTTACCCTGTCCTACCTTGCCCTACCCTACCTTACCCTGACTTACCTTACCATACCGTACCCTACTCTGCTATATCCAAACTTACCCTACACTACCCTACTATGCCTTAAAATATTTTACTTACCCTACCCATATTCCATTCGGTAAGCTATCCTAACCTACCCTACCCGACCCTGTCCTACTCAGCACTGATTTGTCAAGTACAGTACAGTCCAGTCCAGCCTTGTTTTGCCTTACCTTGCTTTGTCCTGCTTTGTTCCACCCTGCCCTGCTTTGCCTTACCCTTCCATACCGTACTTTATTCCACCCTATTATAAATTATCACACATATTTACCCTACCCAACCATATTCTATCCGGTCCCAGCTTCAAGCTTAAAAAATATAGGCTAAACCTTGTAATGACCTGCCTAAACCTGGTAATGCCCTTTTACCCTCCAAATATGTAATAAAACTGACATAGATTCGAGTTCGCCCTTTGTTTTCTCTTGAAAATCCATTATATTTGGTTGATTTTTTGCCGCTTTTCTCTTTTATTTATCCATAATTTCCTTTCTCGACCCCCCCCCACCGGTTTGACCTCGATTTGAAAATGGCATTGTTTTAATACAATTAACAAAAGACATGTGTTATATGGAAAACAATAACCACAATTTTCGGGGAAATTTCACAATTTTAGGACACAAGTTAAAAATTGCTTTTTGAACCAATGCTAAATTTGAAATTTGGGTAACAAAATTTCTTTAAAAAACGGCTACCCTGTTTTATGAGCGGCAGTTTTTCAGGATGCTTCAATATCAGCTGACATGGGTAATATAGATCGTCGTTTTGACGTCTCACTCATTGGCAGAAGACAAATCCAATGAAACCCGTCTTCGACATGGACTTCAGAAAACAAAGTCAGTGACGGTGGTGAAGGAAGACGACACGGCTCGGAATCTGACTAACGAGGAGAACACTGCCATTTTGTTTTGTCCGAACTGCAAGATGCTTTGTTCCAGGAGATGGTGGATTTAGAGAATGCGACTCAATTCTACTACAATCAAACTACAATTGTCTTTACTGATATGGTGGTAAGTCTTTTCCTTTTTTGTTGATGTTTAGGTAACAGATGTAGAGAAAGTGGATGCTATTGGTGATGAAGATGAGATTTCAGGCGCTTTTCTGATTTCTTGAAAAATTGCAGAACGACCCATGTGTACGGAATGGAAACTCGACTGTGCCAGCCATTATTGCCTTCGTTCTCGGCCTAATCGTGTACCCATTGCTCAAGTGTGTGTGTGTGTCAGTTTGCCAGAGGACTCGTCGTCGTGCTCAGAAACGCTACCTCCGTGGACGTGCTATGGGCCGTGACCAAGCTGATTTGAACAAACTTATCGACCAGGCTGTTCAAGACAATTCGGACTTGGATTTGTAACTTGACATTTCTACTACAATGTAGTGTCTTATTGTCTATTTCTAGTCTTTCTTATGGCTGTATATCTCGTGTTTTACAATCTATATCTTAACATTTTATAATCTTGTTGATAACGTACCCCTTATATATTATTCGGCATTCTACAGCTTTTGATTTTATTGATCTTAAAGTTTTACTTTATTTTAGTGAAATTTTAACTAATCTTGAATATAATACTATTATTTTTTATCTCATTTACTTATAACTTGCCTTTTCATATCTTTTTCATATAAAAAATGCTTGAAAACATGTTTAAGCTAATAAATATTGATATAACTAAATTTTTGCTCTATGGCTTTAATATAGTTCAATGTATTGCTGTGAAATGTAAATCATTGTTCACTAAATTTATTTAAAACATTAACGTTTCAAAATAACCATTAACATTATTCTGGTGAGTTGTACAATTTTTAAGCCTAAAAGTAACTTTTAGTCCAACTTTCAGAAACCTACGTTTGCCACTCCTCTTTGGGCAAGTCAGCTACACTAGGCTACTTGGCAGCGGTCGCTTTGGTGTATTCGATTGTGTATGGTATCCACCAGCTCAACGTGCCTACTGTGAAGATCATAAACGTGCAGCCCCAGGTCGAGAAAACGTAGGTTTTGCTAAAGATTTTATATTATTTTATATAAAATTTTCGGTTCGTCCACAAAATCAATCAGTACAATGACACAAATGGCACCTATTGTTGGTGTAATCCTCAACATCCATTGTCATGCCCCCATAGCCGCTGCCACGTTCGATCCGACCACATAACCCAAGCCACTTCCGATGGGTATGGCCAAGTAGAATACCATGATTACTTTGCTTCGTACTGTACCTTTAAACATCTTAGCTATTATGCTTGGTGCTATGACTGAGTACGAGGCTTCATCAATGCCTACTATTACTCGTATGCCGAGGAATAGGTAGAAGAGCTTGAAATGGAAAGGTAAGTATATTAATGTAGGGATTTGAAAAGGGAATGTTAACCGATCGTCCGCCAAACCGGACCGGTCCGAAAAAATTCTCATCCAGACCGGTCCGGCAAAACACTGCCTAAAAACACAAAAATTAGTTTCGTATTCTGAATAAAAATATCCTTTCAATTTGTCATAATTCAAAATTGAGAGCTAGGTTTAATTTTTTTTTCAATTTAATATCTAGATTTTAAGCTTAAAGGGCAGTTTAGGCTTAAGCTTGAAAATTCATGCTTAAAAACGAAATTTTCGACTTAAATATAAAAATTTAGGCTACAGAATAAAAGTTTGGTTTGACAAATAACATTGTAGGCTTGAAAGCGAAATTTTAGGCTAACAAACAAAACATTATGTATAAAATGATAATATTAGTGGACAATGATAAAGCTACCCTTCCCTACCCGACCTACCCTAACCTAACCTACCTTACCCTACCCTACCCTACCCTACCCTACCCTAACTTACTCTACCATATTTTACCCTACTTAGGGGCGAGAAACAGGGCCGCACCACTTTTGAGGCCTTGCCCGTTCCGATATGAGGCCAAGACAAAAGACTTATATTTTCTAAAGAAATTGAACTTCGAAGAAGTTAAGAATTATAAAATTAGTAAAAATCTATCTTTATTTCTTAATAAATTAAAATGAATATAAAATAAAACTAAAAAATAGCTTGAAATTCCTGATTTATTGATAAATAGGTTTTGAAAAATTTTTTTACCTATTTCTTTAATATTTTTTTTTTATTTTTCGGCCCGATCGTAGGGCCTGACCTACACAAGAATGCGATTGTCTAGTCAAGAAAAGGATTGGAACAGATTGGGTAGACACAACAGATCCACTTTTGAGGAAATACGAATAAACGATACGACCATAACAAGTATGGCAAACCCAGATGAAGGTCCACATCATCACCTGCGCCTACAATATCTTCTAATTGTAATTCAATGTAGAAAATATAAAATTTAAAACGGTAAAACACTGCCAAAACATAAAAACAAAAAAGCAAAATCAAGGTCAGTTATTTATTGGTCGGTCGATATTAGTCAACTAACAAGTAATGAGCAAAACAGTCGGTTCTGCGGTCATTTAGACGGATCCTAGTTGGGACGGGTGTTCCTTCACCGGCCAGTTGGCATAATAGGTTGGGGAAACATGACCAGGGATAACCTTTCCATTTTCGTCAACTTTTTCTGGAGAAACCAAGTCGCCCCCGCGAGTTATGATGACCTGCGGTTTTTCCTCCGGCGTTGGGCTCGATGGTACGTTCGCTGGTATGTTCGATGTTAGGTTCGATTTTATGTTCGATGTTATGTTGGACTTGGTGTTTGACGATGGGATCCACGGTTTCCTCTCTCTTTTCTTGCTCTTTCTGCCAGTTCTCTTGCCCTTTATCTTGTAATACACTCCTAGTCCAATCAGCACTCCGAAGGCGATCCCAACAACAACGCAAATGAAAACAATCACCCAAGGTTCTAGAGGTACGGTGGAGGTGCTAAAACGAAAATGTCAGAGTAAAACTAAACCTTAATTAAATGTTTAACAAAAAGATTATATTCTGATGCTAGATTTTCTAAAAAAATCAAAAAAAGTTAACTACTCCGTCTCAGCGTGGAATTTTCAAAGCATAGACCAAAGAATGCCATAAACACTTACACTTCACCTTCTGTGGTTGAACTGGAAACAGCCGTTTCGGAGACTTCTGTGGTAGGCTCGGGCGTGGTGGTGGTGGTAACTGGCTTAGGCCTATAAAATTTTTAAAAAACGTTCCAATTTAAGGAATTCTACACATAAAATAAAAATATAAAACTGACAAAGAAACCTAACCTCAGTTAGACAGTAAAACTTTTGTGATAAAATGCAAAAAAACTCGACAAAAATAAAAATTGCACGAAATCTCTAAAATCTTCAAAAGTAGAATAAATTACATCGTGGAAAACTTACCTAAGGTACAGCACTGCCGAAGTTGTGTTGACTTCGGCGTCAGGCAGTTCACCTTTCGCCGACGCAGCACGGTTCTTCAGCGCTGTCTAAAATTCAAAATTTCAAAAAAAGTTAAACCAACCAAGCCCTATAAAGACAACCTGAGGAAAATTTTGATTTATTCAGCTAAAATTTTATCAATTTACAAGAAAGAAAATAATTTAACAGCTCCTTTACAGGTCAAAAATAAAAAACTTTCAAGACTTACCATGGAAAACACTAGCTTTTCTACCTTCGGACATGCCTCTGGTTTCAAACTGGCAGATTTCCCCTCAACGACCAACTTCCGACACTGGCCCTGGCTTTCCCAAATCAGACCATCTGGAGTGTGACCAAAGGTCAGGCCGCAGAGTTGAAGGTTGTTTCGATTCAAAGTTCGGAAAGAATCGTCTGAAGGTGCTACAATAGGTCTATACGAAGCGACCCCATCATCTTGGCATACTTGATACAACACGTAGCCATTGGAAGTGCTGACCTGGATTACGCCAAGCGGTTTGACAAAATTAGTCACAAAAGTTGCGTCACGTCCGGATGTTATCAAAGACAATGCTACTTGTTTCTGCTTCCTGCAAAGTAACAAAATGGTTTTCTATTAATAATTATGTTTTGCGCTTTTTAAGGTTCCTAATTTCTATTAAAAACCATTCATAATAAAAGTCAAGTATTAATAATTCGAATGTTCTATACTCAAACATAAAACTTACGAAACCACGTGCTCGCCAGCGTGTATAACGGTGCCAATTTCTGTATTTTGCGGCATGATGACATGCTTTGCCAACTTCAATACCGGGTCAAGCTTGTACTCACTAAAAATCAAATTAAAATAAGAAAAGAAAAACGCATACACAAAATTATGCAGTAAACAACTAGAAAAACTGACAACACTCAATAATGAACAGGTCAAATAAACTCACAAAAAAGATTGACCAAAACAACTTACGCAAAATTCCCCTGGACGGTTGAGTTGTCTGGACAATGGACGTGCTTTGTTGCTTTGGCAGTGGTTCCCTCCACCTTGAAGCGGTAGAAGTCCACGCATAGTTCCATGCCATCGTCCACCGTGAGTATGGACAGGGTGCTGATGGCCGCGTACGCGCTTGCCAAATTCATAACGACCGCCTCCGACCGCAGAAACCGCTGAAATTAAGGATTAGTCTCAAATCTTTACGCCTTGTATGGGCTGGCTTATTCAAATTTCAAAGAAAACGCAAAATGTCAAATCCTATAAAAATTAATTACGTAACCCAGAAATGTCTTTAGTACTGGCACCACCTTTAGACATGAGAAATGGGCCGGGCCGACCTTGAGCAAAATTTCGATCGGGCCGCGTCCAATTTTCAGGCCCGGCCCGCTTTTCTCACGTCTAACCACCTTCATCTGCTTGCAAACAACCTGCTCCGATATTATCCATCAGCGACTTGAAACGTGACTGTCTTGAATAAATACTTACTCCACATAAAAACATCCGTGGTCAAGGTGATCACTTTCATCTTTGCCGAATAAAAAATATAATCTTTCTGGCCGATATTGTCGTAGCCTAAGAAACACCAATAATAAAAGCAAAAATCAAGCCCGAAACTTGCTGAATGTCGCTCCATTCATCGAAAAGGGTGTCCTAAACGTTAAATAAATTTTAAAAAAAGTTAAACGTACTCTAACATGTACTATTCCATTCATTTTACATTGAAAAACATCGATGAATTAGAGATTTTTAGAAAAATTCTGATTTCGTTCAAAAATCAATAGGAAAGCGAAGTGTCACAAAAGTTATTAAATGTTTTATTTCCTCGTCTTTTCGTCAATCGAAAATCTAGGATAACATACCTTTACTTCATCCAGAATTCAATCAAAGGTATAGATAATTATGCACAGATTCTTGTTAAATGAAGATATCAACTTTATTAAATTTTTATTTTACTCATGAATACCATTCAAAACAGTGCTGTCTTTAGGATATGGTGCTATTGCTGTCGATTCTTGGTCGCATACTTTTGGCCTCGTTTACTTGGGAAATGGAAGCCGGTTTCATATATTGAACTTGTTGCTGGCCCTCTTGATTTAACAGTAAGGTTCGGGAAAAGTCGGGTTCTTCAGTGCTGGAGCGATGCCTTTGGCCCATTTCGACACTGACATCTTGGAATTGGCAGCCTGCAAAAAAATAGCAAATTTAAGAAGACTTTAGGCTTGAGTTTGTTCATGAACTTGGGCCACAAAATGTATGGGTTGCGATGGTAAAGAAAAATGCCTGAAAATTAAAAGTAATGTAAATTAGGAAAAGTTAGGGTAGACGTAGGGTAAGGCACTGCTAGCGCTTGAGAAGCAGTGGTAGATCAATGATAAAGGCATGAGTATAATAAGGGTAGGGGCTAAAACAGGATTAATATAGAGCAAGAACAGAGCTAAAATACGGAAATAATAAGGCATGGGTAGAGCTAGACTAAGACAAGAGCAGGACTAGGATAAAGTAAAAGTACGTCAAAAGTAGGGTGATGTTGGGTAGATCAAGGAACACGTACCTGAACAACACCACAAAGACGCAGCGCAGTACCAATAGCAAAGCTGAGTTGAACAAATGCCACCACACTCCAAGTAACGTCAAGGATACGTAGCCCACCTTGCAAAATGAAGAAGGTTGCTCTGAAGCCCATGAGATCGTGCAAGATTCCCCAGAATTCAGGAATCAGGTAGAACAACTGAATTGTCACTACTTCTATGCCGCGAAGGGCTAGGAAGCCAGCATAAGAAACAAAGATCACGATTACACCAATGATCAGCAATAAGGCCACATAGTAAGTGTAGACGACACAATGTAGAGTTGAACGACCGGATGAACTAAGAAATGGCATTTATAGGGAAAGATAGGCCAGAAACTAAAATTTAGGCTTAACATAAAGCCTTAGCTTTAAAAATGAATATTAGGCTTATATAAATGAAGTCTTAGGTTCAAAACTAAAATTTAATTTAGAAATCAGCCCTTTGGCACAAAACTGAAATTTAGGCTTAATGGTAACGTTTTAGGCTTGAAATGAAGTTAAGGCTTAAAATGAAACTTTAGGCTTAAAAATAGAACACTAACATTAGAAATGCAAGATAGGCATTGAAATGACACTTTGCGCTTAAAATGAAACTTTGGGCTGAGAAATGAAATTTTAAGCTTAAAAATTAATAAAAAATTCTCATGATTAAATACCAAAGACGTCCGGGCTTTTGATCGCTTCGAGCCTTTTCCCATGATTCGAACACCAGAAGACAGTCTTTGAAAATAAAAAAAAATAAAATTCAAAAAATTAAAAATCACATTACACCTTTAAAAATAAAAAAATGAAAACCGAGAATTTAGCTTCACACTTCTCAATCAACAAATCTACAGCCCAAAAAAATTCAAAGAGTCGTTTATTCAAGATCTCTAGTTCTTTCCCTTGTCCAGGGCAGCCAAGCTTTGGTAGTTGTTCACGACCGGAGTGGCAGCAGGGATTGGGACCATGAGCTTGATGTTCCGCTCAGACACGATTGAGTGGGCACTGACCGTCTCCTCGAACGAAACGTGACCGCCGGGCTCCTCACTAAAATTCAAAACTAAAGTAAGTTGAAACGAATTCGTAGTCTTTAAACCAAAATCTATTTCGAAAGTTACAGAAACAAATTTAAATTTATCTACCAAGTTTCCAACCATGTTAACTCAAATCAACAACCTTTTTTAACCTACCTTCCCTTCAAGATGCTCTTTTTGGGTTTCGGATCGCACTTCTTCAGTTTCTCGAGTTGTCCATTGCAGATGTCAACCACGTCCGGCGCCATCGGTGGATCAACTTCGGTCTGATTGCCTTTGTAAAACATCAGAATCTGGCGCACTTGAGCCTTTTGAATGGGACCCTCCGCCTGCTCGATGAGTAAAGTCACAAACGGCTTTTTTGTGCACGTTCCGTGACCTTCTCCGCAACCTCTGCCGAGTTGGAAACGGTTTCGCCGTCCACATCGAGAATGGCATCGCCCAGTTCCAAGCAACGAGCTGCGCACGTGAACTCGTGCAGATCTAACACGTAGACTTTGTTGTCCGTAGTTCCAACGTGAAGACTCAATGGCCGTCCCTCGATGTGGTACAGAACGGCCAACTTGTACGAGAAGCCTTCATGTCGCTGGTCCATCGGAAGACGCTTGGTGTCCAGAGGAAGAACGTTGACCGGTCGCAGCAACGTGACTTCACACTAAAATCACACTTTTTCGTTTTTCGAAAAAAAAATTTAATTTCACAAAACAAAACTTACGGAGAATCCTTTGGCCGCCAGCTTCTTGTACAAGCTCCTGAACTTGCTGAAGTTAGGCTTGGAGCCCTTCCACAAGCTTTCGCCGTTCAATGTCAGAAGGACGTCGCCGAACTCGATCCTGGTTACGCCAGCGCCCTCCATCTCAACCTTGTTGACGACCATAGACTTGGTGCCCAGTTTAATGCCACACTAAAGCAGAAATAAGTTTATTTTATCTTTTCCCACCCATTCAATGCTTTAAAATAAACTTAACTTCCCCATACCATAGTTTACGCCAGCTCTTTATCAGCCCAAAATTAAAAAAATCAAATTTTAAACTTACACTTTGTCCCGGTTCAACCTGGAACGTGACCGTGACGTCTTCAACCATCTTCTTCGGCAGCTCTTTGCCATAGGGCGCGCACTTGACCTTCTTGTCGTTGTCGACCGACTTGGTAGACTGAGACGAGCACGACGAACGACGACCCATAGTTTCGGAGCAAACGTTGGATGTGAGGAAGAAAGTCTGACTCCGACCTCAAAAACCGCTGAAATTAGGGATTTCTCAAATCTCCACGCCTTTTATAGGGCTGACTTATTCTAATTTTAAAGTTCAAAGCAAATGCAAAATTTGATTTAAATTTCTGAGAATTCAAGCGAAAATTTGGAAAATTTATTAAATTTACCAAATTTTATTGCAAATTTTACGGCTTTTGTGAAATTGGTTGGATGCCAGAATATCGAAAATAAAATGCGGTTTTTGGACATTTGCGAATTTTTTAAAAATTAAAAAAAATTTTTTTAGTTCTTGGCAGTTTTTTCACACAACAATAGTTGCGAATAGTTATTTTCGAAAAGAAAAAGATTTTTTCGCGAATAATTTTCTACTTTCCGGTCAAAAAGTAAATAGAAAAGTCAGTTAAGAAAACCAATAAAAAAAATAAAAATTCTGCTTATTTTTTGACCTAACTAGCATCAATCAACGTTCTAAGCGTACCACACTTTAATATAACGTACCATATTATACCCTACTATGCCATAATATACTTTACTAGATTATAGCATTTATATTGTTTTACTTACCTATTCTACCCAACCCATGGATAGTACACGGGTGTGTTGTATAAGATTGAATAAAGTATAGTACAGTTTGGTGTGGTATGGTATTGTATTTAATTGTATGGTATAACATGATACGTTATATTAGGGTGTGGTATGGTAGATAGGATAGGTTATAATAAGGTATGGTATATAAGGTGAAATATGGTAGAGAATGGTATAGTTTTGCGTGATATGTTTGGTAAGATTAGGTATGGTATGGTATAGTAGGAAAACAGTACGTCGTATAATATATTATATAAGATGAGCATGGTATAGTTGAGTAGGGCTAAAGAGGTCAGATGTAAGATGGGGAGGGCTAAAAGGGTCAAGCGTAGGGTCACGTAGATGCCCTAAAACGTACGCCACATTAAGAAAAGCCTCCGCCGAACCCCCTAAAGTCTCCGTCGACCCTCCGCCGAATCCCCTAAAACCTCCGCCGAATGCTCTAAAGTCTCCGCCGAACTAACCAAAGTCTTCGCCAACCCTCCGCCGAATCTCTTAAAGGTATCTTACCTGTTACTATGGTAAACATGATACCAAAATTAATTTTATTATAACCGCCCAAGATCTGTTCCGCCCATAATTCATTCCGTCGATAATCCGGTGCTCCGTAAAAAACCACATTTTAGGTAACAAAATTCTAAAAATTCAATTTCAGTGAAAAATTAAAAAATATTTTTAGGTAACAAATAATAACTTCGAACTCAAAATTACACAAAAGTTTCAAAAACTTCAAAAAAATCAAACAGTCATTTTAAAATTTCAAAAAATCTTACATTAGTTTTCATTCTCAGCATTGAGACGGTTGTTTTTGAAAAGATGGTGAAGTTGTTCTTGATTAGCCTTATTCTCACCAGCATCACGTTGAATTGCTTTGGTGTGTGTCAGTACGAAGAACAGGACATGAAGTGCGCTGTAAGGTTTTGTTTTTAGCTTGAAGGTAGATGTCAGGCCTGCAAATGGGGTTTTAGGCTTAAATTCTGATGTTTTAAGCCTAAAAACGGTTTTTATGCTTAAAAACGAATGCTTTAGGCTTATTTTTAAGATTAAAAATCCATTTCGAACTCTCAAATGAATAGGCCTAAATTTTAAACATTAAATCAACCTTACAATTCCAGGGCTGGTGGGAGAACAATGCTATATTCGAGCTGAAGTCACAGATCTGCTTGATGTGCCATCAGCTTCGCGGTCACGGTGGCCCGAACTTTCGTGCTCGCTGTGCCCACAACTGTTTCCATAATCGAGATTTCCCGACTTGTATGAACGACGCCAAGAGCATGATTATCCAACACTGTGACCACGCCACTGATAAAGATGGTTGCCTGCAGAGGATGAAACAACTTCAACCTTATGAACGGACTTGAGTTCCATCGAAAAAATTTGAATCCTATTGGCACTATCGTTTTGATGCCCATTGTTTATGAAAATAAACTTTATTGTACGTATAGCATGAGGATAATATTCTTCGTCTTTTTTTATTTTAAACTTTAATTTCGCCGCTGTTTTCACTGTTCAAGCAGAATCTGTGGCATAGTGTTTTACTCTTGTTTTTATTATTTTTCGCCGGAGAAACCTTGTTTTTTATCAAAAAATCAGCACTACAATGTCTGACGATGCTGTTCAACAAGTGTCAGACACAATGCAGCACGGTAACTATGTTTTAATGAGGAAATTGACTGGAGTAAAGCCGACTTTGGCCAGACTGAGGAAAGGTGCTACAATTTGTGTGGATAACCTGACTTTTAAACCTGATCCGGTTTTGGGAAAAAAGTTTGGAGTATATACAGCACAAAATGGACAATTAGGACCGGATGAAGCTGATGTTGACAAAGGTAAGGGTTTGATTTTGATTGGCTTTTGTTTTTAGGTATTGGTTTGATTTGAGGGTTATAACTTGGCTGAAAGCTGTTTGATTTTTGTGAATTTTGGAAGGAACATAGTTAATAGTATCCAGAAAGTTTTTACAAATTACAAACTTTAAATGTAAAAGAAGATATATTTGTTGTAATTATCAAAAAATATCGTTATAGAAGATTTGTGGGTTCGAAAGTTCTTATTATAGTTCTTTAAACAATTTTAATGTTAATCTTCTATTTCTTCGTTTAGAGCTAGCCAAGATTCGTGAGTTATCTAAAGGAGAGAACGATGAAGGAGATGTGAACCAAGTTAATCTTGTCAAGGATAAAGTTCAGCTGAAGAAAGCCAACAAAGCGCAGTCCGCAATATTGGTTGAGAAGATCAATACACGACTCTTGGCGGAATTTTATTATTTTAGAAATCCCGAAACTGTCGGCTATTTTAGGTAATACTTTTTAATTTTTGTGTAATCTTGATGGTATAACATTGTTTTAGATTCAAAAGCTGATATTCTAACTTTATAACTGTTTTTAGCTGTAAATCAAAATAATCATTTCTTTATAACCTTATATTAAAGATTTAAACTTTTCAATTATCCAAAGACTTTCAGACCAGACTCAGCAGCTCAGATTCTACATAATTCTGGGATAAAAGCAGGAGAACGGGTTCTAATTTACGACCAATGTTTTGGAATCATGACGACTTATGTTGTTGAACGCCTTGGCGGTCAAGGGACGTGTGTTTGTATTCACAATGGAGCTTCTGCTTCCAATATTACTTGCTTTCACAACAGACAGTTTAGCAAAGAAGTACGTTTTTTATTTTTTTCTGTTTTTAGGTATTATTTTTGTGGAAAAATTGAAGAACATGATTTGGATTTGTTTGAAAATGCTAACATTTAATGTGAATATGCTAAAGTTTTTTCCGAAAATGGATGAAATTGGCTTATTTTGGTCAAAATATATTAACGCTTTATATTTAGTCGTAAAAGTTGAAACAATGACCAAGGTTTATTGAAAAGTTGAAAAGAGATTTCTTTCAAACAAACACTGTTAAAATTCAATTTTTAGGTTAAAGACACGTTGATAACATTACCATTAAAGATGTTGGTGAATACAGAAGAAGAGAAAATGGATTATAATGACGTGGAGAATGGCGAGAAACCAGTGGAAACAGTGAAAGAAGAAAAGGTTTTGGACGAAGAAGCCAAAAAGAAACAGGTATGACATTATTGTGATAGGTATTTTGTTGTAAATTGCTTAGCAGTATGCTTTATAGAAATTCAAGGGTTATTAGTTAAGCCGGGCCTCAGGCTATGAATTAGGTTATGGTTTAGTCTATGGCTAGGGATTAGGCTAGGGCTTGGGCTCGCGTTTAAGCTAGAGCTTAGGCTAGGATTAGGGCTAAAGTAAAGGTATTGGAATAAATTCAAATGAAGTTTTGCTCTTTCTACCCACTTTTTGACCTAAAACTTAAATATTTTCAGGAAGAAGCAATGATCAGAGCGGCTGAAAAGAAAGCCAGACAAGAAGAAGCAGTAACATGGTTCGATGGTGACATTCCAAACTTTGGTAGATATGATTCTCTACTAGTAATTTGCAAAAACGTCTCACCTGTGTCAGTTTTGGACTTGACTTTCAAAGCTGTGAGAACAAGTGGCACTGTGGTGGTGTATTCGCCTTTCGAAGAGGTAAGTTTTTGTTTTCAGTTCAGTTTATTTACTAGCTCAACCATCAAATACAAATAAAATCATAACATTGAAATTACATGTGACAATAATCTTTGATCAAAATTGAATTTTTAAGCTTTTTAATTGCAAGACTATTTTATATTGTTTTAGGTAGACTTGAAGGGGCCAGACTTTTTTGAAATTAAAAAATAATTTTAAAACTTTTTTAGGAAATGGTAAAGACAAAAGCATATCTAGACGATAAAAACTGTGTCCTAACCGAGATTCGGTCCACCAAGGTACGGGAAATCCAAGTACTTCCAAAGCGCACTCATCCTCTAATGCAACAACTTGTGGTAGGCGGGTATTATCTATCGACTGTTAAAGGTTATGACCCTACTTTGAAGGTGTGATCGATATCATGTTGGTTCCTTTTGGTTTTGTTTTCATTTTGTTGTTGATTTATATTGTTATACTGGTTACTGTTATGATAAATAAGCTTAGCGTTTAAGTATTATATTTAAAATGTTAATGTTATGCTACCGGTTGGGGGTAGATATGTAAGAGGGCCGGGTTTGGTTCGAGCTTCGGTCTTTGGGACCACATGTGCCAGCCCGGCCTTTTCCAAATTTGCTTCGAGACCTGAAGGTTGGGTTCCACTGTATGTGTAAGATAAGTTAACCAATTTTAATCATTAAAATGGAGAAATCTTTATTGAAAAACCCCTGAATTGTATAATTATGGCGGAAAGATCATGATTGAATGGAACAGAACATTACAATATTATCTATCTTAACATAAAAGACTAGAAAAACCATATTATCATCGGTAATTTTAAAAACAGTTGAAAAATGAAAAACTAAAAAATATTGTGAGGATGGCACATAAACCATATGGGAATAAAGACCATAATATATAAAAGAGGCCAAAATAGCTAAACTTTGTAGATTTTAAAATTTGAAAAAGTTAAAAAGACCCGTATACTGTAATAACAAACGATTATTTCGTAAAAAAATTTTTTAAATATTAAATAGACAAGATGTTAAATTTTAAAGCTTTTTTATAATATTATTGTCACAATGCTTGGGATTAGGCTTATTATAGGCTGCCATGAGAAAAAGAAATTTTAGGCGGGAAACCTCCCAAAAAAAGGTAGGTCTTTAAGCCTAAAAGTTCATTTTTAGAGCTAAAATTTGATTTCTAGCCTAAAATTCGTGCTTAAGCTAAAGTATTCCTTTTAAGCCTAAAATTTCATTTTTAAGCCCAAAGGTTTATTTTATGCCCAAAAATTTATTTTCAAAATTTTTATGATTTCGATACATCTCCCCAAGCATTGTGACCCAAAAAACTACGAAGGTAGTGCAAAAATGGCAGTAGTTCGATCACTCATCGATGGCCTATGATTACCATAAAGCAGTGTCTCGGTCGGAAGCGAATTCAGGTTGTTTTGTTGATGCAATCGACCGGAACCGCTCTGATTCCCGGCATTCTGATTCTGAAGCATTTGTGTGACACCAGGCGGCGGTTGAGACTGTTGCATCTGTTTACAGTAATGCATCAGAATTCGTTGATAATATTCGCGAGGAGTGAGTGTTCTGGCCGTTGAACATCGTGAGGTATTGAGGTCGAGTGACTCCATGGAGGCGAGGACACGCTCGGAGGCGTAGGAGAGGGTTCGGGGGTGCTCGATCCACTGGAAATTTGGGAATTAAATTTTTGGACAGTTTATTAAATTTTGTTACCTAAAATTTTAAAATTTCAAGAACTTTTAGACCAAAAATCAAAAAAAAACTTACCTTAAAGTAGTAGATGTCGGGAGGAATGAACGGTTTTCCTCCCACCCAATTCAGATCCGGTTGTTTTCCATTTATCATGCAATCCAGTAGATATTCGTCTGGTAGTTGCGCAAGTTTATCCAGCTGTTCTGGAGTCAAGCCATAATTCTTTTGTAGAAAGGCTACATAACTAAAAACTTCGCCCAAATGCACCACTTTTCCGCCGATGGTTAGGAAGGAACGGCCCAAACTGCGGCCGTAAAAGTGAATGTCTCGAATGTATTCGGTTCCTACTAGGTCTGAAATGACATTTAATGGTAATGCGAGTAGTAGAAACTTTATTTTTAAGCTTTTTATTCCACTTTTAAGCCTAAGATTATACTTTTTAGGTAAAGGCAATCTTTTTTCTTTTTAAAATGCAGTTTTAAGCCTAAAACAAACTTTTAATACTCATAAATGCTAGCCTTAACTTCAAATTTCAATTAAAAACAATTTTTGCCGTTCTAAACTCACCAATGCACATAGTCGTAATGATCAACCCAATAACAATATAAGTCAGCGTAGCCGGTAGAAAGTCGCTGTTCTGTGGCACAATATCCCCAAACCCGATCGTTGTTACAGTAACCGCGCAAAAATAAAACGCATCAACGAAGCTCCACTGTTCCCACAACTGCATCAGACAAGCACCGCCAGCAGTGTATCCGAGCATGATGAACAGTATGAACAGGACTGATACGCGACGTTCTTGTTGTAGCTCCGCAAACTCGTCGATCTCGTCGGCACGAGCGTGGGTATCCTCGCTTGATGTACCTTCTTGGGTCGGGATTTCTGAGACGTCTGAAAGTTGAGTTTGAAATGGCAAGAATTTTGTTTACAAGACAACAAATGACAAGAACTTTTTTTACAAAACCAAAAAAATGGCAAGAACTTTCTTTACAAACAACATCCTTGCAAAAACTTTCTTTACAAAACAAAAAATAGCGATAACTTCCTTTACAAAATTTAAATGGCAAGAACTTTGTTTACAAAGCATAAACTGGCAGGAACTTTGTTTACAAGACAAAAAATGACAAAAAGTTTGTTTAAAAAACAAAAAATAGCAAGAACTTTCTTTACAAAGCAAAAAAAACCCCGCTTACCTTCGAAAGTCCCAGCATCACTAACATTGTCAGGTTGTTGTAGCCTCGTCCTTACAAACCGTCCCCCTCCGAGATGGTTTTCAGCTCTGATAGTACCTCCATTACTCAATGATTTGTTCGCATTTTTGATTGTTCGATCAGTTTTACCTTTTTTCCTACGAAATCGAAAACAACAACAACAAAATCGACAGCAACGCTTTAGTCGCACGAAACACCCGATGCGCAACCGCCGCAACGCGTTGTGCACCCAGATGATGCCCGCTGAAAAGGGTGGGGTTAGAAATGGCAAGCATTTTTAAGCCTAAGATTAAAAATAAATCTTTGGCTTAAAAATAAACTTTGGACTTAAGAATAAAATTTGAAAGTGAAATTTATGCTTCAAAACGAATTTTAGGCTTAAAAATGAAGTTCAGGCTTAATAAATGCATTATAGGCTTAGAAAATAATTTTTAAGCTTAAAAAATAATTTTTATGTTTAAAGACAACCTTAGGCTTAAAAATAAACTTGGGACTGAAAAAATTAATTTCGAAAACATCTGTTAGGCTTAAAAGTTGATTTTTATTTTTAAAGATAAACTTTGTGCTTAACAAATGACTTTAGGATTAAAAATTCATATTATGCTTAAAAATAAATCTTATGCTTAAAAACTAAGCCTACAGCTTACATTTAAATTTAAAAACTTTAGAAATTTATTGTTAAACTTACTTGATAAAAAACGACCGATATCAGCGATGGTCACTAGGATTAGAGGAATTCCAAACAACGCGTACAACAAACAAGAAACACGGCCTGCTAACGTTCGTGGCACAATGTGACCTGAAATTAAATGTTTATTATAAAATTTTAGGGAAAGTAAGGTAAGGGAGGTTCAAAGTAAGATTGAGTAAAGTAATGCAAATCAAGGTAAGATACAGTAGGGTAAAGTAGGTCATGGTAAGGAAGAGCTAGAGTAGGGTAAAAGAGGGTAATTTACAGTAGGGATAGCAAGAGGTAGGACAGACAAAGCCAAAGTGAAAGTAAAATGATAAAGTAGGGTAGTGTAGGGTAGGGAAAGATAAGGGTAGGGTAGGGTATCTTACCATAACCTATCGTAGTAATGGCAGTCCAGGAAAAGAAAATGCTTGCACCAAATGACCACTTATTTGGACCCGTTCCGTTAATTATGTCTTCAGGCGTGAGGTAGTTTTTTGTGTAATCGATAAATACGTCTTTTATCACCAAGTTCATACTGAAAATAAAATTTGAAAAAGTTTAAATTTTAAAAATTAATTGAAATTTCGAAAATTTTAAAAAATTCACCCCAATTAAAAAAAATAAAAAACCCACCCCGTATTGGCGACTTCGGCCCACTGTTGAAAGCCCTCGTCTCCCGGCGGCCAAGGCAGTGTTGTGTTCTGACCGCTGTCCAAATGCGCTGCATGTGGAATCTCTTTGGCCATCGTCCACAACTGAGTTATTATCCGATTCTTGAGCAATTGAACTCGTGTCGCCGTCGCGTTTCTGATATGTAGTTCGAAGGGACCTTCTAACTAAAATTGGTGACAGTAAGAAGTTTAATTATATACAAAGTGGTAAATCAATAAATGTGAGGGAGGACCCTTTCACAAAAATTGAAAAAGTGGCTTTCTATATAACAATCTTTCAAAAAATTTGAAAAAAAACTTACATGATGAAAAATGGCAGCACCAAGAACAGTATAAACAGCTGATAGTACCACTAACCCAACGTGAGGATATATCATTTTGAATTTCTGTAAAAAATAACGTTTTAGGTAACAACTCATACCCTAGGAACTAAAAAAATTGATTTTGTAAAATTTTAAAACTGAAAAAAACTGAAGAATTAACATTTATATTAAGGGTAGAGTAACGTAAAGTAAATAATATCGAAATTGAAATTCTCGTACCTGTTTAAGTTTTTCGCGCGGAGTTTTGGGCTCCTCTGGGAAGGTAACACCCGGTGGAACGTCATCATCGGTGTTGTCGATCCCATGTGTGTTTGTGTCATTCCGGTCCACGTATAAGTTTAAGCGTTCGGCACTGAAATAAGCTTTGTTTTACAAACGTACTGGGTTCTTACTGACTTCATACTAAATAGTATGACTTTTTTAAATTTTGATTTTTTTTTTGAAAAAAATGATAATTTTTGCCTATATTAGGTTTAAGAAGGACTTTTTAGTTAAAATGGAGCTTAAAAAAATTTTTAGTTCAAATAATCCTAAATTTAAAAATTTTTTTTTTCAATTTTTTTAAATTTAAAAAAAATTTTTTTAAATTTTGTGAATTTCATGGTAAGCCTCTCTAACATCAAATATTGACCTGATTTCGGAGATTTCGTCGATAAAAGACCCGACTCGACTTCTTGGCAAGGAGTAATGTGCGTGATCCTGCGCGATCAGCGAACGCCGTTGGGCGTTGTACGAGGCAGGCAAGTGTAACATTTTTGCCCAAAGCGACCCTTTTTATATCAAAAAAGGGCTACTTTGATATTCAAAAGTTATCACTGATTCTATTTGTACGAACGTAGGCTATGTTACCATGTTTAGGTATAGTTAGAGGCCAAGTATTGTGACTTGGTATTTTTGGAATTTTGAAAAATAAGGTTTGGTGAAGTTAAAACAAGGTTTTTGAATAAAGGCACAATAACTTATGGTTATAACAAGCTACTGATCTATAAGTGGCAGTCACTTGGTGCACCTATAATTAAAAAATTCAATTTGTCATCAATATATATGCCATATAATAATAATGATCTCGAATTCAGATCAATCAGATATCCGTAATCGAGTAAACAAAGTTAAAACCGTTTTAAAATCAAATCGATAAAATAAACGAAATAGTCTCCTAGCCCTAAACCAGAGCCCTTGCCCAGAGACCTAGCCCTAGCCAGAGCCCTAGCCCAGAGCCCTAACCCAGAGCCCTAGTCCAGAGCCCTAGTCCAGAGCCCTAGCCAAGAGCCCTAGCCCAGAGCCCTAGCCCAGAGCCCTAGTCCAGAGCCCTAGCCCAGAGCCCTAGCCCAGAGCTTTAGTTCTTGTACAAGTTAAAACCTTAGCCTAATGCCAAGCCATCCCAGCTAAGCCAAGCTCCTTTATACTCAAGTCTTGCCCTATCTCGTCCTCATTTTTCATGCTCACCCTTATGAAACCACCCCTGCCCCTGCTGCCGCTCTTTTCCCCATACTTTGAAAAGTCATGTCTTACCGCACCCAAGATGCTTTTGCACTTTTAAAAAACCTGCCCTAGCCTATTCCTTGTGCTGCCTTCATTCAATTGATCTATCGCTACACTAACCAACAAAGATTTTATTTTTAAATTTAAAAATATTTTGATGCTCTATACCATAATTGCCCCAGTTCTAAAAATACATGACAAAACCATCTCACTGCAGCTAAATCGACAAAAAAACTATAAAATAGCATGTCAAACTTCAAAATGCCATATTAAAACCGCCTATACCCGAAAATATCAAAAAATCGCAAAGTTATTGCCTTTCCATATCACATCATATGATGAGTATGTAAAAACGCCACAAACCCAAAAAACATTTTTTGTGGTTGTTGTGTTTCTTTCGCTGTTCCATGCCCTACGGTTCGGGTTCTGTTGGCCGAGGTTCCGTGGGGAATCGGAACGCACAACTCTTCCGTTATTCTTTTTGTACATAACTTTTGAGTCATATTTAAAATATCGCTCAATGCTTACGGGGCAGATAGGAAAAGGATAAATGTATGCAAATTTTTGAACTGAAAAGTATGCGCAGCTTAGGAAGAGCGAGCGAAAAAGTCGAAAAAACGCATTTAAACTACCCTACCCTACCCTACCCTACTCTAGTCTAAGCTATCAAACCCTACCCTGTCGTTTTCTAATCTTAACCTACCGTTACTCTTAGTGACCCTACAACTGCATTACTGTAGCCTTAACTTTACCCAGCTTTACCCCACCGTAACCTGACGCGGTGTAAACATTACAATAGCCTTACCAAAACCTACCCTAGCCCATGTAGTCTCACCCAAACCAAGCTGTATTTTTTGCTTAAATTAACATTAATTACAAGCTTATACCAAACCAAACCAAACTAACCTAACTTATCATATCTTTCGCTTTAATATAGATTTTTACAGTTTTTTTTACCTTACCCGATTCGACCATTTACTTCCACGCCACAAACTTTTTTTATCCTAGCAAAATAATTTTCTTTATTCTACCCATCCTCCAAAAATATTTTACCGCCCCTGCTACACAATGATTTTTGCACCCCTCCCTCAACATCCCCCTTCATCTATTGCCCTATTCATCTTAATCTCGGCACAATCAATAAAACCCCCCTTCAACATGTATAGTTGCCATTTAAAAGTAAATAAAAGCCTTCTCGGACTTCTTAAACACTGTCCCACCATGATTTCCTCGTCCTTTTGCACCACTCATATCGAGCCAGCCCAAAAAACGAACTTGATATTCGATGGCCCCGAGGGATTTGGGGAGGGATTCAGGAAGAAAAGCTGCGGCGGTTCGAGACTGTGTTAAGCGTACAATAAGAATTCAAAAAAATGTTGGTTTCTGAACTTTTTTAGGCTTTGAAATGAATTTTAAGGTTAAAAATTAATTTTTAGGTATGAAAGTAAAATTTTTAACTCAAAAATAAAATTGAAGCTGAAAAATAAAATTTTAGGCTTATAAAATGAATTTCAGGTTTAGAATGAAGTTTAAAGTTACAAAAATAAAGCTTAAGCATAAATTTAAGGCTTAAAATGAATTTTAAGCTCAAACATAAAATTTTAGGTTTGAAAGTAAAATTTTACATTTAAAAATAAAATTTTAGACTTGAAGATCAATTGTAGGCTTATAAAAATAAATTTTAGGCTTACGGTAAAATTAGGCTTAAACATATACAAGTTTAAAATTAAAATTTTAAACTAAAAAATGGAATTTTAGGTTTAAAAATGAATTTTAAGCTTAAAAAACAAGCTTTATAGTCAAAAAATATTTTTAGGCTTAAAGATGAATTTCAGGCTTCGAACTGAAGCTTAAGCTTAATAGTTAATTTTGTTCTAAAAGTAAACATTAAGCTTAAAATGGCCATAAAATCGAATTTTAGGTTTAAAAAAGATTTTATACTTGAAGTTTAAACTTAAATTTAAGATTTTAGGCTTCAAAATTAATTTTAGACTTAAAATTTTTTTAAAGAAACTACTTTTTACGCCAAAAAATAAAAAATATAAACTTCACCTCGTCCCCTTTTCCCCTGCTCCAAAATATATTTTACCCCGCCCAATGTCAACCATTAGTCTATAAATTATAGTCCATGTAAAATATAAAAAACGTAGCACGAGCCTACTTCTTCCTCTGCCAAAAATAATTGCTCACCAGCCCTAAAGTTGAATTTAAATGACAGACCAATTAAAAGGAAACAAAAACAAGCCGATTTTCACGGAATATCCGAGAAATTCGACGTAATTACATTATGCACTATATTATTCCGGGCCGAGACGTATAGTTGCGGAGATATTAGGCTTGGAAGTATGAAACTTGGTTCTTCGCTGCGGCTTTGACAAAAGTTAATATTGGTGCAGACATAAAGAATCCGCCATTTTTTACAGGAAATTACAGGCAAAGTATGGCGGGTTTTTTATGTCGGCACCTAATATAAAGTAGAAAGAAAAGTAAAACACGTTTGAGCCACAGAAACTGAATTTTAGGCATATAGACAATGTTTTCGTTTAAATGAACTTTAAGGCTGAAGATGAATGTAAGGATTACAGAAAAATTGCACAAAATATCCATCAGGTGCTAATGTAAGACATAAATTAACTTTCCTTTGTCTTATCCTCAACTTTGCGCCTAGCCTTAGCCTTAGCAGTAGCTTAGCCTTAGTCTTAGCTCAAGCCAGCTCTGTCTAATCATTGTCTTAACTTGATATTCTTTTGTTTTAAAAGTAGTTGCATCAAACATCTTTTGGGTTTATGAACAAGATCTATGTAAGATAAAAGAGCATAAAAAGTTATCAAAAAAAAAACGTTTTCAAAAACTGCTAAATGGTATTGACTATTCATTTACAGTACGCTCAACATTCTTATACATATGTTAAAAGGTATAGCTTTAAAAGTTTGAAAAACAACATTTTTTGATAAATATTTATTTCTAAAAGTACCTTCAAGTGGAACATCTTTTATAATTTTTTTGCCCGCTAATATCTCGCTAGCCAAAATCATTAAGCAGTTTTTAAAAATGGGTTTCGTGGTTATCCTTTATGCTCTTTCATTGTATATCGGTCACGTTTTACTTCAAACTCGAGAGATATTTTGTGCTATTTGCTTATCGATTTTAGGCTTGAGAACTATTTTAGGCATAAAAATAAAATTTTGAGCTTAAAACTAAAGTTTTATGCTTAAAAATGACCTGTAAATAAATTTTATTTTTAAAAATGCTTCATTTTTTCTTATCAGTAAAACTTAAAAATCAAGTTGTTTTGGTGATTCTATAAATCTTAGGCTTAAAAATTATAGCTAAAGCTCACGGTCAAATTTTTGGCTGAATAACAAGAATTTAAAAAAATTTTTGCATTCGAGATTTGGGTTAAAATTTGAAATATTTTTCCCATTCCACAAAAAATTAATAAACCCTAAACACCTAAAGCAACATTTGTTTCCTTATTTGAAACAAAAAAACATCTCATCCTCCCCCCCCATTCCAGAAGTAATAAAGTATCCATAAGAGCGAGGAATCCGTCTCTTCGTAATTTACTTCTGGAGTTATAACAAAGATGCCAGTCATTCACAAATTGAATAAACCACTTATAAACATGCCCTTTCTGGCTGAAAAGACAAAAATATATTGAGGATGGTGTATAAATCATGTCGGGCAAATATTTCATCTTATACATGGTTTTTGTGGGCCTTACGGTGTAGTATGTTTACGTTTAACGTGATAATTGGATTTTTTGCTATGCTGGTTGTCATTAGTTTTGAAAGCATTAGTCATAGCCCAGAGCCCTAGCCCAGAGCCCTAGCCCAGAGCCTTAGCCCAGAGCCCTAGCCCAGAGCCTTAGCCCAGAGCCCTAGCCCAGAGCACTAGCCCAGAGCCTTAGCCCAGAGCCCTAGCCCAGAGCCCTAGCCCAGAGCCCTAGCCCGAAGTCCTAACCCAGAGTCCTAGTCCAGAGTCCTAGTCCAGAGTCCTAGCCCAGAGCCCTAGCCCAGAGCCCTAGCCCAGAGCTCTTGCCCAGTCTAGCTCGTTTCTATCTTTACCTGACCCTACCTCGTTCTGGTTTTTCATGCTCACCCTTATAAAAGAAATCCTGCCCTGTTGCGCTTCTGCTCCGTACCCCCTAAGAACCACTTCCCAAACTCAACCCCCCCCCCTCAACCCCCTGCCTTATTACACTCAATATCCTGTCTTCACCTTATTAAGTTACCCAAGCTTCTATTAATCTCTCCACTAATTGTCCATGCCCCAACAAACTTAACTGTATACATAGAGAAAACGACAGGTAAAGTTTTGTAACAGAACTTTTGGCGCACAGTGTAAATATTGGGTGTCGACATAAAGAACCCGCCATACTTTTCGTGTAATTTCTTGTAAAAAATTCACAAATTTGCTTTGAAAGGAGGCGCAGAATTAAGGGAACAACCTAATACTATCGACAGATCCAGTACAGTAGTTTTAAAACCACAGTAACCTTAGAAAAAAAAGTTTTTAAATATCTACATCATCTTTTTTTGTTTCAATAGCCTATTATAAGAAGAAGAACACAATGCCATAAAAAATGATTTATAAGAAATGTCAAAAACAGTAATAACCGTGACATAATGGTCAGTTTTTGACTCTTCGTACAAGTCATTTAAAATGTCATTTTTAAACAAATGTTGCAAGAAATTAAAAAAAAATATACCATGGTAAGTCACAGATACAACTCACTTCTTTAAGTCTAAAAATTTTAAAACAAAAATTTGTTTTCTGATGTTATAGTAGATAGATACCTACTACAACATAGTCACCAACTCCACTTACCGATAAATTTTGGCCGCAAACTTGGCCTTTGAAAACATGGCGGTCCTAGAGCTCTATCCGTCGTACTATAACATACTCAGTGCCGAGCATGTTGTTTTAGTTTGGGCTAGCTGCTAGAGTTACTTTAATAATTTACCATATGCAAACATAACATGACGCGGAGAAATATATATTGTCTTACTCAACCTGCCATTTTTTAAGTCGTACTAAATCTAGCATTTTCTATAAATGTCAGAAAAAGCCTTGTCGTCAAGTTGTATTGATTTGTATAGCCAAAAACGACAAGACTTTTTTTAATGGCTTATAAATTCATTTTTAGGTAACAAAACTGTGAATTATGACAAAATAATGATAATGTATAAGCAAAAATGTCATTTCTTGTCAAGTTTGTGTTAGAAAAAGCCTTGTCGTCAATTTGCATTGACTTGTATAGCCAAAAGCGACAAGACTTTTTTAAGAGCTTAGAACTTTATTTTTAGGTAACAAAAATGTGAATTATGACAAAATAGTGATAATGTATAAGCAAAAATGTCACAATTTACCTAAAATGTCATTATATGTTAAGATAGAGACAAGATATAGCCTAACTTGTCAAATTATCACCAAAAATGCCACAATTTCAAAAATTACGATAATATGAAAAACCGAACTTTAAGATCAAAATTAGTGCAAATTCCATTTTCAAAACCCCAAAAATCACCCCCACTGCCCTTTGCTGCTCAAATTACAAGCCAAAATGGCACTTTTGTTGAAATTTCAACCCGAAAAACGTTCGAATAACAGCTGATTTTGAGTGAAGGTATCACATAAAACACATATAAATCTGGTAATTAAGATCAATCAAGCTTAAAACGACTTACAAACCCAATAAAAAACAGGTAGTACCTTTGTTTTGACTAGGGAAAACAAGTGGTACACATTGGCAAATAATTGGGTTTTAGGCTTAAAAGTGAACTTTAGGCATAAAAATGAATTTTAAGCTTAAAAATGAATTTTAAGCTTAAAAATAAATTTTAGGCTTAAAAATTAATCTTAGGCTATAAAATAAATGTTATGCTTAAAACTGAATTTTAGGCTTAAAAATAGAATTTTGGTCTTAAAAATGAAGTTTAGGCTTGAAAAAGAAAACTTAGGCTTGAAAATGAACTTTAGGTTAAAAAATAAAAATTTAGGCTTAAAAATGAACCTTCAGCTTAAAAATGATATATAAGACTTAAACATGAAATTTTAGGCTTAAAAACCAATTTTAAACGTAAAATTAATGTTGAACCAAAAAATCATTTTCAGGCTTATAATCCCCATTTTACTTCGCAACACCCAAAATTGATGAAAAGTTTTTGCGACGTTCGAAAAACCTTGTCACCGCACTCATTTGGCCCAAAAAAGAATTATTTTAGAGGTCGTGGCCAAGTTTTATTCGAAAATCCCGCAGTGAAATCAAAAGACGAGGAACAATTGTCACTTTTACATTCACCTTGAGGCATTTTTTCGTTAAACTCTTCTCTACGTGGCATATACAAACGTTCTTTGGATGAAAAGAATGTGGAAATGATAGAACAGAATTTGAATTTGAAATTTAGGCATTAAAATTGATTTTTTTAAAAATTTTCTGTTTAAAAATCGAAAAATAATTTTAAAATTAGTCAAAAGACATTGATATACTAATCTACAATGCCAAAACTAAAAGTTATAATAATAAAAACTGATAAAATAGTCAAAAAAGCGTACGCCACTTGAGATTCCAAGGACGTCTCCGATCCAAGTACTAATCAAGCGCACCGTTGCTTAACTTGCCAGATCGGACGGGATGGCGTGCGTTCAACGGGCTATGGGCGTACACATTCGGTTGTCTGTTGTTTTTGGTCTCTATCGTTTCTTACTTTTATTTCTTATCATTTTTCACCATAAAAAGAAAGTTCTTGCCATTTTTAGTAATGTAAAGACCTTTTTGCCATTTTAGTTTTTTAAAAAAAGTTCCTGCCGTTTATTGCGATTTAAAGAGAGTTCTTGCTATTTTTTGCCTTGTAAAAAAAGGTAAACCCATTTTGTGAGTTGTAAAGAAAGTTTTTGTCATTTCTGACCTTTATCTTTTGTAAAATTAGAAAAGCCAAAAGATAGAGCGGGAAAAGAAGAGAGCGCACAGAAACCAAAAAGCGAGTTTGTTTCTGTTTTTTGGACGTAAAACCCTATCAAAAGACAAGTAATAACTTTATGATTTGTTTCTCAATAATAGTTACCTTCGGTATAAAATAGCCTTAATTAAGGTTAGTAAAATAAGCCGGCTCGGATAACCAAGTCCTGTGGCTGTATATTTAAAATTTTGGAATGTTCGGCCTAGGTTGAACTGATTTTGTAATACCTAGCCTGATTTTTATCTAGTCGTATCTAATAACTGTTATATAAACATAAAAACATTTCCATCTTACATTTTTAAATAACATATCCCTAATTTTTTATATAAAAGCTTTAAATTGTACTGTCATAAATGAAAAAACAGTAAATAAAAATCAAAACCGACCTGTTCTGTGAAGGTAGAAAGCTTTGCATGCTGCTACTCCGAGGTGCGCTGGATAGTCGACCAGTGTGTCGTAGTAGGCCTCGTGGCGGACAGACTCTGAAATTGTCATTTGTTACTTTGATACCCATCTTATATAAAGTGTTCTGTTAGGCTTTGCGCTCAATCTAACACTAAGGCTTAAGCTAAAGCTGGACTTGAAAGAGCTTGAAAGAGTGCGCTAGATTTAACTCGGCCCCAACTTGGCCTAGGATTGGACTAAATTAAAGTACAGTGTTATTCGAAATTCAAAAATTAGTATACTCACACATATTTACACTCAACAAGTTTTACAAACGACTAAAAATAAGCGTTTGCAGTCATTATCGGTAAAGCCATTCAAAAGTTTGTGTTTATGCGCAAAACAGACAAAAAAGTTCATAAAAAATTAAAATAAGCATTTGGGAAAATAGGCCAGCTTCAGCTGTTTTTGGGATTTTGTGTTATAGTTACTGGCTCTGTTAAATTGTTTAGTCTTAGGCTTAGCTTTTTAATTTTTAGGTCTTGATTTTTAAGTTTTCTGCTTAAGGTTGAAGTTTTAGGCTTAAAACGTAAATTTAAAATGTAATTTTGAAACTGAAGTAATAGGCTTAAATTTTTTTATATGACAGTTTATTTTGAAGCCTAACGTTTAATTTTAAGCCTAAAAATTAGTTAAAGACCTAAAATGTAATATTAGGCTTAAAATCTCATTTTTAACCCTAAACCTTCATTTTTAAGCTTAATATTTTTAAATTTAAAGTTTCATATTTAAGCCTAAAACTGCTAAAATTTTATTTTTAAGCCATAATTTGCGTCTTTAAACCTAAAATTTCATTTTTAAGCCCAAAATCCTACTTTTAAACCTAACCCTTCATTTTTATGTCTAAAAAGTCATATTTAAGCCTAAGATTTCATTTTTAAGGTTAAAATTTTCTTTCTAAACCTAAAAGTTCCTTTTTAAGCTTAAATCCTCATTTTTAAGCCTACATTTTAACTTTAAATCCAAAATTTTATTTTTAAGATTAAAACTCTATTTTTAAACCTAACGCTTCATTTTTAAGCCTAAACTGTCTTCTTAAACCCCAAAATTTATTTTACGTTTAAAATTTGATTTTAAACCTTCAATTTTATTTTTAAGCCTAAACTTTCATTTCTAAGCTTAAAATTTAATTTTTAGTCCCAAACCTCATTTTTAGCCTAAAGTTATAATTTCAAAATTATTTCTAATAATCAAATTTTAACCCCAAATTTCACTTTACCACCCCACCAACTCACCCATTGAAAGGCAGTTCCCTAGCCGAGAATCGAGCTGTACTCAAATGTTGTGAGTCGTTCAATGAAATCCGTGACACCACCCCAGGCACTCGATGTCCAACTGTCGCCGAATGTCGATTCAAAACATTGCCGCGAACCTGCAAAAGTGGCACAAACGTCTCGGTTCGCTGACTGAATGACCCGGTCGAGTTATTATTCCTGTCCATTGTTATGCCAGAGTTTACTTGACACTTTTGCACTTTCTTCTATGGGTAGTGAAGGCCACAGGGTGGGGTTTTGCTGAAAATAGGGGAAATTAGGCTCTGCTTAAAAATTGAAATAAAAAATTTTTTTTTTTTAATGTACAGTGGAACTCCGGTATAACAAGTTGCTTGGAGTTATTGGTTCGTTATAGAATACTGTGTTTTAGAACAGTTTGTTATAGAAAAGTTCTAGTGTACTAAAACCTCAAAAAAAAAGTTTTGTCGTTTTTTACCACCCAAAACAATGTTAAAAACGCCAAGACCAACCTTTCCCCCTCGCCCTTTATTCACAGCTTCAGAAACCAATCAAAAATGACATTTTATAAGTCACGTAATTCAATATTACCCAAAATAAACCACAAAGTATACCTAAAAATAGAATAAAAGTACAACAAACGCATTCAAACTTACAATTAGCGACAAGAATAATGATTATCAGGTTGATTGATATTATCCGTCGAAGAATTTTTGTTCTTTCGAATTCTTCATCATTTTGCCGAATGTGGATCTGAAATATTTAAATCTAAGTGTTATATAATAAAAAAAGGCAGAAAACTAAAATACGAGTATGTATAAAACACGACATAACGCAATAAAAAGCAAGAAAATACAAATTAAACTCATTTTAAACCAAAAATTCATTTTTAAATCTGAAATTTATTTTTAAGCCTAAAATTTATTTTTATGCCTAAAAATTAATTTTTATACCTAAATTGTAAATGCCCAAGGATGAGTTTTAAGCCCAAAAATACCATTTTGTGCCTAAATTTCAATATTCAACACTAAAGTTTAAATTTAAACCTAAAATTTAATTTTATTACCAAAATTCTAACTCTATGTCTAAAAGTCGGTTTGACCCAAGAATATAATTTCTAAGCCTAAACTTCTACATATAATACTAAAACTTACTTTTAAATAAAAAAATTATTCTTAAACTTAAATTTATCCTTAAAAGCTTAACTTCATTTTAACCCTAAACTCTAACTGCAAGCCTAAAAGTGGGTTTTTAACTTAAGTATCATTTTTAAGCCTAAAATGTATATTTAACGCTCATTTTTAACTCAAACCTCATTTTAAGTCCAAATGCATTTTAACTCTGAAATTCATTTTTAAGCCAAAACTTCATTGTTAAGCTCACAATGAATTTTTAACTTAAAATTTGTAAGTCTAACATTAGTTAAAAATTAAAAACTATTTTATGATTAACTTTTAACCAACCATTTTTAAGCCTAAAATTACACCTCCACGCCTCAAAATCGTTTTTAAAAACTAAATTTTGGAATTCCCAATGATTAAAAACCTAAACACAGAAATCCTTCAGAAGTAACATTTTACATTTTATGGTTGTAATATGAACAGTGTAACAAACTTTTTCACTTTTCATATCACACACGAGCTAAAGCCATAATGAATGTAATAATGTGTACTAATATCTTTCGGCGAATAAAACGGCCATATTGTTTCAATGACAATCAAAAAACAAAAAGCATAAAAGCCCGAAGGGTCGGCGACCGCGTCCAGATTTTGAGGTCATTTTGAAAAAGGTCTGAAAATCGCCCCCAGGGAAATATTCGGCCTTATTTTCTTCGCACTTTCGTAAAATGCGGTTTTTGTACAATCGGTTTGAGGATCTTTAATACGTGACACGTCAATGTCACAGATCAAATTTTGGAAAAGATCGTAGTTAGTTTTGTCATCATTTTGGAGTTAGAAAAAAAATTTTATTTTTTGTTAAAAAATCAAGTTTTATAGTAGAAATTTGACTTAGAAATCTAATTATAAGCTTAATTTTAGGCTTAAAAGCAAATTTTAGGCTGAAAAATGAATTTTCAGCTTAATACAAATTTTTGGGCTTTAAAATGATTTTTAGGCTTAAAAATGAAAAATAGACTTGAAGATGAATTTTAGGCTTAAAAAATGAATTTTAAAATTCAAAGTAAAATTTTAGGCTTGAAACTTAGGTTTAGACTTAAAAATGAGTTTTGGGCTTAAAAATGAACTTTAAACTTAAAAAGTGAATATTAGGCTTACAAATAACATCTTACCTGTAAAAATAAATTTTAAATTTAAAAATAAAACTGTAGGCTTACAAGTGAATTTTAAAAATTGATTGCTTACCACAACTCTCAACTAGTTTTAATGTAGCTTTAATTTAACTAAGTCCTTTTCCTCTCCTAGCTATACCCTTCTACCCTAGTCTTAGCTCTAGTTTAGCCTTGTCCTAGCCTTATTTTAACGCTTTTGAAGTCCTATATAATCCTTAACTTATCTTGCACACAGTCCTATTAAATCCTTACTTTTGCCCGAGCATAGCCTAAAAAATTTTAACAAAAAAGTATGTTTTCCTGAATTTTAATTAGTACTACTTACAAAAGATTTATTATTAAGTATTGAAAACAGGCAAAGATAAATATTTTTCACTTGGTTACGTCCTTTCAGAGCATGAACATCTTACAACTGACAAATTATGCACAATTAGTAAAACAGAATTTTAAATTTGTATCCTACCTTACCTACCCAATCTAAATCGCTTCATTTTACCCTACTGTGTTTTACCCGTCTCTCTGTATTTTAATGAACCCAATCTTATACTAGCGTGTGCTACACTACTTTACGTTACCCTTAATTTTTGTTTGCCTTACTTGGTCTTATTCTGCTTTACTCTGCTTTATTCTGCCTTAATCTGTCGTGCTGTACCTTACCTTACCTTACTCTACTTTACCCTACCCCGTCTCACAAAACTTCAAAAAAAACTTTTGTTCCTCCCCTTGCTTTTCTTAAAACCGAGTGTTACCTTGTACCCTCTCCGTTCTAGCTTAAAACCTAAAACATATTGTCTATAACTTAAAATCTACAACCATATTGCCTGTAACTTGAAGCCCAAAACATATTGCGTGATTACCAGTATTTTTTAAGAAATCAACGGCTAAAATGAAATAACTCCGTTTCGTCATCAAAAAACCAATATCAAATTTGGTCATACAATGTCACCCTAACAAGATATGCCAGAAATAATAAAAAAAAACAGTTCCAAAAGGAAGACGCGGCCGTTAAAACGTTTTTTTATTGGAGGTCAATAAACGAGCTATGGCAATCATTGCCACAACAAAAAACACGGCGGCCGGGAAGAGAAAGTTGACTTATCTCCTTTTTCGCCCTTTCTTCGGCGACCCGCCGAGATTTCTTTAAGAAAGCCGGATTTCGTATTTTTGGGACGAAAAAAAACCCCGCCGGCAATAATAAATATTTGTGTTTATTGTTTGCGGTGCAAAGTTTTTGTAATGATAAAGCGGTTTTCATATGTAGGAAATGATTATTCGGCCAAGGGAATATTATACACATTGCTGGGCTTCTTGAGTACGTCATACTGAATTGACCGATTTTTCATTAAATATTAGGTTGTCCGGAAAGTTCTGCAATATTTGAGTAGGTAAACTTTGAAAAATCAGGAAAAATTTATTTCTTGACGGAAAGAAAAAATTCTTTTTTTGTTTATTTGTTTGTTACCTAAATTATTCAAAAAGGTAAGTTACATAACTTAATTTCATTTTTTTGTATTGTTTTAGGTATTAGAAAAAAAATGGAGAAATCTCGCCTGCGCGTGATTATATGGAATGAATTCAAACGCGGAAATACTGCGGCAGAAACCTTCAGAATCATAAACGAAAATGAGGGTAAGAATGTTGTGAGTTATTCTACGGTGACCCGATGGTTCGCAAAGTTTCGTGTGGACGATGAGAAGCTTGAAGACAAACCACGTGCAGGAAGACCCAGCAAACTTGACAAAGATGCCCTGAGGCGCAAGATTGAAGATGACCCACATATTACAATCCGGGAGTTAGAAGAGTTACTAAACTGTGGAAAAAGTACCATTGATGATCATTTGAAGGCAATGGGTATGGTCAAAAAGTTGGACAAATGGGTGCCTCACAATTTGACCGATCTGCAAAAAGCCAAGAGACGGTGTGCTTCCGAAAAGCTTCTGCAACGCTGCAAAAACGAAGAATTCTTGGATCGAATTGTAACTATTGACGAGAAGTGGATCTCGTTTAACAATACTAGAAGATCTACAAGTTGGTGTAAGCGTGGAGAAGCTCCTAAGCCCGTTCCGAAGCCAGAATTGCACGAAAAGAAGCTTATGGTGACTGTCTGGTGGTGTAGCTCTGGAGTGATCCAGTACGATTTCATGAAACCTGGCCAAAGTATTACGGCCGACACCTACTGTGCCCAGATTGACAAACTGCGACACAATCTTCCAACAATGGTCAGAAGGAGGGGTCCGATCATTCTGCAGGATAACGCACGGCCCCATGCTGCAAAGAAGACCGTGGCAAAATTCAGGGAACTGGGATACGAAGTCTTGGAGCACCCTCCTTATTCTCCAGACTTGGCTCCAACGGACTTTCACCTTTTTAAACACTTGTCTTCGTTTCTTAATGGAAGAATCTTCAAAACTCCGGACGATGCCAAGAATGCCTTCAAGAACTTCATCAACTCCAGAAACCCGGAATTCTACAATCGTGGAATAAAAAAGCTTTATCGTTGGCAAGACTGTATTGATTCAGACGGTAATTACTTTGATTGATTGTAGTTGTTAATTATATTGTTATTATTGTTAGTTCAAAAGTGAATAAATATTGCAGAACTTTCCGGACAACCTAATAGATATTGAACTATCATATCTTAAGGTAGTATGTAGCTCTTTTAGACTATAGAACGAGGTGTAGTAAAAAGAAAAAAAAATGCTAAAAAATAAGGAAAAAGATAAAAAAGATATGATTTCTATCCTTCGTAAATACTAGCCCTATCCTAGTCTTAACCTCTGCCTTAGCTCCATAATCATCATGCCCAACATTAAAGCAAGGCAAAAAAATATAAAAAGGGCAGGGTAAATCTAGGGCTCAAACTTCAGCGAGAGCTGTAGAGTGCAGTAGAAGGTTTAGCGTGTTTTACAAGGTTTACATTGTTAGGCTCAAGTATAGGTAAAGTAAGAGTTTGGGCTAAGGCTAGAGCTAGAGAGCAGATTAAAGATATAATAGAGCAAGATTAAGGCTAAGGCAAAACGCTAGGGCTAGGGCTAAAATTGGAGCTAAAAAAGCTAAGGCAAAGTTAGGGCTGGGCAAAGGAAAGACCAGAGATAAGACAAAGGCACAGTAATTAGACTGGGGTTCTGAACTAATTCTCTGCGCTAGTCCTCTGGGCTAGGACTCTGGGTTAGAGCTCTGGGCTAGGGCTCTGGGCTAGGGCTTTGAGCTAGGGCTCTGGGCTAGGGCTCTGGGCTAGGGCTCTGGGCTAGGGCTCTGGGCTAGGGCTCTAGGCTTAGGCACTGAGCTAGGGCTCTGGGCTAGGGCTCTAGACTAGGGCTCTGAGTAGGGCTCTGGACCAGGGCTCCGGATTAGGGCTCTGGGCTAGTACTCTGGGCTAGAGCTCTGGGCTAGGACTCTGGGCTAGAGCTCTGGGCTAGGACTCTGGGCTAGGGCTCTGGGCTAAAGCTAAGATAAAAAACGGCAATTTTACGAAACAATAAAATTTTAAAACGAACTTTTACGTCTGGACTTTTTTTTGTGGGCGGAAATACGGAACATATAATGGTATGAAACCGCCAAGATTTACTCAAGCAAACTGGAATTGTCTTGGTCAGTAAGGGCATGCACTTTTAAAGCTATTTTTAGAAATTTGTTTTAAATTAAAAATTAAAAAACGTCATTTTAAGTTTAAAAAAAGTCATTTTAACGAAAAAAAGTGAAAAAAAATTGAAAAATTGTAAAATACACCAAGATTCTTGCTCTTTCCGGACCAAATGAGCTATTAGAAAACACTGTGCTAATTTATTCAAACACTTGTTTCGAAGCTGGTGTTACCCAAACAACGAGACAAACAAAACAATGTCATCTTCGTTTCAAAAAACAATTGAAATTACGAAAGTCTGCACTTTTAAAGGTATTGGTCAGAAAGAGTACCATTGATAGGGAAATAGTGATCTTACAAGGGAATGTTACAAACTACTCCACGCCAATTACAAAACTACCGTTGGAAAGAGCGTTAAAAATTAGTCTAAAATCAACTTTTTTTAGCTGCCGAAACCATGTGGCACGGCAGCTACACCTCGTTATATATACTTATATGTTTAAAAGGTATACCTTTAAAGTTCAAAAAATACTATTTTTTGATAAATATTTTTTCTAAAAGTGACTAAAAGCAAAAAATAGGACTTAAAAAATATTTGTTTAACCAAAATATTGTTTGGCTAGCCAAAACTTCTTGTCATGATGGCTGGGCGCCAAAATGAAATCGACCGGATTCGAACTCCCCGCCTTTTGCACCCCAGACTAACTTGTTAACCACTCGACCACACTGGATCGAAGCTTCAATTCATTCGTTTTGCTCAAGACGAATGAGAAGAGTCAAATAGAAAACGCTATGTAAATCCTTTGATCGCTAATATATGCCGTGCCATATAGTTTCGGCAGCTAAAAAAAGCTGATTCTAGACTAATTTTTAACGCTCTTTCCAACGGTATAACTCGTTTTATAATTGGCGTGGAGTAGTTTGTAACATTCCCTTGTTAAGTGGTACCGTGTACATACTTAATACAAAACATACTCAATATAAAAATAAAAGACGTGTAACTTATTTTTGTACTAAACAATACCTAAATGAAGATATTTATGAATTCAAAAAAATCTTGTCGCCAATTTACTTTGGGTTTCATACTAAAAAACGACAAAACTTTTTAAACATGTTTAATACGCTTATTAATATAATATTATGACAATATTTAAGTAAATAAACCTATAGTTATAGTGATTCAGCCATAATAAACTAATATATCTATTAATAAACTAAAGTATCCATAAATAAGTTAATACACCTATAATCAAAGGGATATATCCATAAATAAATCAATACACCGGTTCGAATACCCATTTGTCCTTCATAACATCGCATGGCACGTAGACGGCAACATTGTTAGCATTGGCAGTACATAAGTTAAGATAGTTTGGTATGAACATTGTTTTACTGTCTTCCACCACGTATTTCCGTTCCTTTTCACTGTTCTTGTACAGAACATTCAGCACGACCTTCACGTTCTCTACTTCAATATTCATTTGCATTGAAGATTCGCGTTTACCGTAAACTTGGGTTACTATAAAATGCTGAGAGAAGTCGTGTTGTAGGTACTCGGAGAATTGTTCGGAGTTGATTCCGACGTTAATTTGTGATGGTAGAAGGCAGGTGTTGTACCATACTAAAAAATAAGGTTACAGTTAGTTATGGTTTTAGTGATATTGACTTTTTTTTTGTTATATTGTGTCCTAAATTACCTATTATATCTTGTTTAGTCTTATTTTTTGTCTATCTTACCCTACCTTACTCTACTCTACCTTGCTTTTCTTTGCCTTGTCTTGCTCTATTCTACGTTACTTTACTCTATCCTGCCCTCAGATAACTATCCTGCTCAGTCTGCACTATCGGACCTTACTTTACGCTCTAATCCTCTTACTATGCTCTGTCCTACCCGTGAGTCAAATTTCTAGCCTAGTTTCTGCTATAATGTAATTCTTAATCTAACAAGTAAGCCATCTCTGTCTTACACATGCCCTACCTCATCCGCACCTTAGTCTAATGTTCATCTATCTTATTATAGTACATCAACCCAAAAAAATTTACAAAATTTAAATAAGATTCAAATCTATAATACTATAACATACTTACGTTTAGAGGTATTAGCGATTATAAATATTTGAGCTCCAAAGAGGTCGCCTCGTTCCCGTAACTTCTCGTAGGCAAAACTAGAATCCTCCAAACCTGTATTAACTTGTTTACAATGAACCAAAGTCCCACAATTCCAAAATCTTTTAAATTGGTTGAAATCGGCCGGTAATGAAACGTCTACTGATTTTAAGGCTCCATCACGGTTAAAGAGAACATTTACATGATCCTTGATGACAAATCTGAAATGATATCTTATAATTTTTGTCATTCCCTACCCTACCCTACCCTACTTTCTTCTTCTATTTTAGCCAAACTTCCAATTACCATCCCCTACCCTTTCAGTCCCTAATTTACTATACCTTTCCTTATTTTTCAACTCAAGATAATATCCCGTACCTTATCAATCCTACCTTCCCGTACCTCTTATTCTACTCTTTAACGTATATCCCTACCACTTTGTACTAATATACCTATAGTACCAAAACGTTCAATTCAAGAAAAGCTTTATCGACTTACCGTGGCAGTAGTTTTGCAGAAATTTTCGAGTCAAAGCTATTCAGTCTAGGTTTGAACTCGATAATTGTTGAGAAGTCCTCGGCTGGATTCATAACGTAGTCAGCTTTAGTAAAAAGGTCTTCAATTGAGGTATTTTTGTGGATTAGTGCGACTGTCACTGGCGCTGCACATGGTAAGTTGCTTTCAATTTTCTTCAGACAATCTGGATCTACTATCAACCTGAAAGTACAGGGTGTTTCACGAAATTCCGTTGTCAGAAATAATTTATATCTTTGCAATTACGCATCTTGCAATTGTGATTTTTGGCACAGTTGCAGTCCAGACCTGTGCGTTTTTTGTGCAAATTTTTGCATTTTAAAGTTGCACTTTAAGGTCGTTAAGAATTTTCAAAAATCAGCATTTTCACCGAAATGACAGATATTTTGGTTGGGAATTGGTTCTTTTTAAACTTTACATTTTCTTCATTTTTTTGAAAAATTCGGGGTTTCAATGATTGCAAAGGTTTGGCGCAGCCCCTAATTTACATGTATAATGACTATGAATTTTTGGTTTTAAAAATGAATTTTAGACTTAAAAATTACTTTCCCACAAAAAAAATCAAATTTAGGCTTATAAAACTTACATTTTAAATTCTTGACGATTCATCAAAAATAGGTAGAACAATATTGTTACAGCACTGACTAGCACCAATACCCATCGTAGTTGTTTTGTTATTTTATACAGCTTTGACGCATACTGAAAATTCACAATATATTAAAGGATAGCACTAAATAACAGGTCAGAAAGTTTATGGAATTAAAAAGTTTGATCCAGAGGAAGCTGATGTTAAACCTACCTTACTCAACTTTTGCTTCAAATCGTTGCGAAGACTGATACGAACCATAAATAAACAGAACAATTGTTAAAAATTACACGTAGAAACCGTGAAAATGCAAAAAAAATAAGCTGAATGTAAAAATATTTTATAAGTTTTCAAAAATGAAAAAATCACGTACGCATAATATTTGAATAAAAAACCAAAGCCAAAATTTGTAAAAGTAGAAAAATACAAAAAATGTAATTTGAAATTTAAAAATAATTTTAAAATAGCATATTTCTACCCTTCAATTATTTTTTAATCCTATAATCTCTTTTTTAAGCCTAAAACTATTTTTAAAAGTAAAATTTTATTTTTAATTTTAAGATATCATTTCATCAAGCGCTCATTATGCCTAAACTATTAAGCCTAATATTCATATTTAAGTTTGAAACGTCTTTTTTAAGCTAAAATCCATAACTTTAGCCTGAAGGTACATTTTAAATTATCTTTTCAGCTTAAAACTTATGTTGAAGCTTAAAAGTTTATTTTTAAGCCAAAACTTCATTTTTCAGCGGAAAAAATAATTTTTAAACCTAAAACTTCATTTTAAGCCCACAACCTAAAAAACCTTAACTTTATTTATAATCGATTACAAATTTTGCCTCTTCTAATAATCTTCCATGCCTTTTAAGACAAGTTTTCCATGCCCTTTAAAACAAGTTTTCCATGCCCTTGAACCAGAGAAACTATTATAGTGAATAATACAAACTTCTTCCCTTCCTTGTTCCCATACAATTTTCAAAACAATTGTTTTTTGTTAGTTTCCTTATACTTTTTACAAACTTTTTTTTTAAATTTAGCCTTGTTATCTATCCTTTTCCCTCGCTTTACAAAAAACAAAAAAAAACTGAAATCATGGAATAAAATCAAAATCCGCAAAAAATGGCGCTCGAAACTCCATTTTATTTTTGGTTTTTTGTGTCAAGAGGAGCCACGTGAAAATTAAAAAATATAAATCTCTCATCTGAATATAAAACAAAAGGGTTAACACAGAGGTTATACTAGAAAAAGAATGACAGTTTTAGCTTTTTATAGCTATATATGACACTCAATCTTTAGGCCTAAATATGCCATTCTTTTTGCATCAAAAAACATTCTTCTCTAAAATAGATTTTTAAAGTATTTAATTTCGCGGCCTGAAACAACAACATAAAATTAATTTTTAAGTCTAAAATTTAGATCTAAGCTTAAAATTTAATTTTTAAGCGTAAACTTCATTTTTTTAATCTAAAATTTATTCCTAAGCCTAAGATTTAATTTTTTTGGGTAAACTGCGTTTTGTAAGCCTAAAAGTTAGTTCTAAGCCTAAGCTCCATTTTTTAGCCTGAAATTCTTTTTTAGATCTAAAAACTCATTTTTTAAGTCTAAAATTTAGTTCTAAGCCTAAAATTTAATTTTTAAGCTTAAGATTCGTTGTTTAAGCCTAAAAGTTAGTTCTAAGCTTAAGGTCTATTTTTTAGCCTGACATTCTTTCTTAGATCTAAAAACTCATTTTTTAAGCCTAAAAGTTAGTTCTGAGCCTAAGGTCTATTTTTTTAGCCTGACATTCTTTCTTAGATATAAAAATCCATTTTTTAAGCCTAAATTTAGTTCTAAGCCTAAAATTCATATTTAAGCTTGAAATTCTTTCTTAGATCTAAAAATTTATTTCTTAAGCTCAAAATTTATTCCTAAGCCGAAATTATATTCTTAAGCCTAAAATTCAGTTTTAGACCTAAACTTTATTTTTAAGTTATAAAATTTCCTTTTGGATTAAAAAACTCATTTTTAAGCCAAGTTCTAATCCAAAACATAAATTTTTTAAGCCCAAACTTAATTTAATGCCTAAACTAAAATTATTTTTAAAAAACATCGAATAAAAATATAACTGTAGTGAATAATTGTATGAAACAGCCTGAAGAAGCCTTCTAAAAAAGATTTTGATGCGAAAAGCGTGTGGCCACAGAAACCGGAGCCAATTGTTTCGGAATGGTTTTTGTGTTTTGATGAGTTTAAAATTGGTTTTATAAAGTCAACACTTACTTAATTATGCAGAGTGCAACATCATTTGCTTTTGCATGAAATAAAGTCACTTAGGTTTAGTATTAGCTTTAAGCGTAGTTCTAGTCCTAGCTCTAGCTCAGTCTCTGGCTCAGGCTTTGTCTCTGGCTCTAGCCTAATACGTAACTCTAGCTCTAGCCTTAGCTCTAGTTCTAGCTTTAGCTCTAGCTCAGTCTCTGGCTCAGGCTTTGTCTCTGGCTCTAGCCTAACACGTAACTCTGGGTCGAGCTATAACTCTAGCTCTGGCTATAGTTTTAGCCCAGCTATATGTAGTAGCAACTCAATTTTAAATTTAGCCTAAGTTTTAGTTAAAGGTCTAACCTTAGCCTTATCTCTAATCTAGCTATATTTTTAACATAAATTTCCTTAGTTTTCTCTCAAAATTTTATTACTGTACCTTCAATCAAATTAAGCAAGCAGAGTGTCATTTAAAAGCAGAAAAATCAATTAAAAATCTCCAAAATCTAGTTATAATTTATTGTAAATCATATTATTTCATAGTCAATAACGATATATACAACAAAGTAACAAAACCCTCACTACTTTGACATTTTTTCAGCTTTTATCTGTTTTAAAATTTTATTTGATCATTAAGTTCTTCTTTGAACAAGGTATCGACACAAAGAAGCACATTGGGTTCTTCTTCTTCAACTTCTTATCAATTTTTTGGTACGGTGATGACTCGTATAGGCCCATTTGATTCAAAATGTACGATTCTTCTCCTTTTGAAGGCTAAAGATGATAAGGTTAAAATTAAAAATGAATTAAATAGTTAATGCTATTGCGTGATCTAATCGTAATGCAAAAACTAAGCTATGCCAAGAGCCAAAATTAGAGCTAGGACTAGAGCTAACACTATAAATAGATTTAAAGCTAAAGCTAGAGCTTAAACTAGGGTGAGTTCAGGCTAAGATTAGAATTAGGTCTAGACCTGTAGCAATAGTTAGGACAATGAGCTGGGGCTCTGGGCTAGGACTTTGGGCTAGAGTTCTGGAGTACGGCTCTGGGATAGGACTCTGGGCTAGAGTTCTGGGCTAAAGCTCTGGAGTACGGCTCTGGGCTAGGACTCTGGGCTAGAGCTCTGGGCTAGGGCTCTGAGCTAAGGCACTGGACTAGGGCTCCAAGGTAGGGCTCTGGGCTAGGGCTCTGAGCTAGGGTTCTGGGCGAAGGCTTTGGGCTAGAGCTCTAGGCTAGGGCTCTGGGCTAGGGCTCTGAGCTAAGGCTCTGGGCTAAGGCTCTGAGCTAGGACTCTGGGCTAGGGTTAGGCTTACCGGTTCAACCACCTCATTCATATTCTGCTGTAGCTCCCGTAGATCTTTCATCATTACGACCCTGCATTGTGTTTCAATAGTAGACAACATTAGTATCAATGTGATTATGTATGCTGATGTGTTGAGCGGCATTATGCCAAAACGAAGTGTATAACGTATTCCCAAACTGAAAACACAAAGTAAAGTAAGAAAATTGTTATTACATTTCCAGACAGTAACACGTTAATTTTTAATAATATACGTGGTATTAAGCATGTTTGAGGAAAGACGTTTCTGAAGTGACTTTAGGCTTAAAATTGACATTTTAGGCTTAAAAATGAAATTTTAGGCTTAAAAATATACTGTAAACTTAAAATTGACATTTTAGGCTTAAAAATGACATTTTAAGCTTGAAAACAAATTTTAGAGCTTAAAAATATGTTTTAGGCCTGCAAATGAAATATTTTACATAAAAAACGACATTAAGCCTAAAATCCAATTTTATACTTATCGCCTTGTAGCTAGGATCTGGCTTCCAGGACCAAAACCGGCCTAGCCTGTAAGCCAGATCTACCTGTAGCCCTGAGAACTATTTAACTACGGAGCTTAAAAATCCAATTTTAGGCTTAATACCGCTATCAAGCATACTTTTAATAAGCCAAACTTCAAATACGTGACGAAACCAAAAAACAGTATTGTAAAACTGCATATGTAATACGAATTTACTTCCGATTATGGTATCACAAACAAGTTCGCAAATATTTTTCGTAGCATGACCTAATCGTAGTCTCCATACAGTGTCATAATATGTTATGACTCGTCTCGCGTTAGAGACATCTTACCTATCATACTGAGGAGTTGTATATTCACGTATAAGACAAAGTACAAAATGATTGAGGTTAATATAGTATTAGTCATTCAGTCAGTAATACTTACTGTAACCATAAAAGCCCAGATCCCTAGCCCAAAGCCCTAACCTAGAGCCCTAGCCCAGAGACCTAGCCCTTGCCCAGAGCCCTAACCCAGAGCCCTATCCCAGAGCCCTAGTCATAGCTCCAGCCCTACTTCTACCCTTACTTAGCTCTAAGCCTCAACCCAACCATACCCTAATACCTACATTCCACAAACCCACAAATTTCAAAAATTTAAAATTTAAAAAATTTTCAAAAATCATTAAAATTTAAATATATATTCAGAACAAACAAAGTTATGTTTAAGGTCATTTGCATATTATATTACATTTATAATACGTCAGTCAAACATCGCAAAAACGACATTTTAAAGTAAAGGTAAATGAGTTAGAAGTTTGATAAATTAAGTTTAAGTTTAGGTATCAAGAACATTAGATTAAAGTACATTTGTTTGACATTCAACACTTGAACTTCGAATTACGTCAAAAATACAGAAAATGTTGGGAGTTTCAAGTAAAAAATGGTAGTTATGTAGGTGAGTTTATTAGGCTTATTAAATGACATTTTAGTCTCAAAAATGAAGGCCAGGCTTACATAAAAAATTTTGGCTTAAAAATGAATTTCAAGCTTAAAAATAAAAGCTTAGGCTTATAAATAAAGTTTAGGCTTATAAATAAAGTTTAGGCTTATAAATAAAGCTTAGGCTTAAAAACAAAACCTCAGGTTTAAAAATAAATCTTTAAGCTTTAAAATAAAGTTTCGAGTTAAAATGAATTGTAGGCCTAAAATGTTGACCTTATGTTTTAGTCCCCCCCCCCTCCCCCCCCCCACACCCTTTCATGGCTCCTCCTACTGTAGCACTGACTACGTCAAATGGCAATTGAAACGTTTTAGTTTAAACGGCTATTCAATACGTATTTAATTGATTAACAAAATTAAACCTAGACAGTAAGTTTGCATTAAAATGTCCATAATGTCACAACTTTCCTTATTCGCCACGCTAACTACAAATGAGCAGGCAAACCCATAAAAGACACTAATTATGCTAATTGGAAACAAAAACTTAAAATTTTAAATTATTTTTAACTGGTGGAATGCCCTTCTCTACTGCAATTTTGTACAATATTCTAAACTACTGTACCCTACCTTAACCCACCGTTCCCTACCCTATTCTACCCTACCATCTCTTTCATTTTACTCTACCCTACTCTATGCTACTATATTTAACCCTACAGTACTCTACCTTACCTTACTTTACCTTAACGTACCATGCCCTATCCTGTTCTTACTTACTGTTGCTTTAGCGCAACCCTTCATGACCATACAGTAAGTTTGCTGTAGCTTTATCGTTTACCCACTTCTCCATACTGTCAAGAAAAGTCAAACTAGCCTTTCAGTAATCTCAAAACCTTACCGTAGTTTAACCTAAACCAAGCTACCATACCCTATCTTGTCATTGCCCTTACTCTACCCTATCGTGTATTATCCATGCCTTTACTCTACCCTGTCCTATAATATCCTTCCTTTTACTCAACCCTGACCTTTACTTTACCCCACCCTGACTTCAACATGATTAACCTCACCGCACCCCAAAAGTAGTATCTTAATTTTGCCTTACCATAACAGTTCCTTCATTATATCAAAATAATCAAATTTATATTTTAAAAATTGTTTAATTACATTATAACATAATATAAGATTGGTAAATAAACGGTAAAACGGTTTCTAACACCTCCCCCAGAAAACTAATAAATCAACCAAGGGCCCCATGTTGTCAGTAGTAAGAGTGCTGATTATTAAATTCCATTTTACTATTTACGACAAAACATATTAGACACTATTATGACGCAGTACAAACCGAATATGGCCATAGAACAGGCTTTTTGGCAAAAAAGTCATTAGGCTTTAGACTGAAACAATGCTTTGGGCTTAATGTTGTGTTTTGAAAAGGTTATGACCTTTTAATTCAACATGACGTTAAATTCAACCGTATTTTGACGTAGCTAAAGCGAATTTTTATAGAAAATGTTTCAAAGTTCATTAGGCAGATATGAACCCAGATCCGAACTAAAATAGATTTTATATCTTACAGTAAAGGACAAGCTAAGAAAATACATTTCTAAGCTTATAAATAAAATTTAGGCTTAACATAACACTTTTAAACTTCAAAAACAAAAATTAGACTAAAGAGATATATAGGGTAAGACAGAGTAGGATGAAGTAGGGTATAATGGGGTAGAAGGTTTTGTAGGGTAAAGTAACGTAAAGTAGAGTATGATAAGATAAAGTAAGGCACAGTAAAGTAAAATAGAGTAGAGTAGGGTAAGGTAGAGTAGGAGCAAGTAAAGTAGGGAGGGGTAGACTAGGGTATTGTAGGGTAGAGTAGGGTAGGGCAAAGTAGAGTAGGATAGAGAAGAGCAAGGTAGGGTAGAATAGGGTAGGGTGTGGTAGAGCATGGTAGAGTAGGGTATTGCAGGGTAGGATAGGGTAAAGCCGAGTAAGATAGAGTTAGATACACCAGAAAACCTAGTAAAACACAGTAACCATTCTTTATTGCATTGTAATTTCCAATTATCTGATAAAGCGTTGAGTATTTAGAAAATTTAAAACATGTTAGCAGATCCCATGGTATCTTTGCTCGTAAACGTAGTAGTTGGCGCTTTTATAGGCGCGGTAGCAGTTTTTACCCGCTTCGTAGCCAACAGCCACTTGGGGAAGAAGGTATTTCGGATCTCGGTCCTCATACTTTTATTCAAAAACAGGTAAATAAACACCGTTCCACCTAGAATCCTCGATTTTAAAGTGGCAACAAAGTTTGGTCTTTGAACTGTTTTCGAAATTCGAAAATATTGTAACTTAAAAAAAATTTTAATTTTTAAAAAATAAAAATTTTAAAAATTATTCAAAAAAAAGTTTACCGTGACTGCTTTGCCAAGTAATCTGGCCAACAATAACCATATAATTTGATGTTTCTGCAAATTGCATTCGAACATAAACACTAGCGGCTATCAATATTAACATGCATATTAATGTAGCTTGAGCTATGATCTGTAAATAGCAGCATAATTAAAATTCATTTCAAAACGTAAAATTTAATTTGTAAGCCTAAAACTTTATTTTAAGCGTATATTTTCATTTTTATTACTAAAAGCCTAGGTTTATTTTTAAGCTTACAACTTCATTATAAGCCTACAATAATAATTTTAACCCTAAAATTTAATTTTTAAACCTAAAATTATTCTTAAGCCTAAAATTTAATTTTTAAGCCTAATTTTATTTCCAAGCTTCAAATTTCATTTTTAAGCATAAAACTGCTATTTCAAATCTAAATTTTCATTTTTGTTTTAAAATTTCATTTTAAGCATAACTTTAATTTTTAAACTTAAAGTTCCGTTTTCGAAATTTAGTAAAGTTATAGCATTTACTGTTTATTGTAGTCGTAACATTTCAATTATTGAAGTCAGAAAAATATCAAAAAACAATGTTTTTCCTCTAAAAACGGTAGCATGACTGTTTCTGTACAATTCTAGATCAAAAATACCAAGTTACGCATAACAAGTATACTATAAAAGTTTAGTAATGCTAATACAATCCTACTCATACTCGTTTGCATTGTTAATATTGTAGTAAGTTTACAACAGTTATTAGTCAGTTAATAGTCAGCTACAGAATAAATATGCAATAAAATAACAGTACCTGCTTTTGTAGCATGCTCATGCCAGTGTTTCTTTGCCCACCCATTGTTGGTCGACTTTTAATGCAAACGAATATACAGATACAACTGTAGGCTGTGCATAACACCAAGATGACTATTACGTTGTTTATGGTGTGAGGCCAGCTTGTGTACTAGAAAAGTTACAATAACATGCCGTTTTTTAATTAAAAATGAAGTATTATACCTTTGGTTACCCTACCCTACTTTATCCAACCCTAGCTTACCTTGCCCTACCCTACCCTACATTACCCTACTTTACCTTACTTATCCCTGCCTTACCCTATCCTATCCTGCCATACATTACCGTAGCTTGCTATAGTCCTTACTACATCATTCACTACCCCATACCCTGCCCTACTCCCTACATTTTCCTTATTTTAATTAACTATGCCCTGTCCCATCTAACCCTGCTTTACCTGACCTTGTCGTGCCGTAGCCTTTAATACAGCCTTTATCCTTTATCATAGTCAACTATGCCCTTCGTTGTCATTACCTGACCTCTACGAATTTCCCCTCTAACTTTATTTTAAACCTACTGCATCTATCTTACTCTGGCCGTGCCCTACCCTATATGAAACCATCAGCATAATTATATATCTTTGTTCTAGCAGTATCTGGCTTTATGATAGTCTAACATACTTAATCTAAGTTCCATAAGCTTACTGCAAAATTTCTCCGCCCTACCTTCTCCTTATCAGACACCGGAGTGCCAACAAACGGATCAAAGAAGGCTCCATCATAAATCGAGGTGAATATTAATGGCGGTGTAAAAATAATAAAATAACTGCCATACAAAGTTGGTGCCAATAACCAAAAATAAGTTCTCCAGCCACTGAATAAGGTTTCCATCCAATCAGGCTTCAACAAATCACAACATCGATTCATAGCCAACATCATACAGGCCATACAGGCGGCACACCAAAGACCGGTCGATATACTGCCACTGATGTACATAACCGTCGGATGATCACAGAAGGTGTTACCATGCCAGGCAAAGTACCCAGACATAATCGAGTTTATGAAAATACAGGCCATGTCTATTATACCTGGAATGGGCATTAAACACATTTTTTACAGTTGAAAATGCATTTTGAAATCAAAAATGTATTTTAAGCTTAAATAATGAATGATAGGCTTAAAGAATGAACATTAAGCTTAAAAAATGAATTTTAGGCTCAAAAATAAAACTTAAAGCTTAAAAATGAATTTTTAGTTTAAAAATTGAATTTTAGGCTTAAAAATGAAACTTTAGACTTAATAATGAATTTTAGGCTTAAAAAATGAATCTTACGCTTAAAAATTAATTTTAAGCTGAAAAATTGATTTTGAGCCTAAAACCCTATTTTAAGCTCAATAACACCACTTACCAAGAAAAAACATAATTTTGTAGCAAGATAACTTCAAAAACTTGTTGGATGACATTGTGTATAAACATGGAAAGTACAGTACTTCATACATAACCCCAATCAAAGTGTAAACAAAGCCAATAATCTTATTCGGGACTCCAAATTGATGCCATTGATGTGGAGTGTAATAGGAGCAATTGTACATAATATCATAGTTCTCTTTGTCGAAGTAGTACTTTTCCATCTGAAATTTTAAAATTTGAAAATTTTGACGGTTACCCTACCGTACCCAACTTACCCTATCCTACCCTACTCGAAAGCCTACCGTAGCATCTACAGTGGTCTATACTATTCCCTTTTTGAATATTCTTAGAACGACCCTAGTAAAGTACCAATTTTCACCAGAACTACAAAAAAAATTAATAAGCCATCTCTCATACCTACGTAACCAAAAAACCCTAAAACACAAGCACCCATCTCCAGATACTCCAAGACCATATCAAGACTTTAATCCTCTTCGTCTAATCACGATAAAACATGTTGGCGAACAAAGTGTACGGTAATCCAAGAATAATGGCGGCCGTAGGTAATCCAGGTATAGAAATCTTCAAATTTCTCATTAGAATTGGTTTTTCTTATTCAAATGTAAAATTAAATAATTCAAACAATTATTCTAATAAGTTATTCAAATACGGAAGGTAACAGAAAGCAAATGCCGAAATAGTAACAATAATAAAGTACAGGAAAGGAGGTACGTGCCATTTATATAAAATTTAACAATTCAATGTACTAAGTCAATAGAAATGATGTAGGCGTCTATGGACTACAAGATATTGCCTTCTATATACTTACTGTCTACCTATAGCAATATTTTTTACCGCAAAAGTTGTAAAAAACAGCGCTTTTTCATCAAAACTTATATTACACTTGATAAAACACGCAAAACTTCAAAAAATTAAAGTTTAGGCCTTAAAATTAATATTAGACTACCTAAAATTTTAACTAAACATAATAGAAGGCCTTATTTTACCAATAACAGTTAGTTTAGTCCAAAAACCTACCAAAATCCCTAAGAAATACCTAAAATAATACACTCATCATCAGTAAATCAAGCAACAAAACTTTAAAAGACATATTACCTGATTTCTCCATGGCTTCGTTATCAAAAATACATGAAATTCAATAAAATATTGTAAAGAATTTATTTCGCGACAAAATTTTGTTTTCGTCGCCCAAAAATTCTGACATAATGACGAAATTTCTATGTTTTTCCATCAATGGTTTAGATTTATAAAGCTTTATTAACTAAAAACATTAATAGAGGAACTCGATGATCAGGAGTTCCGCACGAATTGTTGATTCAGCTGGAAGGAGATTCAGACACATCTTTTCAACCTCAACAAGTAGGATAATATAATATTTTTGTTGGTTTTTCGGTGTTTAGGTAATGAACATCACGAGTAGCTGTTCCAGTTGAAGAACAATTGAAAAACGACGTGATTAGAGCTCGTTCAGCCACGTTACATTGTGGTAGCGAATTTAGCAAAACCAACTTGTGTTCAGCATTCGAACAAGTCGATCATAATTGGGCCATCGAATTTCTTTTTAATAAAAGGTCTGGCAGGCATAACAAAGGATTTTTAAGATTAGGGAAGGTTTTAGCTGAAGTTTAAAAGCGGGGATTGAATTTAGAAGTCATGATATGTTTTCTAAAGTTTAGATATAAATTTATGTGAAGGATAGTAATTAAAATACGAATAAGGTTGTTATCTTGAAGAATAATCTTGAGAATTTCAGGCAGAAGGTTTGTATAATGACCAAGGATACCATTTTTTGATATTTTCGGAGTTTTTTAATGTTTAAGATAAACAAAACCTTATGAATGTGAATGTGAAGCATTGAAATCTTAGATAGATAAATATAAAGTATTAAAAGCTTGGATAGATCAATATGAACCATTAGAAACTTAGATATGTCATTATGAAGCATTGGTATCAGTGATTTATAACTATTTTTATTTTCTGCAAACTATGCCTATTTATTACCTAAAAACAATCCCAAGAATATCCTAATGATATTCTATTGAAAAGTTCAATTTAATCACGATATATATTTGCGCATTTGAGTCGCAGTTGGTGCTAAAGTGCATAATTGGCACAAATGCGTGACTTTGCCAACTGAAAACATGTTGTTGTACTGGTTATTGGAATTGTAACGTCTGGATAAGGTTTTGTTGCGTGTTCGCTTGCGAACACTATGTGTTCACATCGCATGTTGCTACAAACTGTATGGTAAACATACCGTGCTGTGAACTATGATAAACACGAAGCCGTGATGTTGAATCGCCTCCGGCTATGCGCACTTGGTTTGGAGGTTGTATACGGCTATGAGATTGTTATTGGTTTTGAAATAGTATTACAATAACATTTGTATTAAGCATTGCACTTCAGTTGTAATCAGGGCCGGGCGCGAGGGGGGGGGGGGTACCCCCCCCAGAAAAAAAATTTTTTGAAAAAAGTTGAACGTGTTTCCCCCTGTGGATTTTCGGAAAAAAAATTTCGAAAAAAAATCGGCACAGGATTTTTTCGGACCCCCGCCCCCAGACCAAAAGTCCCCGTCCGGCCCTGGTTGTAATATCGTGCTTCAGCCAAAGTTCGTACGTTTGGAGGCTGGACATTTAGGCCGTATATAAACAATTTTATTATTGGTCTAGACCCACTGTATTCATAAGTATTACATGTGAGTAATAATGTATTTCATATTGTTATTACGCTTTGATATTACTAGTTAATGTAACTTGATATTGTTATAGCTGAACACCTTGTTGCTATCAGTTATTATAACTCTATCAGTGAGAATAAATTTTATATTTTTACCGTTGTTAACTTGGTTATTTTTACAGTCAGTAGATAGTGGCTAATACCATTTATCTTTACGGTTTGTACGTAAAGGCTGATACTTGTTATCTCTACAGCTTTACTATACTAAAACTAACTCAACTCGACTAACCTAGCTTCTCTAACTTAAAATAATATGGAGCTACCCCTCTTTAACCCTGTGGAATTCGAAAAACTTTACAACTGCACCTTGTACGATGAAGGCTACTTTGATGAAGCTCGAAAGCCAAACACATTTGTCGGATTCATTTATATGTCTACCGGGATGATTTATGAACTACTGTACATACCATGCTTGATCACGATGACTAAACCAAAGTTTTTTAAGACTTCGTGCTACAAGCTGATGTTTTTTATTGGTAAGGTTAATATCTTTCGATTAAAACAAGCACTGAAATTAAAAAAAAAAGTTTTTACTACTATTCTATCTTATTTATCTTATCATTTAGATGTATTATTACTTTAGGCCTAATTGACATTCTGACGATTCCATTCAATGCCACCTTGTATGGTTATTTTGCTTGGAACGGCTATGTGTATTGCGACAGTCCAAAACTGATGTACTTTTCGGGCGCTTTTACTACCGGTAAGTTACATGTAAAAGTTTTAAGCCTGAAATTTATTTTTAAGCCTAAAAATGGGTTTCTAAGTTTATGTTTTATTTTTAGACATAAAATTTTATTTTAAGCCTAAGATTATATTTTTAAGTGTAAATGTGTCTTTTTAAACCTAAACTTTTATTTTTAAGCCTAAAGTTTCATTTTGAAGCCTAATGTTCTATGCTAGGTGTAAAATTTCGTTGTTAAGCCTAAAATGTCATTTTTAAGCGTAGGGTTTCTTTTTTAAGCCTAAGAATATATATTTAAGTTAAAATTTTATTGTTAAGCCTTCGAGCCTAAATTTAAAAAAAATTACCTATTTTTATAAATTTCAGCCCTCTGGTGCGCAGCCAGTATGACCTGTGTCCTGCTAGCCCTGAACCGTCTGTGTGACATGATGAATCGAGATTTGATGGAACTTTTGTTCGCTGACAAACGAACCTTCGTATGGTTCATATTCCCTTGTCTCTACTTCTGTTACTTCTTTCTGTTTACAAAACCATTCATGTTTACATCGGCATTTCATGCTGGGTTTAGTAATCCCTACGTTGGTACCAAGTTTCATGCACAAACCGAAAACACGGTAAGAACAGGCGCAATAACATTGGTTTCACAAGGTTGTATTTTGTATTTCAGTGTAATAATTGGGAGTGATTATAATGGGAAAGTTGAAGATTGTTACAGAGTAATGTTTGACAGTTATTACAATGTAATTTTTGAGGGTTATTACAATGTAACATGTGGTACTTATTACAATGTAATTTTTGAGATTTAAGCTTGTACTTAGCCAACAAGCTATTAGTTTAGACTTTTTCTTACAGTACAGAGAACAGACAAGAATCATAATATAAATACAGCGGAATCCCTGTATAACAAATTCTTATATAACAAAAGCCTCATATCACGAACAAATTATAAATATTTTAGTTAAACAGTACACAATTCATTTAAAACTCTACATATAATAGTATACTGAAACTTCTTTATAAAGAACAGATTTAACCTGAGCAACTTTTCATACTGAGTTCCACTGTATTTTATAAAATTTGTAACCTAAAAACCAAAATTAAATTCATAAAAATTGATTTTTCAGTACATGAACTTCTCATTGATTGTGCACAATATCTGCATTCCAATCTTGATGGTCCTTATCTACACAATCATTTGCATTTTCTTGTTGTACAAAACAATGAGACATCGTGAAGGAGAACGAGGGTTGAGCAAGTATCAGAAATCGGTAAGTATCAAGAACATTTTATTTGGCGGTTGTTTTTAGGCTTGACCTTATATTTTTTTCACTTAAAAGTCATTATTTAATTTCTAAACCTAATATTAATTTTTTACACTTAAAACGTCAGTTTTAGCCTAAAGTTCCATTTTTAGCCTAAAGTTTTATTTTTAAGTTTACGGTTGTTTTTTAAGCTTAAAAGTTGATTATTAAGCCTAAACTTTAATTTTGAAACCTAACATTTCATTTTAAGCCTAAAATTTTATTTTAAGCTTAAAATATTATCTTTAAGCCCAAAATGTTATCTTGAAGCCTAAAATTCACTTTTAAGCCCAAACTTTCATTATCAAGCCTAGCTTTTACTTTTAAGCCTAAAATGGCATTTTTATGCCTATAGTTATATTTTTAAGCTTAAAATTTTACTTTTCAACCCAAACTTTCCCAAAAAACGTTTTATTCTTCAGGCAGTAACTCAATCAAGCATGTTGTGCTCCGTATTCGTAATGGCTCCAATGATCTATGACTACATGAACTACTTTGGTGCACCACCTTTCATGGTCGTTATTGGACAAATCTGTTGGCAGGGGTGCCATGGTAGGTCAATTTGTATAGTTTCTAGCTTATTTTTGATTAAATAAGTCCCGCTCTATTTACTTTTTGACCATTAAAAGAGTTTATATTAGCTTATATTGTTTTACTGGCCAAATGAAGGCAGTTCTATTTACTTTTTGACTATTATTTGGAAATTTAAAAAAAATAATCAAAAAAAGATTTCTTGAAATTTCGAGTTATAAAATTTAGATGTAAGTCTAAAACTCAACATTTCAGGCAGCGCAGTTATCATTTATCTTGTGTTCAACAAGACCTTGCGCGACGAGATGTTCAAACTTTTTTTGGGCGGAAAATTGAAAATTTCAATGTCAATTTCGAACGGACAAACTAATACTCGAACAGCATCGATGGTGCCACAATCAGAAATTTGAAAATCAACCTATATATTGATTTTGTAAATGCTGTAAACATTTCAATAAAGCATATTATCTTGATGTATAGTAGTTTAGGTAACAACAATTGAAACAATGACATTCTAAGCATTTACATTACTTACAAAGAGAGTACCCTACCTGCCGCGCTCTGATTGACTTCAAACTTTTTATATAGAAACAACATGTAAATATAAGATGTTCAGCAAACTACTAAATCGCGCTTTCCAGGGAATCACGAGAAAATCGAGATCAAAAAATTACGCTGTGGAAATTCCCGCCAAATTGGCATAGCGTTTTTAGCTTATAAATTTGCCATTTTTTGACTTTCAACTATTCTCTTCAATATACTAGTAGAATACCTTAAAATAAAACTACAATGTTAAACTTGTAAGCGTAACCTGTCTGTAAAGTCGAAAACAGTGTTTCAAACATAATGCCAAATTTGCAAAATTTTCGCGAAACTCAAATGTCTAAAATTTAAAACTCAAAAGCGCGAGCTAAAATTTTTATAGGTACTACTGATAGTACAAAGAATTCATATAGAAATTTTGAGTTGACTCTGAGCGGGGCTAATAAGTTACGTTCCCCATAAGTACGGTACACAATAGAGAAATTATAAAATTTGTATTTTAAGGCTAGAATGAGGTCAAAAAACTTACATACAAAACTCCCTTTGGCTCACGGCTATACGTTTTGGCTTGCCAAACAATGATTGCAAACTTACTTAAAACGAAGGTTATGGAAATTAATCTATTTTATCTTACAAGCATATCGCAGCAAATATTCTTTTAGTTTATGTATAAGAATATTGAGTCTATTGTAACTCAGTAGCCAAAGCCATCTAGTTGTTTTTAAAAATGGTTTTCTTGGTAACTTTTAATGCTCTTTCCTCATATGTGTTATAGGTCACTTACCCAGAGCTCAGAGATATAGGAAAGTCCTAAGTAGAGTTAGTTTGTGCGTCATTGAAAGTACTGTATCCCAAGAAGTAACTGTTTATTGTTATTGACATGTATTCTGTTTTAAATCTGCATTTCCTATAACTGTAGTATGTTATTCCCTACATAGTAAGTTATAGGTAATAATTTAACGCCCATTATCGGCCGCTCTCTTATTATTGATAATCCGCTTACTATGTCAAACAACTGCCCATTATATTGGCGGAGGTTATGTTATTCATACTTATATCAAAGATTAAAACTTGTTTTTGAGAGTGCTATATAGTATTCTTTTAACGTCATTTACGGTCAGAACTCCTCTTTATATAAGGTTCTATTAATGTGTATATTAGATGGTATCTGCTTCTAAATTAGCCAGTATCATAGCCTTTTATTAGTTAATACTATAGCTCCTTTATTGGCTAGTATCATCTTTTGTAACAATTGGTATCTACGTGTTAAATGCTCAGTATTGAGCTCAATATTAGCTAATTTAATACTGATTGCTATAACAATAAGTATTAAAGTCTGTACTATTCAGTACCAGTGTCTCTACTTTTGATAGCAGTTGGTACCATCTGTACTACTCAGTATCAGTACCTGTGTTGACCAGTATCAACTCGAGTATTAGCTAATATAGGACTAATCGCCATAACAGTTAGTACTAAAGACAGTACTACTTAGTACTAGTAATAGTATTATTCATGGCAGTTGGTATCAAAGTCTGTACTATATAGTACTAGTTTCTGTATTAACTAGTACTACAACTTTTAATTTGGTTAGTACTAGTAGAGACGTATATACCAGTCGGTACTATCTTCTGTCAAGAAGTATCAAGTTTTAAACTACTCAGTAGTAGCCCTTACATCAACTGGTACCTATTAACATATAATTCAGTACCATCCCCTATATATATCACTCAGTACAAACCAACCCTTAAAGATGGAATTACCATTGTTTAACTCAGTAGAATTTGAAAAGCTCTACAACTGTAGCTTGTACGATGATGGCTACTTCAGCGAAGCCAGACGACCAAATCCGCTGGTAGGATTTGTCTACATGACCACTGGTATAACATATGAGCTATTGTACATACCATGCCTTATCACTATGGCAACACCAAAGTTCTTCAACAACTCGTGCTATAAGTTCATGTTTTTCATTGGTAAGTACTGTAAAGTAAAAAAGTCATTAAAACTGGTATCTAATTGGCAATAAAACATCAAAATAAATTAGACATTAAGCTGAAATGGCATTAATAACTGCTTTATTAAAATATAAATTACAATATATAAATATGATTTTTAATCTTTTTTGATTAAAATAAGATTTTAGGCTTGATTGACATATTGACGATCCCTTTCAATGCCATTTTGTATGGATACTTTGCTTGGAAAGGCTATGTTTATTGCGACACCCCTGGTTTAATGTACTTTGCTGCTGCTTTTACTACTGGTGAGTTATCTATATTCTTGTACACAGGGCAGGGCATTGGTATTGGCAGATTTTCATGCTCTGCCTTGTGCCCTGCAGTGCCCTGCGTTTAAACTTATCTAAAAAAGAAAGCACTCAACCTGCCCCACGCAGAATAATTTCAAAATTTTTATATGAATTCTGTGTACCACTAATAGTGCTCATAAGAAAATTTAACTTCTTTTTGAGTTCTGAAACTAAAACAGATGTGTTTTTCGCTAATTTAGCAAATTCGGAAACTAGTATGGTACTAAATCGTACTAAAGTTTAAATTGGTATGGTTTTAAAATAACAGTACCATTTTGAGAGTTTAGTACCGTTTAGTACCAAAAAATATAAAAAAGTACCAATTTAAACTTTAGTACTATTTAGTATCATACTACAACTAACCTAACTAAAAAATAAAAAAAAACCCTTTAAAAAATCTGAAAATGTTTAAAACCCGCATTTATTCTAGCTCCTCAATCAGACCAGGGCAGATCGAGCACTTTCCTTGTAAGCTAGGTTAGAGCTAATTTAAAAAGGGTTAAACCGACAGACACGCCGAGTCCTATAGCTGGAATTCAAACCAAGACTATGCCCAATTCTTTTAAAAGCCTAGCTTACCTTGATTTATCACATAAAATTGAATTTGAATTCAAATATAGCTTTAGGTTCAAAAACTCAAATACAAAAAATTTTTTTTCTAATTTCAGGCCTTTGGTGCGCAGCTAGTATGACGTGCGTTTTGCTAGCCCTCAGCCGTTTGTGTGATATGATAAATCAGGAGTGGATGGAGAAGTTGTTTGCAGGCAAAAGAACTTTTATATGGTTCATCCTTCCTTGCTTTCATTTTTGTTACTTCTTCTTGTTTACTAAACCTTTCATTTTTACTTCGACATTTAATGCTGGTTTCAGTAATCCCTACGTTGGAACGGAATTCTTTGCACAAAGCGAAAACACGGTAAGAACAGGCGCATTATAAGATAGTTTCAGGGCATTAAGGGACAGGACAAGAAGAACAGAATAGAGTAGGACAGGGCTAGGATAGACTAGACTGAATTGGATGTGCCAGGACAGGGCAAAGTAAGCCAGAGTTGAGTAAGATAAGTTATAGTAGGGGTAGGTATAGTAGGTCAGAATACCGAACTGAATATAAATATACATGTTGAAGGGGGGTTTTATTGATTGTGCCGAGATTAAGATGAATAGGGCGATAGATGAAGGGTTGAGGGAGGGGTGCAAAAATCATTTTGGAGCAGGAGTAGTAAAATCTTTTTGGAGGAGAAGTAAAATAAAGAAAATTATCTTGAAAGGGTAGAAAAAAAGTTTGTGGAGAGAAAGCAAGAGGGTCGTCCCGGGTAAGGTAGAAAAAGCGTAAAATTCTATAGTATGTAAAGTGAAAGATATGATAAGTTAGGTTAGTTTGGTTTGGTATAAGCTTGTAATTAATGTTGATGTTAGCGAAGAGTAGAGCTTAGTTTAGGTGAGACTACGTGGGCTAGGGTAGGTTTTGGTAAGGCTATTGTAATGCTAGGTTTACACTGCGTTACGTTACGGTAGGGTAAATCTGGGTAGCGTTAAGGCTACAGTAAAGCGGTTGTATGGTCATAAATGGTTACGGTAGAGTAAAACTAGGAAACGACAGGGTAGCGTATGATAACTTAGGTTTGATTAAGGTAGGGTAGCATACAGTAAGGTACAGTAAGGTCTGGTAAGTTAAAATAGCGTAGACTTACGCAAAGTAAAATAGGGCTCAATATAGGGTATGGTAACGCAGGATAACAAATAAAACATGAGTAGAGCAAGTAAGGAATCTTAAGGTAGGGAAGGGTATTGTAGGGTAGGGTAGGGTAGGGTAGGGTAGGGTAGGGTAGGGTAGGGTAGGGTAGGGTAGGGTAGGGTAGGGTAGGGTAGGGTAGGGTAGGGTGGTAGGGTGGTAGGGTGGTAGGGTGGTAGGGTAGGGTAGAGTGATAAAAGTTCAACAAACATTGTTACAGTACACAAACATGTCACTAATGGTGCACAATATGTTTATTACGGTGTTTATGATATTGATCTATACCTTTCTTTGCGCTTGCATCTTTTACAAAACCATGGGACTTCAAGAAGGCGAACGAGGACTGAGCAAGTACCAGAAATCAGTAAGATTTTATGGTGAAAACTTTGGTGAAACAGTCCTACTTTTCCTTTATTTTTAGTTTTAATTTTTTCAGACTTCATAAAAGCATTGTAATATCGATGATATCAATAAAAAAGCTTCTTTAGGCAGTAATTCAGTCGAGTATGTTGTGTTTTGTATTTGTAATGGCCTCGTTAATTTATGACTATATGAATTACTTTGGTGCACCACCTTTCATGGTAGTTATTGGGCAAATCTGTTGGCAGGGGTGTCACGGTATGTCATTTTTTCTCTAAAACCTTCATTTTAAACAAAAAATTTAAATAATTTTTAGTCTTAAAATTGGCTTATTTATTTTTTCCATTTTTAAGCTTTAGACTCATTTTAAGCTTAAAACCAGTTTGAAGCCTATAGTTTTGTTAAGCCTATTCATTTTAAGCTTAAAAGTTCATTTTTAAACTTAACGTTTTAATTTTCAGTCAAAATACGTTTTTAAGCTTAACACTTAATTTTAAGCCTAAAATTCATTTTTCAATCCTAAATTTTCATTTTATGCCTAAAATTTTAGTTTAAGCCTAAAAATGAATTAAATATAAGGTTAAATTTTTGAACTTCATTTCCATACAAAAGAAATTTTAAACGTTTTTATGCTTGATTTATTAAGCTAAATTTTCATTATAAACCTGATTTTTCATTTTTAAGTTAAACTTTTTATTTTTAAACCTAATAACCAATTTAAATCTAACAATACGACGCTAACCTTAAAAATATGCTGTAACTTAAATTTTTTTTAAAAAATCAATTTTTTTAGGTAGCGCCGTAATAATTTACCTTGGATTCAACAAAACCTTGAGAAAAGAGATATTGAAACGGTTTTTAAATAGAAACTTCAAAATCGTAATGACCATTTCACAAAATGGACAAACTAGTAGTCACGTAACGCCTGCTCAACCTAAAATATGACTGACTTAAAAAATATTATTTTAATAAAAAATTTTAAAAAATGATTTTTTTCAAAATGTTTAAAAATTCATTTTCTATTTTTTTACTTCCAATAACAGTCGATTTGTCTTCTGGTGGTCGAATTATGGGAAAAGGCTCAAAGCGATCAAAATTCTCGAGAACGTCTTCGGTATTCAATCATGAAAAGTAAGTCTTTTTATTCATTTTTAAGCCTAACGTTTCATTTTTAAGTCCTAGAGTTCACCTTAAGCCTAAATCTGTATTTCTAAGCCTGAATTTTCATTTTAAGCCTAAACTTTATTTCAACTTTAAATTTTCATCTCTAAGCCTAAATGTTTATTTATAAGCCTAAAGTTTCATTTTAAGCTTAAATTTTTATTTTAAACCTAGCTTTTCTTTTTTAAACCTAAAGCTTCTTTTCTAAATCCTAAAGTTCAATTTAAAACTAATTTTTCATTTCTAAACTTAAACTTTATACCAAGTTTAAATTTTCATTTTTAACCTTAAAATTTCATTTTAATGTCTATAATTTCATTTTAAGCCTAGATTTTCTTTTTAAGCCTAAGTTTTCATTTCTAAACTTGAATTTTCATTTTAAGCCTAGATTTTCTTTTTTAAGCCTAAAGCTTCATTTTTAAGCCTAAACTTCATTTGAAGTTTAAATTTTAATTTCTAAGCTTAGGGTTTCATTTTAAAGCCTATAATTTTATTATGAAGCCTAAAAGTTTAAATTGAATTGTTAAAATTGATGTCCTAGTTCAAGACCTAAAGTTCATTTTAAGCCTAACTTTTTAAACTAAATTATAAAAATTGCATTGCTAAGGTGAATATTCCATTTTTAAGCCTAATTTTAAGCCCAAACATAGTTTTTTCAATTTTTTACTAATGCCATTTCTTAGTTCATCCGGTCGTCCAACTCTACTTCGTGTCGTCTACACGTACTACGTGGCCTTATTGTTGATCATTGGTGCAAGCCTGATCTTTGTTTCTTATGCTGGCTTCCTAGCCCTTCATGGCATATCAGTAGTGGCAATTCAGTTGTTCTACCTGATTCCTGGATACTGGGGAATCTTGCACGATCTCATGGGCTTCAGAACAATCTTTTTCATTTTGCAAGGTGGACTATGTATCCCTGACATTGCTTGGAGTATCGTGGCATTTGTCCAACTCAACTTTGCTATTGGTACTGCGCTGTGTCTTTGTGGCCTTGTTCAGGTACGTGTTCTTTACCCTACCCTTCAGTTCTGATTATCATTGCCCTACCCCTGCTTCTCAAGCGCTGGCAGTGCCTTACTCTAAATCTATCCTATCTTTACCTAATGTACATTACTTTCAATTTTTAGGCATTTTTCTTTCTCGTCGCGTACTTTAACCCATACATTTTGTGGCCCAAATTCCTCAACAAACTGTTGATTAGTTCATTAAACAAGCAAGAAGACAAAGACAAGGAGACACGTGCTAGTACAAGTAGTGCCACTTTGAACACCAACAATTGGGTAGAAACCGAGTTTTCGGTGAATTACAACGAGGATGTTCCAAGTAAATTCATTTAATTGATGTTTTTGTTTAAAAAACGTGTTTTATGACTAAAGTTTTAAATTTTTGTTTAATGCTCGTTTTTAGGCTTAAAATTTGATTTTTGTGCTTAAAAGTTCGTTTTTGCGCCCTACCTTTTACATTAAAGCTTAAAGTTTTTTTAAGTCTAAAGACTTACTTTTAGCCTAAAATACAATTTTAAGTTAGCTTCATTTTTAAGCCTAAAGTTTTATTTTTAATTCTGAAGGTTTTTTTAAGCGTAAAATATTATGTTTAAGCAAAAAATTTTAGTTTTAAGCCTAAAGTTTTATTTAAAAAGTTCAGTATTAGCTAGCAATTTTACTTAGAAGCCTAAATTTTCATTTTTACGCTGAAACTTTCATTTTTATCCTTAAACTTTAATTTAAAACATAACCATTCATATTAAAGCCGTTTTAAACCCAAAATTTTATTATAAGTTTCATTAAGCCTAAAATTCTGTTTTTAAACCAAAAATTCCGCTTCTTAACCAAAATTTCATTTTTAAGCCTAATCTCTTCTTGATTTTACTAGTTTTTTCTTTAGGCTGCCAATTCCAAGACGTCAGTGTCGAAATGGGCCAAAGACACCGCTCCAGCACTGACGAACCTGACTTTCCCCAAACGATACTTTTAAATCAGGATGGCCAGCAACAAGTCCAATACATGAAACCGGCTTCCATTTCCCAAGAAAACGATGCCAAAAGTATGCGACCAAGAATCGACAGCAATAGCACAATATCCTGAAGACAGCACTGTTTTGAATAGTATTTATGAGTAAAACAAGGCTTTAATAAAGTTGAATTGTTTAATTTTACAAAAATATGTGTACAATCGTGTATTAGTTGTTTTTACTTACTTTATATTGATATAAACATTCGTTTCATTGGTCAAACATACGTATAGAACGCGTAACAATATTGAACTTGTTCTCAACTCACTTGTTCTAACCATCCGTCGTTGAAGTAGACATTTGTTTCCTTGCCAAACCTTTGATTCAATCCTTCGTAAAGTAAAATTATGTTATTCTAGAGTCTCGAGAAACAAAAAATAAAAGAAATCATAATTTTAATCATTTTGTGACATTTCGCTTTCTTATTGATTTTTGAATAGGATCTGGATTTTTCTGAAACTGCTTCATCGATGTTTTTCAATGTAAAATGAATGGAATAGTAAATTTACTATTCCATTCATTTTATTTGCGTAAATGTTAGAGTGAGTCTATTTTTTTAATTAATTTAATGTTTAGGACACTCTTCTCGATGAATCGAGCAAGATTCAGCGAATCCCAGGCTGAAGTTTCATGCTCTCAACGCAATCACACGTTTCAAACCGTTCATGGATAAAATCGCAGCTTGTAACCATTAAGTTTGAGCTATTTGACAATCGAAAATGTTACTTTAGGTCTTTGAAACGTTTTTGTATAGTTTTATATATTTTTTTAAGACTTTTAGGCTTATTTTTGTTTTTATTTTCGATGTTTCAGACTACAACAATATCGGCCTGAAATGTTGAATTTTTGAGCCGGCAGAGAAGAAAGTTATTATTATACTTTGACAAAGGATTTATTTAGAGTAAGCTTGCGAAATTCGAGCCCCAATTCAACTTATTCAAGACAATCATCTTTCAAGGCGCTCATGGATAATATCGAAGCAGGCCTGCAGATGAAGGTGGTGCTAGTTCTAAAGACGCATATGGGTTAGGTAATTAATTTTTTGATTGGATTTTGCATTTGGTCTGCCAAAGTATATTGTTTTAGGCATTCCTAGGTTTTAAAACAAACAAAATATATTGTTTTAGGCATTTAGAGGTTGCAAAACAAATAAAAACTAAATAAATTATGTTACCTTCGTTTTTCCCATCGCAGTAACTTTTTTTTGAATTCACCGAATAAAAAACAAGTAATTTGCAACGAAAAGCTTTAAACAGAGAGAGAGAGTGTGAAAGGAAGAGAGAGACGGAGTGGGAAAGAGACGATTTGACGAGAAATTAGCGGAAAAACAAGAAATTCCAACAAAGGCCAAAGGGAAATGACAACTACCTTTGTTGGAATTATTTTCATTTATTACCTAAAATTAGGTTGACACGCAAAATGCGGGTTTTGTTTGTGTTGAGTTTGTTTGTTGTTAGTGTTGGTGCTACTGAGTATGGAAGGTTCTTTCATGGGTTCGATGGTAAGTTAGGGAATGCTTTGTATTCTTTGAAATCTTACTGTTAGGATGGGATAGGGTAGAGTAGGAAAGGATAGGGTAGGGTAGGGTAAGGTAAGGTAAGGTAAGGTAACGTAAGGTAGGGTAGGATAGGGTAGGGTAGGATGGGGTAGGATAGGGTGTTAATGAACAATAAAACCTAATGTCATTCCAAACCAAATAAAAAATTTTAGAAAAAGCAGAATCCATGCTTCAAAACTTCACTAGTGGGCTGACAAAGAATGAAACAGCGATATTTCTGGACATTTTTGGAAGTCATAAAGATGATGACAGATTGGCTGAAAATGAAGACTTGTGGAATCAACCAGAAGTGGTCGATAGACTTGTTATGTTAACCGAAGAAATCTTGGAACAACTTAACGTTAGCAAGGACTTGAATACCTATTTTAGCAAGGTAGAACATTTCAAAATGAAAATTTAGTTTTTAAAAATTTTTTAATATTTTTTTAATTTCAAAATTTTTTGTATTAGTTTTAAATTTCAAAGCTTTAAGCCTAAATTAAGAAATTTGAAAAATTAAAAAAATTTTGGGGCTAATGAAGAAACGTTACCCAGTGCATTATCGTTCCCAACGGTGCATAATCGTTTTCCCAATTTTTATTCATTTTTACATTTCAACACCGAAAAAAAAAGGAATAAAAAGCCATCATGAAAGTTTTCACATGGGGGAATGATTATGCCTTTACGAGTGGGGAATGATTCTTCGGTTTTGGGGGAACGATTTTGCATGAGCACATTTAAATAAAAATATCTGAACAAATGCTGAATGACATTTTGCTCTTACAGAGTATTCCACCAACAATAGAAATGGCTAAAAACCAAATTGTAAACTCGCCAGTCGCTAGAGAAAAGACAAGAAAAGCTTTGTCATACATTATGGAACTTTATGACAAATTGAGCACAGAGGAGAAAGCTATTGTTAAGGAAGTTGATGAGATGACCGTACTTTTGCTTGAACGTGAGTCGATTTTTTTTAACTGACGTGGGCAATTGATAACATGAAAAAATGGGCTGTCTTTATACTTGGCCTCTTTTAAATTTGCATATTGCAGTTCCGAACCTGACATCCTTTTTTAAGTCCCTTAACCTCAACGTTCAGTCCCAAACGTTGGGCCCCGAAAGTTCCTAACTCTTTCAGGTCTAGAGTACTAAACTTGCTTGTCAAATTACTCACCCCTAAAATTCCTGACCTCTAGTATACTACTAGCTAGTATATAATACTAAAATTACTTGTCAAGACTGATAACAATAACAAAAATCTATTCTTAAATAAACGACTCAAACACTTGTAGATGAGGGCCTCCGTTCCCAACTGAAAGAAACCGAAGAACCTAGCACAACAATGGTTTCAACTACAGAAACAATGACAATGTTAAAAACAAACCGCGTTTCGAAGCCAAATTCTGCGTCTTCTATCAAATTGACATTGTTCATGCCTGTTTTGTCATACTTGATTGTCACTCATCTTTTATAAGTACGTTTATAGGTTTTCAGCTTTTGGTGTTAGTACAAATTAAGAAGGAAAGGACTCGATTTGCAGGTTGGGTACTTTGCTTATATCAACTATTTATTTAGTGTATGTACATTTTGCAATTTTTTCAAAAAATAAAGTTTAACTATTGAATTTGAGCTTTGTAAAGTAAGTTACAGAGAAGCGTTTTAGTTTAGACTTTTTGTTTCAAAAGGTTTTGTTAATCTCTAAAACTTTGTCATAATATAGTCGTTCACTATTGAAACGAAAGTGAAAGGTGAAATGATAATGTAAAGTAATATTTTTGAAAAAGGAGATATCTAAATAGGAAAACCGTTTTATTTAAATAGCAATCGTTTATTTTGATTATCGTATTTTACTATTGCTAAATAATGCCGCTAGATGCGTTATAATGTGATGTATTACATACCTAAGCGAATAAGAATAACTGTTCTTTTAATCATTGTTTTTTGCTTTGCTACTACAAATCTAAGGCATCTACCATCATCTAATGAAGATAATGTCTTATCACCTAATGAACTTAGCCAATCTTTTATCACAAAACATGTACTATCAGTTCATATAAAGAATGCTCAATCGGATATACACAATGTCAAATCAAATATACACAATGCCGAATTAAATATACAAAAAGTCCAATCAGCTAATATAGACCAAGTACTATCATTTAATAAAGACCAAGCAGTACGTTTAAATAGAGATTTTATATCAACATCAGAATCAAAGTATTTCTACTACAACCATTCCAAGTACTGCGTGTTCTACAATTACCTAGAAGCTGAAGGTTTGTCAGACGCTTCGAAGAAAGAAGAGATTACCCTAGCAGTACATTCTACTGTACATTATATGCATTTGTTACATAGTCAGGTAACAATGTTTAGTTATATTTTTGAAATTGAAAATTTTAGTATAAAAAAATTTTACAACTTGTTTAGACTGTCATAACATTATCAACTTTGTATCGAATAAATGCTATTTTAAAACCAATTTTAAGGTCAAAACTTTTGATGGTTTTATAAGCTATGCAGTTTATGTAGAACGATCTAATGTTTTACTTATTCGAAACTTAACATTATATTGGAATTGTGTCATGGAAGCTAACAAACGAGTGTCGGTTCATCTCGTATGGTCAAAAAGTTTATTCAATGAAAAATGTTTTGTACCATCAAAGTATAAAGTGCACCAACAAGAATGTGAAGGCTTTGATGTTAAGGAAAGTAAGTTAACTAACAAAATGGCAAGGATTTTCTTTGCAGAACAAACAATGGCAAGAACTTTCTTTACAAAACAAACAATGGCAAGAACTTTCTTTACAAAACAAAAAACGGCAAAAACTTTCCTTACAATCAAAAAAATGGCAAGAACTTTAATTACAAAGCACAAAATAGCAAGAACTTTCTTTGCAAAATAAAAAATGGCAAGAACTTTCTTTACAAGATCAAAACGGCAAAAACTTTCTTTACAAAACAAAAATAGCAAGAACTTTCTTTACAAAACAAAAAAAAACTCATTTCAATAACCTTTTAGTCCTACCAAAATGGTCGACCCCGATCATGTTGTATCCAATCAACTTTCTTCGTAACATAGCAAGAAAAGGTGCTCAAACAACCCTTCATATCGTTGCTGATATTGAAAACATCTTTTCTCAAAATTTCACGGCAATGGTAAAGAATGAAACACAAAAACTGTTGCAATCAAAAGAAAAATATGTTTTAGTCTACAGAAGGTTTGAAACATCAAGCAAAAGTCCGCCACAAAATGTTATGGAATTACAAAAGCTGCTGAGAACGAGAAGGTAAATTGTATACAGTTATGTACAGAGCTTTTACAAAAATTATCATATAATAAGCAACTTTTAAATCGTAACTTAACACCATACAATGCATTTAAAACTTTTATATAACAAAATTGTTTTATAAACTCTTAGCCGAAAAGCTAAAATACGGTATTTTTACAACATAAAATGAAGGTTTCCGCCCGACCAGGCCAACATTAAAGCTTTAGATACTGTTTTTTGTGTATCGTATCGTGAATAAAGGCCAAAACCAACGACGACAGAACACCAAGTGAGGTCTTATAAAGAAAGTGAGAAAGAGTAGACCTAGTACTAGGAACATAGGTGATAAGATATATAAAGAAAACGTAGTAAAATACAGTTATAATTCACTTGTAGTATTATTTTTAGAGCGAACATATTTCACAGTCATATCTTTCCTCGAGGCCATTCCATCCCAGAGCTCAAGAATTGGATTCAGTATTCTGTGGCTACAAACATTGTCACTAGCTGGCCATTGCAATATAAGTAAGGAAAATAAAAATCCAGTTTTTTGGTTTTGTAAAGAATGTTCTTGCCGTTTTTTGTTTTGTAAAGAAAATTCTTGCCATTTTAGTTTTGTAAACTAAGTTTTTGTCTTATTTTGCTTTGTAAAGAAAATTTTTGTTTTTTTTTGTTTTGTAAATAAAGTTTTTGCTTCTACGTTACGAAGAAACCTTTTTTTTATTTTTAATCCTATATTTGTAGACACAAATCGTGGGAACCGCAATTTATAATGAAAAGTGGTGCTCCATATCACTTTGAAATGCCCACTAGAGTATATGATCATCAAGTTTTGGTAAGATATAATTTTTTTAGAAACAACTAACATTTTGTAAACAAGTCCTTGTTTTGATTTTAAACCAATATTTCAGGTCCAAGAACTCTGTAGAGCTGGCTATACTTTTAGGCTTCTGACCCATGTTTTCAACACTCATTTAGGTATGAAAACGGAAATGTCGGATTTGGAAAAGGCTATCAAACGTAGTAGTAAATTGAAAGCGGCCGAAGCAGAAGAGCGCTTCAATCTTTACTTGAATACTACGTATGGTAATGACAGTATTGATAAGTGTCCTAAAACTTACTGATCTTGATTAGTTTTACAGTAACACACACTTATTACGCAATCCCTTTACTCTACCCTACCCTACCCTACTTAACCGTGTCTTATCATGCTCTATCTTACTCTAATTCTTAATATTCATTACCTGCCTAGTAACCTTATTAATTATTATACTATTGTACCTATTATATCTGTAATCTTACTGTCTTCAGATTCCCCAGATCATTAACTGACCTTTGTAATACCATTTTAAAATATTATTAATGAATTCATTATAATTGAGAAATCTATTGTGGTTACTGTTTACAAACAGCCTATTAAACTTTAATATTACTTTTAACTTGGCATTATAGTCATTATAGTTTACTATCAGTCTATAATAAGTCATTATAGTCAGTTAATATAGTAATTGTAGTCAACATATTGTAACTTTGTGATAATTTGTAACCAGTAATATTTTTATAATAAACCAAAAACAATAACACTGTTACAGTTTTTTGTTTATATTAACTTAATGCTAATGTAGTCTACAGTGTTGTATTTTCGTGTCTTTTTATATATTGTGATAAAGTTTTTAAATAATTTTTAAGGTTGTTGCTATAAGGTTGAGCCAAACGTAGCGGGATGCTTTTCATGTATTTTCAATTAAAATTGGCTGGTTTAAGCCTAGTTGAAAAGCCACGGCTTAAACGGTTTCTTTCGACGGCTCAAACGGTTGTCGGTTGGGCACACGTGACTCAAGAGCCAGGATGTACCTAAAGCCTGAGTCTGGAGGGTAGACTAGAAAATTGGGCTTGGCCCGACTTCTTTACATGTCTAAATATTATACAACGCGTTAAGTTTACATTCTGCCAGCGTCTACAATTATTATACAATTTGAAAGATCTATTAACTAGGTTAGGTTAGTTGATCATTTGACGCCGTAGATTGTCACGCACTATATTGATGTGCAAGGCGGTTTAAAGTTTCAAAGTCCAGATGAAGACCAATGGAGCTATCCTTGTGTCTGATGTTGCCCACAATTGGGTTTCGTCCAAGGTATTTCACTGTTTCTCGAGTTACTGACGTGTGAGCCGTGGATCAGGTGCTCCATAAGTCTACAATCACATACCCCGTGTAGGTCAAGTAAAGAGGTGTTTAATCTTTGCGCACTCAGCACTACCCATTCATTCATCATGGCGCCTGGGTTAGATTTAAAAAAAAACACTACCGTATACGCCAAAAATGCTTAACGTTTATTTCTAAACAACCAGCTTACTCTTTCTTAATATTATTCTGGTTTTACTATGTTAATAATAGTATTACATAATCGGAAGTAATCTAATTTCAAACATAATACTTAATCTATTTGTAGTTATTATAGCTTACTGTGTTTTATTCAGGTGTATACATGTAAAAACCCATTTTCTATGTTTCGAAATAAAGGTAACAACTTTAAACATAATACACAACACATTTTTAATCATGTACCTGAAAATTCTTAAGACGATTATTTATGGCATTTACTTAGTGCGATGTATTCTGGAAAAGTGATAATATGTTTGTACTAAACAAATGATCTTCTTAGTAACAACTATTTACGCATATGCTATTATAGTTGCAAGAAAGCTTAAAGGTTAAGTAGATAAGAATAATAGGGGTTACTTCACAGAATCTCACACTTGTTTAGTATAGTACCCTATGCGTAAGTAAGGATATTACTTCCTCGACTAAGAAGGACGGGATGACATAGTAATAATACTTCCTTGGCACAGACGCTCAACTTATGTTGGGATTAACTTAGTTTATTTAAAAGAAACATTCTTATAGTATCTTCTCAAAGTTATGTTTATGTCTTGTAGGCTTTGAACAGAATCTTTGTTGAGGTGACAATTGTCAGTGGAGTTCCCTCATAAGTGTTTCTAGTTATACCTAACTAAATGATAATATTCCTCAAGCTACCGAGGCGTATGAAGGTATTCACTTCTAGGATTGGCTACAAGGCAGTGTGCCTTGTGTCCTGTCTTGAAATAATATTCGGAGATCGTTTAAAGCTGCTGCAAAGAAGTTGTGTAACAAAAGGATACGTTTAATTAAAGTGGTTATACAAGCGGCTAATTGTTAGTGTATATATACAGTACTCTCTCTGTATAAGCAACCCAAACCGGTATTTTGTGTTTACTATAGGAAGTGTTATCTTTACAGAGTCACGTTTTAGTGTAAGTTGACTTGGCGAGACCTAATTTTTTGTTGTTTATGAGGAGAGTTGCTTATACAGATGGTTCACTTAGAGAGCCCACATTTCACTAGAGAGACCACCGTATATAAATAACTTCTCGAGAGAGACCACCGTATATAAATAACTAGAGAGACCACCGTATATAAATAACTTAAGCTTTTTTAATATTGACTGTGTAGATATTTAAAAATACTCAATAGTAATCATATTAGCATAGCTCACGTCTTTAGCTCTCAGAGACGATATGCAAACTTAACTTGATAATTATAGTGTTGCTATAATTAGAAAACGAATTTTACAAATAATAAATTATATTAAACTGCAGACACCTGCATAAATGATGGTTAAACTTTAACTTTTCCGAGAATGTTGTAGTAGTTACATTGTATATTTTAAGCATACTCAAAAGTCAAAGACTGTTGTTTTGTTTGTCATATTTGATTTGTCGTGGAGTATTATAGTGTCGGCCATTCTTTATTAAACAAATTAATACGTGTTACTTACATTGTTGTTTTATGCTACGTTTAGTCTAGTAAAGTAAAAATCACAGTTAGTTTGTTCCAGAAGATGGCACAATGGACAGACGTACTTATATTCATTATGAAAACTAATGATGCCTTTGCTATGACACTTGGTTTGATATTTAACTCATTATTGTTATACACGATTTGGCGACTACGGAAGACTTATCGCGGAAACTACAGTAAATTGTTCTTGATTAGTGCCGTTTTTGACTGGGTTTTGAGTTGGGAAGAACTATTGATCCAACATGTAAGTCTAAAGTTGTGTTGTCTTTGATATGAACGTAAGTTTGGGTTTGGATGAAGAAAGGGTAACATCGTAAAAATAATTTACAATAATGCTTATTATGTTTCAGGATTTGCACGTAAAAAACCGTGTCATGTATGTAATGGGACACGGTATCGAGCATTTGTTGCCTCACGACACCTTTCCAATTTTCATGTTACCGCATGCGTTTTTCACAATACATGGCGTATTCATACTGGCAGTTCAGTACCGCTATCGGTATATTGTGATGACTGAGTGGGTTTTTTGTTCATTAATAGGCTTGTCATTACTTATGAATTTAAAAGCGCCTTATCCTACCCTACTCTAACATACCCTATCATACATTACTCTGTCCTAACTTACTCTATCCTATCCTACTCTACCCAAATACTTTTTCTAACTAAAAAAGTTTAGTTCAACAGCCTCAGGCCGTCATCTAGCCAAAGATCTTGCGATATCAATATCATGTGGCATTATCGTAGCCTGTGGCCTATGTTACGGTACTCATCAAAGCCAAAGCATACCATGGCACGTTTGGAGGAATAACATCAAAGACGACTGGATTGGAGAGTATGGGGTCGAAGACTTTGTTTACGCTTCAGATTTGCGTTTCTCTGGCACAAAAATCTATTTCGCGTTAGGCTTGACCTTCTCTACAATAACCTTATCACTGGTGGCTTATTATGCTTATAAGGCGTGGAAGTTTGTAAATCCAGAAAATACAGTATCCAGTAGAACCAGACATCTACAACAACAATTTACTAGAACTTTGATAGTACAGACTTGTAATGCTTTTTGTTTTTCCATGTTCCCTATTACTATGAATGTCTGTTTGGTACTGTTTCGGCCTCCAGGTGATTTGTACTACTCAGCTTTTGTCATGCCATTAATTTCATGGCTACCGGCCGCTAATGGCTTTATGACATTACATGTTGTCAAAGAGTTTAGACGGTTTGTATTGAATATGTTTACTTGTGGTCAGTTGAAGAGGTTGGGCAAGATTAGTAGCTACAATTTTCATGGAACTACGTCTGGACATGGCTCTACTCATCTTAAAAATAGTCAGACTAATCGACATCACGTTATTTAAATAATCAAATAAATAATAAGATAAATAAAGTAATAATACCGTCTTGTAAAGTTCATTTTTTAATAGTTCCTAGCTCTAACTCTAGCTCTAGCCTTAGCTCTAGCTCTAGCTCTAGCTCTAGCTCTAGCTCTAGCTCTAGCTCTAGCTCTAGCTCTAGCTCTAGCTCTAGCTCTAGCTCTAGCTCTAGCTCTAGCCCTAGTCCTAGCTCTAGTTCTAGCTCTAGCTTTAGTTCTAGCTAGATATAGCTATAAAACATGTTTACTTGATGGTATCTCTTGTTTGGCCATAAACTTGAAAGTTACAAAAACAGGGTAGTTTATTATAAATTCAGCCACTTTTATTGGGATTCTGGATTTGGCATCCACTTTGTTTGATATGGTAAATAAAGCTTATGTGGTCAACAACAAACAGGATAATGGTCACTCAAAGGAATTGTTTATACTGCCACTTTGGCTAACAGTTTGGTTTTGTCAATCTTATTTTGGTTTAAATTTTAAAAATTTAAAGTTTTTTTAAAACTAATATTTTTTGTAGGTTGAACCAAAAAGAGCGGGACACTTTTTATTTACATATTTTTCAATCAAAAATTGTTTCGCTACTTTTGATTCAACTTCCTAATAGCTTATGTTTGACGTTAAAAACAGGTGAGGTAGGACTGAAGGGGTAGTGTAGGGTAAGGTTACATAAGTCTAAAGTAAAGTTGGTGGGGACTTTAAGGTAAAGTTTGAGCTAGGGTTAGTTCAAGAGCAAGTTTTGGGTAAAGCGAAAGGAAGATAGGGGCAGTGACTAGGGAAAAGTTTAAGGTAGGGCTAAAGAAACTAATTTTAGATTTTTTTGCAAAATTAACCTAAAATCACAAATATTATTGTTTTTACTTTGCAGGTTTATAGTAAAGTATGTGTTATATTATCGTACAATTAGCGTTTTGGTTTTACCATGTGATTTTGTAGCCTTGCGTGTAAGAATTTAGTACCAATTCCTTTTCCTTTTTCTCAAAATATTGTGAAAGATTTCAGAAAACAAGTTTCTCACGTATTACATATGTCATGATAACGATTACAATTGGTAGTGTTGTCATTCTACATAATTCAAACATCGGTTAAACTTGCATGGTTTTAGTAGATTTTTTCATTTTTTCTCAACTTTGTTATATTTTTAAGGCGGAGGGTAGCGTAAAGTGATTTAGGGTGATTTAGTAGGGTAGGAGGACTTTTGACTATAATAGCTGATGCTTAGCTCATCACAGTATAACATATTATGTGCCGTATGAAAAACATTTTTTTTTGTGTTGAGGCTTTTGTAATTAGTTATCTAAAAAAATGCCGGATTCTGTTAAACCATCTTTGGCTTTGTTTTGTTAATTAATCATACCATTGATATGCCCAAAAAATAAATTTTGGACAGACGGGTAGGATTAAACATGGTTAATTAAAACATAACATTACGTTTGATACGGTTTATATATTTGTTGAAAATTGGCAGTATTTTTTTTGTGTTGTATTAATGTGCTGATGAGGAGTAGACTGTAAGGTTGTTAGTGGTTTTCAAAAAGATACTGCTTATCACAGTCGGTGTACCGTACAAGACAGTTCGGTCTAATTTTAGTCCGATAGAGAAGAGGCAGGGTTTAATACATAGTTATTGTACAGTGCTGTTTGATGGTTGGATTCTTAGTTTCATTGAGAAGAGATACTGTTTAGTATAGCTTTTGTACTGTGCTAAGCAGTACGTAGAATTTTTAGGCGTATTCGGAAGGGATACTAGAATAATACTTAAAACGTTCTTTGTGTTGGTCTATCCAAAACCTCTACAATACAGTATGACAAAGGTGGATAATGAGTTTTACGTAAATATAGATTTGTAATAAGAAATGTAACATTCGGGTTTTGGTTTACAATTAAAGTACAAAAAATGACGTGGTCATCAAGTTCTAGTTGTAAAAAACAAAAAAAGACACGGAAGGCCTGTAGATGAAGTTAATCACGTTACACGGTCACGTTATATAGTACTATTGGTTAGTCTGTCAATTGTGTAGACAGACCTCGGTAATACAAATTATAAACCTAGCAGGAGGAAGAGAAAAAAACGACAAGTGGAATACAGAGAGAGAGTTAGGATAGAGTAAGGTAAAGTAGGGTAGAGTAAGGTAGAGGTACGGTAGGGTGGGCGAGTAAAAAAAATTAAGTTATAGTAAAGTAGAATAAGGATCTTGCTATTCTTCTTGTGTTTTATGTAATTTTACATTGGAAAATATACTGTGTCATAGCTTCTACAGTAGCCAATACTTGCAATTTTTATATATTTTGCATGTACCGCACAATAAAACGTAATACAGCACGTACTAGAGGCATTCCTGCAAAGACTTGTGACATTTGTTATATAATTTACGTAACTATTAAAAAGGGATCATACACACATAACTTGATTATTTTTATGCAACCTTATTAAAGCCCTCACACATCCAAAAGTTGAAAAAAACCTTTTATAATATTAATAGAACGTGAATTATTGACACATTTATGTTATACGTTTTCCTAGATTACTAACCATTTTATTACTATATAGTTTACATCAGTTGTGAAATACTATTTTTTAGCTAAAAGAGCAACATGTTTGGTCTAAAATGGACTGTTTTGGTGCTTTCTGTTGGTAAGTTTGATATTACTGTAAATCTCCTGTAATCAAGCTTCTTTATAACCAAAACCGCTTATATTAGTTTGAACCAAAAAAAGCGGGCCATCTTTCATTTGTTCTTCAACTAAAAACTGTCCCGCTACTTTTAGTTCAACCTAGTAACAAAAAGATTCAAAATTCTAGAGCAACTTGTCATACAGAAGTTCTACAGTACATATTTATTACTTTCAGTGTGGGCCCTAATATCATCAACCACAGCAAATCCGTTTCTGATGAGCCGTCTTCCATCAGCGTCAAACAGAATGGTCTATGCCCTACGGGTAAGCTTTGACGACAACATTTTTCTATATGTTCAACATTAGACCTGTTTAATGACTTTATGCCTAAAAATTTTTAATTTATTTTTTGAATCTTTATTTTAGACGGGAGAATACGAAAAAAGAGGAGCTCCTAACAACAACGAGCAGTTCTACAAACGTGGATTGGATTACGAGGATGACGTAGGTTTTTACTAGTGTTAGCAGTTGCACCAACTGTGCTTTAGGGTTTTACAACAAGACTTACTATTATATAGGATGAAACAGCATACGAAGTTACCTAGAAAATTATTTCAAAAACTGCAAAATGATTTATGCTTGCGAGTTACATTTGTATTCTTATATGTAGGTATAGCTTTAAAATTCGAAAAATATTATTTTTTAAAACACATTTTTTCTTAAAAGTAATTAAAAGCAAAAAGCGGGACTAAAAATGTTTTTTATTCTACATATTGTTTTGGCTTACTAAACTGTCTTGTTATAATGCCAAAACGCTATTATACATGTTTCAAGCGATTCGTTTTGCTTAAGACGAATAAGAAGCGTTTAATAGCACATGTAAATTCTTTGGCCGCTAATATTTTGCTTGCCATGAACATTTAGAGGTTTTTTAAATTGATTTTCTTAGTGAGTTTTTATGCTTTTTCATTTAATATAAGTCTCGTTCTAAACTCCTATGGATATTTTGTGCAACTCGCTTGTTAGGCTTAACATTTGCCTTTTATTAAATTTTTCGATTTTTAAAATTTCAAAATAAAAAAAAATTTTTTCAAATTTAAATTTTCAGAGCCTACTACGCTTCGGAAAGTAACAAAAAACTCAAGCCAAAGTAAAGTTTTTTGTATTTTGTACACATTTGGACACGTCCATAACAACTATCGACACAATCAATAGAGCATACCACTATTACCTTTATCATTGACTCATACTTGTGTTAAGATTGTACTTCCTCGTATAATAAATGTCATCCTAATAAATAAATTTTTCAAAAAAAACGTGAGAAAATGTTTTTTTAATTCATCATTTTTTATTAAAAATAGGCTTGTAAAAAGGGCTTGGTTGCAACTAGTGGGTCAACCTTTTGGTCTAATTTAAAGAGCTTGGAAAAGTGATAAAAAACAACATATTTGAGAAAGTAAAATGATTTGTCTAGCCAAAAAAACTTTTTTTATTTTAAAATTGGAAAACGTTTTTTTTGTTTTAAAATCTATATATTAAGCTTAAAAACAAAAAAAAATTGAGCTTAAATTTATGCTTAAAAATAAAAACTAAGACTTAAAAATGAAAATTTAGACTTAAAAATGCAACCTTAGGCTTAAAAATAAACTGTTAGAACTAAAAATAGACCTTTGGGCCCAAAAGTAATGTATTAAGTTTAAAAACAACCTTTTAAGCTTAAATATAAAATATTAGGTGTATAGGGAAACTTTAGACTTAGTAATGAAATTTTAGGTTTACAAACGATAATTTAGGCTTTAAAAGGAAAAAATGTAGTTGTTGGCTTAAAAACAAAATTTTAAGCCAAAAAATGAAACTAAGCATAAAGATAAAACTTGGGCTTAAAAATAGAATTTTAGGTTTAAGAACATGATCTTAACTCTAAAAGTTCATTTGGCCCCTCAGACGTAAGATTGAAGATTACTGTTTGACGTCATTTCCGCCCCACTGTTTAGCAGTTTCATTGTTATCAAAACTTTAAGCTTATTAAAAATTCGTGTCTTATCACACGCTTTTATGACTGCTTTTTAAAATGCTTTTACTTTTGGGGCATGTATATGTTTATTGTTCTTGCAATATTCGTTCTTAGACCGACTGTTGGCCACAACATTTATGGTCGCTTCAACAAAACGGCTCTTCAATGTTATTATGGTGGGTCTTTTACAATTTTTACGTATTAGTTTGTTCATATAATTCTACGTTTGCTCACTACAAAAATTTGATTTAAAAAGAGTTCAGAATTATTTGAACAGACTAATAAACTTTTTTACATAATACATTACATAGCTGTTATTTATAAAACCTGAGAGTATGTGGTGTTTTAGTTTGCTCATTCTGTCTTGTCTTGTTCCCTGTCTTCTCCTCTCTTGTCTGTCCTGTCCTGTCCTGTCCTGCCCTATACTGTCCTGTCTTGTCCTGTCCTGTCCTGTCCTGTCCTGTCCTGTCCTGCCCTGCCCTGCCCTGCTTTGCCTTGCCCTATCCTGTCCCGCCCTGCTCTGCCCTGCTCCGCCTTTCCTTGCTCAGCCCTGTGTTACTCTACTTTGCCCTACCCTACCTGACCCGTCACTCTCGTTAATGTAATTTTTCTCATATTTTACTCTACTTTACTTGGCTTTACTTTGCTATTACATAGTCCCTTCTCATCCCTTTTAAAACCTTAATTTGCTACTGATTTAAATTTTTCTGAGAACGAGGGTATCTTATCTTAATTTTTTTATTTTACATTTAAGGTGAAGCAAAAGACATAGTGTTGTTGAAAGTACAAGCCTGTGAATCCAAATACTGTTTAAATGTGTTTGACGCTGATAAGCAATATCATATAAGGTAAATTGGATAACGACTTGTAGGTTCCCATTCAGACCTACCTTTTTAACACTAAACAAGGATCACTACAATAAGATTATTTTTTGTTTTGAATACCTATTCTTAAAGTTTTAGATCCTGTGACACAAATGAAGAATGTAAAGAACACGGCTGTCATAGAAGATTTAGGCATGATCCAGACTACAGAGAGACAATTTGTTGCTGCAGAACAGATCTGTGCAACTCTGCCACAAGCATAATAACACACTTTAATTTTTTTTTGTCTATTTTGGCGCTTACTTTTGTAAATAAACTTTTTAAATTTTAAAGTTTGTAAATAGTCAAAGCTATGAACTGCTGAGGTAAGGTATAAAATAGAGTAAAGTAAAGGGAACAGTAAGGGCTAACCAAGTTTAACGCTAGGATAAGAGATAAGCGAAAAGCTAGGGCTAGAGCGAGAGCTTAAGTTAAGGCTAGAGCTTAAACTTTTTTTAAAATTTTGTTTGTCCAATTTAAGCCTTTCCTAAAACTTTAAAGACTGAAATTACATACTTACATTTTGCAAAAGTTGATAAAAAAGTGATAAAGAACTTGTCAAAGTCAGAACAATGTGATAACAAAATTAAAAAATTTAAGTTAAAATGCTTTTTGTCTTTATTTCGATTGGTCTAAATTAGTTTTGCAGACAAATTAATTATTTTATTAGTTTTTGATAACAACCTTTAATTGTTCTTTAAAACTTCAAAACTTTTACTTGCTTTTTTCTATCTTTTAGGCTTAAAAATAAACTGCAGGTTTAAAAATGCATATTGAGCTTAAATTTTAAACTTAAAAAACACTATTGGTTAAAAAATAGTTAAGCCTTAAAAATGAATTTTAGGTAAAAAAATAATTTTAATTTAAAATAACAATTTAAGCTTAAAAAACTTGTTTTCAAAATAACCTAGGTTTGAAAGTGAAAAAAAAGTTTTAACTTTAGCTTTTATAGTTATAAACAGCACTGTAGGCTTTGACATTTTATGCTTAAAAATCCCATTTTTATAAAAAAAATCAAGTTTAAAGTGGGCAACTAACTTTTAGAATTATTAGGTTGTTTCAACAAAGACGGCCAATTTTAACTGTACTTTTTTGCAAAACATAACTAAACATTGATCAAAAATAAAAAACAAAAACCTTATGAAGCAACAAAAATTTGACTGCCAACATCGGCCATTCTTATTGAAACAACCTAATAAAACCAAAAATTTTAAAATGCAGCCCAAACAATGCGGTGATTTTAAAGTGCAAAAACATTAACTATAGTACAGCCTGTACAGATCCAAACAAATAACGTTTTTATTACTCACAAGGCCGTCTCTACCAAAAGCTATCGAACTACGCAATTGGATTATGTCATTGTATCTGATGTGTTTTTGTGTTACTCACAAAAGCGGGAAACAACGTTGTGACGGTTTGGAAAGGTGAACGTTACGGGGGGTTTTTTGATCAATCAGTGAGCTCTCAAACTGTCTCTTACTTTTGGCTCGACTAATAAGGAAAAGGTTAAAGTGGGAATCGTTAATATTTTTACTGCGTTCGGAAGACGGTTACTTGATTACTGTTTTTCGAGACTTTGTAACCTTGGCCTACGACTTTGTATATACAAAAAAATAAAATTAAATTTTTTAGGAAATTTTAGGGTTAAAAATTAATTAACTTTTAGGCTTAAATATAAAATTTTAAAGTTAAAAATTTAAAGTTTGGCTTAAAAATAACTTTTTTTAATTTTAGACAAAAGATTTAATTTGAAGCTTAAAATTAAATTTTAGGGTTTCAAGTCAATCTTAAGTTTAAAAATAAGTTCTAAGTTTGCAAATCAAAGAGGTTTAAAAAAAATTTAGTACCATTTAGCACCAAACTATATTGAAAACAGTACCACTTTAAACTTTGGTACCATTTAGTACTAAAAACTATAAAAATATTTTGGACTTTTAGTAAAGTTTTCCAAAAATTATTTAAACATTACCAATTTGCCCCTTTAGTAGCATTATGTACCATAGTACAAATAAATAAACTAAAAAATAAAAAAAAACCTCTTTAAAAAATCTGCAATTTCTAAAATTGGCAAGTGTCTGAAAACCGCAGTTGTCCTAGCGCTAAGAGATGTTACGCATACAAAAAAATTTTAAGTTAAAAACCTTTGTTTTAACTAAGTTTAGGCTTAATAACTTTTAGTACAGTGGACTCCCGACATAACGAATCTCAAGGGAATTGAAAAATCGTTTGCTGTAACGAGGCTTCCTTATAAGCGGAGTAGCGAGGTTTCACGGTATATAACTTAGTTCTTTAAAAGTTTAGGAAAGAAACTCATATAACTAAGCTATTTATCTGCGCAAACTTAGTGCAATATCCTTAGTATACAGTGGAACTCCTGTATACCAAACTACTCTATAACGAAAATCCTGTATAACGAACAACTTTTGAATTCCCGTCTAACACAACACAGTGCATTTAAAACTCCTGTATAACAAAACAGCTTTATAAAGAACAAATTTCAGCTCCCCGAGCGATTCGTTAACAGGCTACTGTAATTTTTATTTTACTTGCTATTTCCATGCAAAATTAAAACAAAAATTTAAGAACCCAAACGTAAGCATTGTTTACCAACAGTTTTTATAATTCCGCGTAGAAATGAAAACCCAAACAGTTTCTATATACGAATCTAAAGTCTAGGATGTTAAACGTTGAGTTGGTTTGAGCTTGCTAAACAGTATGTAAGAAAAAGTTTAAGATTTAAAACGTTGAAAAAGCCAGAAAGATAAAATTTTAAGACCAGGACTACATGTGTTTCATGTATCACAAAAGCTAGATTCCTCTGCATTTTACAAAAACGGGTGTTTTTTAGCCTAAAATTAGTCATTTAAAACACAGACTGGATGAGAGTGAAACACTCCTGTATAACAATACCTTTTTATTATACATATAATAAACAATTTTAAAATTCTCGAAAGATCCGTTATGCAGAAGCTCAGCCGTAGGATTGTAAAAATGTACCCTTCTTGTTACGCCTTCAGATAAAAATTAACTAATAGACGCTGCCAGCGATTTCTTTTGATTTATTTTCCCTTACCGTTCATTCACACGCCTTGCTGCAGCCACTATATCGATCTATAAAAACAGGCGGCTAACGTTGAAATGATAAAAGTTCATGCTGCTCCAAAATAAATTTATGCAAATTTGCAAATACAATTTTGAATATTATTCAAATTTAATTTGACAGCTTTTTATTTTTCGTTGAAATGAAAAATGTAAGCAAAAGTAAAATACTATAAGTTTGGAACAAAGAGCGATCAGGGTTGGGAATCGTAAAAAAAATAAAAAAAATTCAAAAATAGCCTGTTTTTTAAATTAAAAAAATTTAATTTGAGAAATTTAAAGCCAAAAACAAAAGTGGCTTTACATTAAACTTAAAAGCTCTTTTCATCCAAAAACTGAGCTCACTGCGGTCCCTTTACAGGTCTACTCTATCGCCAGTAGGCTTTTATATTGAGAGCCGGTCCGGCACATGTGGACACAATACTGGCTCAAACCATAGCCTACAAAATTAGGCTTAGTTTGGCCAGATGTACTTTACATACCACTACAGGATCAAATAATTTTTAAAAATTAAATTCAAAAACCTCATGAGATCTAACGGCAGTTCCATATCCATCAATATTAATACATTAGTCATCTAAAATTATCAAGACCGGAAGTTGTCAAGTGAAACAACAATATTACTCAGTATTATCGTAAACTTTTGGTTGCCATAGACGCCTGCGGCGTTGTAATCATTGACGCAGTCTGAGAGTTCACTGAGCTAGGTCAGACTAAAGAAAGGTTCACGTAAACTGTTACAGTTTAATAATGGTTTAAAGAAGGGTAAGGCATTTTTTTCAACAAACATCTTTTTGATTTTTGATGACGTTTTTATCGTATTCCTAATAGCTTGTTCATTTCATTATTCATGTAATGGCGTGTACAATATAAAACAAACAATTTTTGTAATTAGTGGGAAATGGAAATGTTGTTTAATTTTCAAAATTGTTAAAGATCATTAAGCATTATGTTACACACACAACAACAACGGTACGTATTAGATTAGACGAATGATACAATGTTTACAAGAATAAAAGTGGGAGGAGTAAATAAAGGAAGGAACATTATATAAATATTATCTTTACACCGTAGATCCCATGTATAGCGAATACTCTTTTTGTGTTTATTTTTCTCGGAAATTTTTAATTTGTTCGTTATAAAGGTGTTTTGTTATACAGGGTTATGTTTTAGGGGGCGCAGGTGTAGACTTAGCTCTTGTTAAAGGCTTTTGTGGATTCCGGTAAATCCTCTTGTTAAAAAAATTCCGCTCCTTAAATTACAAACTCTTACCCCTTCCCCCCTCCTTCACCCTCCACAAAACACAGCCGCCTACCCAGCCCTGCTCTTGTTGTTATAAGTTCCCTCGCTTAGCCTTGCTCTTCCTGAAAGATTGTAAAACCATTGTGCTTTATTGTTTATGTTTATCAGTTGTTGAATAACCCAAATATTTCAATGCACCTACCGTGAAATTCCGTGTCAGATAACATTTCACGTTCTGTGATGACAAAGTGTGTTCGCTTTTCGAAATTGGACGGGGCTTTTCTTGTTCTAACTTGATCTGTAGGTTTTATTACCGAACGTAGACTTCTATAAAATCAGCGGTAATGGGCCGTGTTTAATGGATTTGATTGTTTAGGTTTTTAAGAGTTTTTGAGAATTTATATTGTTTCATTTTAAAACTTAAATTTTATTTTATGTTAACTTAAGCTAATTTTATCATAACTTATTTAGCGTTAATTATAAAGTTTTCCCAAAAAAAATTATTTACAGAGTATTCTGATTAGTTAAAGCCATGTTTTTCTATTCTACCCTATCCTACCCTAAATTACCCTGCACTACCTAAGCACATCTTTCCCATGCTTCACATTTTCAATTTTCCTGCCTTTGCCTCTACTTAACTTACTTTTACCCATCTTTACCTTACTTCACATTACCAAGTTTGATCAGTATTTTGATCAGTTGAGGCTGGTACTTGTTAGCACAAAAAATCGGTCAAAAATTTTCTTCACTTCGGTTTGCAAATATTTGTAAAATGATAAACTTAAAACCGTCTAGACAAACAAATTTTGTAAAATGTCTTACTTTTTACGTTTCTTTAAACTTTTGCGACGTTTTTTTAAATTGAAAGGGTGTCTCAATGTTTGAAACAGCCGATCAGATCACTATTGTTTTGATAACGTCGCGCGTTTTCTGTAAATCTTTTTGTTTAGCTCGAACGACAAAACTTTTTAAAAGTTTTTGAAGCTTTTTTTATTTTTTTAACTTTTAGATGTCACATTGAAAAAAGCTTTAATTTTGAGATATAGAAAAATAATTTTTTTTTGATTTTTAAAAATACCCTATTTTTAAAAAAAAATAATTTTTCCGAGCTACGTCAAAAATTTTAGATTGTTTAAAAAGTACTGAGCTATAACTATTCTGGTCAAACTTCAAAACTGCTATACTATCCAAAAAATTTTTTTTTGTATTTTGGGAAACATTTTTTCATTTTTACCTTCAAACGAGATTTTAATAATATTTGTTAAAAAATCATATTTTTGATCCAAAGTATTTTTTAACATTGACATAATCCGTCCTGTCGCCGAAATTATACACTTTTATGCGTTTTTATGGAAAATATCCTAATCGCATTATGCTTTCAGTTGACGAGCCTTTGAGTTTGTTCTTGTGTCAAGAGAAAAAGATTTGACAATTGACTTTGATCATGGTGGACGTTGCTTCAACGATAGCTGGGCTTGTGACAACGACCATGAGCTCGTTGGACACTTTCCAAGTAAGGAATTGGATTTTTTTTTATCTCTGTTAACGTAGATTAGAAGGATAACATTTGATTTATGTTAACATTTGCCAAATGGAAAATATGTGATATGTTTTGGTTGTTTTATTAATTCTGGGCTCTTTCTGAAAGCGATTTTTTAACTTAAAGGGTCAGAACTTCTTGAAAAAACGCATATGTCACTATTGACCAATGATATTATGATTAAAATAACGGTGTTTATATACTAAATTTAATATGTAAGCTGTTAATAATCTCAATTTTGATAAAGTGTATTAAACACCTTATTTTAGTTTGTAAATTAACCATCTTATTTTAGTCCCACGCCCTATGGATCCTAATTGTCGGAGCTATCTTCGCCTTCTGTCTCGGCTTCTCTCTTGGAGCCAATGATGTCTCCAACGCCTTCGGAACCTCAGTTGGATCAAAAGTTTTGAAAATCCGTCAAGCCTACAGTTTGGCCACGGTTGTAGAGGCAGCTGGTGCTATTTTAATTGGATATAATGTGGTGGACACGATGCGAAAAGGCGTAGTTGATGTGAACATCTACGAAGGTGAAGAATATACTTTTTTGGTTGGTCAACTTGGAGTGTTGGCTGGATGTGCAACATGGCTAATGATTGCTACCGGCTTGGATTTGCCAGTATCTTCTTCACACTCAATTGTCGGATCTACTCTAGGCTTCTCATTGGTATTAAAAGGTACTCGCGGAATCGACTGGTCGGTTGTGTACCGTATTATGGCTTCATGGGTCATCTCACCAGTGTTGTCGGCCTGCATTTCTGGTGTGATGTATATCTTGCTTGATATCACAGTGTTAAGAAGGAAGGATGCCTTGAAGAATGGGTTGATCTTGTTGCCATTCTTCTATTTCTTCTGTATCGCCTTCAACACCTTCAACGTTGTTTTTCAAGGGTCAAAGATCTTGGGATTGGAGTCCGTTGACTTGGTTTGGGCTTTGATTATTTCGGCTATTGCTGGTGGTTTGGCTGCTTTGTTCTGCCAATTTGTTTTGAGACCAATGTTGCTCAATTACATCAACAAGGACGACAAGCCACAATCTAGTAAGTGGTTTATTTTTAAAAATTGGAAATTTTTTTTGAAAATTTGTTTGAAGTTTCAAAGAAGTTTATTATTGATTTTAAAGTTGAGCGGTTTTTTGCGTTTTAGCGTGGGGGTGGGGGACGAAAATAAAAAAACTTTTTTTAAATCAACAGTGGGGACCAAGTTTAACCTTTCCAAAAACTATTTTAAACTTTTTTCATTTTACTTTCAGAAGCCACTGTAGTCCCAATAGACAACGATATAGTAAAACCCACGCCCATTGACACTTCTGATGCCACCCTCCCAGTCAACGCCGTGCCAGAAGAGCAGAAGTTCAGTTTCTCTCCAAAAGGCTTCGTCAAATGGCTGTTGCCAGCTAAACATCGTGAAGAAGATCCACATGCTCTTCGTCTCTTCTCCACCATCCAAGTCTTCACAGCTTGCTTCGCTGGCTTTGCTCACGGTGCGAACGATGTAGCGAATGCTATTGCTCCGTTGGCTGCGATGTTATCCGTGTATCAGGAAGGAACGGTGAAGCAGGAGAACCCAGCCTCAATCTGGGTATTCGTCTTTGGTGTAACTGCGATTGTCATTGGCCTATGGGTATTGGGACATCGTATCATCAAAGTTGTGGGCACCAAAATGTCTCACGTACATCCGGCTTCTGGCTTTACGATCGAGTTTGGAGCAGCCGTGACCTCGATCTTGGCCTCAAAACTGGGACTGCCAATCTCAACCACACACTCACTTATCGGCTCAGTTGTGGCTGTTGGTACCATCAAATCGGGTAAGGGTGTGAACTGGCGTGTCTTCGGCTCCATTGCCTTGTCATGGCTACTGACTCTACCTGTCACTATCGGTATTTCTGCTCTTATCACGTATTTATTGACATTGGTTGCTTAATTCAACTCAAAATCTCAAAGCCTTATTACTACAAATGGGTATTTTTGTATCATTGATTATTACAGAATGTTCAGTTAAACTTTAATTTTGTATATCTTTTGACAGTTATTTTTAATATTTTTTAAAATGATGATATACATGAATAAACATGTACACAATAAAAGATTTGGCATGGTTTACAGTATAATATTTTTTAAATTAAAAAAAATTTCGTGTTTTTTACAATTTTTGCTAAATAAATACTGCTGTCCTACCTTATATTAGGTGTTTGCGAAGTTTCTGGCCGATTTTTGTTTTTACCAAAATTTAAAAATCCGTGATCTTCCAAGGTCTTGAAGTCTAATTAATATGGTAGAAGGGTCACACTAAAGCTCTACAGTCAAATGAGTACAGGTTCGTCGGAGGTCTTCTTCGATTAGCTTCAGAAGGTGGGGTTTCTTCAACGTTGGTGGTCTACCATATCTTACTTTTCGGACATGTCAAAGTCACCATTTTTGAACTTGTGGAACCAAACTTTTACTGTGTCGTAGGAGACAACTGAAGGCCCTACAGTACCGCATATTTCATTCGTCGCTCCTGTTGCGTTGCCGTGCTCGCGAAATTTGAGAAGCAACATTGTCCGACCATGGTCATGTTTTACCTTGTTTTCTTATACCACCGTAAACAACAGAAAGCTTTAACATGCAATAGTTTTTAGTCCTTGGACATCTCTTTATATAAGTTGTTAACAGAAAGTTCTAGAACCGTCCGGAATTTTTAAAAAATTTTTTGAAAAATCGGCCAGAAACTTTTGCAAACACCTAATAGTACCCCGTTATACAATGCCCTGCTTTCCCCTACCCTAACCTACCCTACTTCACCCTTCACTACTTTATCCTAACCTTCTATACCTTCCCCTTAGCACAATTGTGCCCTATGTTTACTTTTTACTTACCCTACCCTTGCCCTTTTCTTGTCTTTAACCTAATCTTCTCCTATTCACTTCCTGCTCATGCTCATTTTGTGTTCCACCTCAGCGTATTCTTACTTTAAACATGCTTTAACTATACCCTGCGTTTTTTCTTACTTCGCCATTCTCCTACTCATACGATATCTTACCATGTCCTACCCTACCTCCAGGCCCAGCATAAAAGTAAGGCTAGGCCTCAAAAGTGAGAACGGTCTAACACATTTCATATTCCTGCTATGTACTCTATGAACCTTCTTCAGTAATCTTCAACTTTCATTTTCAGCAATATGCAAATTTTACCACTGTTTTTACAACCTTGCCTGCCGTCTTCCGACTCATAAAACGCATTGTTCCAAAAGTGATAAAACAGAATACAAAACATGGGGAAATAATATATGTCGGTCGAACCGAGGGCAACCAACACACCGGGAAGAGGAGACCCGAAACCGACCACGGACCTCGATTTTTGGGAATTGAATTTGAGAGAAAAAAAAACGGAGGGCGGCGAGCCTTGGAGGCCGGCGAAAGAGCGCCGCGAAAGCGGAGCGCCCGCCAGACAGTCGCCAGTTCGACTGGTCGATGGTGGGTCTTTCGACGTGCTTTCCACCTCGCTTCCGACTGCTTTTTTTCGCCCAAAAAATTTTTGCTACGTTTCTACCTAAAATTTCCTGGTAAAAGCCCGATTTTCGAAGGGAAACGATTGGTTTGGCCTCGAAAATCGACCGAAATCGAGCTGAAACATTGGTCTTGCGACCTCATTTCGTTTCGAAAAACATTCAAAATCAACTGAAGCAGTTATCATTCACGTTGGGAGCGTTTGCGTCGTGGCAAGGTTTTGTTTTGAATATCGTCGGCTACAAAACAAGCTGTATATAGGTAAGGATAACTAACGAGGTTAATATAGATAGGCTTAAATATTAGCAAGCTTGATTTGGATGAGTTTTAGTATTATTAAAGTCATGTAGATAAACTTGATCATTCTATAAGTTTAATTAAGGTAAGATTGAGTATACTTGGTCTATATAAAGTACAATAAAATTACTATGGGTACCCATCGGGCTATTTTGGGCTTGGGGGCGGAAGGAGGGAGGGAAAAAAAGCAGGCCAGGCCCGTTTTTTTATTTTGCTCAAGCCCGGATCGTTCCCTATGTCTAGAACTACCCGTCCATAACTGGCAGTGCATGATCATTCACGATCAATTATGTAACATGGCCATTACCGGTCGATTTTGGCCGAATGCGTCGATTTGACCTTATAATCTGCCTTTCAGTCGATTAAAACAGTATTTTTTCTAATTTTATCTTTTTATAATAAAAAAAATGTTCTTATTAACAAAACTTGGCCTTCTGCACAGATTTTCCATGTTTTTTTTAAACCAATTTTTGTGCGGAAAAAGAGCTTTTTTTGGTCGATTCCTATAGGTCTCCACAATGCGTTATATCAATCTCAGGTCTCCGGATTTGGTAAATTTATCTTTGTTTTTGTTGTTTATAAGTTTATTACGTATTTATTTGAATGTAACACTTATATCTTTATTTTTTTATAGTTAAAATAAAGTTTAGGTATTAATTTTAAAATTACATATTTTTAAAATATTTTCTTCATTTTTCTCTAAGCTTTAGGTATCATTTGCAAAATTTAGGTATCATTTGCAAAAATTATAGATTTCACATCAAAAACTTCAGCTTCGTTCTTATATTTTAGGTAACAATAATTTTATTCTTTTGTAACAATGATCATATTTTTCTATTTTAGTTAACAAAACATTTGCTCTTCTATTTTAGGTAACAATGCCAGCGTTATCACCAAAGCTGAACGGAGGAGTTCAAAAAGCTCGAACAAAAACTCATCTACCGTTTATAAAATCATATTATGATCCACATCCCAGCAAGCCAATAACTTTTGTTTGTCGATTTTGCGGCGTTACCTACAGCGGAGGACATTCCTTCAGAATGTTAGCTCATCTATTACCTCCGAATCACCCGTATGGCAAAGTAAGTTTTCTATTATTGTCTTTGGTTTTTAGAGTGTTGTTGAAGAACCATCGTTAATATAGTTGAAAGGATGAGGTTAATATAGTTGAATAGAAGAAAACGTGGTTTATATAGCTAAACCACTTTCTTCTTGGTTTTTGTTAACTAAAACACATTGTTCTTTACTTTTTTTAACTAAAGAAACAATATTTTTGAAGTGATATACTTAAAACACTTTATGTAAGGTCTTTTATAGCTAAAAAAGAGTATTTTCAGCCTGTTATATCTTTTAAAATAAACCATTCTTGATTGTTTGTACCTAAACTGCATTGTGTCTGACTTTGTAACAGAAGACAAAGTCTTTTCTTACTTATTTTCTACGTAAAATACATGAAGAATTACGTTCTTAACCATTTCAGAAAAAGCCCTGCCAAAAAGTGGATCAGCAAACACGGAACGATGTTGTAGAGAACTGTCGTGTATACCTGCAAGCTCGTGAAGCGAAACAAAACCCAAATCTTGATGGACATTTCTCTCCAGCCTTTGAAACACCGTCTACTAGCTCCGATTTCTCAACCTTAATATCGGATTCGTTTTTGGGGAAAGACAAAGAAATTGAGGAAGTTGTGGAAGAACCAGTTGTAGAAAAGATGGTTGTTGAAGAGAAGATGAAGCGGATGCCGAAGGTGGAGAAGAGTTGTAACAATAACACGGATCCCAACGCTCTACAGACGATGTTGAACATGTTTTTGAATAAATGTAGTGATGGGGCTATGGATAAAGGAAAGAATTTGTTACTTTTGGTAGGTTAAGGTTCACATTTTATTTATTTTAAATTTAAAAGCCTAAAATTTCATTTTTATGCTTAAAATTTTAGTTTTAACCTTTGAAACCCCATTTTTTTGCCTAAAATTTCAGTTTTAAGCCTAAAGTTTTATGTTATAGCCTAAAAGTTTCTTATTTTTGTTTTTCAGGGCATAGCCAGTGGCGAAATACCCCTCACCACACTGGACAGTGAATACTTCAAAGCCTTTCTTCAAACCTTGTTCAAGGACTCACCTTTGCCTTCAAAATCCGAACTTTTGTCATCAGAATTCATCGAATCCGAATATTTGTCAAAGTTTGATGACATCAAATCACTCATCGATCAAGAAACACATCTTCACCTATCATTGGACAATTGGATCGACAAAAATGGTACTGAAGTCTACGGCATTCTGGTTCACACAACAGCACCCTACTTATATCGAGTTGTGGCGGCTGAAGATGATTTGGAGAATATTGTGATAGAAGAGATTAAAAGCGTGATTCAGGAATTGGGTGAAGACAGAGTTGTGTCGTTTGTCAATGAAAACAAAGCGATCAACAATGAAAAGATTGTCAGATCTTATCCATGGGTGCTGTCACCGCCAGTTTTGTTGTTTGACAGCTTGGAAATGGAAGGGATTTCACAGGTGAGAGATTAGTTTGAGCTTAGAATCAGAGTAAATTTTATCTTTGGCTTACAGTATGTACGATTTTTGGTAGGGTAGGTAATGAATTTTCTATTTATGATTTTGGGTTTAAAATTTTTAACTCATGTTTTAATTAGGCTTAAAATTTGGATCTTAGACTACTCTTAATTTTAACATTCCAGAACCTCCAAAGCTGTTTCCAAGTACCTTCCGAGCTAGTACAAGCCGACGCCATCGTCCAACTCCTCGACCCAACCAACATCACGGTCAATACCGGTATGCACGAGGATGTGTTTGACTTTATCAGCGAAAAGTTCGCCGATCACCCAAAAATAGACATACCACACACACTAAAGCATCTGAGGTATTGGATCACAAAGACAGACATCTATGAGAACCACAACAACAAACAACATTACGATGCGTGGAGGCCGCGCACGTTTCAAGGCAAATTCAACGTGAAAAGTTGGTGGAAAAAGTACTATGAAACTTCGCCGCTTTGTGAATTATACTTCATGTTGGCTGACATACCTTCAAAGTCGGTGACAGAAGAAAGAAACTTTGACATAGAAAGTTATGTCGCCAATACAATGGAGGAACGGTGAGTTATTTTTTGATTTTTAAAGTTGGGTTTTGGAAGTTGAAATCTATATAATTTTTTTTAGACTTTTTAAACCTAAAATTTGTTTTTAAATTTAAAATTATCTTTAAATGATGTTTTAGGCTTAAAAAGTACTTGAGCATGCAATTTTATCTTTAAGCCTAAAATTTATTTCTAGGCTTAAAATTTCATTTTTAATCTAAAATTAATTTTTAAGCCTAAAATTTGTTTTGAACTCAATTTATACAGTTTATCATTTTTAGGGTAACGACAAACATGAAGATATTTCTCAAATACAATCATATGCTTACATTCCACAGACAAACAGCTCGCAAACCTATTTGAACACTTTCTCAAATTTTTAAAATTTTTATTTTTTTGTCTAATTTCAAGACGAATTTTGAAGTCTCAGCTTTTTCCTTGACTTTATATCACTTCAAATAGTACTATGTAGTACGTCTTTAAAAGTTTGAATTTTACTTTATAGTACGACTTTAAAAGTCTTGAATTTAAGTAGTACTGTACAGTACGTCCAAAAATTTTATTTTGTTTTGTACTGTATAGTACTTTTTGCAACAAAAAGCAAATAATTAGTTTTAAATATCTTTCGCTACTCTTACCATGGTGAACAACACATTATATCACTTTTACAATTCCATTTTTGCTTATTTTTTTAATGTTGAGCATGCATTGATAGCATGCTTTTGTTATGCTTTGTAACGTTCTTGTTAAATTTGAATAAATATTAGATTTTTTAATTTAAGTACTAAAAAATGTACATGTAGGTTTGAAAACGTTAGACTTAGGGGTGAGAAAAGGGCCGGGCCCACTTTTTCAGGCCCGGCTTAGGCCCGGCCCGTTTTCATTTTTTTCTCAGGCCGGCCCGGCCAGAAAATTTCTAGGCCCGGCCTGTTTTAAAAAATTTTAAAACTTAACAAATAAACGGAAATTTGGCTTTACATTGTTTTTTCAGATCATTTATGGATCATAGTACCCAATAAAATTAAAAAACATCAACGGTGATTGAAATAAAAAATTTTAAAAAATTTAAAAAATTTTTTTTCGGGCCCGGGCCCAATTTTCAAGCCCGGCCCGTTTTAATTTTAGCTCAAGGTCTGCCCGTTTCTCACCCCTAGTTAGATTTAAAATAAAGGTTGGGTATGGAAGTCAAATTTTTAGTTTAAAAATGAGTTTTAAGCCTAAAAAATTTATTTTAGACTTAAAACTTAAAATTTGGTATTAAAATTGATCTTCAGGCTTAAAACTGCAAATTTAGATTTAAAAATGAATTTTAGGCTTAAAAATGAATTTTAGGCTTAAAAATGAAAATCAAGGTTTAAAAATGAATTGTAGGCTTAAAAATGAAAATTTAGGCTTAAAAATGAATTTTCGGCTTAAAAATGAAAATTTAGGCTTAAAATGAAATTCAATCTTAAAAATGAAAATTTTGACTAAAAAAATGAAAATTTAGGCTTAAAAATGAATTTTCATATTGTGTTTCAAACAATAAGTTAAAGGTCACCGACTATTCTCATTGTGAACAATATACAATCCAAACTTTAAACATTCGTTCGTTAGATCAAAAACGTTCTATTATACTATTCACTTTGACTAAAACAACATACGTCTAACTAACACACGTTCCGACTACTTGATAAAAATCGAAAAGTTTTGAAAAACACACACATACATCTTATAATGTAAACAAATCCGCGATTACTAATGTTCACGCGGTTTTTGTTCGAGATCAAGACTCTCGAAGGTCCGGTTTGTTGTTGCGATGCGTGAGGAGCTGGCCTTCAACGCCACGCACTTTGACGATCTGCCAGAAGCCGACCGATTGTGGATTGTGATTGTAGGAGCAGCCTTTACCCTACTACTCGGGTTTGGATGGGGCGCGAATGGGTTGGCCAATATTTTTGCTACTAGTGTTGGGGCAGGAGTGATCAATGATCGACAGGCTAAATATTGTGCTATTGGGTTTCAGATTGTAGCGTTTTTGTACATTGGTAAGCTTTTTTTTATTTTTTATACATTATCTTACAATACTCTATATTAAAGTACGTCTTGCACTACCCGACCTAGCTTGGCCTAATCAGGCTTTACCCGGGTCTACCTAGCTCTACCCAGCCTTGTATGTCCCTACACAACCCTAGCCGGTCTTACTTGGCCTTGGCTTATATCCTAGTCTACCCGACCCTGCCAGACCCTGCCCGGTCTTACCTGATCCTACTCGGTCATACCTCTACCTGGCCTTACACTACTCAATGTGGCTTTATGCGACTCTACCCGGCTCTAACCGGCTGTACCATGCTATATGCGGCCCTAATTGGCCCTACCCGGTTCTACCCTACTCTATTCTAAAAATTTCAGCCTTAACTTCCGCTCACATATCCTTTGACAATCCATTGAGTGTGATTTACAATGAATCTGCGAATGATGTTATTATTGGGCAAGTATCATTCATAATATCATCTGCTGTATGGGTTTGTTGTACTAGTGTCTTTGGTGTGCCAGTCTCTAGTCGACATTGTATCACTGGTAGTGCTATTGGATTCATTTTAATAGTCGGAGGCTTTGGAAGCTTAAAATGGGAGAGGATTCAGGTTTTAGGTGAGTTTAAAAGTGGCAAACGTATTATATTTCTACCACAAATGCTATTTTCAGCCCTATCCCTTCTGCTAACACCTCTAATAACTGGTGTTCTGGCTTTCCTAGCTCTATACCTTCTAGACATTATTTTACTTCGAAAGCAATTTAAACACAATTTACTGACTTACACGGTAGCCACATTACATATGATATCGTCAACATTGTTTACATTTGGGTTATTGTATGGCATATCATGTGACTTTGGCATAGTTCCATTACCACTACAGTATTCTGGGTTGTGTAGCGTTATTGTTGGACTCATTGTATTTTTGATTATTGTGTTCTTTATTGATCCTATGCTGCATGTTCAGGTTGAATGTGAGTTTTAATTTTGTATTTTTATTATGTTTTATATTTTGATTATGAAAACATAATAAAATGTCATGTTGGTAAAGTATGTTACAGTCAAATAACTTTTCTTACAGACGATGAACAAAAAGCCAAAGACAACGAAGTAAATCGTGATGACCATTCGTTTAGAGTCAACCGTTTTAAAGTGAAGAAAAGTAAGTCAGCCTTGCCTTGCCTTGCGTTGCCTTGCCTTGCCCTGTCTTTGTCCTGCCTTTACGCTGCTTTTACTTTGTATTTCCCCTGCCCCGTTTGGTTCTACCCCCCCCCCCTTTTTCCCCATATATATTATGTTTTACCTGGCTAATAAATCTTCTTTCATAATAATAACTTTTAAAACAAAACTTTAGTTAACATGCTTCCAAAAAAGTTTATGATATCAATTGATGGAAAAACGCCAATAACAAACCATATTAGCCCAGAAGGAATGGATGTAATAAAAGAAAAAGTTGGCCCCAAAATCCAGAAACACATTCGATCAGATGTGAATAACATAAATAGCGTTACAAAATATGCCTTTAGTACTGTGCTTTTTTTTACTTGTGGCTTTATGGCGTTTATTCAGGCTGTGGAGAACATACGGTATGTCAAAATACATTTTCAAATACGTCATATTTTATGAGATATTACACATAAATAAAACAAAAAATAAAAAATATTAATTAGCCTAGTGTGTAACCAAGCATTCCAAAATTTAAAATTTACAGCCACAGAATTAACCGAGCTGTTTTACTTTACTAACCTTAGTTAGGCTATATTATAGCGAAGATACGGGAAAGAGACGAATGGTTAATCAAAGCACAACTTGCTTTTTGATTCGGTTTTGCGTCGAAAGAAGATGCAGTGACTGAATTTCTTTATTTCTCTGCGCTCTCTTCTTTTCGCGTGCTCTCGCTCTCTCTCTGTTTCTTCTAGCATAGTATATAGCAAATCAATATTTCTGCCAAAACTTATTTATGTACTTCAAAAAAAGCAAAAACAAAAAAATTTTCAGTTTATCAGCCCTGCCACTAAACATCCTGATCAAAGTGTATCAACACGAAGTCATAACAGAAACCACTAGTATTCCACCTTTATTAGCCTTATATGTGACACCAGTAATATGTTGTGGAATCTACTTTATGGGTGGACGTGTAATGAATACAGTCGCTTTTGATCTGGGCTGTAATAACGTTATAACACATTTAATGGCTCAACTTGCTACAACTATCGTCATAAACATGAGTCCAACTTTGAATGTTTATCATTCTAATTCTTATTGTTTGGTAGGGTTTTCTTAATTTTTAAAAACTACAGCAAATATACTGGGTCGAATATTTTTAAATATTTTAATAGAGGTGCAGACGGATAATACATGGTAGGGTACGATAAGTAAGAATAAAGTAGGGTAGATTAATAAAGGATAAAGTAAAGTAGAGCGGTTAAGTCACGCCTGAGTAGAGTCAAGTAGGGTAGGATAGACTAGGGTATAGCAAGCTAAGATAGGTCAGAAGGTTAGGGTAAGGTAGGCTAAAAAATCTTTCAACTTATTTATAATGGCATATCATTTCAGGTATTTGCCATGATTTGCCTTGGCTTTGTGCCACAAAACGGGAAAATGAATTGGAAAGCGTTGCGGAACATTGTAATAGTGTGGGTAGTAACCATACCTTCACTTATTGTTTTTGTGGCTCTATTGACATTTTTGTTAATATTACTTGTTTAAAACACAATACAGTATACGTGTAGTTAATAAAATACGAAATTTTAATTTTGTTGGTCACATTGTGTATTTTTAAATTTTATTTTTATAGCTTTTTGGCTACATTTTTTACTTTTTTCTAGATGGCACCAGATATAACTTTGTTAGAGTTGCCTACGTAAAGATAATAAATTATATTACATTATGTTAACTTATAATGGCAAAAGTTAAAGTTAATTAGCCTTTTACAACGTTTAATATAAGTTGTAGTTGTACTTATAAGACTTTTAAGGTTAACTTAATTTTCCAAAGTTTAAACTTAATTTTTGAAACAAAAATTATAATTTTAAGCCTAAATCGCTTATTTAAAACAAAAAAAATTATTTTTTAAATCTAAAATTTTAGTTTTAAGCCGTAAGATAAAAAATTAAAAGTTCAACGATTAACAGTAAATATTCGTTGTAAAGATTATATACAATTTATTAAACGAATAATTACACCACAATATACAATATGTTAAAATATGTTCAAAGTGACGTTTTTTACACCATAGTTATTTGAAAAATCTGCGTGCACGGTTAAACGATCCTAACGGCGACGTCACGTATGGAATAATCTCGTCATCTTTCAATATACATCTAAAAATATTAAAATTATAGTTAAACGTAGAGACAGTGATTGATCGGTTAGACCAGATCAAGTACAAAAAATTTCGGATAGAAACAAAGAAACTACATACGGGCTGGTCCGGCAAAACACAGCATATAGAGTAGGCTTGGAATAAGGTACTGTTGAAGCTTTAGACCAGAGCTCTGAACTAGGGCTTCACGAGAGTCTGGGCTAGGGCTCTGGGTTAGGCCTCTGGGCTAAAGCTCTGGGCTAGGGCTTTGGGCTAGAGTTCTGGGCTAGGGCTCTGGGTTAGGGCTTTAGGCTAGGGCTCTGGGCTAGAGCTCTTGGCTAGGGTTCTGGGCTAGGGCAACGTTCATAAGACTTACCCATAAGTAAAAATGTCAACAGTGGCCTGTTGATTAACAGCAACATTGAATCCGCCTTTGTCTGCTCCACCATCAAACAAACATTCGGTGATTTGCAGAGTTCCATCTTTGCATGTTTTTCGTAAATCAGCTACATCTTTCGAAATGATGATCTCTTCTCCGTCTGCACACTCTTGTTCAATTGAGAATTTTATAAAACATGCTAAGAACAGACACTTTATTAGGTTGATTGAAGACATTTGTCGTAGGTACTGGTCTGAAAAGATAAGTAATTAAATTTCGAAAAATCTTGTAAAGTTTTGATTAAACAAAAAATTTAAAAAAACGCGTAAGAAAGGGTTATTAAGCCTAAACATAATTTTTACTAACTAAAATTCTTTTTAAGCTTAGTTCACTTTTTATGTCTAAAATTCAGTTTTTAAGCTTAAAATTCAGTTCCTAAGCTTAAACTTAATTTTTGAAACTTAAGTTCATTTTTAACCCTAAAATTAATTTTTAAGCTTAAAATTAGTTTTCAATCTTAAAAATTTATTTCTTAGCCTAAAATTCATTTCTTAAGCTTAAAATTTAATTTTTTTTATATAAATTCATTTTGAAGCCTAAAATTCATTTTTTAAGCTGAAAATTCGTTTATAAACCGCAAATTGAGTTTTAAGCCTAGAATTCATTTATAAAACTTCATCGCAAGTTTGAGAAATAATTTTAAAAAGTTAAGTCAATTTAATTCTCACTACCGTTAAAACAACCTTTTAACCCACATACATTAATTATTGTAGTCTAAAACATACGTACAAGTGTTTTAAAACAATGCTTAACAAAACGTTTCTTCCTTTCCACCTTCTCTTCAGAAGGTGGAGAGGAACAATCTTAAGTTATGGTCATGTGAACAAAACCGCAGAGCATAACTATAAAACGCTCAAAAGATTTATCATAAGAAATACCATTGTTTGTCACAGTTAATTTAGAGCTACAATAAGATTTAGCCTACAATATATTTTGAGTTACAAGAAAAAAAGCTTTGTATGAATTTAAAAACAGATTTTGCAAAAATAATACAAATTATAAAATTGAGCTTCGTTTAGGGTTGCAAATGAACAGTTTTTAGGCTTAAAAGCAATAGGATTGCACTGGACTTGAAATAACATAGAGCCAGGATACCGCTACGCGTTAATCGATCACAAGGTAACGCCATAGCAAACCAAAATATAAGGCTAGCTTTAGAAAGACCGGTCTGAATTTACAATTAAGGTAAGATTGAAGTTGAGCTTGGGTAGGGTTAGAGTCCAGTTAAGATAGTGTTAAAATAAGGTTAAAAAAGGTGTGGGCAAGGCTAAAATAGCTATAGCAAAGGTCATTAGGGCAGTGCTTGGCTAAAGGTAATGCTGTGGAAAAAGCCATGGCTATGGCTAAAACTCAGACATTATAATCGTCGTTTTGTCAGCATAGACCACAACAAGTTTTCTATACTAAACCACAGTAAAACTGTACTTAAGGCGGCCGGCAGCGTGACAAAGTAAAAAAATTTCTATCCAAAAATGACCCAAAAACAGTTTTTTATAGTTTCATACGACAAAAAACAGCGTTATTAATGCTAAACAGTAATCATATTAAATAATTTAACATGGCACAAGCCTGCACTACATTCGTACGCACAGACAGCTTAACGCCTCAAGTTGTACGACTTACAAAATTGACGAGGTTTGCTCTCGGAACAAGTTTATATAGAACATATAAGTCAATATTATGCGATTAACGTCAAAAGGCTAAGCTTCAGGCTATGTCTAGGGTTAAGACTTTTTAAAGATTTCGAAATAATCTATAAATAAGCAATTGTAACCTTTAGCTAAAGACAGGTGCCTTTATTTCAAGATAAAGTTTTTATGTTAGGTTAAGAAATAGAAATTCAGGCTTAAAATGAAAATGTAGAGTAAAAAAAATAATTTTAAGTTTTAAAATAAATGTTAAGCCTAAAATAAATTTCAAGCATAAAACTGAATTTTAGGCTTAAAAATTAAGACTAGGCTTAAAAATGCAGTTGAGGCTTAAAGAATGAATTTTAGACTTAGATATCAATTCTTAAGCTTAAAAATATGAATTTTAAACTTAAAATGAAGATTAGGCTTAAAAATAAATATTAGTCTTAAAAATTAATTTCAGACTTGAAAATGATAATTTAGGCATAAAAATAAATTTTATGTTTAAAAATACACTTTAAGCTTAAACAATGAAGTTAAGTTTACAAAAATAAACGTATAAGATAATTCTCAGCCTAAGATTGAAATTTAGGCTTAAAAAATAAATTTTAGGCTAAAAATATGAATTTTCAGCAAGACATAAATTATTCAAGTTAAAATTGAAATTTTGAAAATTCCAAATTATTTTTTTTAATTTTTACTAGATTAAAAAATTGAAAAAATAATTCAAAGTACCAACTAATGCATTAAAAAACTAAGAATTTGATTAAAATCCTATTGTTATGTTAGAATTTCAACCTTTTCATGTCGTAGAATTTGCGTGATTACCGTGCCCTATCACGTAAAAGGTCTACTTTAACAGCTTGTGACACAAGTGCGTAGTAGTCCAAAAATTCTTCAAACAAGCATTTTTAAACATAACATGTACAGATTGTAAATTTACAAGCTTAACATTTACAATAGACTTCCTTAAACAAAGTTATAAAAAAAGTTTGGTATAGTCAACGAGCGATTAATTTTACAATTGGGCCGTTATTACTGTAAAGAGGACAAACTTAGAATTACGGAAGAGGAAAGGAAAGGCTAAAGTAGTTATAGAAAAGACTGGTAGGGTAGGGTTTGGCTAAAGTTTTAAATAAAATAAGGGAGAGCTAGGCTAAGACTTCTGTGTAAGAAACCACTAGAAAATTTTTAAATTTGTTTATGTTAAAATGATAAAATCAATCTTTTATCACTAAAAATATCAAAAACCCTTAAAAAATAATTTTAAATTTGTTAACACCGCTTTAAAAAAAGGTCTTTAGAAAAATACAATTTATCATTAAAGTACTTTAAAAGTGCTAACGGCTTAAGTCTACATTGCCTTTTAAAGCCGAAAAAATCATCTAAAACAGTGTTAATTAAAGATTAAAATAACTTTAAAACTTTGTTTTAAATTGTAATCCGTGAAAAACACAAATTATTTACAAACATAAATAAATTTTCCCAACATAAAATTAAAAAAAAAAAGTTGTTATATATTCTTGTATAACAAAGTCCTTTATAAAAAACGTCTTATAAAACGAAAAAATGTATAATTTTGTGTATGGAATCGTTTGAGGATTTATTTGTTCAATGTACAGAAGTTTCACTGTATTCTACAAAAGTTAAACTTCAAATAACCAAAAAAATTTTTTAAATTTAGAAAATCAATTTTCAAAATTGTGTTATCCTAATTCACAAATCTCTTTTACTTTTAGAACGTATATTCTTCAATATACTTCACAATCTTACTGTAGAACTATGGTATAGCGAAGTGCTTGGAGGTTTTAAATTTGTTTGTTATAGAGAAGTTTCATTTTGCAAGAATTTTAAATGCTCTGTGAAGAGTGGGGCTGAAGATTAAAAAAATTTTGTTGTATAAGAGTTTTGTTATGAAAGAGTTCACTATAGTGGAGTTTTACAAAATGAGTCATCTTTGGTTTGAAAATACGTTTAGTATGCTATGAAAAGTGGATTTGCAAACCATCATCGGCTGATGGTTGTTATGATAATTCATGTAAAACTTTTGTCGATTGAAAGAGGAAAAACGCAGAGTTTTTCTCTCATGGTAGTTTATTTGTAATATTTATTGGGAGTTACGTTTTTGGACACAACAATGGTAGGTTTAAAATTTGTTTTTTAAAGTTTAAAATTAGGTAGAAAACGCTTTACTGTACAACAAATGGCAAGAACTTTCTTTACAGAACAAAAAATGGCATGAACTTTATTTACAAAACCAAAAATGGCAAGAACATTATTTACAAAACCAAAAATGGCAAGAACTTTATTTACAAAGTTAAAAATGAAAAGAACTTTCTTTACAAAACAAAACATAACAAGAACTTTCTTTACAAATCAAAAAAGACGTTTTTTTGTTTTATAAGTTGATCTCCTTGCACTTGCTTCAGAAGTGCTAAAGTTTTGTCGCCGGTAATTTGCTGTAGCAATTATAATACGGAGCAGTTATTTCACTTTAGTGTAACTTGGTATCCGGTTCTCATTCGATATTTAACTATAACAACTTAAAAATAACTTTTACTGTGTATAAGCTTATTTTTCGAATTTTTATTAGCTTAGCCTATCCTGGGCTTGGTAAAAGGCTAAAATCTAGAAAAAAAGGTATAGTAGGGTGAAACGTAGAGCATGGTAAAAGGTAGGGCAAGGCATAGTTTATAGTAGGGTAGAGTAAACCAAGTGGGTTAGGTAAGACGAAGCAACCTAGGACAGGGTAGGGTAGGGTAGGGTGGTATTTTTGTCATAAAGTTTTAACGACTCTTGCCTTCCTAGTGACCAACAACACCTCTCTGACCAAAACACCTCACCCTCCGGTTACTATGACTAATATTTTTGAGACATTTCACAGTTCAAAGCCTTCTTAACCTCCTTTTTTCAAGCGGGCTAAAAATAAGCAAGATTTCGAAAGTCGTGAAAAGGACTGTATTTCGTTTGTTTGAGTTATGTTTGGGGCGAGTTCTTACTCTCGCGGTCACTTTTTTCGCGAAAACCACTTTCTATCACAATTTTTGTAAAATTTTATTGGGCATGGGAATTGGGTGGCATTACGGGAATTTGAAAATTTACTTGATATTGGGAAAAAATACTTAAAAACACGGTAAATTGGGTGTAGTTAATGTGTTATACTTGGTCTTGGAGGACAACTTTAAGCTTAAAATGTATATTTTTCATTGTAAAGCTTAGAGTTAAAAGATTAAGCTTAAATCTGAAGAAATGAGCCTAAAGTTTTAAAAATACAGCTTAATGTTGACTTTTAAGCCTAAAATTTCGCTTTTGAGCTTAAAATTAGTCTTTTTGCATTCCAAAGCCTAAATTATAATTTTCAAGTTTAGTCTAAAACGCTATCTCAATCATTAGATACTATCAAACTTTGCCATTTAAACCCTTATTAATTACTCAAAAATTTCGCCTACGTCGTTGAATGTTTGTCTAGTGATTTTTGAAAGACTGCGAATGAAAAGGACAGATGAGTAGGTTATATTGTTCATTGCGCACTCTTACCGATGGTTTCCTATACAATAGTTAATTTTTGGGTTATAATTATACTCACAGGGCTTTGGAGGGGGAATTTTAGCGTTTTGAGTAGGTTAGGGTTGGGGGTAGGGTAAGGCAAGAGAAGGGGTACCATAAATTACGAAAAAAGTTTTAAATTCTATATTTTTAAAGAAAAATTTATTTTTCCAAAAACACTTGGCCGTGCCACTCCTTTTTCCCTTCTATTGATAAAACAAACACTTGACTCATTTTTTCATCGATAAGAATTAGTCTTGGCTCATTTTGATTCGCTTCCGGAAAAAAGATTCCTGATTTCGAGGACTTTTTCACAATTTCCTGCCAAATTTGATCAAAATCTCTTGTCAAATGTTGTTTTAATGATCTGATACGATTAGCATAATATTATGAGTCTGTCCTCCTTCAAGGTATGTTTGTTTGTGTTGAAATTTGAGTAACTCACACCGGTTTCTCGTCTCTAACGCAACATTGGGCTCGCATGTTGTTTTAGGCGTATTTTAGGCGGATTTTTGGGGTTTTTACGCATGTTGCTTTAGGTGGGTTTTAGGTGGATTTTTCGGTTTTACCGGGCAATATTTATGTTATACTGAAGTTTTTTTGATTTTAGAAATTGTTGAATGGTGTTTTTTATGTTATTTTAGTGTTTTTTGATTAAAACTGTGATGTTTTTGGTAGTAAATTAAGGATTGTGTCCGTTTGATTGCTTAAGTTTGACGTTTCAACTTATTTTATTTATATCTTTTTCACAAATGCAGCTAAAGACTTCAAAATTTGTGTCAACATAGCTCAAATACTTCCTCAACTAATGTCAAAAAATACATTTTCAAATTCCTCATCTTGTTGATGTTATTCAAGAAAGTAATGTGTTTATCATTTCAGAAATGCGAGAAAAAGCTGCCATCTGAAGCGATTCGATTAAGGGAGCAAATCATGAACGGAACAGCTACATTGGGCCGAAATGACAGTTTTCCATTGACCAGCTTCAAAAAGGGTGCCAAAATCTGGGTGAAAGATGCGGAACGAGTATGGGTGCAGGCCGAAATGCTGGCCGATTTGTCGTTTCAGTCTAGAACAGTCCCGTTGAAGATTATCAGCGATGATGAGGTTTGTTGATTTTTTAGGTAATAAAAGATTAAGTTTAAAAAGTGAATTTTAGGTAAGAAATAAACTTTTAGATATGACACGTTATGATTAAAGCTAAAATTGAAGCATACTTTGATTATTTTAGACCAAAGGAAGGAGTTATAGGCGATTGTAGAAATTTTTAGGCTTACTTCTTTGATTAAAAACTATTTTTAAGTTTATTTATATGGCTAAAAGTTATTTTAGGCTCATCTTAAGGAATAAGAACTTAATTTTTAGGTGATTGACTATGACTTTGCCAAGAGTGGCATGCCATTTCTGTGCAACCCTGATATTCTCCTTGGCAAGGACGACTTAACTTCCTTGAGTTATCTTCATGAACCTGCTGTACTCAACAATCTTCAGTATCGATTCGAACGACTGGAGAAGATTTACACATATTCTGGCATTGTCTTGGTGGCAATCAATCCATATGCCGATTGTTCACAATTATACGGCGAGGATGTCATGTTGGTATGTTGTGTTACGTAGAGAGTTGTATCTTATTTTCAAGCCTAAAGCTGCTTTTTGGTTTTAATATTGAAACTCAGGCTTAGTTTTTTGAGTTTTTAAAAAAATTTTGTAAGTTTTAGGTATACCGAGGGCAAGGACAACAAGTTCGAGTTCTAGAGCCCCACATCTATGCCATAGCTGAGGAAGCTTACTATGACATGAGTGAATATCACAAAAACCAGTCGATTATCGTATCAGGGGAAAGTGGCGCAGGAAAAACAGTCTCGGCCAAGTTTGTCATGAGGTATGTATCAATGTGGATTTTAGGTAATAAAAATTGAATTTAGGCTTAAAGTAGCATTAGTTTATATTTTAAACGGTTTTTGAGTCAAAATGCGTTTTTAGGCTTAAAAGTTAAATTTTAGGGTTACAAGTTGATCTTAGGCTTAAAATGAAACATTAGGCTTAAAAATCATTTAGTTTTTTTAATTTAGTCTAAGAAAGGCATTTTAGGTTTAAAACTCATTTTTAGGCTAAAACATGAATGTTAGGCTTAAAAGTGATTTTAAGTTTGAAATTTTTAGGTACCTAACAACAGCCGCCTCCCGGTACCGACGATCCGAAAATGGCATTGAGAACCGTGTGTTAGCCCTAAATCCGGTTATGGAAGCGATTGGAAATGCGAAAACGATTCGAAATGACAATTCAAGTAGATTCGGAAAGTTTATTCAAATCGACTTCACTGAGAAACATACAGTATCAGGGGCCAAAATGAAGACATACCTATTGGAAAAGAGTCGAGTAGTGTTTCAATCTCGAAATGAACGAAATTACCACATCTTTTATCAGTTGTGTGCTTCTCACAATCATGAGATTCTGAATGGTCTTGGACTGACCGAAGCTACCGGATTCAGATTCACAAATATGGGCGAAGCCAACGATATTGGTGGTGTAGATGATCGAAAAGAGTTTGAAGCAACTCTACAAGGTTTCAGCTTGTTGAAGATCGATCCGATGAGACAAAGAGAAATCTTCAGGGTTTTGGCTGGGGTTCTACAGTTGGGAAATATTAAGTTTGATGCTCAACATGACAAAAGCTCGATTAATGTAAGGAGAGGTCTAGAGGGTTTTAACTGGTTTTGAGGTTTACAGAAGAACTTTGGGGCTTCAAAATGAAATTTTACTATTAAAAATGAAAATTTAGGCTTAAAATGAAATTATAGGCTTAAAACTTAAATTCTGGTATAAAAATGTATTTTTAGGCTTATTAATGATTTTTATTTTGAAAACGCGATCTTTGGGCATAAATGTGTATATGTAGGCTTAAAATGTATTTTTGGGCTTAAAAATGAAATTTTTGGTTTAAAATTGATCTTTAATAAAAATATTGTTTCAGGCCGACTCAGAATCCTGCCTACAAAAGCTATGTACCGAGCGTTTCCAAGTCGACCCAAGTCAGTTGACGGAGTGGCTGACGAATCGAGAACTAAAAGCTGGAGCAGAAAAGCTGAAAAAGCCTGTAAATAAAGAAGTGGCCGAAGATACTCGTGACGCATTGGCAAAGCTGATATACTCATCTATATTCACATGGATCGTGAACAAAGTCAACCAAAGTTTGATGGTCGAAAATTCAAAAAGTTCAAAGGAAACAAACTCGAGATTTATCGGAGTTTTGGATATTTACGGGTAAGAGATTGTTGTTGTTAAGGGTGTAAGGTTTCAGATAAAAAATTGATTTGATGTCGAGAATTTAGGCTTGAAAATGACTTAAAATATCTTTTAGGGTTAAAAAAAGAATTTAGGCTTAAATTTAACTTTTCGGCTAAAAATTAAATTTTAGGCTTAAAGGGAAGTTTTATGCTGGAAATGAAAATTTAGGCTTAAAAATGAAATTTTAGGTTTAAAAATGGGTTTCAATGTGTTTTTACTTTTAGATTTGAAACCTTTGAAGTGAACAGTTTCGAGCAGTTTTGCATCAACTACGCCAATGAAAAGCTTCAACAACAATTCAATCAGCACGTTTTCAAATTGGAACAAGCTGAATACGAAAGAGAAGGCATCGCATGGGTCAGGATAGAGTATTATGATAACCAAGAATGCATTGATTTGATTGAAAAACGACCGGGAATTTTGGATTATTTGGATGAGCAGTGCAAGGTTTGTAAAAGGGTTTATTTTTGAGTTACTTTTGGGTTTAGAAATGGGTTTTAACGGTGTTTTTAGGCTTAAAAGGTGGATTTTTTTTGAAGAAAAAGGACTTGAATTTAAAACAATGCTTTTAGGCTTAAAATTAGAGTTTCGAAACATGTTTAAGTCTTGTAAGGGCTTTACATTGATATTTCCAGACCGGCCACGGAAGCGACGAAGCATGGCTGAACCAACTGGTCAATTGCCAAATTCTGAAGAATTGTGATCACTTACAAATGCCAAAAATCAAGAACAACACGTTCATGGTGAAGCATTTTGCCGCAAATGTCAGCTACACCGTCACTGGATTCTTGAATAAAAACAAAGATACGATCAATGAACGGCTTCTAGGAGTTTTTGAAAATACACAGGTAAAGGGGGGGGGGGCTGAAAATGGATTTTAGGCGTAAAACTGAAATTTTAGCCTTAAGAATGAATGCTTAGGCCTAACAATGGATTTTAGGTTTAAAAATAAAGCTTTAGGCTTAGAAATGAATCTTAGGCCTAATATTAAAATTTTAGGATTGAAATTGAATTTTAAGGCTTAAAAATGAAATTTAGGCTTTAAAATTCAATTGTGGGTTTCGAAGTATATTATAGGCTAAATATTAGGCTTAAAAACTGAAATCTTATGCTCAAAATGTCCTATGAATAAGTTTAGGCTTAGGCTAATCAATATTACTTTATGCTTTGAAACTGACGCGGGTTTTATAGGTTTTAGATTTTTCAGAGCCGTTTGTTACCTACTTTTAAAATCAAAATTAAATTTTCAGTTCAAATTCCTAAAAGAAATTCTACAAGAAGCTCTGGAACAACAACAAAATGGAGCAAAACGAAAGAAAACAGTTGGAATGCAATTCAAGGACTCACTAAAACAACTGATTGAAGTCCTGACATTGACCAGGCCACACTATGTAAGATGTATCAAGCCGAATGACTCAAAGGAGCGATTCACCTTTGAGCCAAAAAGAGCAATTCAACAGTTGAGAGCTTGTGGAGTGCTGGAGACTGTCCGAATCTCGGCTACTGGATATCCGTCAAGGTGAGGGTTTTTTGATAGATTTGATAAGGAGGGAAGGATGGTAAAGGTTTTGGAAAAAAATGAGTTGAGGACTTGAAATTTACTTTTTTGGATAAAAAATGAGCTTTAGGCTTAGAATGAACTCTTAGGCTTAAAAATTATGTTCTAGGTTTAAAATTTAAATTTTAGATTTAAAATAAAAATTTAGGCTTAAAACTTAATTTTAGGCTTAAAAAACTAGCTTTAGGGACATAATTTTAAGCTTAAAATTTACTTTTAGTTTAAAAAATGAAATTTGAGGCTTAAAAATGACCTTTATGCTTGCTCATGAATTTTTGACTTAGATCTATCAATTTTACTTCTGAAAATAAAAATACTATTAAATAGCCCAAAAACTTTATAAAAAGTACAATTTTTAATTTCAGATGGACATACGACGACTTCAAACGTCGCTACAGTGTTCTCTTCCCAAGTGGCTCCAGCCTAAAGCCAAGAGTTTTTGCCAAAGAAACTTGCGAACAATGGTTGGACGCAGAGAAGTTTGCCTTGGGCGATTCAAAAATATTCTTCCGAACTGGACAAGTGGCAGCATTGGAGCAGAACAGACACGACGTTCTGTATCGTGCTGCTGTTTGTATTCAGAAAACTTTCAGAGGTTATGTGGCTAGGAGAAGATATGTTCAGTACAAAAATGCTATACTGACTATGCAGGTGGGTTGAAAATGATTTTTTGGGAATAGAGGGGTTTTTAGGCTTTAAACGAAGTGTTACGCTTAAAAATGCGTTTTAGGCTTAATAATAAAGTATTAGGCTTAAAAAATTAAGTTTTAATCTTAAAGATGAATTTTAAGCATGAAAATGAAGTTTTAGGCTTAAAGATAAATTTTGGGCTTAGAAATGCGTTTAAAATTAAATTATATGCATAAAAATGAAATATTAGGCCTAAAGCGCTATTTTAGGTTAAAAATAAAATTTTTCATAATGTTGATGACTTTCAGGCCTACGCTCGTGCCTATTTGGCATTCAAACGTGTCAAATACCTTCAAATCGAACGAGCTTTGGTCACAATTCAAAGCTTTGTCCGAAGCTATCAGAAGCGAAGACGGTTCGAAAATCTGAAGGCTGTCACACTTCACATTCAGTCTTGGTATCGTGCTGAACAGGTTCGAAAGGAACTTTTGAAGGTAAATTTTTGTTTTTTTTTTGAAAAAGTTGTTTTTTAGTTAATTTTTTTTAATTGAAAGATTCAAAAATGAATTTTAGGTTTAAAAATGAGTTTTTAGGCTTGAAAATGAAATTTTAGACTTGAAATTAATAAAAATAATAGTAATCTAGGCTAACTTCGAAAAAATTAAACAAACTTATTTTAAGAAGCGCTATGAACGCTCAGCCCTAATAATCCAGAAGCATTGGCGTGGCTACTGTGTCAGACGTGAGCACGTTCACTACATCCTTAACATAATCAAAGTTCAATCGATGGTCCGCCGATTTTTGGCCAAGAGAAAGCTGAAACAACTCAAGATTGAAGCCAAATCAGTGGATCATTTCAAGAATCTTAACGACGGCTTAGCTAACAAGTTGATTGAAACTACCCAAAAATTGAGTTTAATCAACGAACAGAATGCTCAAATGGCACAGAAGCTGGCTTATTATGAAGAAATGGCACTGAGGAATGAAGAGTTGGAAAAAGAAGTTGAGATATTGAGGTTTAACGCCAGTTTAGTTGAGGAAACGAAACAACAATTGGAGGTTTATGCGGTCGATCTTCAGGAAAAGGAAAAGTGCGCGAATGAATGGAAGGAACGGCACGATTTGGTCAATATTGATTTGGAAAGGGTAAGAAAATCGGAGTTTTTGGCAGTATTTAGAAGTGCGAATGATAATTTTTTAGTTTTTATTACAAGAAATGGCAAAAACTTTCTTTACAAAACACAAAATGGCAAAAACTTTCTTTACAAAACAAAAAATGGCAAGAACTTTCTTTACAAAACAAAAAATGGCAAGAACTTTCTTTACAAAACAAAAAATGGCAGGAACTTCCTTTACAAAACAAAAAATGGCAAAAACTTTTTTTACAAAACTTTATATAAGTATTTTTAATAATATTGTTCTAGTTGAACGACGAGATGGAACGTCTATCAACAGAATGCGAAAGTTTTAACAACTTGGTACAAGAAAGAACCACTCAGCTGAACCAAATCCAAGGCCAATTGGACGTAGAAATCAGGCGAAGAGAACAAGCCGAACATGAAATGGCAGAAATGAGGGAACAACTGATTAGGAACGCCGATTTACTGGTCGGTTCTGGGTTCAGTCGAGAAGGCAGTTTGAGAGGTAGGTTGATATTTGAGGGTTGAAATTGATATTAGGAATTTTAGGCTTAAATTTGAATTTTAGGCTTAAAAATTAATATTAAATTTTCAGGAAGCGATTATAAAGCCGGCTTCAGCTACCCATCAAGTGATATTCAATTTGACGGCGATAGTATCAAACTGCTTCAAGATCAACAATCGTTGATTACAAGCCTAAGAAAACGGTTAGAAGAAGCTCAGCGGGTCAGAGATCGATTGGAAACCGAGAAATGTTCAATCAAACTACATGAATATGCGGAGAAATTCACATCGTTGAAGGCTTACGAAGCACAACGGCTACAAGTGAGTACGAAAGGGAATCAGTTGGCTTGGCATGGGGATTTCAAAAGTATTTTAGGGTTTCTAGTGGTCTTTGTGGTACATCTTTGTCTTCTCTTTTTACTTCTTTTGCGTATTTTTTTACTGTCTAGCCCTGATTACTGTAACATCTCTCTGCCTCTCCAACTGATTCCTTTTTGTTCGTACTAACACACGGGGGTGGTTTTTATGATTGATTAAAGCTAACATATGTTAAGGATCTCGAAGTCACCGTGGTGAAACAACGCAACGAACTCCAAGCCTACGTCGAAGCGATGGCCAAGTCTGGATCACTTCAGAAGTGTTTTGTCGAATCGTACGATAGAATCAAAGAAGATTTGGAAAGACTTCACGAAGAGAATCTAGGCCTACGAGCGTTGTTGGCCACCTTCTTTGAAAAGAGAACGGCCAAATCACCGGATTCAGGCCAATGGTCGGAAGGCAGTGACGATGGATCGTCATCACAAATCACGAATGACATTGAGGAACAGTACACAGTGGATAGACTGGTTAGACAGTACAGGGATACTTTGGAGTAGGTTTTTTGATATTTTGGTTAAAGTTGATTTTGAATTTGAAAAACTTGAAAAAGATTTTTTTGAGATTCAAATTAGTTTTTAGGTCTAACATTTGTTTTTGAACCTAAAATTCATTTTTAAGCCTAAAATTCATTTTTAAGCCTAAATTTCATTTTTTATAATTTCAGCGTGGCCAATCGTGAAATTGCCGAAAGAGACGAGAAAATCCTGGAACTGACTAGAAGTATGGCACAATTGGAAGAAATGCTGCATAGTAGTTGTCAGGTATGGTATTTTTTAAATTTTTTTGTAAAACACATTTTAAAATTTTCTGTGGTTTTTTTGACTTTTTAAGATTCTTCCTGACTTTTTCAAATTGAAATTTGAAAATTAGGTAACAAGAGACGGAGAATTTTGCAAAGTTCTGAACTTGTAAGCAAGGACTTTGCTAGGGAAAGGGAAATGGATGCATGGTGGTGAATACACCTATTCTTCTCCTCATTTTTCCTACTCTTGCACCTTCTTAATTTTTTAAGGTTTAAAAGCTCAAAAACCAAAATTTTTTCACGTTCTAATCTACCTAAAATCTGTAGCGACGGCTAATGTTAGATAATTCGTAGCGCATTGCAAGTTTTGATTCAGCGGAAGGTCGTTGTGTTGATTTTTGAACAAAAGACGGACAAAGGAAGGGTAGTAAACCTGTGTAAACAAACCGTTAATTGGATACAATCGCTTCGGGGTTAATACAAAACTATGCATTATTCAAATTTGAAAAGTTTAAGGGTTGTGAGTAGCCGATGGTTTTTTGGGCTTAATGTGGGCATGGTGAAACTGACTGTATGCCATAATTTTTTTTAAGTTTAAATTCATTTTTTAGCCTAAAGGTTTTTTTTAAGTCTAAAATTTAATTCTTAAGCCTAAAATTAATTTTTATACCCGGAAAGTCATTTCTATGCATAAAGTTGCATTTTTAAATCAAAATGTCATTTTTAAGTCTAAAATTTAATTCTTAAGTCTAAAGTTAATTTTTAAACCTGAAAAGTGATTTCTGTGCCTAAAATTGCTTTTTAAGTCAAAAAGTAATTTTTAAGCCTGTAATTGAATTTACAAGCCCAAAATTGAATTTTTAAGCCTAAAGTGCTATTTTTATAAATGAAAGTGCATATCTAAACTTAAAGTGCATTTTTAAGTTTAAAATTTCTTCTCAAGCTTTAAAAAGTGGTTTCTAACCCTAAAGTTTCTTTTTACCCCTACGGTTTCATTGTTGTGCTAAAATCTCATTTATAAGCTTACAATTTCTAAAAACTCATAAAATTTAAATTTTTCGAATTTGGACTTTTTACCTTAATCTCATCGCAGCTATAACTATAATTGCCGCTGGCTTTTTAAATAATTGTATTCTCCACGAAGCGGGCTATTTTTTTAAAGGTTTCTTTTTTCATGCAAAATACTTTCTCTCCACTGCCTCGCATCCGACCGGGCGGGGGGATCTTTTTGGGAATTCCGCGTCACAAAAAGCCCTTTTTCTTTTTGGAGGGCTCTGTTTTTGATCGTGGAGAATTTTGTGGGTTTTGACAAAGGAAATTTGCTTTATTTTCTATTATGTTATAACAACAACATTACTTTTTATGCTTTTGTGATTTTTATATGCTTTATATTAGCTGGTTTTATTAGAAAAAAGGGGGGTTTGGGTATTTTTGAGGTTAGAAAATGGGTTTTTGCATTGTTTTTCATCAGAAAAAAAAATATTTTTACTTTTTTTACATTGGAATATGATTTTTTGGGGTTTTAAAGTCAGAAAAAAGGGGTTTTTGAAAATTTTTTAATTGAAAAATTTATTTTTGAGCTGATTTGAGGTTGAGTATTTTTAGGTAATATAGATTGCATTTTTGTCATTAAATATTCCTTTTTTGATATGAAAAATAGCTTTCGGGCAAAAAAAAGTTTGATTTTTGGCTAAATATTGTATTTTTCCTCGTTTTTTAACGTTTTTCTTTCAACTTTTTAAAAATGTGAGTATTTTAAGCCGGTTTGTCCACAAATTTTGCATTACAATATATTGCACAACCTTTTAAACACTCGATGCATCAAGCGTGCGTCGGCCAAAGTACGGGTCTAACACAAAAAGGTGGCATTTCTTCATTGGGTCTGACTCAAACAGTATATGACCCTTCTATCTAGCACAATATTCCACTAAAACTTGATGAGAATGGAGTTGGAATTCGAAGAGATTGACGCCTTTTCGGATCCGTCATGTTCAGTAGAGGAGAAGCCTTCAACAAAGCCAGCACCAGCCTTCTATCAGCTGACTTTCAATGCTGAGGAAGAGGAGAAGACCACGCCGGAGAGGAGGGCTTCTAATATCTCTGTTAGTGAAGGGTTTCGTTGGTTGGGGCATGGATAATATAAAATTTTGAAAAATTTTGTGAAATTGAAATTAAAAATTTTTTTTTTAATTTGAAATTTTGAATTTTGAAAAAAGTCAGCAAGAATCTTCAAAAGTTTTTTAAAGCTCAATTTGATGAAAACCACGCCTTAAAAAGCGTAAAAATAATATTATCAAGCTTTTTCACCTATGTTAATATACCTAATTTTAGACGAACGACCATTCCATAGCAGACACAGCTTCAACAACATCGTCGAACCTCATGGTGACGTCGCTGGTTCAAGAAAACTTGGTACGGTGTTTTATATATGTGAAAAATTTAGGCGCACAAACTCTTTGCCGAGTCGTTTCTGTTTGTTTGTCACCGTTCTTGGATCCTCGTCTTTTTGGGTACTATTAGAGTGGTATGCATGGTGTGTTGTGGGTGCTATTAGAGTAGTATACATGTTGTCTTATCAGTGCTATTAGAGTGGTATGAATGTCTTTGGGTCTCCACCCTCCCCCCCCTAGAAAAAATCCGTAGCGACGCCCCTGATCCAAGTTGCTTTATTGGTATAATTAGAGTAGTACGCAAGTTGCTTTATGGGTACTATTAGAGTGGTGTATATTGAAAGTTCAAAAACGTCTTGTTGTTTTTCAATATTTAAATCAACGTAACTTGGCGACAAGACTTTCTATTTAGATTTTGTGATAAGTAATTTTAAATTTGAGCTTTTTTAATGAGTAATGTTAACTATGAGCTATGGTTTTAAAAAGTAATATTAAGTTTGAGTAACTTTTTTTGATTAGTAATGTTAAGTTTAAGATATGGTAAGGTTATTTTAACACGATTGATTCTCTAACGATAATTATTAATTTTGTCTTTTTTTGTTTGCACAATGATGTTATTTGTTCGTTTTTAATAAAATTTCACGAAAATTGGAGTGTTTTTGGTGTTGGTAACTTGTTTTTGTAGCTTACAGTTTCTTTGTTTTATGATTTTTGCTTTCACAGTGCACTGCAGGTCTTTCTTTGCACTTTTCAAGTGTACTTTATCTCTTGTAGGCTTAAAGATAGTTTTTTTGATACGGTAACATGAAATGACATAGGTACCTCTGCTTCTTAGGCTAATCTGTGACAAAAGTAAGATTCATATTTAGGCCTAAAATAGATTTTTTAAGCCTAAAACTCAATTTCAAGCTCATAATTTTATTTCTAAGCTTAAATTTATTTTTAAGTATAAGGGCTGTTTTTAAGTCTAAAATTCATTTTTAAGCTTAAAAGTTATTTTTAAGGAAAAAGTTTGTTTTTAAGCCTAAAGGTCATTTTTACGCCTAAATTTTATTTTTCATTGTACCTTTTTTTCAAACCCAATTTCGTCTTTCAAGCTTTACAACATCACTGTCTACGCCCTTCTCTCCCACGCTTAAGCCTTCTAAAAGCCTTATAGATTTAATTAAGTTCCACGCATTTCAGGCATTGCAAAACAAACTGACACGACATGCAGATGAGTTGGCGGAAGCACGAGCCTACCTACGAGGACATTCATTATCCTCGTTCGAAGGCAATGAAGAACAAGGTGTCTTGAGGTTAGAGCCTCTAGCAAAGGGTGGCAATACCCACTCGGTACTGTTGGAGGTGTTCAACATTCCGGAATTTACAAAAATTTTGGTTTATGGTCAGTTTTTCGGCTTAAAAAGGTCAAAAATGCAAAGAAAAATGAAATTAAAAAAAATTTTAAATTTAAAGTTAAACACATCGATATCACTACTTAAAAAGTATTGTCGTTTTTCATTGTGTAAAGCACTGCAATTTGACGACAAGACTTTTTTTCTTAAGTAATACAAACTTGTTTTAAAAATTAAAAGATATTAGCTCGTTCAAATAATTCTGTGCCTTCATTTCAAAGCAAGTTTTCGAAGTCTGGAGCACAGAATTATTTGAAAAATATATTAAAAAGGGATGCCATTTTAAAGTAAACAAAAATGGATTTTCAGATCTAAAACCTCGAATGGCAAAGCAGCTAACTCCTTGTTTACCAGCTTATTTACTATTCGCTGCCTTACGATACTTTGATCATGCCAAAGATGATGCGTGTATTACAGGACTGTTTAATGCCATTCATCTTTTGCTGAAGGACATTTCTTCGGTAGGTTCTACTCTACCTTACCCTACTCTATCGTGCCCTACCTTACCCTACCCTACCCTGCAATACCCTCCACTCTATCTTACTGTACTTTGTCTTATACTAACTTATTCTGCGCTTATCTTCACTCTATCTTTCTCTACCCTCTAACCTACTGTATTAAAAACCTTTAAAAACCTCATGTTTTAGGCTTCAAAAGACATGGACGTCCTAATCCTATGGTTCGTCAATTCCTGGCGACTTCTGAATCTTCTTCGCCAATTCGGCGGGGAACAAACCGAAGAATCATGGACAGCACGAAATACGGAAAAGCAAAATGAATGGAAATTCCAACACTTCAATTTCGAACCGATAAGGAATCAGTTAAAACTGAGAGTCGAAGACTTTTACCAAAATTTCATGAAAAATACAGTAGAACCATTGCTGACACCGAAAATATTCCCCGGGATCCTACAACATGAAAGCGAAAGTAAAGTCATGAAATGTAACGGAGATCAAAAGGAAAAGGAGTGTCAGAGCTTGGATGATATCAAGGAGTTTGTAAGTTTTTTTAGAGCTAGAGTGGAGTGTGGTAAGGTAAGCTTTGCTGATAGTGTAGGGTTTGGTAAGAAGGAATAGTTGGTGCGGTAATTTTTGTTAGGGCGTAAAATTCTGTAATGAAAAAGGCAAGTATAGGATAAAAGTGAGGATTTTTAGGGTGTATTTCGGGGGCATGATAGGTTATTAGGGGGAGATTTAAGTTACGGTAGAGAGGCAGAGAACTGAGTACAGCATAGGGTTGTCAGGGAAAAGTATTTTAGACCATAGCTGTATCAGAGCTAAAATAGGGATACAGACAGGCACGGTAGAGGTCGCTAAGGTAAGAGAGTACTATATTATGGTAAGGTAGGGTAAAGTAGAGTAGGGTAGGGTATGGTACGTTAGGACAGGGTAGAGTAGCGTGGGGTTGGATAGGGTAGGGTAGAGTGCATTTTGTAAGAAAAGTAAAGGAATCTTTAAATTTAAAAAAAATTTTAGTTGAACCTGGTCTACTCGAAGCTACGGAACTTTGGCGCAGAGCCAAATGCCATCGTACAGACTTTCAAACAGATTTCCCAATGGATTTGTGCATTAGCAATGAATCAGCTTGTCTTTAGGAAGGATTTGTGCACTTTTGAAAAGGCTATTCAGGTCAAGTAAGTTTTTTCTCTAAATTTATATTAATATTGGTAAGATTATTGAGACTTTTGGTCAAAAAGTGATTGGATTTTTTAAATATTGATCTAAAAATTGTTAGATTTTTTTTGAAAATTTTGTTTTAAAAACATTAAAACCCAAAATTTTAAGACACAACGTCACAGAACTGACCAACTGGCTCACCGACCATGACTTGGCCGTTTGTTCCGAATACCTAGAACCCCTAATACAAGCCGCCCATCTAATGCAGTCGAGGAAAGACGAAGCCAATATCGACACATTGTGTGGTGAAATGACATCGAAATTGACGCCAAAACAAGTGGTATCAATCCTACAACACTACACACCCCCGCCCAGTTTTGAGGAAGAAGCGGTTAATGCCAATTTCATTGTTAAACTGAGTGATAGGCTATATCAACGTGCTGCTTTGGCTGATTTGAATGGAGACTATAATCCGGTAAGGGGATTCTGCGTATTTTTAGTTATTAGGAGGTCTTTATCTTTAAAAAACATAAAATGAACTATAAAAGTTTAGGCTTAAAAGTGAAATTTCAAGTTTAAAAATAACAGTCAACTTTTAGAATGAAAGGGGTAATTTAAAATGAAATTTTAGGTTTAGAAGTAAAAGTTTAGGTTTAAAAATGACAGGCATCAAAGTGAACTTTAGGTTTAAAATTTAACTTTTAAGTTTAGAATAGAATTTTAGGTTTAAGAATAAATGTTTAGGCTTAAATCTGAAGTTTAAGGCTGAAAACAGAATTTTAGGCTAAACAATTAAATTTAAAAATTAAAATTTTAATTTTAAAATGAAGTTTTAGATTTTAAAGTGAAATTTTAGGCTTAAAATATAAATTTTCTTTTTTTAAAATTGATATTTCTTAAAACCAACAAAGCTTAGAATGGCTTTTAATTTTAAAAACTTTCTATTTTCTGATTTATGGCATTTGATTTTTCAGGACACAGCAATCATGCCAGGCACATATCTAGCTCCATTCGACACCTCTTCCTTCATTTACACCGACTTCCCCATCGACAAGATAACTCTTCCATCCTGCCTTCGATTGGATTCGGTCGCCAGATTGATTTAACTATTTTAAGTACTGTTTCCAGTATTTGAACTATACTTCTACTGTCAGTACCATCATTCTTGTTATAACTGTTTTCGCTTCTGTTTTTCAGCTTTTCAGTCTTTTCAACCGGTGCAAAATTAACGATCATTTTCTATTCAAGATTTTTTAAACTTTTTAACTTGATTTTAGGCTTAGAGTTGGTTTTAGGCTTAAAAATGAAGTTTAGGCTTGGCAAATGTTTTTAGACTTATTAATGATATCTTAGGTTTAGAAAGGAAATTTTAGGCTTAAAATTTAATTTTAGGCTTAGAGTTGGTTTCTAGACTCAAAAATGAATTCGTTGGTTTAAAAATGAAATTCTAGGCTTACAAATGGAATTTTAGGCTTACGATGAACATTAGGCTTAAAAAATTAATTAAAAAAATTAATTTTAAGCCTAAACCCTTCTCTAAACTTGTAATATTTATAACATATGTGTATATAAAAGTAAAGTTTTACTACGCAACTATATATTGTCAAACCTGTAGCTTTTATATATTTAAAACGCTTTACCATGTAATAAAGTATTTATTTTTATAAGAATTTGAGTTTTTCAATGATTTGTTAATCTACAATATTTTGATTTTTTGGATTTTTTAGGTATATATTAGGGACAATTTTTTATATTTTTAGGTAAAAAAAAATGATTTTTTTTTGTATTTTAAAGTAAAAAAAATAATGATTTTCATTAATTTTAGGTAATAAAGGTATTTTTAGAATTTTAGGTAATAAAGACGATCTTTTTTGTAAAATTTAGATAACAGAATCTTTTTCTATTTTTACTAACAAAATTTAATTTCTTTAAAATTTCTAGTTATCAAGCTCCCTATTTTATAAAAATTAAGTTTAAAAGCAATTTATATTGGTTAAAATGTTATAAAAAAGATTTTTTTTACAATCTTGCATCAATCCCACCGTTGACAGCATGAATTTCCCCGGTGACAAAACTAGCATCGTCCGAACAGATATAAGCCATAACACTAGCCACTTGTTCTGGATAGCCAAAGGTACCCCAAACACTTTGGCCGCCTTTGCCTGAGCCTTCGGCTTGCTTGTGCCATTTGTGCTTGTCATCCCATAACTGAAAACATTAGAAGTTTGGTATAGTACGAAGCAAGTTAGTAGGTTTTAAGTGCAGTACGATGAAAAATATTAAGTTTTTGATACCGTACGGAGGTAAAAATGAAATTTGTGACACAGTACGAAGATAAAAATTAGGTTTTTGGTATAGTACGAAGCAAGAAAATAGTTTTGAGATTCAGTACGAAGCTAAAAAAGTACAGAAAAGTTAACCTTTTAGTACTATATTATACTAAAAACACTTTCTTTAGTGCTAATTAGCACCGAAAACAGTATCAATAGTACTAAAATCTGTTTTTCTGGCTCAACTTGGTACTGAACCCTCTTTTTTACACTATTACAGTAGCAAAGTTACTACTTTTTGTACAAAGTATTACTTTGAAGCCTAAAAACGTACCACTCGACTCATGTTGGTGTAGATAATACCCGGCGATACAGTGTTGACACGTATTTTATGAGGTGCCAATTCATTTGATAAGGCCATTGTTAGCGAATGCAAAGGTATCTTCGTTGCACCGTAGATTTGTAGGCCTGGTGACATGCGATGTGCTGATATTGTTGATGTGAATACTATGGCGCCACCTCTGGAATAAAGGTATTTAGAAAGATGGTACTAAAAACTAGTCTCATGGTACAATATTGTACTAAAAGTACTAAATAGTACCAAATGTAATATTACTTTTGGTACAACATAGTACTAAAATACTAAACGAGGTACTAGAATATAGTATCTAATACCCTTACCCATTCTTTTTCATGATAGGAGCCACAAGCCTTGTCAATTCAAAACAAGCCTTTACATTAATATTAATCATCCGGTCAAAGTGCTTGGCAGTATACTCCATAACTCCACCTACAATCGGATTAATCCCAGCATGTGATACTAAAACATCTATTCGGCCAAATTTGAGCACGGTAGCATCGACAATACGACGACGATCCTCGGCTGTTCCTACTTCACAAGCCATTGCCAATATATTGTTGGGGTCGAACTTGCATTCCTCGACCAGATGCTTCTTCGCTTCTTGAATATTCTCCAGTTTTCGACTACTTATCGACAGTTTGGCACCCTCTCGGGCGAAGCGTTCGCACATGGCTAGGCCTATCCTGTAATTTTGTTTTTAGTTAATTTTCTATATATATTTTTGGACGGGAATTCAAATTTTATATACTTTTTGCCCAAAATACAAAATTTTAAAAGCTTGTAATAAAAGTTACCCTTTAGTAGCAGCAGTAATCAGCACCACCTTCCCTTCGTATCTTCGGCATTGGATTTGATCTGCCGTCTTTGCTGGATCCATTTGGCCTGCCATTCTTTATTATACCTAAAAATAGTCATCAAAGCAAGAAAGGTTAGCGTCGTACTATGTAGTATAATATAAAAAAAAATAAAAAGTGACTTTACCCTACCCTACCCTACCCTACCCTGCCCTACCCTGCCCTACCCTGCCCTGCTTTGCCCTACCCTATTCTACCCTACCCTACCCTACCCTACCCTACCCTACCCTACCCTACCCTACCCTACCCTACCCTACCCTACCCTACCCTACCTTACCTTACCCTACCCTACCCTACCCTACCCTACTCTACCTTACCCTACCTTACCTTACCTTACCTTACCTTACCTTACCTTACCTTACCTTACCTTACCTTACCTTACCTTACCTTACCTTACCCTACCCTGCCCTGCCCTGCCCTGCCCTGCCCTGCCCTGCCCTGCCTTGCCCTGCCCTGCTCTACCCTACCCTACCCCTACCCTACCCTACCCTACTCTACCCTACCCTACCCTACCCTACCCTACCCTACCCTACCCTACCCTACCCTACCCTACCCTACCCTTCCCTACCCTACCCTACCCTACCCTACTCTACCTTACCCTACCTTACCTTACCTTACCCTACCCTACCCTACTCTACCTTACCCTACCTTACCTTACCTTACCTTACCTTACCTTACCTTACCTTACCTTACCTTACCTTACCTTACCTTACCTTACCTTACCTTACCCTACCCTGCCCTGCCCTGCCCTGCCCTGCCCTGCCCTGCCCTGCCTTGCCCTGCCCTGCTCTACCCTACCCTACCCTACCCTACCCTACCCTACTCTACCCTACCCTACCCTACCCTACCCTACCCTACCCTACCCTACCCCTACCCTACCCTACTCTACCCTACCCTACCCTACCCTACCCTACCCTACCCTACCCTACCCTACCCCTACCCTACCCTACCCTACTCCCCTACCCTTCCCTACCCTACCCTACCCTACCCTACTCTACCTTACCCTACCTTACCTTACCTTACCCTACCCTACCCTACTCTACCTTACCCTACCTTACCTTACCTTACCTTACCTTACCTTACCTTACCTTACCTTACCTTACCTTACCTTACCTTACCCTACCCTGCCCTGCCCTGCCCTGCCCTGCCCTGCCCTGCCCTGCCCTGCCCTGCCCTGCCCTGCCCTGCCCTGCTCTACCCTACCCTACCCTACCCTACCCTACCCTACCCTACACTACCCTACCCTACTCTACCCTACCCTACCCTAGCCTACCCTGTCCTACCCTATTCTACCTAAATCAAAAAGTTCAAGAGCTACTTGCCAGTAGCAAATCACTTTTACATTGTAACTCACAAAGCAACACTTACCACAGAAAATGTAGTTTTTTACAGAATTAACATGTTCCTAATGTTTTAATTTTGGAAAAAGAACGTTAATTAACCCGGCAGCTCTTTTCTTTTGTTAGATTGAAAAAGATTTGAACAAAACCCATGAATATATAATATATTAAACTAATATACAACGACACTCCTGCTTGACAAATAACTCTACAGGGTGTCCCAAGATTTTTGCGGAAAAGTAAAAGCTTGTTTCTCGAAAAGTACCAGTCCAAATTGGACGATTCTTTTTTTTAGTACACTTGAAATTGCGGGCGGATTTGGTATTGGTACTTCGTTTTTTGATATTCGGCGGATGTTCGGCGGAGGCCGGCGGAGGCTACTTTTTTTGCTTTGACCAATCCAAAACCTTCATTTTTTGGTTCCTATGTCACCTGCTGATTCGTCAAAACGCTTTCCAATCAAAACATGTCTTTCCCTGCATCGGCGGACGACCGGCGGAGAAAAACGGCGAAGGCCATAACTCCGCTCAAACTCAATATTTTTTCACCGGACAAAAAATGGAAATGTTATTTTAAGCTGTTTAATACATTTAATCAAGTTTACAGTTCAAAAAATTTCATCGGCGGACGATCGGCGGAGAAAATCGGCGAAGGCCGTATCTTGGTCAATTTTTAATAGTTTTTTTTCGGAAAAAAAGTTGTTGGTACCCTAAGGTCCTTCTCTACCAAACAAATTTAAAAATTTTTAAATTTTTAAAACTTTTTTTTAAAAATATTATTTTTTTTATTTTTTTATTTAACTTTTTAAAACTATTCCGATATTTTTTATAAAAAGTTTATTAACAATAACCTATATAACAACAACGCTAACTAATGAGATTGTTCATCGTTGGTTGCTGGGTAACTCCTTTCCACACTTTGACCACCAACATCAAGACACCGTCGCAATCGCTTCGGATAGTTGCGCAAAGCTGCGCGACACATTTCCACTGAAATCTCCGCAACCACATCGCGAACTTTTTGCTTTAGTTCGCGTAACGACGCGACTTGAACACTGTATACTTTTGCCTTCACGTAACCCCAAAGGGAAAAAATCCATTGGGGTTAGATCGGGCGAGTTTGCCGGCCAAACGAACGGAGGAGGAGCGCCGCGACTATCCCGACCCATCCAGCGACCCGGCAGATGGGTGTTCAAAAAACTCGCGCACAACTAAGCTATGATGAGGCGGAGCCCCATCATGCATGTACACCAAAGTAGCTAAAAAGATATAAATTAGTATTTTGCTTGTTTTTCGTACCTGAATTTGGCCACTGTAGAAGCTGTGGCAACACATCTTGCTCTAACAGCTCCAAATAACGTGCCCCGTTAATGTTTTCATCAATGAAAAAAGGCCCCACAACCCCGTTCCACCCGATGGCTGCCCACACATTCGTTTTGGGAGAATGCAGCGGCTCTGATACACACCAGTGAAGATTCTCTTTAGCCCACCACCTTGAATTTTGACAATTTAAGCGGCCATGGATATGAAACGTGGATTCATCGCTAAAAACTAGCTCTTCCAAAAACGCCTCGTTGTTTTGCAGCTGCTCAAGCATAACATTTGAATGCGATAAACGTTGTACTATGTGCCTTGGCAAGATTTCTTGCACTTTTTGAAGTTTGTATGGGTGGTACCCATCTTCGCGCAATTTCCGACTACATGTACTCTTCGAAGGTATACCCTCAAAACGGCTCAATTCTCTTACAGATATTCGCGGATTGTCGGCAATAGCATCCCCAATTCTAGCAACAACTTCAGGAGTGGCAACAAAGCTAAAGAAATGTTATTTTGTTAGTTGTGCTTACTTTGTTTTCACTTTTTCTTTTCTGAGGCAGTGGCGACGACTACGAAACTCGATAACCCAGCGTTTAATAGAATCTGCTGATGGACAGGGTGTACGAGGGCTACGGGGGTGATACACGGCCATGTACTTTCTACGAACGCTTTCAGGACTTTCCCCTAACTTAAAATACCATTCAACACATTCACTCTTAACATCAGCACCCCAAACCATTTTTTCTTGATCAAAGAGTTTTAAAAAAATAAAAATAATACCAAGTCAGAATAGTTTCAACTATGTTTTTATGGTTTTATTTGAAAAATATATGATCTCTGTCGATCGAAAGTAAGCTTAACTATTTTTTAAAAAATTCACTAATTTCTGAATTCGTAACAGTTAGGTAGAGAAGGACCTTAGGGTACCAGCAACTTTTTTCCGAAGAAAAACTATTAAAAATTGACCAAGATACGGCCTTTGCCGATTTTCTCCGCCGATCGTCCGCCGGTGAAATTTTTGAGTTTTAAACGTAATTGAAATGATTAAAAAGCTTTAAAAGAACATTTTTACTTGTTTCCCGAAGAAAAACTATTAAAAATTGACCAAGATACGGCCTTCGCCGATTTTCTCCGCCGATCGTAGACCGATGAAATTTTTTGAACTGTAAACTTGATTAAATGTATTAAAAAGCTTAAAATAACATTTCCATTTTTTGTCCGGTGAAAAAATATTGAGTTTGAGCGGAGTTATGGCCTTCGCCGTTTTTCTCCGCCGGTCGTCCGCCGATGCAGAGAAAGACATGTTTTGATTGGAAAGCGTTTTGACGAATCAGCAGGTGACATAGGAACCAAAAAATGAAGGTTTTGGATTGGTCAAAGCAAAAAAGTAGCCTCCGCCGACCATCCGCCGAATATCAAAAAACGAAGTACCAATACCAAATCCGCCCGCAATTTCAAGTGTACTAAAAAAAGAATCGTCCAATTTGGACTGGTACTTTTCGAGAAACAAGCTTTTACTTTTCCGCAAAAATCTTGGGACACCCTGTATAATGATATATGCTATAAAGGAACTTTTGTATAACGACCAACTTCAAACGCTCCGGATAACATTACACTGCACGTCAAGTTGACTGCGGACTAAGATGATTTGTCACTTCGTTATCGGGTCGAAAAATAACGGAATGTCACAAAAAATAAAATTTTATTTTTTCGGTTTGCGTTTGGAAATAATTTCGGTCTTTTAGTCGCTTAGAACGTTTCTTGATGCTAGTTAGGTCAAAAAATAAGTAGAATTTTTTAATTTCTTAATTTGGTTGTCTTAATTGGCTTTTCTATTTACTTTTTGACTAAAATGTAGAAAATTAGCCGAGAAAAAAATCTTTTTCTTTTCGAAAAAAACTATTCGCAACTATTGATTGCGACGAAGTGTGAAAAAAGTGCCAAGTCCGCGTTTTGTTTTATTTCGAATTGACGTGCACTGTGCATTTAAAACTCATTTATAACATTTATATATTACGTTGTTCATTTAATTCTGCGCCCTCTCTCAAAGCAAATTTGTGGAGTAAAGAATTATGTGAGCAACCTAATATCAAAAACAATATTTAAATTTCTGAGTGATTCGTTATACAAGGGTTTCACTGTATTTAGACTTAAAAGGGGACTTACCACCCGTCCTGGCTTTGGCTCACCTCAGCTCACATATTGAGACAGCGGTCACCGCCCCAAGGTCCCAGTTTAGGTTCCGCAGTGAAACCCTTGACTTTCAAAAATTGTATAACGAATTTGATTTTAAGGCAATTAATATAAACACGTTTGAAATAAATAACTACAGTGGAACCCCTGTAAAAGACTTCGATACAACGAAACCTCTTCATAACGAGCAAATTTTATATCCTCTCTCTTGGCGAATTGTTATACAGAAGGCCACTGTAGTATATATTTTTTGCGTATAAAACGACTGCACAAATTTTGGCCAGTTGCGCCCAAATTCAAAAAGCGATTTTTCAAAAGAAATAAATATACAGTGGAACTCCTGTATATAGACATGAGAAACGGGCCGGGCCGGTCTTGAGCAAAATTCCGATCAGGCCGGGCCTAACATTCAGGCCCGGCCTACCATCGGGCCGGGCCGGCCCTGAGCATAATTTCGATCGGGCCGGGCCTGAAAATTGGGCCCGGCCCGGCCCGTTTCTCCTGTGTCTACCTGTATAACGAATCGCCCGAGGACTTGAAATTTGTTCGTTATAAAAGAGTTTCGTTATACAGGAGTTTCACTGTATTTGTGGTTGAAACTTGAGCAAAAAATGTTGGCATTTTGAGGATTGGAGCGTTTTAACTTTGTAAGTTCTTCTTTATTTGGTTATTATTGATGTATTTGATAAATTCTCTATATATCTCAACTTAATTTATTGTTTATACTAGTTTATAACTTCTTTTTTGCTGATACTGCGGAAAAACGTTTAAAAATGTGTAATATTTAGTATTTTACAGAAACAGAAATCCGCAGCTAATTTTAGGTTATTTAGGCTCTAGGACAAATGCGGTTTTTGGACATTTGCGGATCTGCGGTTTTTAGACACTTGCGGATCTTCGGTTTTTGGACACTTGCGGATTTTGGACATTTGCGGATTTTTTGAAGGGGGTTTTTTTATTTTTTAGTTAATTTAGTTTTTTTATGGTACTAAATGGTACTAAAGTTTAAATTGGTACTGTTTTAATATGTTTTAGTGCTAAATAGTACTAAATTTTAAATTGGTACTGTTTTATATTTTTTGGTACTGAATGGTACTAAAAGCCCAAAAAGGTACTGTTATGTTAAAACCGCACCAATTTAAACTTTAGTACAATTTAGTACCATACTACAAATAAATTAACTAAAAAATTTAAAAAAACCTTTAAAAAATCCGCAAATGTCCAAAATCCGCAAGTGTCCAAAAACCGCAGATCCGCAAATGTCCAAAAACCGCATTTGTCCTAGCGCCGTTATTTATTATACAAACACATTTTATTCTAGACTCTCCATTGTTTTATATTAATTTTGATGTATTCGATAAATTCTCTATATATCTCAAATTACTTACAAAAAAGTATTTTTTTAAATTAAAATATTGTTCTAGCCAAAACGACTTGTCATCATGGCAAAAGGCCAAAATTGAAACTTCAATCCATCGGTTTTGCTCAAGACAAATAGTAAGGGTCGAGTTAAGTAACTGCGCAATCATTTTTGTTTTTATCTTTATAGAAGCCTTGAACCTTCTGCTAACTAAATTAATAGCAATAGTTACTCAAATTTGTTACAGTGTTTTATTTTTGAAATGTCATCGAAATCACATGTGTAATTCTTGCAAGACTGTTTTTATTGCGTCGACGATGACTGATGCCCTTGAAAACCTGTAATTCCCAGCGAAAAAGTGTATGACTTTTTGATTTGTTCTTCAAAAAGCCTTAAATTGTTTTTACCACAGTTTTGAAACCCCACGTCTGCCTTGTGTTTTATATGACTTTTGGGAAACTTTGTCGATTTATTGGCGAATTCTGTTTTTGTAAAGACAATTTTTAAAAGCTTTATGGGTGGTTGGTAGCCATTTGTTAATAGATTACGTTTTTTAGGCTTGAAAGTTAGTGGGAGGTTGAAATTGGGTAAATTTTGTTTTAAAGAATATGTTAAAATAACATTTCTTAAAATTTTAAATCCACATATATACTAGTGTTAAGAGAAAGAGAGAAAAAATTATGGTTAGACCAGACGAAGGCAATCAAGGTTCATTATAGACTGAAGAGCAGCACTAGGGCAAGGCAAAATGAAGGGTAAGTAGGGTCATGATGGGTCAAAGTATGGCAAAGTAGGGTAGGGTAAGTTATTTTTGGTAGTAGATTTAGCAAAAAAACTAAATTATAGTACTGTAATTGCTAAAAAATGCATTTTCATTACTACTTTGTATAGAAAAATGATTTTTTTACTACTAAAAAGATCACGAAGTGTCCTCGCGAAACATTCGCGTTCTGCCGCAAATAGCGTCGAAAATCGGGAAATTTTAATGATTTTTTAAAAATGTAAATGGGTCGGTCTCAATTTGGACTTGCCAATGATCTTACCAATTTACCAATTCAGGACTCACATCATGCCAAGATAAAAGAAAAATGGAACTAAGGTGGCCGTGGCATTTCGTTAACTCAAAAGTCTCAAATATTGATTCAAAAAATAAAATAAATATTTAAAATGTTGAACGAAACGTATGAAATTATCAAATAATAGTTAAAATAAATCAAATTTTGAGCTGTAACAAATATAAAAAAATTCGCTATGTTTCGGCGGTTCTTTGAAGGCCAAACTGGTCTTGATCCTTCAAAGAATCGTCCAGATATGACACTACAAGTTTACCACAAACGAATTTCATTTTCAAAATTCCGACCGCTTAATTTCAAACAATTTTTTACAAAAAATAGAATTTCACACTTCGCATCGTTTTTTACACGAAATGTCACTCTGTCTTTAGTTCCTCTTTTGGCATGACGCACGCCACCCCAAGTCTACCGATCAGTCAAAGTAGAGATTCGTAATCGATTCCTTTTTCCGATAATTTGTTTCATTTCGTTTTTCGTTTTTATTTCTTTTTCGGTCGGTTTTTTCGCCTGATATTCAAACTTTTTCTACTATTTTGACCAAAATGTAGCAGAAACTAATGGTAAATGGTAAATTTCAACAGATAAAGGATGTACATTTAAAAAATATATGATTTTTGTTATTTCACAATTGCAATTGTTTTATAAAAGTTTTTTTACATTTTAGCTTTTAATTTTAAAACCAACCGTGATGCGGCGAAATGTCAAAAAAGGAAATAATTCGTTTTCTATTGGTTCAGAGTGGCGTGTACCGTGGGACTGACCTTCTCAAGTTTTTTTCGAAAAAAGTGAATATTGAGGTTGGCTGATTTTGGCACAGAATGACAATTTCTTATAATGACGTATTATAGTTTTTTGTACTAGGTTGTTCACATAATCCTGTGCCCCGTCTCAATGTAAATATTTGGTACCACTTTGTAGAAAAACATGTTATCAGTTTGATTACAATTTTTAAAATGGATATTTAGTACAAAAACATTGGTTTTAAAAATTTTCAGTAAAAAATTCTGATTTTTAAATTGAAAAAGTGACTAAAATTGTAATATTTCCGTCATTTCGAACCTTGAAAAATCAGCGTTTAGCAAAAGAAGTGCTTTATTTAGTGAGCTAATATAATACATGTATGTGTTGTGTTTTTGTTCGCTGAACAAAGTCACTTCGAGTTTTTGAAATCTTTCATTTATATATCATTTCTTCGCGTAGTGATTTTCAAAAATAAAAAACATTTTTTTTTGTTTTTTTATTATACTGTATTCAATACAGTGTATTGCCTTGATATTTTTTTAAATTTTTTTTGGTATTGCTTCTTTTGGACTCTTCTTTTGTGCAGAACGGTGTTAAAAACATAATTTTAGATTTAGTATTGTACTAAAGAAACAGTTTTTTCTTTGTGTTTTGTACTAATGTTTTGGTACTACAATGGAACTTCTATATAACGAATCGCTCGGGGACTTGAAATTTGTTCGTTATAATGAGGTTTTGTTATACAGGAGTTTTAAATGCACTGTGTAGTTGTAGACGGGGATTCAAAAGTTGTTCGTTATACAGGAGTTTTGTTATAGAGGAGTTCGTTATACAAGAGTTCCACTGTATATAGTACGTATCACTTTTTATTGGGTAGTGAAGTACTAAAAACATAATTATTTTAGGCTTATTGTGATACTATAAAACGGTTTTTTTGCCTGTTTTTTCAAAAAAAGTTTGAGTGCTGCATAGTACGTACTAAATTTTATTAGGCAACAGGATATCAAAAACAATGTTTTAGGTTTAATTTGGGTTTATAAAAAAAAATATGCATTTTTTTTGGTTTTGTACTAAAATTGCGGTACTGTATATCACGTACTAGGTCTTGCTGCACAGACGTTTACTATATAAAAACTTCTTACTTTAAAAATTGTATTTATGTTTTATTTTTTAGTAATGACAGAATTACAACCCAAAAAACATGACTCGAATACAATTAAAACTGTCAGTTTTGACGATTTTTTCAAATGTGGAAGATATGTTCTACTGGTCGGTATTCTTCATGAATTTTGTGCTTTCACACAGCTTTCTTCTATGTTCTTCATGATGTTTGGAGGTAAGCTCTATATCATGTTGTCCGAATATGAACGAATCAAAAATTTCAAACTTGGACGATTTGAATGTCTCATCTGTCTTCGGACAACTTGATAATTTTATAATTCTGCAAACCTAAAATTGACAATTCTATAAATTTTCTGACCAAAATTCAAAAATTTTTGTAAAAATTTGGTATGTGTGACAGTAACGTTGTTTTTTGAGAATAGGCGCGGAAGCAACTCCAGTTTCATGTGGAGATCATGTTTTCAATGCTAGCATGTCATCAACGGAGAGGTGCAAGATATTGCACCAAGTTATGAACAGTACTGGATGTACACCAACCTTGGAGGCTCAATTTCAGTCAGTTAACTATGAGGTAGGTCATGGTAATTGTAACTTTTTTTGAAGTAGAGTAGGTAGGGTAGGTATGATTTAGTAGTGTAGGGTACGGTATAATATGGTAATTTAAGCTAGGGTAAGGTAGGGCAACTTTGGGTAAAGTAAGGTAAGGCAGGGCACGGCGGAGCAGGACTGGGTAGAGCCAAGCAGGGCAAGGGAGAGCAAAGTTGAGCAAAACAGGGCAGGGCATTACAGTATACTGTAACAAACAAAAATTTCAGTTTGGGTACTACTGTGCTAATACTAAGCTGGTACAGAAAAGTATATCAGTACAAATGGTTGGTGTGTTGATTGGAGCATTGACTTTCGGCCAGCTTAGTGATATGTATGGAAGAAAAAATGTAGGTCTATAAAAAAATCAAAAAAATTCCTAATAACATGCACTAACGTATTTTACATTAAAAGAAAATACATAAATTTTCTGCTTTTAGCTGTTATTGATATCAGTTATTGGATGCTTGTTCTGTACATTGGCTTCTGCATTTGTTAACACGTTATGGTGGTTTACTGTATGGAGATGCTTACTGAATGTTTTTGTTGGAGGAAATGGAAGGTAAGATCCTTTTCCACTCTACCCAACTATAATCTATTCTACCCTACTTTACTCTGCCCTTTAGTACTGTGCCCTACCGTAATTTACTTGTTGGTACCGTACCCACCGTATCCTAACTTTACCCTACAGCACCCTACCCTCTCTACTTTATTTTAACTTACCGTTCTGTGCCGTATCCTAACATATCTCTTACCTTACCTACCCTACCGTACTCTACCGTACCCTACTATTACTTAAGAAATTTAACTTAACATAAACTTAAAATAGTATATTTAAGCCTAAATTTGTCTTTTTTAGTGTTCTTCACACCTTCATGATAGAAGCCCTACCTAAAAAACACAGATTCTGGATATCGAATATTGTTGGTTGGTCGATAAATATGATTTTCTTGGTAATATTCGCTACGTTTGCTAAAGAATGGCGTACACTTATCTATTACGTTGAAGTCTTCAGCTCTCCAGCGTTGATTTTGACATTGTAAGTTGAAATATGACATTTTTTAAAAATTATTTTAATAATTTATTTATATGTTAGGACACGTATTTTACTAAAACGACGTTTTATACGACGAACTATGTCTAAGGTTTCTGGGGACATGTTTCATCGTATAACATGTCCATTAATAACTATAAGTACTATAATTTAAAATTAATATAAAAAATGAATCTTAAAGCTACAGTAATATCAATTTCAAAATTACAGTAATACCAATTTCGTAACAAATATATCATTTCAGAATGCTGTACGAATCTCCGCGATTCTTGTTGGGCAAACAGAAGGTCGATGACGCCAAACAAATTGTTATAAACATTTACAAGTTCGACAAACGCCCCCTGGACAAAGAACTCCTCGACAAAGTGTTGGAGCAAGAGTTACAAACCATCAAAGATGCAAACACAACTCAGAAGAAATACAGCTTCTGGCATCTGTTTTACACACCCAAGTTGACTGCTTATACATTGACTATTGGACTTACTTTGTAAGGAAAGGGGGGTATTTTAGGGCGAAATATGTTAGGGTAGAGCAAGGTACAGTAGAGTAAGGCAGATTAGGACTAAGGCTAATCACAAGGTAAAGCACAAGTGAGACCAAAAGAGTAGAGTACCTTGAATAAGAGGATAAGAAAATGCAAGGCAAGGCAACAGTAAGACAGGCATACACCAACTTCAAATAATACTGATAAAGATAAAAAAAATAAAAAAATTTTCAGATTCACAGCCAGTTGTCTAAACTATTCCTTGCTGTTCAATATTAGCAAGTTATCAGGGTCAATCTACAAGAATGCTTTGTTCACTGCTGTTGGTAGATATGCAGTGAATCTGATTGCCATCTTTTTGGATATAAAATACCAAAAGATCGGCCGAAAAACTCTACATGCCATAGCAGAAGGTCTTATCATCGCACTTTTTGCTGTTTATATCTTTGGAAAGCTTAGCGGTGAGTTTAAAATTTTAAAATAAAAAAAAATTTTTTATTGAAATTTGAAATTTTTTAAATTGATTGAAATTTGGAAAAAAATCTTGTTTTTAACCCTCAAGGGAGCTCGCAAATCTAAAGTAACAAAAAAAATTTTAATTTTATAGTGACAGAAAAGTCTTGTCGTTTTGGCTATGAATTTCAATGTAAATCGGCGACAAGACTTTTTTGAACCTAATTCTTATTTGTTTTTGACCTTTTTTTATAAAAAAAACTAAATTACTAAACTTCAATAATATTTTCCAATTTCCAGACCTGAAAAACAGTTATCTCTTATCACTCGACCTAATGGCCATCATCTGTGTAACTACAATATTGTTCGTCACCGGTCATTTAATGTCGGGAGAGCTGTTCCCCACTGGCATTCGCAACATCTCCTTTTCGGCAGGACAACTTTTCAGCCGTTGTGGTGTCATCATATCACCACAATTCTTTTTACTGGCCGAGTTGCACCCGGTAATGCCGTATGTGGCATTGTTGTTCTTGGCTATTATTGATTTTATCATTTTTTGGAGTGTTTTGAGAGAGACCAAGAATGAGGAATTGATTGACTTTATGCCTCCGAAGAATGAAACTTGGAAATATGTGATTAGAAATAGGAAAAACGTGGTGTCTGATGCTTCGGTTGAAATGCAACGGAATGTTTAATTTTTTAAAAATTTTTTGATTTTTTAAATTTGAAAATAGGAAAGTTTAAATTTTCATTTTTTAATTTTTATCGTTTTTCATATTGATTTTTGCTAATATTTACTGGTAAGTTGTTTTCTTTACTCTTTACATTACCCTGTTCATGAATTTCTTACTCTACAACCATATCCAACGGCTAAACCTTAGCTTACTCCACCCTACTCTGTTCTATAATACATTTCTCTCTCCTACCCAGTTATAATAGTATACTCTACCCCACAGAAACACATTCTATATCATACTTGCCCTATTTATGCCATACCCTTGCCTTATTCTTTTCCTTACTATACCCTACCCTGCCCTACATTACAATAGGGAAGGGTAGCCTCTATCCTTACACACCCTATCCAACCCTACTGTACCCTAGCTTGACCCAGCTTACCTTACCACACCCTAAACTACCCTACTTTACTCCGCCCTACCTTAAAATTTCCTACCCAACTCCACAATATCTTAATGTATATTAACCTTGCCCTATGACTTAGTCTTGCCTTATTCTTTTTGTTACTTAATCTATGTCCCTCTCTGATTTTCTCTACCCGGCTTTTTACAGGTATTATCCTGGCCTTATCTTCGTTCTACCATTACCTACCAATGTCCAAGCCTAATTAAAACTAGAAAAAAATCATATTATATAATTATATTGTTAAACCATTCTTATTGTTTCATAATTTGTATTTATATTTTTTTTTCTTAAAGTTTCCAGTTTATTCGACATAAAATATATCAAACACTTGTATCGGCAAAGAAATAAAAGATCTAAAACAATATTCAAAATTCGTCAAAAATTGAACTTTTTGACTTTTCTTTTTGAAAATCAGATTTTTTGGTCTTTTTTAAATTTTAAAATTAATATTAAAAAAGATAGTTTTTCAAACTCAAAGTGGGTTAAAATGGAATGACTTGGAATATATTGAGATTGGTTGAGGCTTGGCATGCAAAAAATGAAAAAAATGTTATACTATATGACATTAACAAATATAGTACAGCAAACACATAATATTGTAGGTATACCCTAAAGACAACTTTTTAAAATAAAAAACTTCAAAAATAATATAAATTTTCATAAAAAACTTCAAAAAATTAACAAAAAAACAACTTTTTCTTCCTGATTTTAGTTTTGAGAAAAGAACGAGTCGGGCAGTTCAACAAAGAAAACACCCCCATCGGTAGCACAATAAGTTGGACATACTCCTTGTTTGCCCGGCTCTCCTGGATCACCCATAGGACCAGGCGAACCAGGGACTCCTCGGAAGCCTGGTACACCATTAGTACCAGCTAGACCACGTTTACCTATCGGGCCTTGTGGACCATCAATTCCGGGCATACCACGTGGTCCTGCTGGTCCTGGTTCACCTTGTTCGCCTTGTAGTCCGGGTGGACCGGGGATGAAGGGTGTGGGCTGGGCGTCTATTCCTGCGTCACCTGAAAAGAAACTGTGGTTTAGGTAGTGTAATATGATGCAAAAGGCAAAAAATAGTATAAGTAGTACTATAGAATGCTAAAGTAATCTAAACCAAAAAAAATAGTACCAAAAATGCCAAAGTGACCTAAAATAGTATAAATAGTACCAGAAATGACAAAACCCTTACCATCATCCCCATCAACTCCATCGATGCCAGGTGGACCGGGCTGACCTCTCGGACCAGTCTTGCCATTCTCTCCATCTTTACCTTTACGACCCTTATCACCTTCAGCTCCCTTATCACCACGTTCACCTCGCATTCCAGGTAGACCTTGCAAGCCTTGGGGACATTGTTCTGGACAATACTTTTTCAGATCCTTCAATGGCTCACAAGGTAGTCGTGCTGGGATTCCGGAGGTTCCTGGACGACCTTGAGTACCCTTCATTCCTCGACGGCCAGGCAGACCTGGCGCACCTGGTTCGGCTTCACAACGACAGCCGGGACTGCGGGATTGGAAGTGAGTTTGACGCTCGAAACGCTGAAAAATTGAGATTATACTGAGATGTGAGTATGTCAACAGTATGTACAGTAACAATAAGTTACAGTACGATAGGATCAAGCACAGAAAATATAGTAAGACCAATCAGATCTAAGATAAGGTAAAACTTCCTTACATTCTGTCCAATCAAAGTGTAATTTCTATAATCCTTCATGTTCTCAGCCAATCCCAACAACAATGCCGAGTCGTTCTTCACAGAACGTGCCGTGAATTCACAGAAATCAGCCACATTCACAAACTGTTTCGTCGCCACAACTGTATATTGATATAAAACTGGCAATGCGATACAAGTCGCCGTCCATGACATTACTGATATCGATAAGGAAATTATTAGTACTACTTTGAAGGCGGTCTCCTTTTGCTCTTCGTACTTGTCGTCGTAGTACTGCGACCACTTTTTTGAAGTGATCTTCATTTTTGGCAAACCTGAAGTTTTGGAAAATAATAAGAATCAAGTACATATAGGCATAAAAAATGACGTATTAGTCTCAAAAGTAACAATGAAAAAAAATTTAAGCTTAAAATCCATTTTCGAACCTAAAATGATATGATTCCTTAAGCCTGAAGGCTAACATTTAGTTTTAAGCCTAAAATTTCAATTTTAAATCAAAAATTTCACTTCAGAGCCTAAAATCTTATTTTAAAGTTTATAATTTTCTTTTTAAGCCTAAAATTACATTTTTAAACCTAAAATTTCAGTTTTAAGTTTAAACTTAATTTTTAAGCTTAAAATTTCAATTGTAAACCCAAAGTTTCAATTTTAAACCTACAACGTTAACTTTAAACCTAAAATTTCATTTTTAAGCCTAGAATTTATTTTTAAGTTTAAGATTCATCTTTTAAAGCTAACATTGATTTTATAAGCTTAAAGCTGATTTATAAGCCTAAACGTTACTTTTATATTACCACAAAATCAAAAATGTTAACAATATCATATAACATAACCCAACTTTTAAAAAGCATTTAACTTCCCCAATTTTTAAAATTAACCTTTACTTAAACTAAAAATTCCTAAACTTTCACTTGCCCTAAAAGTACCAAAACCCCCTAATCGAAGATGTCATACGCATAAAAACACCTCGATCCCGTAGCTAATCGAAAACCTTTGTAAAATGCGGACATTTCGTTTGAAAATTCGCCTGAATCCGTTGGTGATTTAGGTCACTGGTCGCATCTTCCTTATTTCAATTACTTTATCATCGACTTTTCCTTTTTTTGTTTTATCGAGCCGTTTGTGCCCTAAATTCGATAATCTTCTTCTTTGTTCAGCTTGAACGTAAGCATTCTGAAAACATTATTAATGCCGTCATAAATGAAACAAACTTTGGTTTTGGGTAATATCTCATCATGGAACTTCTTGAAACTTAACTTGACAACATAGAAATTAGCAAGGTACAACCTAATATTTCTAAACTACGCTACTATTTACCATTTTAAGCCACAATAAAGTCGTTCTTGATCTGAAGAGGTCTTGGACGCCTAAAACAATGTAAAGTTAAAAGCTTAAAAACAAATCATTTATGCCACAATTAATCCTCAATAAGCTGAACAACACTATTGCATACATTCTATCACCAAAAAGTACCAATTTAAAGCTAAATCACAGCCATTATTGAGCAGGAGAAGACTTCAACACCTAAAGAAATATAAAATTAAAACAAGCTTCAAAAACATTAGATTTACGCCATAATAAAGCCTGAATAATCTGCTAAACTCTACAACGCTGTTACCGACCTTTTAGCAACATAAGTTACAAATTTGAAGCCGAAACCAAGCGATCCGTGAGCAGAGGAAGACTTGAACACCTAAAACAATATAAAATCAACATTAGTTAGAAAAACGTAAAATACATACCAAAATAAAAGATTAAAAAGCTGTCATGCACTATTACCTATCTGTTACATAACTAATTTTGTTAATTCGAAGCCGAATCAAAGCCGATCGTATCCAAACAAAGTCTTAAACACCTAAAACAATATAAAATCAACAAATTTAAAACAACCTGAAAATTACACCAAAATACATTATCACACATCTACTTTAATCTATTATTTATCTTTTAAAATCATTTATTTACTTTTTAAAGCTAGTGATAACAACAAAAAATCTTCAAAAAATCAAAAAAAAACTTTTTGAACGAGACTTTTCCCGCGCTTTGAATAATTCATAGATTTTTTGTTGCTGCAGATTGAGATTAGAGTGGAATTGGGTTTATTGGCATTGTAAATAAGGTATTTTATATCAAATTGCTTCGGTTCATATTTTTTATATTCTATTCACTTTTAAACCGTTTTAATTTTGAAGTCTTTTACAATTTTGGCCTTATTATGGTTGGTCTTAAAAAACACGCCCTTGAGCAAAAACGGAAAATTTTTTAAAATTGTTTTTTACATTGTTCGAAAGCTAAGATTTTGGGCTTTCTTTTGTTATGTTATATGCGTTTTTATGTTGTACAGTTTTATTAATTCAAATTTTAAAAATATTTTTTGGAAAAATTTTGTTTCGGTAATGCAGGGTAAGGTAGAGTAGGGTAAATGCTATGATGTTAAAGTTGCCAGCTGTAATGTTGCCTTTTCTCGCGGCTTTTATGCTAATTCCGAGTGTGGATTGTGTGCAAATGCAATCAAGCAAAGGGGGGGAGAGAGAGGGATAAAAGAGAGAAAGGGCCTGCGGAGTCGAGAGCCAAGAAAGGGCCGAAAAAGAGTGTAGATGAAGTAAGTCGTTGGCCTTTTTTGCATGTTTAAGGCCATTGCCTCGCTTTTTTATGTCCAACTGCAAAAAAATTCCTTATAAAATGGTTAAATATGCGTTTCAACTTTTCGTTTTTAAAAATGTTTCGAAAAAATTTTATTTTTTGTAGGGAGGGGTAGTTTTGCGTGTAGGGTAGGGGTTATTTTTTTTGCGGAGGATTGCTTTGGAATGGATATGGGCTTTTCGTGATAAATTTAGAAGAAAAGTTTTTGATAATTTTGGTAGGTTTTGAAGTTTTGAAAGTTTAAAAATTTGAATTTTTTAAGTTTTTGAAATTCTGATTTTTTTGGTTAAAAAAATTTTATTTTTAATTTTTGAAAATTTAAAATTTTTTACCCCGCCCATTTTAAGTCCCCTCCACCGCTCTCTTCCATGCCATTTTGCCATTTCCAGAATGATTCGCGTTTAAAACCGCAAAGCAGATAATTGGCAAAAATTGAAACGAGAAGAAATTGGCACACCTGCCCGAGCTTATTCGGACTTCATAAGCCACCTATATTCGCTTATTAAGGCCGGTGAGCAAAGCGACGGATGTGGCTGGCAAATTGAAGGCCAGGGTATTAAAGTCTACTTTACTTTGTCTGTAATTTAGTGGGGGTTTGGAAATGGTATACTTTTGTTTTAGATTTTTTTTAAAATTAAGAAAAATTGGGCAGGGTAAATGTAGGCTAGGGCAAGCTGAAGCAATTTGAGCAGCCCAGAATAAGGTGAATGACTGGGTAGCGCAGATAAAGATAGAGAAAATAAAGCAAGTTTGAGCAGCCTAAGGTAGGGTGAACTTTTGGCCAGGCTATATTGGGGAAGCGTAATGAAGGGCAGGGTAAGGCAGTATAAAATAAATGAGGGGTTAGTGTTTTAAAAAAAGAACGGGTAGCTAAGGGTTGGAAAGGGCAATTTATTATATAATAGAGTAGGGCAGGGTTGAATAGGGTAGAGTATCTAAAGGTAGGGCACTGTAGCGTAGGGTATGGTTAGGTAGGGCAGAGCAGAGTAAGATTGAGCAGTATAAAGTAGGGTAGTGTAGGGTAGGGTAAGATTGAGTATTATAAGGTAGATAGGGTCTGGTGGGGTAGGGTAGGGTGGGTAGGGTAGGGTAGGGTAGGGTAGGGTAGGGTATTGTAGGGTGGGGTAAAACAGGTTAGGGTATGACATAGTTAGCTGTAGAAAGTATTGTAGATTAATGTATCGCTTACTTTTTTAAAATTTTTAAATTTTTAAAAACTTGTAAAGCTTTAAAATATCTTGTGATAACCCTCGACTGGTCGTTTGTTTACTCTTAATTTGAAAAATATATCATTACGTATGCTACTTGTTAAATTGGCGCAAAAACAGATTGTTACCATAGTAACGTTGGCTATGGCACCTTTTTTTTAATGCTAAATTATATACGTAATTTGGAACTGAGACTCTTAATGATGACTTTTCTATGTGTAATTGTCACCTTGTGATTGGCTGAATTCCATTTTTCATATTTTGGCATTTAGGTAACATTTCTTTTCAAGTTTTAAAAACTAAATTTTTAGGTCTTTTTTTGTAAAAGGAGAATAAAGGGCGGGGGGAAGACAGATCTTCGAAACTTTTTGAAAAAAATTTAATTTTGTGTCATTTGGTCAAAAAGTTTATAGAACATGCGTTTTAAAAAATTTTTAGTTTTTTCTCAGTTTTCACTTTACTTTTTGACCAGCTAGTACATGTCATTTTGACAATACGTATTGAATAAACATATTATTACTATACAATACTGACATTCTTTATCATATGACTTTATATAATTTTTTGTTTACGAACAGTTTTATTGTATTAGCATATGTGTAGAAAAAAACAAAAATTGCAGTACAATTCTAAGAATACTCGTATTTTAAGCAGGTTTTAATACGCATATGAAGTACAAGGCAAAAATGGCGGGCAAGGGACGTGTCGTACTAACTAGTATAATATCATTAGAAGGCTTTATAGTATATATTACAGTAAAGAATTAGTATAGACAATGCTAAAGAGATAAAAGGCGTCTTGATATTGCACAGTACTAGACAAATTGCGAGGGTTTTTACAGTACTGTTAAAAGAAAATGAAAGTACTAGTCAGTAATAGATAGATAAAATGTTAGTCCTATACTGCACTATAAACAAATTTTCAAGTACCAAAAAAAAAGGCGTGGTAGTAGTATGCCTTAGTATGCAACTCCTTTTAAGGTACTAAGAAGAATATGTGGTAGTACTAAATAGTACTAAAAAAATTGAGTGTTAGTACTAGTCAATGATGGCTAAAAAGAATGACAGTACTCTAGAGTATTATAAGTCTACTTTTAAGATACTAGACAGAAAGATATAACAGTACTGTAAAGTACTCAAAAAAAGATTTGAGAGTACTATATAGTACCAAAAAATGAAATTGTACAGTACTAAAACGTACTAAAAGAGCGTTCTAATCACTACACAATACCTAGAAAGACCGTTCGTACTATTCAATATTACTTCTACTTTTTTGAGTTTTTGTTTTGTTAAGGCACGCCAATGTTTCTTACCGTGAAGTTAATGTAGGCGTAAGAAAATTGAGTGCCTTAGCTAAACACAACTTAAAATGACCTTTGTTATTCAATCTACTTATATTTTACTACAATCTCTACAGAACCTATTGCTACAATTCTAAAAATTTTAAAATTTACTACAACTTCTCTATGTGTTATACTGCATATTATATGATGCTGCTGACCTAAAGGTCAAAACGGGTAAGTGCTATAAAGGTATTTCGTATTCTAGGATAGAACCAGGCTGGGGCACTGGGCTTGGGCTTTGGGCTAGAGCTCTAGGCTAGGGCTCTAGGCTAAGGTTAAAACTAGAGCTAGGTGGTATTAAAACAAAAAATATTTATTTATTAATATTATTAGTAGTTAAAACGATTTTATTAATAAAACAAGTGTCAGATCACCATCCCCACCCGAGTCGTTCCCACTGCATATTACCATGATGAGGCCCACGGCCTGGTCGGTTATGGACAGGAGCACTTGGTGCTGAAGCAGCTTCGGCCAGCATACGCAAGATCAATGGTCGTCCAGAGAGTTGTGGCTCACGTAGGACTCTGAATTACTATTTTTAATAGAAATTAGAGTATCGTACTTGAAACACTTCTATTATAGTATTTTCAAGTTTTTCCTTGAATTTTAGCTAAATCTTTTAATAAAGGTGAGCTTTGGTTTGATAAAATACTAATAATAGTTCAGAGTTTTAATTACTTCCTAAGTAAAAGCTTTGTCATACTATTTTTGAGCATACAAAACGGAAAAGATTATCAAAGTCAAAACATGTGACTTTTATTTCTTGATTATAAGATTTTGCGCTTTGTGTCATATCAATTGAAAAAAACTATTTGAAAATTATTGGCGATGAAGGCAAATTTAAAATTAAAAGCTGTTTGAGAAAAAAATCTCGTTTTTAACTAAAAACGCTTATAATAAAATAAAAATTCTTTAACAATGCTCTGTCAATCCTTGCCAAGACTTGACAAGTCCTGCAGAGCCTTGCCGAGTCTTGCCGAGCCTTGAAAAGTCTTGTCAAGCCTTGCCGAGCCCTGCCATGCCCTACCAAACCCTGCTCTACCTTACCCTACCCATGATATCTTACCCATTCTACCATGTCCATTGTACAATATCTATTTTGGCATACTCTGCCCTGCACTATAATAGATAATACCACGGAATAAAATATCCTAAAACTACATAGTATTCCTACTAACCCTACTTCTACATACCATTAAATTTAAAATTAACTTTATTAACCCCACATCAGTTAGAAAATAAAAAACCCCCGCCACAAAATAATCTCAAATTTCAGCATGCGCCTACACCAACATTATTAGACATTCGAATACGTTGTTATTAAATATACGTTTTTCCAAACAAAAAATAAAATAAAATGAAAAACAGAGCCGTACTCACCCCTCCGGCACCATCATAACCGGCTTCATGTCGCGGCCGATCACGCCATTATAATCACGACCAATCACTCCGTTGTAGGGCTCGTGCATGTCATTGCCAATCCCAAAACACATGCTCACTAACTCTAGTTTTATTAACAAAATCGTGGTGCCAAGTTGGAAAACTTTCATCATGCTCCGCCTTTCTTTGCTTTAAATTCGACTGTGTATCACTAATTCGTCGGCCTTAGTTCCCTGCTTTTAAAAGTCGTTTTAGCAGCGTTTTAGAGCAGTTCAGTCTATAATAAGGTGTTATTGTTAATAGGATAAGTATTATAGGGTATCACAAGTAGCTACAATGGAAAGTTTGTCTGATATAACTGAGTCTTATATAACAAGACGTCTTTATCACTAACTTCTTTATAACAAAACTTATCAAAGCTCGTTTATAAGAAATGAATTAAAAAATTTCAAAATTTTCTAGTAATGCTTTGGTATAGAGTATATAAGCTTTCAAGAGTTTACCCAAGACCCACATATGCCAACCCGACCCATAGCTTTCAAATCAGTTTTTTTTACACGTTTTGTAAATCAAATCTTTCGTTGCGAGACCTCGAAAATTTTTTTTAAAGCTATGGTTTTGAAACCATGTTTACGTCTAGCGTTCGAGTACATATATGTGCCGTCTTGGCCCGGCCTAGTGTTCTATCTTTTAGGTCTAATATAAAAAAGTTTGTAATACAGAAGTTATACTGTGTTCACAAGAATTTCAGTGAGTAAACAAAATTTTAAAAAACGTGAAAGGTAAGACATTTCAAACTTAAATTACAAGTTGTTATTAAAGTAACTGTTAGGCTTAATTTTAACTTTTGATTTAAAATTGAATTTTTTTAGCTAAAAACTTAATTTAAGCCTAGAATTTAGTTTTAAGCCTGAATTGCACTTTTCAGGCTTAAAATTCATTTTTTTAAGCTTAAATCTTGTTTTTAAAGCAAAAAACTCATTTTTAAGCTTGAAATTTATTTTTGAGCCTTAATTTCTTTTTTAAGTCTAAAGTTCATTATTTTTAAACGAAAAATTTACTTTTTAAGTTAAAGATTTATTTTTAAGCCTAAAATTCATTTTCAAGCCTGAAATTCAGTTTTTAAACTTAAAATTCATTTCAAGCCTAACATTCGTTATTTTTAAACTTAAAATTCATTTTCAAGCCTAAATTTTATTTTTAAGCCTAAAATTCATTTTTAAGCCTATAATTCATTTTTAAGCCAAAATTCCATTTTCAAGCCTAAATTTCATTTTTAACCTAAAATTTGTTTTTAAGCCTAAAGTTTATTTTTAAGCTTAAAATGTCAATTTGCACATAATATTCAAAAATTAAGCCTAATTTTCCTTATGAAACCTAATATTTTTTCCCAAAAACAAGGTTTGAATAAACCACAGTAAAAACAAAATTTTCATAATGCTCTATTCACAAATTCAGCAAAAAATATGTTTATTGCATTTTCAAATCCACAAAAACAAAGAATGCGACTTAATTGCGCTATGAAAACACCAAACAGTACGTGCTAATTATCCGCAAAAACCTCAAGTACATGTCTTTCAACCAACAAAATACTTTAACGTAAGCAAACCTATTTCCCATGAAAGGTAATTTATTCAAAAGAAGGCTGCATGTGGACACGAATCGAGGAACTTGATACAGTGATCATAAACAATGTGGCACGCAACGTTTCCCTCGTCAGTGTTCGTCGTATTTTGGAACAAATTCACTGTGAATGGGAAGGGTAAAGATTGAAAATCAAATTTTACAGTGTTAAAATGTAAAAATCTTTTTAGTTTAAAACATTTCCCTTTCAGAAAGTAAGAAGACAAGGATAATGGTAGAGTTAGCAATAAAATTAACATTACGACATGAGCCAGGGAGTAGAAACACAGTAAAGATAAGAGTGCAACAATAATAGTAAAGAGCTATATTCTAGTAAAAAAGACTAAAAAAGCCGGGCCTTATTTTGATTTAGGCCTTGGCCATAGGCAGAGCCGGGCGTGAGATGAGTGAACAAGAGAGAGGAGGGGAGGGTACCTTCTAACAAAAAAAATTTTTAAAAAAGTTAGACGTGTGGTTTTACGCAATTTACAGTTTGGTAGACTCCCTAACCCTCTGCCTCTTGCCCGGCCTTGGCCATAGGACACAAAAACCTAAGCTAGAGCTCCTAAAGCTTTGGTTTGACAGCGGTCCTTAGGCCCTTCGATACCTTTCAATTTGCTATGTTCGGCCGCGCCTAGTAAGTGCTCTCAAGACTAGATTAGCCAAACATTAGAACTAGCAAAAATTCTAAAGGTTTGGCTACAGGTAGGTCTGCTATAACGGTGCTATTAGTGACTAAAAGGTTCACAAATAGTATTGTTATGGCAAGACTAGGGTAAAGTTAGGATAAAGTTAAGAGGTCCGTATACAACATTTATGATCATAAACAGATGCTTATACAACAACTAAAAAGAATCAGCTGGACAACCTACAGCTTACCAAAGATGAACATTACACAATGCTAATAGAATGAATCAATTTCAATATGTGTCTTTTTTTAATAAAAATTTTATTAATTTTGTAACTAATAGACAATTATATTGTCTATTTCTGGTAATTACAAGAAAATAAATGTTTAATAAAAGCAAGAAGCTTTAATTTCTGAGAAAATCACACGTATTTCTTGAAATCTTGTACTGTAATGATACATATTGTGAGGTGTTTCTTGCAAATTGTAATGTCACATTTACTTCAAACAGTGCCGTGCTTTAACAAATTTAAGTGTTTTATAAAATAACTTGTTTTAAAGGCATGAGAAAATGACACGCTTGTATTAGACCTAAAAAACCTATTAGAGTCAGCTGAGGCCAAGCCAAAACGAATTTAAAAGTACCGGTTCATGAAGAAAAATTTGGCTTGGCCTAGTCTGTTTACAGGTCTAACCAGATCAAACTAAATTTTTGTTGTATGAATAATCAATTTTATTAACCGTGAAAAAACAGGAGAAATTTAGTTTTATTCCGAAGAGTTTGCAGTTGAAACGTTATCTTTTTGCGACAGAAACCGAGAAGCCTGGAAAGTGATAGCAAATTATTTACTTACAAAATTTGTTTTTATCTCCGACCGTATTTTTGTTTTGATTTTAAAGTTTTGCTTATTTGAAGTCATTTTCAGTCGGGTTTGGAAAAAAGTTTTAAATATGAGTAGTGTAGGGTGTGCTAATGGTCATGGTAGAGCCAGAGGCTGAAGTAGAGTTATAGGTCAAGATAGGACTAGAAGTTAGGTCAGGACAAACATTGGTTAGAGTAGGACTAAGTGTTAGAGAAAGGCTAAGGGTCAAGGTAAGAGTTGGGATTAGGACAGATGCCGAGTAGGGAAAAAAAATAGGGTAGGGTAGGGTAGGGTAGGGAAGGGTAGGGTAGGGTAGGGTAGGGTAGGGTAGGGTAGGGTAGGGTACGGTAATTACTTTTTTTTAAAACCAAATTTAGCCAATTTAAATTATAATGCCTGAAGCAGTTTGATTAAAAATACAGTTTGTTGGCCATCAGAAATTACGAAGCCGTTTTGTATTATGCTAAAAATCAAAAGAAAAAGTAAAAGAGGGAGAAATCACGCTGATTAGTCATTTTTTGGAACCTCTGGTTTTATTTTTTCGTTGGTAGTAAATGCTTTTATGACTATTTATATAAGGCTTAGTTCATACTGAGAATGACTACGCTTGTAGCCAATTTTTTGTACTAAAATTTTACTTTTTGAAACATTGGGCTTAAAGCAAATTTAAAAAAAGGTTTAAGTTAAGCTTTAGAGGGGGCTTGCGTAAGGCTAAGATGTTACTAGGGGCAGGGTTAACTTGGCTTCTTTTAAACTTCCGTTAGATATGTTGGGCTTAGTAGGCTCTTTCATGTATAGGCTAGGGCAAATTATGGTAAGGCTAGAAGAAAATATTGTAAAACGAAAAACTTTCACATACCCGTAGCCATGTTTGGAACATTTTTGCGGATCGGATCCAAAAAGTTGAATTTTAAACCGGGCCTGACCCAAAAATCGCCGGACCGGTGAAAAAAGTTCCAAATCAGTCCGGGCATAACATTGCCCGTAGCGTTAATACAAGCATTTACAACCTTGTACGACGAGAAAATTTTGAATTTCCAGATGATTTGTTATAAAAAAACTTCACTATAGCTTAATAGATTTTTAGATTTTTAAATAATATTCATCATGTTGTTATAAACGCGGTACAAAGTCAAATCAGCTAATGTCTGAAGGTGATAGTAACTCAACATTCACCCTAGAATCGCTAAAGCAACTACGTATTGGAAAGACTGTATTACTGGTAATAATTTTTTAGTTATTATTTAGTCAGTTTGAACTTTCGTTAAATTTAAAAAAAATTCTTTTGTAAAAGTTGTAAGTTTATCACTTTCAGGCCATAACAGACGTGAATACAGAAACAAGAAACATAGTGAATTTGCTCGACCTTATAATTGATATAGTGATTTGTGTTGTGTATGGATTGGCAGTGCTTTGTTGTTTGTTAATTTTAATTTTATTTGTAATTTATCAAAGACAAAGAAGGAAGGACAAATACTCAGAATGGTTGGAGAAGGAGCAAGACTTGGAGCACAAATTAGACATAGCCTAGAAATGGGCATGGGAAATCAGAGTGTCAATTATGTAAGTAAATATCCTTGATATAATAAGTAAATGATAGAGCATGGTGGAACAAAAATGGAGCGTAGGTAAAAATGAGAAGGTTAGGATTAAGAAACGCAAGAGTGAGGTAAATATAATAAAAAGGAAAGGTAAGAAAACGTTAAGGCATGTGGATAATATGGTAAGGCAAGGTTGGGAAGATTATGTAAAGCAAAACAGAGCAGAATAGGGCAGGGTAAGTCAAAATTGGGTAAAGCAGGATAGAAAATGGTAGTGTAAAAACTGGACAAGGCAGGGCAAAGGCAGGGCAAAGGCAGGGCAAAAGCAGGGCAAAGGCAGGGTAAAGGCAGGGCAAAGGCAGGGCAAAGGCAGGGCAAAAGCAGGGCAAAGGCAGGGCAAAGGCAGGGCAAAGGCAGCGCAAAGGCAGGGCAAAGGCAGGCAGGGCAAAGGCAGGGAAAAGGCAGGGGGAAGTAAGGCAGTGTACGATTTTAAATTTTGTTTTACTTTTTAGTAGGGTTGTCGACGGGGGGGGAGGGGGGGGATTTGTAGTCCCCGTGGTCGCGGGTACCCGCAACTCCCATCCCCGCGGGGACGGGGGGATGGCACTTATCCCCGCGTCTCCGGGGGGGGCGGGGACGCGGGGACAAGCAAAACTCATTCAAAAACTACAAAATAAACGTCATATTAACAAAATTTATATTAAAATAAACAAAAAACAATAAAAAATAGGTTTTACAACATTCTAGTATTCATTTTCTTCTGAAATTTCAAAATCGGCATCCGAATTCACATCTTTTTGCTGTATCAATTGACATCTCAGTAACAAAATCTTCTCGGCCATTTCGTTTGACAGTCGTGACTTTAGGTGGTCTGCAAATAACATAGTTGTGTGGGAAAAGAATCGTTCGCTTGGTACGGAAGACGGCGGTACTGAGAGGAGTTCACGTGCAACTACAGCAAGCGTAGGAAATCGCTTCTCATTCTTTTCATAAAATTTGTACGGATTGTCATCGTGCCCACAGGTCCTCAAGTCGTTGTATTCTCTCTGTAATTCATCATATTTCTGTGTCACATAAATCTAACAACTAAACAAAAAATAATAAAATATTACCTGAATTGTTTCTTCCTGAGTACTAGAAACATATACGTGTTTTTGACGAGTAGTGATTAAATCATCGTCTAAAAAAGACAAATCAAGGGAACTTTGGCTTTCTTCTTCAAAATCATCCAAATTTGGTTCGTTTTCTTCTGTCGCATTATCCACTCCAGCTTTTAACATCTTATTGATATAACTGACTCCAATTTTGGCTATATTAGCGGATAGTTGATGAGAGTAACGTGGATCAATTAGTTGAGCCGAAATCATTATTTCTTTATTTTGTATATTCTCCATTCTCGTTGTCAATCTTTCCCATAAATCATCAATAAAGTTAACAACATCTTTGAATTCTTCTTGCCTAAAACAAAAAAAATTTTAAAAAACGGATAGCAACAGATATCAAACTTAAATGACAGTTTAAGCAGAACGACTTACGTTTTTAATTTTTCATGCGTTAATTGCAAATAGTCGGCCAGTCCATTTAATAATGGCAGAACAGCAGATGCTGTTGCATCGTCTTCAGAAAACATTACTGTAAGTTCATGAAACTTCTTTAGTATTTTTACGATTACCAATAGCTGATTTTGATCCTTTTGAAGAAATTTATTGTATTTCATTGTTGACGACATGAAACTTGGCCAACAAAGATTGAAGCATCATGTATGTCGAGTTCCACCTTGTCACTATTTCCTGAAAACATTAACGATTAGTTTTATCCGTTTACAGCCTTTGTAACACTAGAAAACGAAACAGTCATCTATAAAATTTAACATATATGTAATATTTAACTTGAAATTTAAACTTACCCGTGGAATCTTTGTAAAAGGTACGTTAAGCCTTTCATGCGCTTCCTTGAACTTATTTTTGTTTTCAAACTGTCTTGAAAGTTTTTCGAACTCTCTAGCTTTGGCAACTACTTCACTGACGCTTCCAGTTGACGCGTTTATGGCTTGCGAAACGACCAAATTCAACAAATGACACACACATTGAAAGCTAAAAAATTATCAACTTAATACATGTATATATATTACCTTTTGACATCAATAATCTTCGAAGCTTTCTTCATATTAGCAGCATCGTCTCTAACCATACATAAAATTTGATTTTTTGCAAAGCCGTAATCTTCACATATTTCCAATACCTTTTCGGCGATGTTAGCACCAGTTTTCACATCCGTTCCAAAACTTTTACATCCAATTACAAAGTTTTTTCGTTTGTACTGTTGGTCCACCGTATGGAGAGTCAAACTAAAACAAAAAACTAAAGTTAATTTTTATAATATTTTAAGTTTCTATAACATCCATAGAAATACTTGCTTAAGTAAAATTTAGTTCACCGTAAAATTTACATGAAAACTTACCATTGGAAAGATCTCTCTCCAGAGCTCCAACCATCTGAAGTAATCGTAAATTTTCCTTTTCCTATAGTAGTCCTGATAAGGCTGTTGATATCAGCAACCATACGAGGAATAACGATGTCCGTAAAGTGCCCTTTTCCATATTTTTTAGTATTTGGAAAGTGCGAATCGGCCATAACATGTAAAAAGTCAGAATCTAAATGCCGAAGAGCACATCTCATTGAGAGAATGGTTTTAACCAAGTGATTGTCTCTGGATGTTTGAAAATCGTGATTCCTTCTTTTTACTAAATAATTTGAAATCTAAAAACAAAATTAAACTTCAAGAAAACAAACTTACTGAACATTGCTTCTTCGTTGGTAATTCGTCATGTGAGTTACATTGTTCCTTCAATTTGGTAAAAGTTTCGTTATGTTTACATCGTACGTGATCCCACATTGCTTTTGTAGACGAGATTTTGTCTTTACTGACGTACGAACAACCATTTATCAAACATTCCTTCTTAGCGTTAAAAACCTTCCAAATAGTAGAACTTCCAGAATCGTTTTGTCGTTTCTTTGTGCGATTGTCGCTCGCGTTCGTACCTTCAACCTCATCCGGATCTTTGTCCATTTTAATCTAAAAAAGTAAAAAAGAAAATAGCGAAAATGCTTTTATAATTATAAAAAGATAATTGCTTACCATTTCAACATAAAAAATATAAACATTTCAAAATGAACGCCACAAAATTTGGCATTTAATTTTTTAGTTGCAAAACCCAAAACTTGAAGAAAAATAAAATTATTTTGAAATTTTTTAGAAAAAAATAATAGTGAATAGTGTGATCCCCGCGGGGGGGATTAGAAATCCCCGCGGGTACGGGTCCCCCGCAAATCCCATCCCCGCGGGTACCCGGGGATATTCCCCCATCGGCAACCCTACTTTTTAGCAAACCCACTTATTCAACTACCAATTGGGTCAAATAAACAGTCGACTAAATCAGTTATCGACTTTGATTGTATATTTAATATCTGGTCTTGGTCTCTTCTTGATGTTACTATCAGTTTTGGTTGGGTTTACCTTATGGATTCAGCTACGGAAGCGGCTGCGATGGACTTCTAAAGGGTTATATCGCCAAAACTCTGTGTTACATCAACATTTAATAAGAAGAAAGGTTGATGATGTATAAAATGCTAGTTGAATGTAAAATACGACACCATGTTCTTTAATTTGTAAAAAACAACTTTATTAAACAAAAAAGCTTGTACTATAGCACTATTCTTAATATTATTTCAAAAGCTAATAAATTATGAAAAATTAAATTTTGTTACGACCCTATTTATTGGTTTATACCAAGGATATTTTCAGTACCACAAAATATGAAAATTTACGTATTTTAGGCTTCATTTTAAATTTTTTTTAATTTTATATTTAGAGTTTAAAAATTTAGCCGTGGACTTCTCTTATCAAGTATGGTTTAGTGACTAATGGACTGTTTATTGGCTACACTACTTACTCATTGTTAGTTATGGTTCTTGTGTAAATACTAGTCAGAAATGTCGTTAGATTCGGTAAGTTTTAAATTTTTGTTGAAGAATGGGTAACTTCTTCCCTATCCTACTCTTCGTCGTCTCAGCCCTTATCTAGCGTTTGCATTTTTGAATTTGCTAGCTCCAGCTCGGGTTCCAGCTCTGATCTATACATAGAAAACGGACCGGGCCGGGCCTGAAAAGTGGGTCCGACCCGGCCGGTTCCTCATGTCTACTCTGACACACTTTTATATTGTAGCTACGGCTCCAGCCTTAGCTCCCGGGCTAAAGCCGCTCTAGAATTGTCCTCAGAGCTAGCTCAAAAGCTGGCTTGCCAGCACTGCTTTAATAACCCTAAAAAATGTTTTTTAAATTTAGTTTTAAAATTTTTTTTAGATTTTAAACAGCGTTGACTTGCTGTTGATTGACATATCAGACAACCTCAACCGACTGTTGACAACTCTGACCATTTTCATTCCAATCTTTGTTATAGCTTTTACTGTATTAGTGGTGCTACTGCTTCTTATTATTGTTTTTACTATGATTTTACAATACAAAAAGTATCGTCGTGTGGAGTCTTTAAAACGACGGAAGAGTAGTGATATCGAAAGTCCGCCTTTAATTGAAGCAAAGTTAGAGAAAGTGTAGATTGTTGTTTAGTACTTTTTGTATTGTCTTGTGAAGTTGTTATATTTAAGCCTAATTTTATAATTTTTAATAAAAATTTTTTATCTTGTCAAATTGGCCAGTTTAAGAAAAGAATTAGTAGAACGTAATGGACATGACAGTTCTAAAGCTAGGACATATTCATGAAGCTATTATAAGAGTCGACATCGACGAAGGGCTATGCCAGGTCGATTTTCAGATCCAGATGACCTATTTCAATTTCTGGTTTGCCCGGTGCGGCCCGTCGTTCATGACTAACTTCTGGGCTTTGGGCTAGGGCTCTGGGCTAGGGCTTTGGGCTAGGGCTCTAGGCTAAGGCTTTGGGCTAGGGCTTTGGGCTAGGGCTTTGGGCTAGGGCTTTGGACTAGGGAGTAGAAGTAAGCGCCACCTTCACAGAATGTGTGGTATTATTACACGGTGCGCAAGCAGTCTAAACAAAGGAGTGGGTAGATCAAAGGGTTTTTTGACCTTCGCAGTGCGGCGAGAGTATCACGTTACCATATCGGGATGGGATTTGTACATCGGAGATGGAAGTGGAGTTGTTCAAGCTGAAATATTTAGGACTTATTACAAGGTACTCAACTTAAGAAATAAACTAATATTTAAAGAAGAATATAAATTAGTTACAAAAAAAACAAAATGTTGAAAAAACTTACAAACATATACATGATGTTCATTGTGGATTACGGGCAGTCTGTTTTTTTGTACGCGAATAAGATATATATTGTTACAGGTTACGGTACTTGTTAAGACTACGACATAACGCATTGCTGTTTTTCGGATTCGACTTTTTGGCCTCACCTGTATCTTGTTTACTCTAAAAACAACCTCGCGGTTACGTTGTTACCAGTTGTTGAGAATAAATAGAGCGTGCACCATTTCTGAAAAAAAACCTTGTAAGAACCAAAACTTTTTTACAAAAAATCAAAACAATATAATAAAAATATGGCACCACCTGTGCTTGCCATATAGACGTAGTCTCAAATGACTATTGCTGCTGTATTGGTGGGCTAAAGCCGACAGCTCGTCAGTAGCAAAGGTATTTGAAGTTTTTTGTTTACCCAATAAGGCGGTGATGGATTTACGAAGATAAAGTATCGGTTTTCATATTTAAAAATTATTATTGTTTGTTAAAGGATTATATTATATAGTATTGCTTTTTGGATCAAACCCCTTTATTTAAACAGCTTGCGCATTGTGTAATAATACCACACTTTACTGTGTGAAAGTGCTTCTTACTACTACTATAGGGCTCTGGGCTAGGGCTCTAGGCTAAAGCTCTGGGCTAGGGCTCTGGGCCAATGCTCTGGGCTAAGACTCTGAGCTAGGATTCTGGGCTTAAATAAAAATCCGAGAGTATGTTTTACATTTATTTAATAGTATTAAGCACACTAGAATGTCCAGCAGCACGAGTTGTCGACTTGGATATTGCGATCGTTGTTGTCGGTTGAAGTTTTTGTGGCAGTATGGCCTTAAGCGCTGCGTTTTTAAGCTCCTTATGAAGGGTAATATAAGCAATTGAATTACAAACACCGCCCAAAACTAGTCCCAATATGTAAAATGGGCCAAGTTTAGAGAAAACGTTAATTCCAAAGTAGTCAGCTACGCCGACTAATGAACTGGGAATGGCGTGAAAACAAACTGAGATCAATATTATTGCCATTGTTAAGCGGTTAGCCTGAAATTTGGATTTAAAATTATCAAAAGTTCGAAAAAACTTTTGGACAAAAACTCAAAATTCTTAGAACTTTTGGACCAAAACTCAAAATTCTAAGAACTTTTAGACCAAGCACCATCATTTTAAATAATTTTCGACCAAAGTTCAAAAAAGTTCAAGTAATTTTAAAGCCAAATTTAGCTGTTGCCTTTTTAAACATTATCATGCCATAAATAAGTTAAAAGTGTATCAAAACATGTCTCACCTGTCGCTGACTGTCCTGCTTTGAATGTGCCAACACACTTTTTGAGCTTTTTTGATTAACGGTTTTTAATTTTATGCCCAGTACTAACGTCAGCACCAACATGATAACACTCAACAGCTGAAAATGAGTTGGCTCAATTTTAAATATAGCTTCAACTTTTAATTTTCTGATGTGACAGAGTGTAATGTTATGATCAAGACTTAAGCTAAGCTTAGGGTAAAATACGCCATCACCAACATTTTTAAGCCTAGTAAAGGTACAATTTAGAAAAAAGATTGATATTAAGTTAGCTAGAGCATCATTCTTAATATTAAACTAACCATATTGCTATTGCCCCAATACCGTCGATATTCGGAGCCATTAAAACAGCCGACAGCTGCGCAACCTGGATTCGATTGTACCGGATTCCAGAAGATTTCTAGAATACAATCAAATGTGCCCCATATAACTCCAGTAAGCAAGGTACAAACTATGTATGAATAGTGATTGTTTCTTTGCCGGTAATGCACGGAAAAGAATAATGCCTGAAATATATAATATTTAGTATAATAAAGCAATTTTGTACATAAGAAAGGCTGAGAAAAAGCGTTAATGATAAATGTAATAATAAGAAGAAAAGGTGAAAAGTAAGCTTAACGCTAAATGTAAGGTTAGGCTTAAGGACAATTCGTAGAGCAGGGCGTAATGTGTATACGAAAGTAAAAGTAAGAGTAAGTCTGAGATTATAGCTAAATTTAAAGCCTAGAAAAGGATGGGAGAAAGAGTAAGAACCAGAATATAAAATAATAAAGATATAGTTAAGGTAAGGTGAAAGGTACTACTAAGAAGACAACTATAGGTACAGTTCAAGACAAATCTAAAGATAGAAATTAAAATAAAACTAAAATTAAGGCTAAGAGTAGACCTAGTTGTGATAAGACAACACTAAGAATATGACTAACGGTTAGGATAAGATAAGCCCAAAAGTACGTCTGGAGTAGCAGTAAGGTACAGATAGAACCCAACTAGCATAAATTTGCCAATTGGGTTAAAAGTAGAAGGAGAGCGGAGAGCTAACAATTGTAAGGGTGAAACAAAAGGTAAGACAAATAAAAGTAGAAGTGACCCACTTGAATTCTATCTGAAGCTATAGCTAATCCAATAACCAGTGTTATTTTGTATTGCATTGTGAGAGGAAAGCTTAACTTAATCACCATAAATCCATCATAATTTAAGACGGTTGGTGTCCATCCAATTACGTAGTACAACATATATGGGAATACTGAAAATTTTTGGGTATTATTATATAAAAATAAATTTTTATTATCTACTCTACCCTATACTACGCTGCCCTACCCTACCAAACCTTACAGTCTTAGTCTTGCCCATTTTAAAATTTTCAATTTTTTAAAATCCTACCACTAATAGCAAAAAGCAGGTCGGTAATGCTGAGCACCCACAACATTTGCAGTCCATTGATCTTTCGTAGTCTATTTCGCCTAAAATACGCTGATTAACCAGAACTCACTCACTTGACAAACAAATAACTGATAAATCCATTGCCAGTCGCTGACAATATTTGGCACACTATGATGAGGATGTTTTCGCCCATAAGAAAAGTGTTGTACGCGGCCATGTCTTCTTGTTCTGTATTCATTAGTTAGAAGTTTAGGAAGTTTGGCATTATTTTGAATAGGTTTTTAGCCTGAAATAAGTATAATTGATCTAAATTCAAGCGTAGGACAGGGTAGGGTAAGGTAGTGTAGGATACCGAAGACTATAAAATTAATGCCTAAAATTTGAATTTTAACATTTTTTGTTCTACCCTGCGCTACATACTTTATTTAATTTCAATACGCGCTAAGAGTAAAGAAAATAAAAAAACATCAAAATTTAAAAAATTCAAAAAAAAATTTTTTATTTAATTTTAAAATTTAACTTGCATGAGTTTTTTATGCCTAAAAACCGATTTTTTCTCAAAAATTTACAAAAACTGTAGGTTATATCACTTAAATTCCCCTTTATTTTCTAACAACTTACAAAAAAAATATAAATTTAGCTATTTTGTTACCTAAAATTCAATTTTTTATTAAAAAATGTAATGTGTAAATACAAATTTGTAACCAGTTTGTTACCTAAAACCAATTTTCTTAAACAAACGTTACAAAAAAGGTTTTTGGCTATTTTATTACCTAAAATTTACTTTTTATTCTACAAAATATCTATTTTGCTGCCCAAAATTTAATTTTTCTTTCTAAAATACAAAAAATATAAATTTTTAGCTACTTTATTACCTAAAATTAAATTTTCCCTTTTAAATATTCTTCAAAAAATAACCTTTTTATAAACTGTTACCTAAATTTACTACCGGGTTTAAACTAACTTAATTACTCTACTATCCTACATAAACTAAAAACATATATATACATACTTTTCAAGTCTCTCAACTTAGTTATAACGTGAAGGAAATATAAGAAAGTTAATTAGTAAGAAGCAGACTATGGTTAAAAAATGACATGTTGTTTTCAACATAGCTGTTATGATAAGTACGGTATGAGAGATGGCTATAATTATTGTACTAAAGGTGCGAAAACAAAACAAGTTTGTTATGTGAGATAACGTACGTATAGTACTGAGTGAGAATGCTATATAGTACAAAAGTAAATTTTTTGCTAAATTTTAAATTTTTCTTATAGTACATATAGAAGCTTGTGAAATAATGAAAAAGTGCAAAAAATGGCCTGATAATCCTTTGCTTACTGTAGAAAAAAAATTAGAAAAAATAAATTTTTGGCTAAGTTTTTTATTGAAAAATTTACCTTACTCTACCCTACCCGGTCATACGATGTGTCTCCTACACCGTACCTTTAAAATTCCTTACGTTAGCTTGCCATACCTCTACCATAAATTCTTTCTACATTTTTCTCACCCTTACCCTTACATTCATTATGTAAAGAAAACCATACTTCTAACAGCTCTGCAAACGAGATTAAGAGTAATAAAATCAAATTATAATCTCTATTACGAACAAAACTGTTACTGAGAAATTTTGGTTCAAATAAATATAAGTGTGTTTTATAGTATCACATTAGGCTTTATTTAATAGTTTTACAATTATAAACGCACAGTATGTTGCTAAAACCCATAAAAATGTAAGTGTTAGTAAAAGAAACAATATTAAAACAAAGAACTAGGTTAAAAAAATAAACTGCCGTAGGATATAATAGAGTTAGACATGAGCAACGGGCCGGGCCTAAGCAAAATCAAAAACGGGCCGGGCCTGAAAGTTAGGTCCGGCCCGCGGGCCGGGCTTGAAAAATTGGGCCCGGGCCCAAAAAAAAACTTTTTTTAATTTTTTAAAATTTTTTATTTCAATCCTCGTTTATGTTTTTCGATTTTATAGGGTTCTATGATCCATAAATGGTCTAAAAAAACAATTTAAAGCCAATTTTCCGTTAAGTTTTTAAGTTTTAAAATTTTTAAAATTTTTTAAAACGGGCCGGGCCGGGCCTAGAAATTTTCTGATTGGGCCGGCCCGGACCTGACCAAAATTAAAAACGGGCCGGGCGTAAACGTTAGGCCCGGCCCGCGAGCCGGGCTTGAAAATTGGGCCCGGCCCGGCCCGTTGCTTATGTCTTAATAGGTTGTTAGGCCGCGCGCCTGAGTTTTAAAATTAAAATATTTGAAGTTAATTTGGCACATTTGACACTGTCTTTCAATTACTTTTTTGACTTTTCAGACAAGCTTCACTTACAACTTTTAAAATGTAAGTTCATTTAAAGGTTTTCTTATATTTCTTAAAGAAAAATGATAAAAAGTAAAAAAAATAAAAAAGTTATAAGCTTGAAACACAATGCCAATTTATCAAGAAACTCAAAACGTAATTATTGATCCTGATCTTCTGAATATTGACTTAAAAGCGCGGTTTAGTGCTTTGCTGAAGACCTTATATATACACGCTCTTTCTATAAAGTTTGAATTCAATCAGAGCGAGACACGTCAGGCAACTTCCTAGCAAAGTTTTCACATAAAACCAGAAGTTCAAAAACAATAATGACATTTTCATCATGATTTTCCACCAAAACAACAACCTTCTGTCCCAACACTGGTACAATATTGTTTGTAACAGCATCAAAAACTAGCCTGCCTAATGCTCTTTCAAAGTTAAAAGTGTGCTGGGACAATGTCATTATTTCTTGAAGTTGTATTTGGGTACGAACAGGTGTTACTAAACATCTTATTTCACACATCTTCTGTATATACGAATAATTAGATATTGAAGTTAAGAAAATACTTTAAACGCTGGCAAAAAGCGGCATATACGAAAGTACAAGGCATTTTTACTGCATACATTTGAATACATTTGCTATAAATATTAAATTACAAGTGCTTAGAATTGTCATACTTCAAAATGAATATTGTAGTACTATCATAGTATAAAGCATTTAAAATTAGAGTAGAGTAGGATCAGTAAGGGAAATGTAGAGCTGTGTGGAACTGCATAGGGCTGGGTTATGCAGTGAACGGTCAGGTAGGATCACTTAAAGCCGGATAAGGTCGGCTAGGATCTGCTGGACAAGGTATGGCCAGGTAGGGTCCGGTAGGGCCGAGTAAATCCTGGTAGGGATTACTAGAGACTGGTAGGGCCGGGATAAGCTTTGATTTGGTAAGGAACTGAAGAGCAGGGTAAGATCAACTCGGGTAGGAACTGATGGAGTTAGGTAAGACCGGGCCTGGCCAGGTAGGGCTGCGTAGGAAAGTTTAGGGTAAAATAAGTAAAAAATTAATTTTTCGGTAACAAATTTATATTTTTTTTATTTAAAAATAAGTTCATTATATACAAACAAACATAAATTGATTGTTGTCAATTAAAGCAAGAGCAGGATGTTATTGATAATGGCATAAGTGATCGGTTTATGCTAGCTTCGCTACTCGGAATTTGCGAACTGGAGCGCGTCTTAATCTAGCGAGATTTCCTTTGGCTAAAAAATTATTAAGTTTAAATATACAAGACTAAAATTCATAACTTAAGTCTAAATTCATTTCTAAGCCTAAAATTTAAGTTTTAAGCCTAAAATTTCATTTTTAAGCTTCATATTCATTTTTAGTCTAAAGAGCTGTAAACCTACCGTATCCAGATGGAGGTGGAATCATAGGTGGCAATTTTGGTGCATCGTACGATGGGCCTGGGTTGTAAGACGGCGCTGGTGGTGGTGGAGGTGGAGGAGGTGGTGGTGGAGCATATTGTGGTGGAGGGGCGTAACTCGGCGGTGGCGGGGCATAGCTTGGCGGTGGCGGCGCATAACTTGGCGGCGGTGGAGGTGGAGCAGCATAGCTGGGTGGTGGTGGAGGTAGAGCGTATGATGGAGCGGGTGCTGGAGCAGGAGCTGCAGCGATTTGTAATGGTGCTACGACGTAGCCGACTGGTGCTGGTGGGGCACCACAACCACAGCCTCCTCCAGATGGTGGTGGTGGGGCACCGCATCCGCATGGCGGTGGGGGTGGTGGTGGCGGTGGTGGTGGTGGGGGTGGAGCACAGCATGGCGGTGGTGGAGGAGGTGGTGGTGGTGCACAACATGGTGGTGGGGGTGGAGCACAGCACGGTGGGGGTGGAGCACAGCACGGTGGTGGTGGCGGCGGTGGTGGTGGAGGGGCGCAACAAAGTGGAGGGGATGGCGCGGAGCTAAAATTATTTTTTAAAGATTATTTTCGAGACTTATCGTGAGTAGTACAACCTCTGAAACGTACAAAAAATGATACTAGAAAGCAAATAAAATTTGAACTTTAAACATTTTTAAAAAAACTTTAAACCAGTACTAAAAAAACGTACGTCCTCGAAAAATTAGAAAATTATAAGTACAAAACCGAAACTAAAGAGCTTACCAACAACAACAACCACCTCCACCTCCGCCACCCATTGGTGGAAACAAGAACCCTTCAGTTTTTGAAACGACCAGTAATAGCACAACGCCACTGATCAACATTCTTAAACCTATAAACTGTCGTCGTTCCAGAACCGCAGCCCCGGTTTTATACCTATTTTATGAAATCTGAATATCTGACGTGACGCTTCACGCGATCTAACCCCGCCTTAAATCAGGAATCCTCTTTCTACGAGCAAATTAAAAAACCTTTTTTTTGTGACAGCAAATTAAAAGAAAGTGAATGCAATAACACAAAATGCAAGTTGATTATGTAAAACGATTTCCCATCTCCGGCTACACGGACCCGTAGGATAATGAGAGTAATCGGACTTTGAAGAGATGCAATTTACGTAAACCTTTGTTTCCGTCAAGGTCAATGTTGTTCGTACGGTTCGGTCGGCTTAATTGTATAATGAACTTTTACTGAAAAACCTCAAAAAATATAGTTTAAGATAAATTAAGATTAGTTCACCCATGAGCTAAGTAAATGAACAGTTCTGCATGAGTTTTAGCTTATGACAATACTTAAGCTTACAAGATTTAAGAAATTTTGCTTCTAGGTTTATTAGAGGATCACCATTTTCCAAATTTCATGCGAAGTTTTTGTTTTAATTTACAGACGATGACTTTTACCAGCCTTTTCCCTTTCTTACTCTGTTGGATACGTTTTTTGCGGGAGTCAAAACATAACGTATAATACAATATATATTTATGCGCTTTTTCCAGTTATGCGGATTACATGAATAACATAAGAAAAGCTGGTTTAGATTCACTGGAACATGATAAAAAATGAAAGTTGTAGTAACAACAATTTTTTTCTTGTAACATTGTCACTTACTCTTTATTAAACACTGTTTCAAAAATTTGAGGCCATAGGACAAATAGTACTTTTGGAATACAAAAACCAAACATAAGAGCGTAAAAACCAAGTTTATTTCTTAAAAATACATACAGAAAGCAAAGAAGATCAGAAGTAAGTAATAAGTAATTAGTGTTGCTTTTGTGTTATACCTTCCAGGTGAAACACCGCTATTATAAAGCCAAAATAATCCTCAATTTAAAGTTTTGGTCTTCGATTCCATTGCTTGATTGTTAACGTGCACATCCGTTGACGCTTGAAATTATTAATATTAATCAAGAGGGTAATGATCACTCCACCTGATGTTAAATGAGAGTCTTTGAAGGTACCGAATGAAGAACACCAAAAAAGAAACAAAATACACCGGCTGCTAGATAAAATGAAAAATGAAAAAACAAAAAAAAATTTTCAAATTAAAAACATTGGTACTAAATATAACTTTTTGGCATTACAGAAAAGTGATCAATGTTTGTCGAAGGCTTATTTTTCTAGTCTTACCGAAAGGTACTGAAGCTTGGACACAGAACTGGACATTAACAGTTTTCCTGCCCTGCTATGCCTAGTCTGGTAGATCTGATAAAAAGCCCAACTGGCTCGGTCTGGTTCTTTGTTGAAATTTCTTGTACTACTGCTCGGTACAAGGCATTTCAGTTCTGTTCCTTGCTCTGTCTTTAACCCTAACAAAAACTTGTGATCATATCACCGTCAATTCTTTACAAAATTATTTTTTAATAAAAAAACCAAAAATTATATTTAAAATTTTGTCGTAGCCAAAACCCCTACAAACAAGGTTTGCAATTGCAAGAATGTAAATAAAACAATGTTTATTTAAAATTAATTCCAGCCACTTAACGTCTGCCATTTTTGCTTGCATGTTTGTGTCTATAATAAGAACGAATGTCTTTCTCGTTTAAAAAAATATATATTTGCCTTTAGGCTGTCATAAATCCATGGCATTTCCACTTAAAAACACCACAACACGTAATAAGAAGCGGCTCCGGGCCAGGCGCGGCGTAATGGCTTTATGTACTTGTCAATCTGTTTCGCCCATATGCGTGCTACAAACCTTGCATACGGTTTCTAATCAAAGTTGATATTTATAGACGTTCGGTTTAATATTTATACTTATAGACGTTCGGTTTGTCATAAACTCGTCTTTGAAAATGTTTGTGTCTGCAGCTGAAGTGGTAACAATGGGTTTCTAGCGCGGACATGGTTAATATTAACGGTTTGGTGCAATAACAGAAAGTGTTTGTTATTGCAAATGTTTACTATAATATATAATGGTTAGGTTTAGTTTTAAAGGAATATTACTACAATATGCTAAAGTACGATAAGGGTACAGTAAGATTAGGTTATAGTAATGTAGAATAGGCAATGTTAAACTAAAGTAGGGTTGGTTAAGATAGGATAGAATAGGGTTGCGCAGGGTTGGGTAGGTAGGGTAGGATAGGTTCAGGCAATTTTCTAAAAATGAGGAGAGGACTGTGGAAACGTGAGATGTTGTAAATATGTTATAAAGTAGACTAAACGTCACTTTTATAGCCAAAAACCATAGTGCAAAGTAAACTCATTTTTTCTGTTTTATGGTTATTTTGTGGGTGGGCTGGAAGATAGGATGTTAATAGTCCAAAATTAGGTTTTTGCAAACATAAACATGGAAAAGGATGTTTTCGAACATGACTATGTTTGTGATACTGAAATTTTCGAAATATTTGAGTGGTTTAGGTTATTATTGAAGCGACCAGCTATGTAAGCTGGAGATAAAACCACTATTTTATACCCAACTTTTAAGTAACTTATTATTAAGTTTAAAATTGATTTTTAAGCTCGATTATTTTTTAAGCCTAAAACTCATTTTTAAGACTATATTTCATATTTTGTGACCTAAACTTTGTTTTTAAGCCTAAAGGTAAGTATAAAACCAAAAATTATTTCTTAAGCTTAAAATTGATGTTTCAATGTCATTTTAAGCTTTAAAACTATTTTTTTTCTTAATAGTGCTTTTTAAACTTATTTAGCTTGATTTAAAATAGGAGTTCAACAATATAGTACTTGGCAATGCATACCTTTTACCTATACTAACTTTCACATTTTTTTACTAATTCAACTTTTGTAAATCCTTTAAATCCAGCAAAAACGTCATTTTTCATTTTTTGCATGTCTGCTCCACATTATTTTTTTTCTTTATATTTGGTCTTTCGTTTAATATGCTGGAAGAGCATTAACAAAGTACGGGGGTAATAAATTGTAGAAAATAGTTTTTTGGAGGTTTTATAAATATTTCAGACGTTTCCTGTCATAAATAATGTCGAAAAATGACCGAGTCTTTGTTTGGATATTTTCATATGTATTTTCGTATGTTGAGTATTTGTAAATGTATCCTTTCGGCCGTCCTTCGCAGGCAAATCCCAACTTTTTCCAAATAAATTGTAATTTGTTGACGATGAACAGGGGAGGGGGAGATTGTTTTGAGATAAGGGCAGTACAAAAATAAATTGCCCTGCTATTTATTGTAAACTAGGTGGAATATTCGATACAGATGTGTAAGGTGTGAAATCATACAGTGGCGGCAAAAAATGGGACAGTCGGTTTTTCGTCAATTTTAAATTTTTTTCGAACGTTTCTAAATTTGTACCTAGCTATTATGAAAATGTAGGGTAAGTTTAGCATATTCAAGCAAAAAAAATTTTTAAATTTGAGTCTTAAATATTTTTAAAAATTTTTCAAAAAAATTTTTGCTTGGCAAAAAAAAAGTGGGACACTTGTGACGGAAGCTGTTAATATGCAAAGTAAGTTTTAATTTGTACTAGTTTTTGTGCTGTTTTTGTGCCGGAATATATTTTAAGTTACAGTATGCCAAAACAAGCAGGTGAAGAGGTTTGTTTTTTAATTGTGCGTTTTGGCAAAGAGAAGATATCGATTCGAGCAATAGATGTCATGGTTAACATGCCAATATTAACTGTTAAAAAAATAATTCCGCGATACAATGGTTGTGGCTCTACAAAACGCAAAAAAGGAAGGGGAAGACCTAGATTTACAACAAAAAAAGAGGATACATTGATTAATCGCAAGTCTAAAGTTGATCTTTTGAAACGTGCAAATGAGATTAAAACAGACATGAAGGAAGAACATGGTGTAGACGTTTCATGAAGGGCAGTATGCAATCGGCTTTTAGACATTAGACTTCGTGGCTGTATTTCCAAGAAGAAACATTTGATTCGGATCAAAAATAGCAAAATTCAGCTTGAATTTGCAAGGGCACATTAACATCGGATAAGTGATGATTTAAAAAAGGTCATTTTTAATTATGAATCAAAGTTGGATACTAAGGAATCAGATGGTAAACGATAGGTAAGAAGGCCATCTAACTCTGAAAATCAATTGCGGTACCTACGGCCAAGAGTCAAGCATCCCAGAAGCATAATGGTTTGGCCGTGTTTTGCCTACAACTACATCGAACTTCTGATCGTATAGAAAAGATTATGGATAAGACGGTTTCCTTAGAAATTTTATACAAAATTGCCATACCTTATTGTCGTTCTTAAAAAATAATAGTATCCTTATTTCAAAGTGACAACGACCCGGAACACAGGGCTAAAGTTGTTCAAAAATATATGAAGAAGGAGAAGATCCGTGAACTCGACTGGCCTAGTCAGTCTCCTGACCTTCATCCTATCGAACATTTATGGGAATTAGTTGCAAGAAACGTAGAAAAGACATGCTCTACGACAGAAGCTCAATTGGAATCAGTTTTGGATTAGGGATGGAGAAATCTTGACATTAAAGTAGTGGACGATTAGATCATGTATATCCCCCGTCGAATGGCCGCTGTTATTGCTGCAAATGGTGGTCCAACAAAGTACTAGTTATTGTTTGTTAGTTAAACGTATTTTTAGTTGTTTTAGTTAGGTTGTTTAATAAAAATGTTTTTGATATTCAAGTGTCCCACTTTTTTTTGCCAAGCAAAATTTTGAAAAATTTTGAAAAATATTTAAAACTCAAATTTTAAAATTTTTTTTGCTTGAATATGTTAAACTTACCCTACATTTTAATAATAGCTAGATACAAATTTATAAACGTTCGAAAAAAATTTAAAATTAACAAAAAACCGACTGTCCCATTTTTTATTGCCGCCACTGTACACAGGGGAACTCCTGTATAGCAAACGTCTGTAAAACGGATGGCTCAAAACTTTTCTCGGTTTTTTTGCGCTTTTCTATATTAAGCCTAAAAATTCATTTTAAGTCTAAAACTTTATTTGTTAATATTAAATTTTTTTAAGCTTAAACCTTAATTTTTAAGCCTAAAATTCTTTTTAAACCTAAAATTCATTTTTTTAAACTAAAGCTCATTTTTATGCCTAAACATTATTTTTTAAGGTTAAAATTTATTTTTAAGTCTAAACTTTATTTTTTTAAGCCTAAAATTCATTTTTAAGCCTAAAATTCATTTTTAAGCCTAAAATTCATTTTTAAGCCTAAAATTCATTTTTAAGCTGTAAATTGATTTTTAAGCCTAAACTTCATTTTTATGCCTGTAATTCATTTGGAAGCCTAAAATTTATTTTTAAACCTGAAAATCAGTTATAGGCTTAAAATTCAAAAGCAAAATTCTTTTCAAAGCCTAATTTTTTCTCCGACCTCTTAACAATATGATTTGTTTGATTGTCATTATCTTTTGGGACGGGACAAAACTCGTTTGCGGCCAAATGATTGATGGCTGATTTGAAGCACTTTAATTTTCCAAACCGTTTTTCGACATGCTTAATTTGTTATAGTTAAAAAGTTTAATTTTGACGTAACTTTAATTTTTTAAATAACAACTTTAACCTTACTAACATAAGCCTTAGTTATATCGATAGATTTAACAATAGACCTGAAGAGCCGAGCCTAAACTGCTCCTTTCTCATCCCTAGTCCTTAGGATGTGGCTTAGGTCCCACAACGAAAGACTTTACGTGCAAAAATGTAAAACAAATGGCGTTTTCCAGCACTTATGTGGTTTTTGACCAGTCCAACAATATTTTTTCTCTGAATTTTTTGACCACGTAAATGTTCTTTCCGCGAACTTCTTGACCAGCCAAACAATATTTTCAACTCTTCAGACGATAGGGTGAAAATAAATTACAGACCAAACTTTAATCAAAAATTTCTATTTTTTGTAAGCTTACGGTGCATTCTCTAAAGTTCATCTTCCATACTTCCGGAGTTAAAAAAAATTGTCTTCTGTTCGTTATCGAAGACATTTTTACATTCGAATCTTATTTCAAAGTTGAAATTTGTCGGTCAAAGATGAGTTTTTTTAGATTTTGGGGGATAACTGATTTTTAGCGCAAAAAAAGTTTGGGTTTACCAATGAAATTTAGTGTAATCTTTTAGGATTGAAAATAAAATTTTAGGCCTATAAATGTATAGGTTTAAAGTTTATTTTAGAAAAAAAAACAAAATTTTAGGCTTGAAAATGAAATGTTTCGCTCTAAAATAAGTTTTCAGTCACAAAAATGAACTTTAGGCTTAAAATGGGTTATAGACATAAAAATGAGTTTTAGGCTTTAAAATGAATTTTAGGCTTAAAATGAAAAAGTAGGATTAATAAATGCAGATTTATGATTAAAAACAATTTTTAAGCTTAACAATGAATCTCATGCTTGAAAATCGGATTTCATGGTTAAAAATCAAAGTTTAGGCTCAAAAATAAAGCTTTAGGTACTAAAAGTTCTACAAACATTAGCCTAAGTTTTACAGCACCATAATACTTCGTAATGGTATTTTTAAAATGTGAAATGTCGGCGAATACAATATTTTGATTAAATGATAGAACAGAAGGTAAACAATTTCCAAGGCAGTTAATACTTTTCGGCCGCAAATATTGACATTTAATTTTGTCGGTCTGACGTATGTTTTGTCGCCCAACGCTTCGAAATTCGAATTCTGGGTGCATTTTGAGAATTTTTAGAAATTTTGTTGTATTTTTTATGAAAAAAATTATTTTTAGGTAATAATTTTTATAATAAAGTTTAAATTTCAGGCTTTAAAATGAACTTTAGGCTTAGAAATAAAATTTTAGGCTTCCAATAGTACTTTATGCGTAAAAACTCAAATTGAGGCTTTACAATTACAACCGGCTTACAAATAAAACCTTAGGCTTAAAAAACAGTTTATGTTTAAAAATCAAAGTTTAGGCTTAAAACTTAAATTTTAAGCTTAAGAATTTATAAAAAATTATTTTTCTTATTTTTAAAATTTTAAAAGTGCAAAATAATTGCGGAAATGAATTATCAGCAACTCAACCGTTTACCCACAAAAAGCCTTCTAAACCATGTGGTTGTTGGTTGACGGCGCTTCCGGCAATTTCGATTCAGACTTTTGTTTTACGTTTTTAATTCATAAAACTCGTGTTGTCCTAAAGTAAGCCAACGTGATCTTATTTTTATTTCGTAGACGGTTTCTACTTTTTAAATTAAAAAATGAATTTTTTGTCGATTTTAAAAATATCGTTTAAAATGAAGTAGGGTATGTTAGAATAATTTAAGACAGAAGGGACTAGGATAAAACAGGGCAAAGTAAAGTAGGGTAGGGCCATGTAGATATACGGTAGAGTAGGGTAGATTAGTTTTTACAAGTGTGTCATTGCTTTTTGTTAAGGATGATAGTAGCTTTTGGTGAGAGTAATAGGAGTAGGAGGGGGGGGGGGGGGCAAGGCAAGGCAACTTTTTAAAAACTTTACTTTACTATGCCCATACCCACAAAATGTGTGTTTACCCAAACGATTGAAACGTGTTTTAGAAGGAAAAGCACGTTAATTAATCAATTTATTATTGCCGGTGGCGTTTGGCACAAATTATTTATCGCCCAGTGCACTTTTTTGGGTGAGTGTTGACTTCGAAAACAAGCCTTTTCTAATCCTCCAAATTTCAATAAACGGGATAAAACTTCCTGGATCTTTATTTTTTTTATTGGTAGTGTAATTTATTTGTTTTTAACTTTTTTTAAGCCTAAAAGTTTTTTTAAGCTTAAAATTTATTTTTAGGCCTAAAATTCTTTTTTAAGCTTAAATTTTATTCTTAAGCCTAAAATTCATTTTTAAGCTTAAAATTTCGTTTATGAGCCAAAATGTTATTTTTAAATATAAAATTCATTTTTTAAACTTAAGATTTATTATTAAGCCTAAGGTTTCATTCTTAAGCCTAAATTTTGTTTTTATACTTAAAATTCATTTTACTTAATGAACATTTAAGTTGCTGGTTATACGGAATATTCGTTATAGGGTTGGTTATACAGGAGTTCCACTGTATTTGCTCTTGTAAGAATGTTCATATCTTATTTATTCAAAATCATAGAACCCGTTTCGAGCAATTAAAACCCCAGTGTAACTTTGGCGAATTCGCGGAAATCTCGGTGAAACCACAAAATATTTGTAATCGAATTTGGTGCCGTCTCAGATTTCGGCATTGTTATTTAATTCATCCGAGAACACTTTGGGTGCAAATTCAATTTAAATTTTTACCACACTTGTTCCAAATTTTTTCGCCGAATGAAATTAAGATACGAATAATAAGGAATTCGGGTTATATTACGTCTGGGGCCGCTTTTGTAAAGCATGTTCTGAAGTGGCAACGTGTGACAAACACTTGTTTGTCGGTTTTTTTACGGTCATCTGCCGACCCGTAATGGCTTGTTTTTGAGAGTGGGTGGGTTGGTGTGATCTTCAAAATTTTTAGTATTGAACTCGGCCGGTAAAAGGGATCGGATTGCGCCTGATTTTTCGGCTTGGCCTACCGATTGGGCATTGTTTTGTAAAACGGCTTTTGGGCCCACACCTGCCTGCTCAGCTTTTTCCAATTTCATTCTGCCCGGCATATTATACAAATCTATAAAGGTAATAACTTCGATAAATTGTATCGTACAGCTTCTGGGCCCTAAATAACCAATATTTTCACAATTTTATTTTTTATAAACTATTCAAAAGTTATTTTTAAGTAAATACAGTGAAACTCCTGTACAACGAATCACTCGGGGACTTGAAATTTGTTTGTTATAAAGGAGTTTTGTTATACAGGAGTTTTAAATGCACTGTGTACATGTAGTGGTAGACGGGGATTCAAAAGTTGTTCGTTTTACGGGATTTTCGTTATGCAGGAGTTTGTTATACAGGATGTCTACTGTAGCTTTTAAATCAAGTTTGTTTTACAGTTTTTGCAAGTCAAATCATTCGTTACGGGACCCAAGCTGAGCAAAAGTCTCTTATTTGGAGGCATTTGCTTTTGTTCTTTTAACTTTTTTAAATTGTTTTTTCAAAAATTAACAGGGGGAGGTCATTCAACTTTAAAAAAAATTTTTTGCAGATGGGACTTTCTAGACCTGGCACTTAGCTCGGAATGGATCGATTTTTCAGCCCGTTTTATCTTTTTTTTCGGTTTGGTCCGGCTTAGCTTGGCACGCTTAAAGCCCGGCCCGGTATGATTGCCAGATCTGTGGCCTTCTCTCTTGTCTATACCTAGGGTCCTGCTATGACGACTATCTCTTATAACAGTCTCTAAGATAATTTTTAAATTTTCTTTGCACAAGATCTAAAATTTTTTTTTTCAAATTTAAAACTTTGCTAAATTTTCGTACAGCACCACAAGGTACGCCATAACTTAACTTTTTAATTTCGCCAAAACTTTGCGCCGCAATAAAAACGTTTTTTAAACTAATTATTGCGTTAATTACATCGAACACAAACTCTTTTTTTTATCTTTGAGTAAAATGAATATTCAATAGTTCGAAGGCACCGAAAATAAGACAAGAAAGAGTATGTGTTCTTTGGGACAGTTGAAACCGCGCGAGTAAAAGTTACATGCTTATTAGTGGTTAGTGGAGTTATGAGGTCTGGGCATGGATGGCGGTGGGTTTGAGGTCTGGGCTTGAATGGCAATAGTTTTGAGATCATGTTTTGAAGCTTCGTTATGTTGTTTTGAACAGAGTTTTAAAAAAGGTCAAATTTAGGCTTAATTAAAGTTTTAAGTTTCCGGGTCGCTTTATAAAGCTTTAGCAGGACTTTTCGACAACATAGCTAACTTTGAGCTTACAAGATTATCTTTTGGGTTAGATATTGAAAGTTTTAAGTTTAATGAATGAAAATTAGGCTTAAAAATGACTTTAAGCTTAAAATGAACTTTAGGTTTTAAAATTAATTTTAGGTTTGAGAAGAAATATTAGGTTAAAAAATAAGGTTTAGGCTTAAAAATGAATTTTTATACTTAAAAATGAATTTTGAGCTTAAAAAAGGAATTTAGGCTTAAAAATGAACTTTAGGCTCAAAATTTAAATATAGGTTTAAGAATAAAGTTTAGGCTTATAAAAGCAATTTAGCTACCAAATATAAAATTGGCTTATTTCTTTAGTATCAGCTCAATCTTTGCAACCGTGACAAAACGTCAAACTTTTTTGATTTATTTTTATCGTGCTTTACAGCACGTTTCGATATGTCATGTCAGTTGGAGTTTAATTAAAGTTTACTCTCGGCTAAATGCTTTCTTTTTTGTTGTCGCATTTTGTAAACTAAACTATTTTTTAGTTAAAATTGGGTATCTGTTACAATGTTAAGGGGTATTTGGATTGGTATTGAGTTAGGTATGACATTGGAAATTAGAGATAAGGACGGGGATAGTATTATAATAAAACAGGGCTGTGCAGAGCAGCAGTGGGCAGGTTAGGATAGTAAGACAAGGCAGGGCAAAAGCAGGGCAAAGGCAGGGCAAAGGCAGGGCAAAGGCAGGGCAAAGGCAGGGCAAAGGCAGGGCAAAGGTAGGGCAAAGGCAGGGCGTTTAAAAGTTGTGAACTTTGTAGTTTGAACTACTTATAAACTTTTGAGTAAAATACGTTTACGTTAACCTTTATATGTTTAATGTTTTATTAATGTGCTTTTTTAGCCAAAACGTGTTACCCTTTTGTTGCTTATAAATTAGATATATAGGTGTTCTTTTCCCTCGGGAGGTACCCACATGCTATTAATTTGCCTTATCCTCCCTCTTTATCAATTATTATGGCTGATGATTGGGTTTACGATGTAATATGCAATATATTATAATTGTTATGATTTTTGAAGTGGGTTCACATAGCAATCTGTATGTTAAATTATTTAGCAGGTAATGATATATGGTTTTTTTATTTAATTTTTTTGCGGTTTTTTATCAATTTTGAAAAAAAATTTAAATTTCTGTTTAAAATTTGTTTCAGTTTGCAGTGACCATGATAAACACTACGGGTGACACAATTGTTATCGACGACATCCCTATGCCAATACGATCAGATATTACTTATGATGAGAATGATGAGATGTGCTATTATATTGTAAGTTCGAATTTTTTTTTGTTGAGACAAAATTATTCTTAAGTAAATAATTTTAACATTAGATTCGTTTTTAATTTTCGTTATGTCAAAGCTTTCGTTGCGGGACCAATCTGGGGTCCTGGTGTCTTCTTTATGCCCGGCTCTCGAGCCTGGATGGCCCGGCTTTGGCTTGTTTTCTTTTTAGGTTCAGCGTACAGTTCTTTGTTTGGAATTTTTTTTGCAAAATATTTAAAATTTTTTTAAAAATTTTTTCAAGTTCATACAAAACCATTTTTCAGGGAACAGACTACCTTCACGTCAAAATCTACCTAATAGGCGTGTTTGCAGTCATCATAGCCTTATTCTCCTTACTTTTTAACACATTCTTCACATTTGTTTTCCTAACCAACGCTAATCTTCGCCGTTCTCCACTATACTACTTTGGTGTTCTAGCCATGTTAGATGCCATTTTAGCCTTGAATTACTTGGCATTGATGGTGGTACCAGTATATATGGACCAGTTTAAGTGTTTATGGCTTTATCATTTGTTTTTGGGATATTTGAGGCCAATGATGACGGTTAGTAATAGTGCCATGTTTGCGTCGATCTTGATGATTTTGTGCGCTACGATGGAACGATTACTCAGCACGTTCCAGCCGTCGAACAAATTGGAGACGGTTAGAAAGTAAAGGCTTGGAATGAAATTTTAAATTAATTTAGGCTTAGAATAGGGCTATATTTTAAAATTTTAAAATTTAAAAAATTAAAACTTAGATTTTTCAAAATTTTAGGTACATGGAATCCCGCAGGCCACGTCTATGCATAGTTGCTATTTTATTTGCAGTTTTTTATAAATTGTGCACCTATTTTGAAATTCAATACGTTGAGCATGAAAATTGCACAGAATGGAGTCGATATGAGATTATTCCAACGCCGATTGTTGTGGAGAGCTATACTTACAGGTAACGGCGAAACTAAATTTTTTCAAAATTAAAAAAAAATTTTTTTATTTTTTTAAATTTTTTACTTTAGGCTTCAAATTGCATTTTTTTACATTTTTTATACTTTATATTGCATTGTTTTAATTTAAAATTTTAGGTTTAACATTGATTTTTTTGATTTTTCAAGGTTTTAGGCTTAAAATCTTTAGTTTTTTCTGCTTTATGTAGGTGTAAAAGTTTTTTGTTTTTCTTATTTTTAGGCTTAAAGTCACACTATTTTAAAGATTTTAAGTTTAATGCCGCAGTACTTTAAAACTTTTAAGCTTAAAACTTCCTGCTTTTTAAAATTTTAGGTATGAAAACGTTTTGTTTGTGTTAAGTGAAATCTAAAATGTTTAAATTTTTAAAACAAAACACCTTTTTCGTATTTTACCATTTTAAGCCTAAATTTTAATTTTAATTTTAAAACAATTTTTTTTCAACATTTTAAGCTAAATTTTAACCTTTTTTTTAGATTCTGGTGGATGTTTGTAGCCAGAAACCTAATCGACCGTGTAATTCCATTCTTTGGCTTGTTGTTTATGAACTGCATGATTATCAAAACGATTAAAAAAGAAAACAAAAAGCTGTCAGTGTTGGAACAGAAAGCTATGTCCATCAATGAAAAGGCCACGAAGAGGAATTTGAGGGTGAGTTTTGAAGATTTTTTGACATTTTTAATGTTCTGGTCGATTTTTAATGGTAAAAAAAGTAAGATAGGGTATTACGGGTATGGTGGACAACGCAAAACAAAAAAAAAATTTTTTTTTTAATTTTTAAAAGACTGAAATTTTAAACTTCAGGACGCAACCAGAGCTCTGATAGCCGTAGTAACGTTGTATATAGCTGCTCAATTTCTACAAGTCATCATAACGTTTTGGGAGGCGTTTCATCGTCAGTCATTAGAAGAAGACTTTCAAGAATTCTACTCATACGTCAATGACATCATGAGCATTATGACATTGTTGTGCAGGTGAGTATGAGGCCTTCTTTTAAAGGTTTTGAATTTTGAAAGCTTACCCTACCCTACCCTACCCTACCTTATCCTACCCTACCCTACCCTACCCTACCCTACCCCACCCTACCCTACCCTACCCTACCCTTCCCTACCTTACCTGGCTCTACCATACTCTTTTTTTGTATTTAAATTTTTTTTGAATTTCAGTGCAATTCGCTACCCAGTGTACTGTACCTGCAATAGGCCTATTTTCGAAGCTTCCATGGACACATTGGAAGGTTTGGGCAATTTGTTCACGAATCGTGCCAAAGCCTTGAAGACAGTACGTGCTGTAGCAGTACCATCCGATTTCCATGGTACTGACGAAGAACAGAAGCATTGTCTTAATGCTCACAGTAATCAGCTAGCTGATGAAACCTTTATTGTTAATGTGTTTCTAGACGATGCTGATGAACAGTGGATGGTGTAGAGCTTTGTGAAGCTTGCTTTGATATGTTATGTACACTACATTATGACATTGCTTTATGACATTTTTGTTACGCCGGTCATGTTTTATAGTAATTTTAGAAGCACACTTTTACATTGTTAACTGCCTTTAAATGTACAATTTTGTAACTAATTTATATTATATAAGAAAGAATATTTGTGTTAATAAAGAAAACTATATTTTCTACATTAAATTTTAAAATTTAAAATTTTGAGTTTGTAATATTTTGCACTATAAATTAATATTGTTATAGGTTTCTTGAATTAAAAGTTAACATTAAGAACCGTTTTAAGTTTAAAAGGAGATTTTAAAAACTTATTTATAGGAGAGTTCTTATCACATTTTATTCTTTTTCACGGCTTGAAAAACAAGAAAAAATTTTTTTTACAATTATTTTTTTGAACTTGCATGATAAATGTTATTTTCTGATCTACTATTCGTTATGATACTTATTGGTTTAAACTGAGTAACAAAGTCGTGAACTTCACCTACTTTCTCCTGAAAAGGAGCATTTTCAAAAAGCCATGTTTTTCTCGCCTAATCAGAAGAAACGGTTACTGACGCACAACAAACTGTTGTTGTAGTCTATGGAGAACATTCAATCTTAACGAGATATTGCCATTTATAGTAAAAGCAGTTTAAAACTAATGACCTCTATGTGTAATATAAATGACGGCAGAAAACATTTTTAAAGTTCCCAGATGTCACGCTACAGGTTTTATTGCATTAAAAAAACTCATAAACTCAAGGCAGTCTGGCTGCAATCCTATCCCTTAACAATTGTGCTCTGTCAAACCGTTTAAAAGCAATTGTAGAAGGTTTTTCTTTATGATTTTTCAAAAATTTTGATCTTGATGAGTAAAATTGCCAAAAAGTCGGTTCTATACCTGTATTTTTATTTTATATTAAAAATTTTTATTTCGACCAAAATACAATACCAGCATCATCTTTAGCATGTAAGTATACAAACAAATAACCTGTACAGGTCGGTTTTACTCAATCCATCACTAGTTCATCGCAGTTCACTGCTTTTTTACATATACTTGATTTAATTAAACCAAAACATTAACAGTAGAAAGAAGCTACTTAAAACAACGTAATGCGTGTTCATCAAAAAGAATACAACAAATTTTCGATTCGAAATTCCTAAAGTTGGACGGAAACTTTTAATCAGCTTTCTAAATTACTGTATTTTCGTGTAAAGTGCGTTTTAAATTTTGGTATACTTTCGTGGTTTGTGGACTTAAAGATAAAATTTTTAAAATTAGTAATAGACGAATCTGTTTTTTGGGGCAGGGTAAGAAACAATATAGGCAAAAAAGAGCGATTTGAATAGACTGGTGTATGGTTAAAGCTGATCGCAGAGTGTGGACGGGCTAGACAGTGAACGTGACACAATAATATTTTACTGGGAAGGGAGATAGACTAAAAAACCGTACGATAAACGTAAGTTAGTTTAAGCAATAAAAACAAAATAAGGCATGAAGACCGCATTAGTATGCAGCACATGGCGGTAAGAACAGTAAGGGGAAGGGTAGAAAGGCTTAGAAGAGCAGGGTAAAGTAACTAAAGTAGGTTAAGTTAAGATACGTAAAGTAAGGCACAGTATTTAGTGTAGGGTCGGATAGAGTAGAGTAAACCTTAATTTTTACTTTGTGTTTTCGACTTATTTTTATTTTCAAGATGAGAGCCAGTATTATTCAAACAATCCAAATATTTTAATTTTCTTCAGTTCTTTGTATATCAATCGTATGTTACAGTGTTTTTTTTCGCTAAGGTGTAGTTCAAATAATAAACTACACTTTTTGTGTTATCATTAACTAAACATATTCTTTACGCTTTCCAAAAACAAAAACATGTGTTTTTCTTCGAAAAATTGAAATTTTTAAATTTAATATACGTCTATTGTAAAAGTTTTTTTTAATTTTGGTAGTATATATTATAATAGCTTCTAGTTATTAAAAAAAAAGAGTTTTAGGCTTACAAATAAAGTGGTTTTTACCTACGCATTTTTATAAGTGGCATTTTTTTTTATTTGTTAGGGGTAAATTCTACCATTGTTAAACGTGTATTCACGTTCATATCGTTAGACTTAAAATAAAATTTAAATAAAGTTTTAGAAAAATGCTAACCAGAACACCAACAATGACCGAAGTGATCAAAGTGCTGGGCACTTATAACGGTCGTGATAAGGCTATGAGGTAAAGATTGCGTTTTCCTATATTTTATATTGTTTTTGTTTAAAAAACACATATATTAAACTGTTCAACAAATTCTGCGCTTTTTTTAAAAAAAATTGAAGTGTTAGGGGGCTCAGAATTATTTGGACGGCTTAATATCTTAAAATGTCACAAAAAAGTGTTTTGTCTTTAGACTTTAACAGGTTCGTAAAGCCTTATCCTCTGCCCTCTCAGGGCCATGCTGATAAAAAACGGCAAAAAATTGATTTTTTAAAAAATTTTTAATTTTTTTAATACTTTATTTTGAAATTTTGAAATTTTCTTCATATTTCAAATTTCAGAACCCTAGGCTTTGGCATATTTTTAATCTCGAACAAAATCAAGAACGTTGAATTCTCAAAGAACCTCAAACTATTGGCCGCTCAGATTAGCAAAGCCAGGCTGGTTTCGCGTCAGTTCAGCCATATTCCATTGTTTTATGGTACTATGAATCTGTGGAAGGTGTTTCAACAGTCTCCAGATCAAGTGGAGACCGGTCTTAGTTTGTTCACAATGGTCGGCTACTGCTTGTATGCCATCTTTGAGTTTGGTGAGTTGAGACTTGATTTTTATATTTAAGCCTAAAATTTAACCTTAAAGTATGAAATATAATTTTTAAGCTAAAAAACACATTTTTAAACATAAATTTTATTTTTAGGCTTACTTTTTTTATTATTAAGCCTAAAAGGTTATTTTTAAGCCTAAAGTGTCTTTTTTAAATTTAAATTTTTATTTTTAAGTTTAATTTATATTTTGAAGCCTATGTTTTGTGCTTGAGCATAAGGTTTTATTTTTAAGCCTAAAATTTATTTTTAGATTTAAGTTTCTATTATTGAGCCTATAATTTCATCTCAAACTTCAATTTTTTAAAAATTTCATTTTAATGTTGAAAAACACTTATCCTATCTAATACAACTTTTTTCAGGCTGCTGGCTAAACGAAGCCAATATCATAGCGATTAGTCGAGAAAACTGGTACAGATATGCCATCTTCAGTTGGGTGTCAGCACTAGTAGCCTCGCTAATCCAAAGTCTTCGCAAAATCTTTATAATCGAACCACTAGAAGACAATCATGGTGTAGTAGACAAACAGAAACAAGAACAACGATCCATGGATAGAGTACTGCTACTAGGTACTATGGCCGATTTGGTCGCTGGCATTGGATTGTTACCTAAACAAATATTGTGGGGAGGAAAACTGACCGAACAACAAAGCTCATTCTTCTTCTTTGTTGCTTCTGTCATTGGATTGTACAGATGCTTTTAAAACTTCGAAATTTGTTTGAAACAAAATAAAAAGCTTATAAATAATAGTTCAAAATTAAGAATCATCGTATTTTACATATTTTTTAAAGGAAAATTAAATAATAAAGTCTCACGCTTAAAGTAAGGTTTGAAAAGGTAGGATAAGGTACAATAGGTTAAGTATGAGTTCTGTTTATATGGATACATATAGAACACACTAGAGTAAACTAGGCTAGAAAGAAGTTCTACCTAAAGACAGGAGAAGACAAGGCAAGGGTAAGGTAGTTTTAAAAAAGTAAAACATGCGAGCTAATATTACAATACATATTAGCCATCTAAACAAATAAAGCTTGTAATAAAGTATAAAACGAAAAACTAAAGAAGAAAGCTTACTTTGATTTTTTATTTTGTAGTTAGTTTTTCTCTAGACCATGTTTTCAGTACTTCGATGTTTATTGCTGTTTTGTATGTTTTTGTGTGGACAAACTTTAAATATTACAATTGACAATACAATGAGCACTTTTCAAGGTAAAAAAGATAAATAAAAGCAGCCTGAGGAATACAATTTATGCCTTTAAAAAATTCAAAATTTATTTTAAACAATTTTAAATTTTTTTTTGTAATTTGTTGTTTATAGAAAATCTAATAAAATCAATGCTACTGTTTATCCGCAACTTGTCTAAAGATGAACGTCAAGTCTTACGAAGCATGCACGACAAGAATTCAACAGAAGAAAGAATGAAGGTATTGGAAAGTCAACCAGAAATGTTCAAAAAGTTTGCCAAAGTAGCGACTAAAACTATGGTTGAATCTCACAAGGGCTTGGATAAGGTTTGTCAACACAATTTTTTTAGTTAACGGGGAGGAGAAGAAGTAACAGAAGGGGAAGGGAAGGAATATGAAGTTGTTATATTTGTAAGAAAGGCAGAGTAAAACAAAGTAAAGCAGGGTAAGGCACAGTACAGTAAGGTAGGCTAGGGTTAGGTCGAGATGGGGTAGAACAGGGTAAAATTGATAAGATAGGGTAAAGTTTATTTATTTATTTATATTTATTTTTATTAAAATAAAATCCTGATTTTAGGTATCCCAAGCTTTTATCAGTGAAGTAACAGAATTCTTCATTGAAGTAGATCTACTGCAAATCGACGACTTGGAAACGCCTAAAGGTCGAATTATCGATGGAAGATTGGCCCGTTTAGTCAAGAAATGGAACGTTCTGACAGAAAAACAAAAAGCAACTGTCGATTTGGCTTTAAGTGTTCGGGGTTACTTTGAAGGTCTGTTTTGCATAGTTTAGTTTAGGCGCTGATTAGACCTGAAAAGAACTTTATTTAGCGCATATGTATGTAACAGTTTTAAAACTTGCTTCTGCTTTGTCTTAGCCTTTTTTATAAATCTTTAAGATACTAATTAGGACAACTTCTATCGTATAGCTTTTGTGTCCTAAATGCCTAATAATTTACCAATTTTAATCTTTAAAAACAATTCAAAGTTTAGTTTGAGCTAAAAATTATACGTTTAACATGAGGTTTTTTAACGCTTTATGAAAAATCTGTAAAGGTTTCGTGTTTTGTTGCGGGACCTATGCTAGGCCTGTGGGGTTTTGCCGTTTTGGGCTCACATGTGCTATCTCAAAACTGCAAAACAATAGAAAAAGTTAATATTTTTTTTTAAATTTAAAAACAGAAAATATTTTTGGTATTTCAGAGCGAACAAAAGCTGTAATGAAGCCGCCTGCAGAAGATTGAATTAAAAACCAACCGTTAGCATGTATAGTATACATATCCCGAGCTCTACCAAACACCAAAGTGCCGATATATTTATGTACAAATTGTTTATTTGTTTAATAAATGAAATAAAAACCTTAAGTCAAAAGAGTTTGACAATTTGGTAAGTTTTGACAAATAAAAATCACGAAACGTTATAAGATTTTAACTATTGTAGACTTTGACATTCTATTGCAGGAAGAAGAATAAAAATACTAACAACGGTAGGGACCTTTTCTTGTAAGGTTTTATCACGTATAGTAGAGTTATATTAGTTATATAACATAAAAAATAAACTAAAGCAAAGTATAAACCTATGAAATATTGAAAAAATTCTAAGAAAGAGAATGTTGTAAAAATGACTCTGTGATATGATCTAAACCGTGACATCCATAACCTTTACAGTTTTTTTGTCGTCATGATTGTATAAAAAAACTAAAATTGCGTGCAATAACAATATGAAATGTATAAAAGTTGATGTATGTAAGTTATTTTTTTGATGTGTAATACCATTTTTAAAGTTAAAGCATAGTAAAGTTGAAAGTCTTGAACCTTTAAAATCTACTTTCACTACAATATTAAATAAGAGATCGAATCCTCGATGAGCTAGAGTCAGAACGAGTAGTTTTGAAAGGATGAACCACGAACTTGCGATAGCTTGGGACACATAAAATGACTGATAAAGAGTTGAATAATGGTGGAGTATGCATCGTTGACACAGCCCATTCACCAATGTATGGTACTTGTTTGCCTTGAACAACGAAGATAGTGAACAACACACATGGCATTCCAACAACAAATACTGGGTAGAAGGCCTGAAAGTTTGATATTGAAAAGCTGAGCCAAGGCTATAGTTAGGGCTCTGGGCTAAAGCTCTGGGCTGGAGCTTTGAACTAGGGCTTTGAACTAGGTCTCTGGGCTACTAGAGCTCTGGGCTTGAGCTAGGGTACTTACTTGAAAATAGATGATCCTTGTAACCTGCTTCTGAACAGCTTGTGTTTGTTTTGTGATCTTGTCATTCTTTGCCAGAGTTACGGTTTGTTTTGACAAATAAATCATAAGTATGATGACCGTATAACTGAAGGACATGATGACAAAAACATTGCAAAAGTGCATAGCCATGATTCCAAATTCGTGCTGAAAGTATTACAGTGTAAATGGGATATTTATGGCATACTTTATATTTGTTTGGGATTTTTACGGTTATACTCTATGTATAGTAACAGTGTAATTTTAGATAACAAAATGGGAAAATTTGAGCATATAAGTGTAAAATTTATAGTAAGTGTAATACTGTAACCTTTACGAATTTCTAACGTAAATGTCATGTATCTCTCTCAATGTTTACTACAGTAAAAGTTTGATCACATGTGTTACAGTGCTGCCATTGTAAATATCATATCTATGTTTACTACAGTAAAAGTTTGATCACATGTGTTACAGTGTTGCCATTGTAAATATCATATCTATGTTTACTACAGTAAAGGATTGATCGCATGTGTTACAGAGTTGCTAGTCAAAAGTGTCATATAAAATTTTACTACAGTAAAACTTTGCTCTTATAGGTTACAGTGTAATAGCTATCTTTTTACAACTTTACATAGTACATATTAAAGTTGTAAAAATTACTGTAACTTTTTTATTTGGAATTTTTTTTAGAAAAGTGTAAATTTAGGTATGAAGTGTAATAAAAGTTAAATCCGTATTTTAAACTATTTGCAACGCTTTTACAGTTTTAAAGCTAAAGCACGTAAGTTTAAAGTTCAGCGTTCTAGAAAGCAGTTTTAAAATTAAATTTTTTTTTAATTTTAATTACTCTAATATCCACTTAATTTTGAATTATATAGTTTGTTACTTTACAACCTGCAAAATTTGATTAAAAACCAAGTAAAACTGCCCAATAATTAGCTTGAGCTCAAGCTCAAGCTCAAACTCAAGTTCAAGCTTAGGCTCAAACTCAAGCTCAGGCTTAACCTCAAACTCAAACTTTGACTCAAACTCACGCTCAGATGAAAGCAAAAGCTTCGGCCCAAGGTCAGACTCAAGCTCAGGCTCAAACTCACGCTTAATTTTAAATTCAAGTCTCAGCCCAAGCTCAAATCAAGCTGAACTGCACGCTAAAATTTTTAAAACTAAATTTTAAGCTTAAGTGCAGTCTCATTTAAAGTTCAGGCTATCGGAAACAATAAGAACTTACAATATCTCCAGCCAAATATCCAGGCAATTCCTGATTTGGATCTCCCATCGATTGATGCAAAACCGCGTCCCATTCGGGCGATGGCCAAGAAAAGGTGAAAGGACATAAACCACCGTGAATTCCACCCATCATAAGTGACACTGAGAACATGGCCAACAGTTGCCATGGGGTGAAAGGTTGTCCCCTCATCACTCCGTAACGATATACGAATTGTAATGGCAGCATGGCTACACCCAAGAACATGAAAAAAAGATGGGTACCAACAGCAAAGGTAGTCCAGCCTGGGGCCGTCGGGAAGATGGGGTTGTCAACAAGCATGAACACTACTTGAGGGCCAAAACAGGCTGTCTGAAAAGATTTTTGGTAAAAAATTTAAATTTTAAAAATTCAATTTTTTTTAATTTTTGAGTTTGCCTACCCTGCCCTACCCTACCCTACCCTACCCTACCCTACCCTACCCTACCCTACCCTACCCCGCCCTACCCTACCCTACCCTACACTACTCTATCCTACCCTACCCTACCCCACCCTATTCTACCCTAGCTCATCTTTACAAATCAGCTTGGAAAGCCTACCGGTAAAGTCATCAAAGTATTGATGGCTAGTATCAGATCAACAATAGCATTGCCCACCATCATAAATGCATAAGCTCGTAGTGCGCGATTTTTAGCGTTTTTCAACGTCAGATAAATGACGACACAGCAGAAGAATGCACCTAACGCACTCATTGCCACATCAAATGCAACGTGGACGGTTGTGCGAGTTATTGCCATCATAAAGCTAAAGAAACGTTAGTAAAAATAATTATAATGTAGTAAAAAGTTTAAAAAAAGATTTCGCCAATTGTACGTCATAAAATATAAAAAAATTTTAAAAAATGGCAAACTATAAAAAGTACAGTATACTGCATAACTCCTGCTTAAAACACTCTAACAAAATTTTTTAATGACTACATCAAACGAAACTTAAAATAAGCAGGCTCGTAACATCTAAACCCCAATGCCATGCCCAAACCAAGACTCCCAATGAAACCCAGCTTAGGTCTCGCAACGAAACACTTGACGAGCGAATATTGTAAATACAAACCTAAGAAAAAACAAGCCAAAAAAATCGAGTGTGGTTCGACCTTTTGACAAGTCTTTTCATAACATTTTCAAGACATTGCAATTTGTTATACATGAGTTTGACTGTGTGACATTACATATTATGTATTGTCAAACAGTGCAAAACTTGACTCCGCCCAAAAAAAGTACAGTATTAGACCTGTAGACTCTTAACAAACTTTTTAATTCTTTGTTTTTAACCCCTTTTTCTCCCCTTCCCTCCCCCAATTAACACACAAGATATATCTGATTAGACTATTATACGAACAATAAAACAACAAGATATATATGGCATGATTAAACTATCGCGCTAATTTTATAACAATTTATTTGTAATATGTAAGTAATCGTTACAAAAATGCTTATTAGTTATAGACCCCACAATACGATAAATCTCCCTTGAGGTTAATGTAAAAAAAGGTTAACTGTCTGTGTGAAAGTATGTACTGTTGCTACGTATAATATATTAAGTCGTTCACTTAATTATGCGTCCTAAAACGCCAACAACTTGCTTAAAAAAGGGTGCAGAATTAAGTGAACGGCCTTACAGTACACGTCAACTATCATGATTTAGCAACAAAAGTGAAAAATACAGTAACACTTCTGTATGGCAAACTCTGTATTACAAACCTTACACTATGACAAACTCTACTATTAACAAACTCCACTAGTAACGTTCGAAACTGTTACTCAAAATGTAAAATCCTAAAACGTTTGGTTTAAAAATATAAAATTCTCAAAACTTTTTGACCAAACTGAAAAAAATTAAAAACCGAGGCAAGCATCAACAAAATCCATAAACTTTTTGACCAATGCTTCAAAATTAAAAAAAAAATCATCAAAATTTCAAAAAAAAACTTTAAAAAACCAGCCAGAAGTTAAAATTTTAATTTAAGTCAAAATTCAAAAAAGTCCATATACTTTCAAAACCACGTTAAAAACTTCATAAAATTTTAAACCAAGCTCTTAAAATCTACAAAAATTCACAGAATAACACCCAAAACCCAATAATATGCACTACTAAGAACCCTTTACCTCAGCTATGATAACATAACTTTACATTTGTTACAAAACTCGCAATAACACCTTTCTAGCACGAAATCAACTGCCCGAAATGCCATTTTACCGACCGCGATCTTTCTTTTATATTACACCCTACGGTAGTTTCATTAAAAAAATGTAACATTGATTGTAACGTTTTGGCAGGTCGCGTGACAAGCCTTTTTTCACTTTAATTTTTCAAAATGTAACATTGTATGGTTGAGCACGAAAGAAAAGTTTCGACCAGTAAGTCGTGCTAATTAGTAAGTGAAAAACTGTTGAAACATGTGTAAGCGGATTCGACCGCTTTATCGCATTTTTCACTAGGAAATTTACATATTTGGTTTCTTTGGTCAAAACTCGGCCGTTTTTACGTCAGTAGCCTCAATTTGAAACCCGGCGATCGGTCGGTCAAGTGTCAAGTAATTTGGTTGTAATTTATCTTTGGTTTTGAATAAAGTTTGTGATATTGTTTTGATTCGTTATACTATTTGATTAACTCTTTGGTTGATACTTGTTGGTTGATTTGGTAGTTCATTGATACCCGTTGAGGCTCTGTATTTTGGTCTGTGAATATCTCACACCAAAAAGCTTTATATGGCGACCACTTTTAATTTGAAAAGCAGAAATTCCGCCCAAGCTACAAGAATGCCCAAACGTGAGAATACCTCCCTGTCAAAGGTTAAGAAGAATGCCTCCCTGAAAAAGGTAGAGAAGAATGCCTCCCGCTTGACGGTAGAGAAGAATACCTCCCTGTCAAAGGTAGAGAAGAATGCCTCCCGCTTACCGGTTGAGAAGTCCCGCTCAGCGGTTGAAAATTCCTCCCTGAAAAAGGTTGAGAGAGATATAGCCACAAAATATGGCAAAATGCAGACCAAATTGTCTGATTTGATCACCGAATTTATGGTTAGCATTGAAGGGCTAAAGTTAGTAATTAAGTTGGCTGAAAAAAACGCCACTAAAGACATTTTGACAAAAGGTGATATACGTATTTTGAAAGAAAAGGCTAATCATTGCCAAAAACACTACAACAAAATTGAAGCAAAATTTGCGCAATGGAAACATGACATTGATATTAATTTATCAAGAGATGAAGTGGGTAAATCGAGGGAAATGTCTCAGTATGAAAAATTCAGATTGGAAAAGAATTATGACTGTTTTTGTCGAGATTATGGTACAGTAATTACATCGGCCGTAGAATTGTTGAAAAAATACAACGATTCTGAAAATGAATCTAGTCTTGCGTACTCGGCTACAAATTATTCTGCATCTGAAGATACTGTATTGGATGATTATGTCAGGAAAGACAAACCTCTTGCTGAAAGTATGAATTTCAAAGGAGATTCTAATTTTGAAACATCGGAAGTTGTCATGCCAGAAATCAGAAATCATAAATTTCAAATTTTTGATGAATCAATCGGTAAACTGAATACAACATCAAAACAAGTTTTTGTAAGCACGATTTACGAGTCTACTCCAAAAATTAAAACGCAAGAGACTTCTAAATCAAAATCGAAGCCAAATTCTCATTTAGAAAGTAGTTGTCAAGAAGCAAGACATTGTTGTTCGGCTACACAACCAATTATTAATGTATCGTGTAGTTCTGAGAGAAGAAAGCTACCTCCAGTCCACGATATTCCACATTTTTCGGGCGAAGCAGACACATTCCCTGAATTCTGGGATTACTGGAAATATCATGTTCATGATGTTGATGCTCCAGTCACTGACAAGTTGACCAGTCTCAAAGCTGTCCTAAAAAATGGTTCAGCGTACAGCATTGTGAAAAATAGACGTTTGACGGTTGCTGATTACAATGCTGTCATCCAAATCTTACATTCCCAGTACGGTGATAGTCAAGAAATAATATCTTCTTGGTTTGACAAGCTATACAACCTTGAACCTCCAAAAGAAATCGAAGCGAATCAGATCAGTGATTACGCAAACACTCTGCTGAGCATTAAGTCTCAATTGGACTACTACAATACCTCGATTCCTGGATTTATGATGTTAAAGATTGCGAAATCTTTACCACTATCTTTGAGCGAAATGGTCGATTTACGCTGCTTATACAAGCACGGTTCACCATACAACATGGATGACCTTGTTGAAGCTCTCAAGAACGTAGCCAAAAAAGTGCAAAATGTTAAAGGTAGTCAAGAACAAATTCAGAAAAATTTTGAAACTAAGAATCCTCAGAATAAGACTCTTTCATGTATATTATGTCAAGAAAACCACAAGCCCAGTTATTGTACGAAGTACCAAACGAGAGAAGACAGAGTAAACTGGATAAAGTCTAATAAACGTTGTTTTAAATGTCTTGGAACTAACCACAGTACAAAAGAATGTGTAAAAAATATTGTGTGTAGAATTTGCAAGCTAAACCATAACACTTTACTGTGTTATAAAGCATACAAACAAGAACAACCTACACAGAACGAAAAAACAGGGTTTTCTTTCAAAACAAGTTGGGCAAACTCAGTTCAAGCTCGAAAACCTGAGGTGAAACAAGTAGAAAACAATCATATACATGATTTGTCTTCCGAAAAAGAAAGCAGGTTTGGGTGTATATTAACAATGCTTGCTGGTACTAACATGAAAGTTATGCAACAAGGTGTAGTTTTTGTGGATACTGGATGTAAACAGAATTTATTACGAAAAAGTGTAGCTCAATCTCTCCAGTTACCTTTGTTAAACCCAAATCCGTTACAAATCAAAACAGTGAGCGGTAGTATACCAACTGAAGCCTACTATTCAAACATAATTTTGATTCCAATCGATACTCAAGGTCAAAAAATAGAACCGATTAATGTTGAAGTTACGGTGGTTGATGATATTATTCTTGATGAAGTAAATTCTGGCAATCTAGACAAAAACATTGATGTTGTCCTAGGTATTGATGGAAGCCACGAAATTGAACTCAAAATGACAAAATCTGTCGGAAAATCAGGCTTCAAATTAGCCACAAGTAAATTAGGATCCTTTGAAAGTGGAGCTTTGAAAACAAAATCAGCTTCGATTACGGAAATAAATCATATGATTTTGGTTGATGAAAAAGAGGATGATGATCCCTTTAAGTCGCTACAAAATTTTGAATTACAAAAATATTGTAATTGGACAGATACCATGGGTATTACAAAAGAAGATTCAGAAACAAAAAGAGAATCTGAACTCAATACCTTTAAATTTGTTATTGAAAATACAGTACAAAATGAAGAAACAGGTCGATATTCAGTCCCCCTTCCATTCAAAGACAATTCGGTCGATATTGAGAACGAGTTTAAACGTTGTTTTGGAAGGCTACATCACATTGTACAAACTTTGGACAAGAAACCTAATTTGAAGACAGCATATGACAAAAATTTTACGGATTACTTAAAATTAGGTATTATTGAAGAATGTGAATTCCACAGATCGACTGATAAAACAGTTCGTTACATTCCTCATTTGCCAGTTGAAAGACCTGGGCATCCTACAACTCCAGTACGAAACGTTTTTGACGGATCGGCTAAAGATAAAAATGGCATTTCATTAAATAGTTGTTTGAATCAAGGCTTTACTTTGTTGCCCGAGATACCAGACATTATTATCAAGTCGAGAAAGTTCAAGTATCTTGGTATTGCTGATCTCGAGAAAGCATTTTTAATGGTTGAAATACTTGAAAAATACCGTGATTCAGTACGTTTTCTTTGGCTGAAAGACATCACTAAACCAGTCACATACTCAAACATCAAGATTTTTCGATTCAAACGTGTTACATTTAGATTAATTTGTAGTCCATCGCTGCTGGCAACGGTAATCCACCTACATTTATCAAAGTATGTTGAGAAAATCGGTACTAAATCATTAAAAGACATTCTATCTATGTTGTATGTTGACAACTTGTTTCTCGGATCAAACGATGAAGAGGTATTAACAAAACAGGCGTTAGATTTGAAAAGTATATTTGCTGAAGGAGCGATGAACTTGAGAGAATACAGCTCAAACAGCAAAAAACTCATTGATTCGTTTCAAGAAGCTGACATTGCCACAAGAAAAATCCTGTTCCTGTTATAAACCAAACCTATCATTAACCTAAATATACTTTTAAGCTATTTTACTCTGTTCCAAGCAACACTCTACCTCTATAATAACACGCCGTAGCTCTTCAGCAATTTCAAAAATATGTACATGTCGTATTTTACCTAAAGCTACCCTTTTTTTTAAACTGTACAATTTGTTATGTTCAAGCCTATTTTTAAAGGTAGTGGGGGGGGATTGTTTCTTTTATTAAAAAACTTGAAAAAAAATATAAACGTGGTCTCTCACCTTGATTTTTTAGTAAAAAACGACAAGTACAAGCCGGTTTATTATCTTTTTTTACTCACCATACCCTCAAACGGGCCGGGCCTGAATGTTAAGCTCGACCCGATCAAAATTTTGCTCAGGCCCGGCCCGTTCTTCATAAAAGTCTACCTGTGTGTCTCCATCAAACCTTACACTTACCTCACCACTTGTCTACGTGATTCTACTACATTTAACAAATAAAGTCAAACTAGCGCTGTCATATATACTGTAATTTGTTTTGAATTCCAAAAAAAAAATAAAAAGAAATTAATTACCCCACCTCCTCTCAAAAGAGGCAGACCTATTTAATTTGGTCCAAAACGCTAATTGTTACAGGTTTTGGACAGACAATCATAAACAGCAGACAATAAATAAACTGATTAACTACCGTGAACAAGCTTAATTTTGTACGTTCACCTATCATAAAAATATATATACTTTATCAGCGAATACAAAAAGTCGGAAAACAAGACGTCAATTATTGAATGAGTATGAAATGTGACAAGCAAGTTGCAACATTTCTCCCTTCCAACGCCCTTTTCTGATAAGAATAACACCAAAACACGTACAATTTCTGACTGTATGTGTACTGAGTAAGCCCAGGACGTCACCGGCTTCCTGTCGTGACAGTTTTTAAACATGTTTATGTTGCGGAAATCACTTCTTGGTCATTAAACTAATTTTGATTACATAGTTTTCTTAAAACTGAATAGAAGTAGACCTGTAAATTAGACTGGACTTAATATTTTGAGTAAAGAGTTTGATTTTACAGTGTGGTAGAACATGCATATAAAAAATAATTTTTTTTGAGAAAAATAGATGTTTTGTCATGTCATTTTTTCAAATTATATAAAAGGCTACGAAATATCGCTAGTAGGGTTTGACACAAAACAGTGAAACCAGAGAAAGATAGAACAGAGTAAAACAGGGTAGGACAGGGCTAAAAATAAAGCTAAAACCAGATTTAGATCTAGAATTAAAGCTATGGTTAAAGCTAGAGCTAGAGCTATGCCTTTATTCCTGTAAAGATTTGACAAAATCACAACAACCCCGTGCTATATCACGAGGGGGTCAAAACTTAATTCTCACTTTTTCTACCGCAAAAAAAAATTTTTTAATAAAACCTATGCCACGAACCGTTTGACACTTCATTATATCAAAACAGTGTCAGCACTACATATACCATGTTCGGTCCCGACTGGTTCACTCATAGCCAAGTTAGATGGGGGTCAAAATCCTCTCTCTTTCTGCCTGCAGAATAGAAAAGGTTATTATAAAAATTAAAAGTTGAACTATATTTATGTTATAAATAAACAGAGTCCTTCTTCTTGTTGCATTTAGTATTTCTTACAGCTAATAGCGCCTCTAACCTAATTTAGAATGCATTTTTAATGTATCTGTCGTCAGTGCTTTTTGTTGCAAAAAAAATTTTTCTATCATAATAACTCTTCGTTTTGAAAAATAATTTTATAGTTTTTTATTTATTTTGTTTTTTTTTGTTTTTGTTTTTCTTTGTTTCTCATATAGATGAGTTTAAATTTTTTTTGTAGTTTTTATATATTTTTTCTTTTTTAGTGGGGTTTTAAACGACGTTTTAATCCCCTTCTATAGATTTGTACTCATTTATTAATTTGTCCAACAAAAAACAAAATAAAATATAAAATAAAATTTGTTAAAAATTACAAAAATCACATTTTCAATCTTCAAAAACATAAAAAATCATTATTGTCTTCCAAAATCGACCACCGATTGAGCTGGCATTACACTAGTGTCGATTCGAGATGACTTAAACGGATGTACAACGAAGCGTCGATAACTAGGCACACATAGTATCACGGCCAATGAGTTCACTAATGGAGGCGTGTGCATTGAGAACATTGCCCATTCGCCAATGTACGGCACGGTCTTTCCTTGTACGACGAAGATTGGAAACAAAAGGCATGGGAAACCAATTACAAATACCGGATACAACGCCTGAAATTTAAAATAGTGTAAAGTGTTTTGAACTTCTTAGCACTATGACGATACTAAGGTTTGTACTAACAGGTAGTTGTTGAGAATGCCAAAACTATTAGTTTTGCAGTTGTCTAAGGCTTAAAAAATGGATTTTACTACAAAGTTGCAGCTTTCGAACGAGGCCTATATACCATAGTAAATAAAAGCAAAAAACGACTTGATTTTTTTTATTAAAATATTGTTAGGCTAGCAAAAATGGTTAAAACTAGACCGTAAAAAACGTACCGGGCCACTTTTGAGGCCCGGCCTGGGGCCCGAGAGTGAAGCACGGCTCGTGTTTATTTTCACCTCAAGCCGGCTCAGCCTAAGTTTTGTTTACGTGTAACGGGCCAGGCCAATAAACCCATGGTCCACAGAAAAAGTCTCCGCCAAAAAAAAATTTTAATTAAAACGAAATGTCACAGACCGATTGAAACTTTATTATACCAAAAAAGTCCCTCGTACTTTATGAGTACATAAACCAGGTTTGGCCCCGATCGGTTCATTCATAGCCAAGTTAGATAAGGGGTCAAAATTTTCTGCCTTCAGTATATAATGAAATAGATCTTTTTTTGACAGCTAATAGCTCGCTAGACAAAGCCATTTAGCAGTTTTTAAAAATGATTGTCTTGATAACTTTTTATGTTTTTTAAGCTTATATATAGGCATTGTTCTAAACCATGAGAGATATCTGGTGCAACTGTGTTTTATATACTAAAACTGCCCCTCTAGCCTTATTTCAGCCTTAAAATTGTCGAAATACACATTTTTTCAAAAATTTTTTTTACTGTTTACTAAAAATGCCATTTTTTCATTTTTTGTTACATAAAATACTATATCTCGTTTGAAAATCCAAATACTATTTAGTGAAACTGTCGTGTCAGGCTTAAAAAATTACATCTTTAGGCTTAAAAAATAAATTTTTAAGCTTAAAAAATATTTTTTTAGGTTTAAAAACTATTTTTTAAACATAAAAATTGGTTCTATAGGCTTAAAAATCAAATCTTTAGCCCTAACAAACCTGAAAATAGATGATTCGTGTGATTTGTCGCTGAACCGCAGCCGTTTGCTTTGTCATCATTTCATTCTTTTGCAAAGTGACAGTTTGTTTCGACAAGTAAATCATGAGAATGATAAAAGTGTAACTTATCGCCATTATTACAAACACATTACTAAAGTGCATTGCCATGGCATTGAATTCGTGCTGAAATTTTAAATTGAAATTAGACTTTGGTCAATATATAAATATCAATTTTATTTTTTAGTTTTTTGGTCCAAAAGTTTGTAGAATAGATGGAAAAACGCTTAAAATCTTGCAGACAGCGCCGAGCAGAGACTTTTGATCTGGAGACGAGGGTCGAAAGAATCCACAGGGAGGATCAAGTTTAACTTTTTTCAAAAAATTTTTTTAAAGATTTTTTTAATTTAAATTTTTTAGTTAAAAAATGTGTAGAACTGCCAAAATTCGTAAGAAAATATCAAAAAATAATCAAAAAATCGACCAAAAAATTCATAAAAATAAATTTTATAAAAACTCACCACCTCCCCAACCAAATACCCATTAACCACAGCATTTGGATTCTCTAGAGATTTTTTCAATATCTCATCATAGTAGGCAGATCTTGGGGTAAACGTAAACGGACAAGCTCCACCATGAAGCGCACCAAGCATAAACGACACCATGAACATGCCAAACAGCTGTATGTTTGAAAACGGTCGATTTCTCATCACACCATAACGGTAAATAAACTTTAAAGGTAACATGGAAACGCTGAGGAACATTAGGAAAAGGTGTGAGCCAATACCAATTAGAGAAGCTAAGTAGGTTTTTGGGTATAGAGGGTTGTCGGTTATTACGTAGACTAGTTGGGGGCCGAAGCAGACGCTCTGAAAGGTAAAAAATAAGTTCTAAAATGGTTTTTTCTACCCTACCGTACCCCACCGTATTATACCGTACCGTACCGTACCGTACCCTACCCTACCCTACCCTACCCTACCCTACCCTACCCTACCCTACCCTACCCTACCCTACCCTACCCTACCCTACCCTACCCTACCCTACCCTACCCTACCCTACCCTACCCTACCCTACCCTACCCTACTCTACCCTACCCTACCCTACCCTACCCTACCCTACCCTACCCTACCTTACCCTACCTTACCCTACCCTACCCTACCCTACCCTACCCTACCCTACCCTACCCTACCCTATCCTACCCTGTCCTACCCTTCTCCATGATATGTTGTATCTCTCCCACTGTACCTTTACAATACTATACCCTTACTTTGCTTTATCTCTACCATAATCTTCTCTTACATTGTTCAGTTTTTACTCTTACAAGCATCATGTCTACCACACCATACTTTGCTATACGCATTATGTTTAAACCCTTACCGCCATAGTAATCATAGTATTGACGGCAAATAACAAATCGACTACTGAATTTGCAATCATCATGATTGCATACGCTCTTAAAGCTCGATTTTTCACATTTGCATATGATAAGTAGATGACGACAATGCAGAAGAATATTCCGAAGAAGCTAGTGGCTATATCCAAGAATTGATGCACTGTTGTACGGTTTATTTCAAACATTATTTCTGAAAAAATAATTTTTTAAAAAATTTTTAAAAACAAAAAAATGTCAATGCCATTTCCAATACGATATAAGACTTAAAATGTTAAAATTTCGTTCTTTACAGGTCAAAAAGTTTACAGAAAAGCAAAAAACAAAAAATAAAAATTTTAAAAAGTTATGTCGTTTTGTAACGTTAAGATATAATACAAGTGCTTTGACAACAAGACTTTTTTTGACACCCCACTGTAGTAGAACTGAAAGGTGGCCTGCTAAACCTATCATGGCCTCAATCCCCTTTATAAGTCTAACTGTACAAATAGACCTAAAAGAAGACCCACTAGACCGGGCTAGGCCACAAAGACGACACCCGAACTAAGGCCACGGAAGCCTCAGCGTAGGTCCCGCCACGAAAGATTTGACATACAAAAAGTGTAAAGCAAATCGGCGCTAGGACAAATGCGGTTTTTGGACATTTGCGGATCTTCGGTTTTTAGACACTTGCGGATTTTGGACATTTGCGGATTTTTTAAAGGGGTTTTTTTTATTTTTTAGTTAGTTTAGTTGTATTATGGTACTAAATGGTACTAAAGTTTAAATTGGTACTGTTTTAATATGTTTTAGTGCTAAATAGTACTAAATTTTAAATTGGTACTGTTTTATATTTTTTGGTACTGAATGGTACTAAAAGCCCAAAAAGGTACTGTTATGTTAAAGCCGCACCAATTTAAACTTTAGTACAATTTAGTACCATACTACAAATAAATAAACTGAAAAATAAAAAAAAACCTTTAAAAAATCCGCAAATGTCCAAAATCCGCAAGTGTCCAAAAACCGAAGATCCGCAAATGTCCAAAAACCGCATTTGTCCTAGCGCCAGCAAATCTGATCTTAAAGCTGATACTGGTGCACCCAAGAGCTTAAGACAAAACCAAGGCCCGAGCTCCCAGTTTAACTGGACCAAGCCAATAATTTGAACTCAGCCAGCTTCTTTCACGGGTCTATACCACAGGTAAAACACGGTTCAAATTTTAAACTGTAAAGAAGCAACTAAGATCCTGTCAAATGTTCCAATTGGCACTCTCTGTGGATATTTTAACAATTTATAGTTGCATGAATGATGACATTTTGTATGTTAACACGTAATTGGAATTTTAAACTGGTTTTTGGAAACCTGACGTAAAACTGTGGCTTTAAAAAGTTACCGTGCAGTAAAATCAAAGGTTCGGAAGCGGATATCAATATGTGTAATAAACAACATTTGCCGTGTGATCATTATATTTAAAACGATTTTTGCATAAATTGTTTTAAAAAGCTTAGGAAAAAGTTTTGTCGTTTTGACACAATAAAAGATATAATAACAAACGACAAGAATTTTTTTATTTTATTTTAAATTTGTAGCTTTTGTTATACAAACAAACGCTGTTACTGTTAACAAAAAAAATTTTTTTAAATTGTTTTTAGACATTTTGTTTATCAACAAATAAGAATAGACCTAAAAAGAAGATCACTAAAGCTCGGCCGAATCAAGCCGAAACAAGTTTGAAAGAAACCGAGCCAGGTGTGCTTTTGCAAGCCTGAGAGCCAAGCCTTAACGAAGGCTCCTCAGTCTTGCTTTGAAAACAAGACTTTTCTTTGTCACCTTACTACAGTAGATTTGAAAAAAAGCCCACTATGTCCAATCCGGCTTCGGCCTCGGGCTAAAGAAAATTTGAGAGACGCTGGTGTCCAAACCAAGGCCCTTAAGGCTCAGCTTAGGGCCCAGAACAAAAGTTTTGATACAGTGGTCTCTTTCTATATAGTGAACCATCTGTATAGGCAACTTTCCTTATAGTAAAGAAATTTGGTCCCGCCAAATCAATTTGCACCAAAAAGTCTCTCTGTAAAGTCAACGCCCCTTATAGTAAACACAAAATGTCGGTCATTTTGGGTTGCTTATATAGAGAGAGTACTGTATGTATTTACGTACTGCGGTCTGGGGCACTCCTTGTCTTTTACAGTACTAAAAACCCATAGAATTTTTTTTTGTTGAACAAACTGTTGCGATTAAGCTATTTTTAAGTAAGCATGATCAATTGTTATTTTACGACAGTTTTTTTTTCACAATTCGAAACATTTTTGGAACTTTTTTTACGGTTGAAATTAGACTTAGGTCAATTAAAAAAATAATGTGCGTGTCACAAGGTTATCGACAAAGTTTCGATTAACATTATTCGTAGTACGATACCAATTCTTTTTCCAGAAAAAAAGTCCTTTTACGTTTACAATTTGCGTGTCTACCGTCTTGAAGTCACAAAATGCGTACATGGAACTCAAACTGGCAACTATAACTACTACAAAAGTGAAGATTTGTACAATTTAAACGTAAAATTAGATTTAAAATAAGCCCAGCATAGGCTATGGTTTAAGAAGTCAGTCAAAAAGCAGAATCGGGCAAAATATAGCATCAGACAAAGAAAAGCAGAAAATGAGGATAGGGTACAATAAAGCAGAGTAGGGTCAAATAAGGTGGGTTAGAGTGTGATAAAGTGGGATAGAATAGGACAGAACAGGATTGGTAGTGCAATTAAAAGTAGGGTAGTATAGAAAAAGGTAGAAAAATTTAAAGTGGGGTAGGATAGTTGAAGCTATGAAGGGTAGGGTAGTCCAGGGTAAAGTGGAGTAGAATATGAATGGGTAGAGTAATCAAAGATTGGGTATAACAGCATAGGGTAAAGCAAAAGACACCGCAACGCCCTGTTTTTCCCTGCCTAGTAGGGTGGCCAAAAATACCAACCTACTCCTCCCCTTCCGCTCCCCTTCCCTCTCTTTTCTACACCCCAACCCTAAAAAACGTCAAGTTTTTTTATAAATCGTAAAGCAAAGAAACAAAAAATATCAAAACTTTGCATAATAATGACAAAAATATGCACTATAGACAAACTACTCTAAACCAAGGAAAACAAGTAATTCGGCGTCAAAAGAAATTGCCATTGCATAAAGATACCAAATTCAGATAAACTACACTTTCTTTTGCCTTTTCAAATTAAAAAAAAATGCATTTTGTACACATAATAGTAAAATATGTACTTTTATCTAAATATTTTAAAATCCAGTTTTAAAACTTTATTGTAAAATACGTTCTTTAGTTGTCTTAAAAAACCCCTTATAACTGTTAACTTCCTTATAAGACCACAAAATACCAGAAAAGTTAAAAAGATTAGTCATCTGAGTCCAACACTTACTATAATCCTATAAAAAGTTTAACTTTAAAAGTCCTCTATCTAATATCACTTTTATCTTTCTGAAACCACACTGTGTAGAATAATATCATAGCTCTTTATTCTACCTAAATTGAGCTGTGTTATCTTGTTGTATCTTCTAAACTATATATTAACTTGTTGTATTTTATTTTATAAATATTATCTTTTCGTATCTTCTTCAAACTGTGCTATATTATATAATAGTACACTGTTATAGTAAACTGGAACTCTTGTATAAAACTTCTCTACGACAAAATTCCTATATACAGTACTCTCTCTATATAAGCAACCCGAAAAGACCGGCATTTTGTGTCTACTATAAAGAGCGTTGTCTTTACAGAGGGACTTTTTAGTGAAAGTTGACACGGCGGGGCCACATTTATTGTTTACTATAAGGAGAGTTGCTTATACAGATGGTTTACTATGTAGAGAGATGATCACTGTAACGAGCAACTTTCCAATCCTCCGCCAAGACTGCACAGTGCATTTAAATCTGCTGTACATCAAAACTCCATTATAACGGACAAATTTGAAATCTCCGAACTATTCGTTATGCATGAATTCTACTGCATTAGTAACAGAAAAAAAGTATTGTCGTTTTGTAACACGCACGATCTTAGCTAGAAAGGACAAAACTTTTTTTTTATGAATTGATACAATATTTTTTAATAGTTTAACATTCATATATCACATTTTATAATCTAGTTATAAGCTTGAAGCACAATGCCAATTTGGTGGAAAATTCAAAACGTAATTTCTTTATCTCGATTTTCTGGAGATTGACTGAAAAGCTCAATTTAGTATTTTGCTGAATATCTTATATTAGCATGATCTTTCTATATAAAAAGTTTGAAGTTAATCAGAGCGAGACAGGTCGAGAAACGTTCTTGTAATTTATCTTGTAGTACCTTTAGCATAAAAACGGAATTAATGATAATACAGCGAAGTAGTGTATGACAAGTCCCGTATAAACTTAACTTTTAATTATCCGACTAACACTACACAGTCAATTTACCTTTGTATAACAATATTTTTATAACGAACAAATTTAAAATCTCCAAGCAATTTTTATACAGGAGTTCAACTGTATGTCGCTTTATAACCTAGCGTTCTTATATTACCCTTATTATGGAACTAAAACTTTTAAGAGTAGTAACTTGGTTTACATAAGCTTTCTTTCCCAAGACTACAAACCTTCATCTCTATGAGTACTTGCATCTCCCCCCCCCCCCCCTCCAAAAAACGTTAGCAACCACCGCTATAACTACCGTAAAACCTTCCTTTATATCAACATAAAAGGCAACATGCCACTTTTAGCTCACCAACCTTTTATCCCCACCTAATCCCAAAAACAACTGTAAATGTAAACAACGTAGCCCGTTTAACTATGTGTAGCCAACCCACTTGACGAAAAAAAAACCGCGTACGACAAAGTCACACTGACTATTCAGAAACGGACCACCCAAGTGAAAGATAAATGCACCACTTATTAACAACAAAATTAGCCAACATTTACCCAATGTTACTATTTTATTAATTACTACGTATTTATACAAAAACGTGATGAATAGCCATTGATGCTACGTCTTACGACGGTTTTTTTTCGAAGTCTACAGGAATCCGGAAAAAGAAAAAAAAAG